AGAGGCGGTTCGGTCGAAACGTTTTCAAAGTCCCATCCAGCAGCAGCCACAAGCATACGTCACGATCGAGAGCTTGGAAAGCTGGAGTACCACAAACCGTCATACGCGGCGTGCTCCGCACATAGACAGGAAGCAAAGCCTCGATCTGATCGCATACAGCAGCCCCATGCAGCAGCTGAGTCACAGTTTTGGCCCTCACTATATGCGCTTGACAAAGAAGTAGACGCAGCATGAGTGCATGGGCGCGGTGATGGGACGATCGATGAGAAGACAACAAAAGCACCGCGTCGCCGCTTGCTTACGAATCAAACCCTTTCTTCGTGATCGTGTCCGCGCGCGTATGCGAAACGGTCTGCATGTCACTCAAGACTCATTCGCTCGCACGCTACGAGTTCGATCGCGGCGTGCAGCATGCAGCGAGGCGAGGACTCAATTAAGATGTTGACTCGTGACTCGTGTGACTTGACAGACGAGGTTTGGTTTTGGCACGCAGCAATTGCGAGTAGCAGACACGTGATCTGCTGTTCATTCAAGATGATCGGCTTGCAACCCAAACTTTGAATCAAGAATCAAATCTTTGAATGAATAATCACAATGGTGTTCGCGCACGCACCCAGCAGCAACCATGCGCAAGACACACACGTGAACTTGCATCACGTGGATGACCTTGGCATGAACCCTTGTTGGTCATGTGTATGCATGCATAAACACGACTTGACTCGGTCCCAGGCTCAAGGCTTCACGACTGACGACTCTGATTTGTGAAACCAACAATTCGATTCACGAACAATCAAGAATCGTGAATCAAGAATGTGAATGACGAATGCGAGCCAAAGATTCGCCGAGTGGGAGTTTTGAGTGTATAGTCACGACGCGACCGCGTGGTCGAAGACCGCATGTGGCTGTGCGCAAAGCGGGTGCTCAGCAGCATGCATGCCACTCGTGATTGAGCGAGCCGCTCAACAGCACAGCACATACATGGCCTTTAGCTGCGCAGCTCCATGCCTTGTGCGGTGGTCAGATGCAAGAGACACAGGAGCACGTATCGCAATCGTGAATCCTTCTAACCATACAGATTTCATACATAGCCGTTGTGGTCTGCAACAGCACGAAGCAGGGGTGGAGGAAGGGGAATGGATGTATGTATGTGGTGCGTATGTATGTGCAGAGGGCATGCTTGCTGCACCGCCATGGAACTTGACGGCATTTCGAGCGCGCATGTCGAGGGCCCGTCGTTTCGCTGCGTGCGCTGCTGCGTACACGGCGCTGGCTCAGCTCTCGAGTCAGCGAGCGCACTTTTGAATCTGGTCGGAGCATCCAGACGGGCACCGGTACGACAATCCGCTGCAAGAACCGCGTGGTCCACCATTCAGCAAGAACTCTGCACGCAGTTTGGCTTCCAAAGGATGTTCTTTCAGAGCTCGCTCTCCCAGAAGAGACGATGTGACTGCCGTGTTGCAGCATGCTCAGACTCGCTTGCTGCGACATCGCATTGGACAGCTGAGAGCGCGCCTCCGAGCACGTCGAGTCATGTCACGTCACCCTCCGATTCGAGTCATCTCTTCACACGCACTGATCAAAACTCGTATTTACCTAGGGTCGACTGTCCTTTAAAAGCTGAGGCCATCTTTTGCCGTCGTTTGAAACGCTTTCCACCACCCTTGACCATCTTTGTGCCCCGCAAAACGGTCAGCAAGCCGGCCGCATTCGATCAGACGTGCGCCCGTACATTATGGCGTCCACACGTTGCAATACTGTTCTCTCAGAACAAGCAGCTCAACTAGTCATCAACGCTCCAGCGCTGGATCAAATCTTGCCCAACCGCATCTTCGCGCAGTCCGCCGAGACAAGCCTTTCCCCCTCGAGGTCCAAACCGGCTCTCTTGGAGGCATTGGACGTTGAAGCGAACAAGACCAAGACTGCCAACAATGCTGGGGCTTTCGAAAGTACGGGAGATGCGCTTTTGGATCTCTTTAGCAGTTTGACGGATCAAAATCTGCGCGGCCAGGCGCTCGAATCGAAATTGCAAGGAGCTTGGCGCAAAGATGCAGCGTCGACTTTGAGGCTCATCCTTTATGCTCGCAGCATCGCTGCAGGAGCAGGCGATCGAACATTGTTCTTGCGAGCTGCGGCTTGGATGTACGCTGAACATCCAAAGACTTTGTTGGGCTCTCTTTTGCCGCTCCTCGTAGCGCATGCTGGTCTGCCAACCTGCAAAGACTTTGATGCGGGAAATGGCGTCACGGCCAGAGTGGAGAGACCAGCCAGATTGCACGGCAGCTGGAAAGATCCGCTCAATGTTCTCCTGATCGCTACCAAATCGCTCACCACCCATCTGAGCATGGACCAATTGGCCAGCGCAACAAAAGAATTGCCCGAGCGCATATTGAAGCGCAAATGCACTTTGGATGGGACACCGCACAGATTGGCTGGAAAAGGGCGCCGTGCAAGCAACAGCAAGCAGAGCAATGACGAACATCAGATGCTCGCACACGGCGGTGAGCTTGTGCAGCCCGGCCCTACAAGAGCAGAGAAAGCCAAGAGGATGGATGAGCAGAGGAGGCAAGCGGCTGCGGAAGCCAGGCGAAGCGCGGCCAAGCAGGCTTCGAACAAAGTCAGCCAACTTGTGGAGAGCAACGTCCAGTATCGAGCAGTGTACGCGACGGTGGTCAAGATGTTTGTGCGACAGTTGAGGGAGGATGAGGGACGATTGGAGAGGATCGAAGAGGGGGGAGATGCAAGCGAATTGGTCGACCATCTGAGTTACGCTGGCAAGTGGGCGCCGTCTGAAGGAGCCAGTGTGGATAATCAGACCGGCTTGGCGCAAATTTTGGCCAAGGCTTTGTACCCGGATCAACGCGACGCGCGTGCCAAGTACAGGGCCTTGCTGTGCAAGCTTCGCAGGGCGAAAAAGGTTCCCGAGCAGGGCATGGTTCAAGGTTCGTGGGAGGGCAAGATCAGCTTGCCTCACATCCCCGCTCGAGCTTTCAACATTTCGCAAGCATTGCTCTGGAAACACGCCTTGTCGGATATGATACGGTATGCGCAGAGGGTGGCGGAAGGAAAGAGCACCGTTGCAGGAGCTAGCGAAACGCCTGGAGAATTGGTCTTGGCTTTGCATCAAGCTCGTGCCCTGGATGCGCGCATCCGCCAACACTTGGACCAATTGCCAACGCAAGAACGCACACAAGTCAGAGATCAAATCCTAGCTTCCCAAACGCAATTGTTGGATGGACAGTGGGAGAATATGAAGCGGACATTGGTGGCAGAGATGGAGGCGACGCGGCAAGCAAAGGTCGCTGCTGGAACAATCGACGGCGATGCAGACAAGACGATGAGGCCGATGATTCCAGTGTGCGATCTGAGCGGTAGCATGGAGGGACCCCAGCTCAACACTAGAGGCTTGACTCCCATCCACATTTCCACTGGTCTGTCCCTCTTGCTCTCCGAGTTGGCGCCGGAGCCGTGGAGCGGAAGGGTGATTTCCTTCAGCGAAGAGCCAAAGGTGGTCAGATTGCCAGAAGCAAAGTCCTTTAGCAGAACTGTGGAGCACTTCCAGAAACATTTGCCCATGGGCTACAGCACCAACTTTGAAGCCGTCTTTGATCTCTTGTTGAACTTGGCGCAGCAAAGCAAGATGGCCAAGCAAGAGACGGGCGAGTTGATCTGCGTTGCATTCACCGATATGCACTTCGACGCCGCCTGCGACTCGTCATTCGGAATGAGCGGTACTGCTACCACCAGTCCAGCAACCATCTTCTCCGTTATCAAGCGCAAGTGGGACCAGGCGGGCTACGATCTGCCCCACTTGATCTTTTGGAACTTGTCCGCCGGCAAAGCGGCCATGCCCGTCGAATCGGACACTCCTCACGTGACAATGATGAGCGGATGGAGCAGCGCGCAGATGAAGGCCCTTTTGGACGGCTCACTTTTCGATGATAGTCTCGAGCTCGATTTGGATGCGGAAAAGCAGATCGAAGATGATGGGTTTGTCGACCTCGGTGGGGAGGAAAAGGACGAAACGACGGAATTGAAGACGCCGAGCAAGAAAAGTGAAGGTCTCACACCTAGAGAAAGCATGGAAAAGGTCCTGTTTGCTAGCGTCTTCGACGGCATGGAGATTCTCGATTAGAGGACGAGTGAAGGCAACGATGTCGCGCGAAGGTATCCGAGCGGTTTCGCGAGCTGCGAGACCCAATTCAGTATGAGTTTGTATTTGTATCGTATTTCGTATTTAGCTCCCTTCCTCGAATGTAGATTATGTGATCCGGACAACCACACTGTGAGCGGGTGTGCGAGAACCAATTGATTGCAGGCAAGCTGGCTCGGAGCCAAAGGTATCTAGTGAAGCAGAAATGACAGCTGGCCGGACAACATCACATAATGGTGCACTGTGGGCCAGGTTTAGCGACGCGTGGTGCACGCCAGATGTCAGCTCAACTTGCCTGTGCCGCCAGTCTCATCATATCCGCTGCACTCACTTGCTCCTCGTCTCCGCTGGCATGCTTTGCGAGATCTCTTGTGAAGCTGCCAACGTCGCGAGATCCCTGGCCTTGAAGATTCACGACAAGCACACCAGAATTGTGGGGGTCGAGGTGGGCTGCAAGGTTGTAGCTGCGGCGGGAACAGTATGCAGATGTCAGCCTCTGCTCCAGCTTCAACCTACCTGATCGACTCACTCTCGCATGAGCTTTTCGACGGCGGGCTGCGCGAGAAGGACAACCGTGCAGGACACTCTGCTCAGTCATGCTTCACATTTGCAAGTGTTGTCAAGCACGTACCTTGATGTGGGCTACGTGATCCTTTGAGTGAAGACCTTTGCCAACGATGATGCGCAGCTCGGGCTTGCCAGCCTGCTGGGCTTGTTGCACCGCCTGCTCTGTCCTCTTGATGGCCTCTGCAGTGTACAGTCCATGCAAGTCTTGTGACAGCAATGTATGCGCTTGATACGTCAGAGCCGAGCTACGGAAAGCTTCTGCAAGAGCAATGTCGGTTTTCGCAGCCGACACCACTCACCAACCTCATCGGGTCCGCTGTCCTCATTATTAGCCTTGTAAATCCAGTCGGAAGCTTCTTGGTTCAGCTGCTCCATACGTTCCTTGTGCATCTTGCCTTCATTGCTCAGCTCCTTTGCGCGCGCTCCATCGCCAGATGAGTAGGCCTTGTGAGAAGCGTCAAAGCACTTTGCCATCTGATCACCTTCCGACCGAGCCTGATTACGCAGTTGCTGGTAGCGCTCGTTAGCTTGGTTCACCTGATACGGAGAGATGCATGAGTGGTGAGCACGTTGGCAGGTATCAGAGGCGCACATACGATGACGCAAACGCCCTCGGACTGACTTGGTTATCATCGTACTTTCCATGATGAGGCTTGACACCCGGAGGATGACTCTGGGGCATACCATGGCCAGTCTGCTGAGGCGGAGACCATGGCTGCTGCTGTTGCTGCGGTGCTTGCGCATATCCTCCTCCATAGCCGCCTTGTTGTTGCTGTTGCCATGGCTGTTGTTGCGGGGCGTAACCCTGCCCGCCTTGCTGCTGATTCTGCTTGTTCTTGTTCGAGAAGGCCTTGAACAACTTTTTGCCGTACTTGATGATCTGCCCCGCCGAAGAGAAGAGCGACGCATGGCGTTGAGCCAGGCACAAGCTTCACAAAGAGATGTTACGTCTTACTCACCTGGCCCTGCGATGGGGAAGCAGTCATGACGCGGGGCATAATCAAACACGGCTCAGCGATTGATGACTTCGCATGTGAACCCACCCGTTCCCTCTTCCGCCCATCGATCGCTGTCTTACCTTGTGGGCCTTGAGGAAGCGGATCACGTCATCCATCTTGCAGCGCCTCCTCCAAGTGAGCCAGGAAACCGAATCTGGGATGCGGTATGAGGATCGCGGCAAAGGATGATGGATGTGTGTCCTACGCAGAGGCAGATGTCTCTCGACGAGGTGTTAAGAGCTATGGAGGGCATGCGGTGTTTTCATCATACACGGTGTGCATTCAGCAGTCGCAGCGCGCACAGTGCATCCGAGCAGCGCGAGTAGAGAGAGCACGCAGCGGCCGGATGAATTCCGCGCGCCGGGGACCTTATTTCGTGCGAGAAGAGAGCCAGAGTGTGCAGACGCTAAGCAGAATCCAGAAATTTGGACCTCGCCTCGCTTGAAGGCGAGCCGAGGAAGGAAGCCTCGCTCACGGCTTTCTCATGCAATTCATCTCTCACATCCTGAGCGTCACATATCTTCCTTTACAAAGAAGAAGCCGAGTGCAGGTCGAGTCTGCGAGTGGTCAGCGCTCAGCTCCTCCCACCCAGCATCACCTGCGCAAAAGTCCCTCAAACCACGCGTCCCAAAGACCACCATGCCACCCCGATCCTCTTTCTCCGCTGGCGCACCTGGCCCATCGACACAAGGAGGCATCAAGCCGAAACGGAGAAGAGTGCGGAAATCCCGAAGAACTGCAGCTTCCGACTCTAGCAGTAGCAGCAGCAGCGACAGTAGCTCTGATGGCAGCGGTGACGAGGGCGCACCCTCTGCGAAGGCGACGGATTTGAGCGCCACAAAGAAAGGGGATTTGGACTCTAGCACGGAATCTAGTTCCGGCTCCAGCTCCAGCTCCAGCTCTGGTTCGCGCTCCGAAACCGACAATGGCAACCGTCGACGAAATCGGAGAAGCGAAAAGGGAAGCGACGGTGCCGGCGCAGCAACAAAGCCGAATTGGGGCCTGATGAATGCGCCATCAGAAGCTGTTCGTGCGTCTGTTGACGATGGTCAAGAAGCGCGTCGGCAAAGATTTTCGCCCGACCCTTCCGACGTGGAGGCCCAATCGGAGCTATCAAGCGATTCCTCCTGCCGCCTTGATTCAGACAAAGGCACCAACAAATCTTCTCGCCTCGAGAGCAAATTGAGCAAAGTCCCCGATGCACGTCTTCCAAGCTTGATGGAGGCGCAACAGACCAAAGTCGAAGCAGTTCAGCGCGCGAAGCAGAAATCTGCGCTCGACTCTCAAAGACAAGAAGAGGAGAAGAGGGGAAAACCGATGGATTCCGAGGAGAGGAGAAACGCTTTCAGGACGTTTTGGTTGGCTGCCGTGACGGAAGAGTTTGGCGAAGAGCTGGAGAATATGAGAAAGGTGAGTAGAGCGCAGTCTAGAGGACGGGGGGTTCAATCAGCGCTGCGGGACATGCAGTGCGAGAAAGTTTGTCGGAGAAGCAATGAGGAGCCGTTGGCTGCTTTGCAAATCGGAATCGACGGAGTGTATGCGCTTACAAGCCGACTCACGCTGTCCCCTTTGATGACGACGGCAGAGAGATCCTTCCCTTTCCGAAAGTCTTGGCGGCTCGAGGTTGCCTCTGCTCATCGATGCACTCGCTTCAGGATCGGAAATCTTCAGCACCGGTCAACCTCAATCTAGTGCGCATTTGGAGGGCGATAATGCTCTGATGGATGTGGACGAGGTCGGAATGTTACTGCACAAGATCGAATGATAGATTACGCAGTCCTGCTTTCAGTCGACACAAGATTCGATTGCGATCCCCTCGATGCAAAGCTCCTCTTTCTAGTCAATAATTTTGGCGCGATGATCGTGCGTACATTGTGCGGGCGTCTGCGCCGGGAGATGTGGGCGATCATAAGATCTCGAGGAGGATGGCGATACCTTGACCACCGCCAATGCAAGCCGCACCAAGTGCGTACTTTTTGTTGAGCCTCTTTCCATTGTACACCAAGTTGTTGATGATTCTAGCTCCAGAAGCTCCAAGCGGATGTCCGAGGGCGATGGCACCTCCGAATTGATTGGTCTGCTCATTGGGAAGCTCGAGCTCCTTTTGCACAGACAGGAATTGAGCCGCAAAGGCTTCGTTGACCTCGATTGGTCCATCAATCTCTCCGAGGGTCTTGCCGCCGCGTTGAAGGGCAATCTTGATAGCCTCGACAGGCCCGATCTAGAAACAATGAGGCACCACGAGGGGGGACGAGGCAGCGTCAAAATGGCGCAGACTTCATCGCGCAGTGCGCATGGCACCTCGTTTGCTGTGCCCCTGTACTCACACCCATGATGCTAGGCTCGCAAGCGGTGACACCGTAAGAGACAATTCTGGCCAAAGGCTTGAGGTTGTGTTGCTTGATGGCCTCCTCGCTAGCGACAACATTGGCGGCGGCTCCATCGCAGATACCGCTCGCGTTGCCCGCCGTCACTGTTCCGTCCTTCTTGAAGACGGACGGGAGCTTGGCCAGAGACTCGATCGTCGTCTTTCCCCTGGGGTGCTCATCCACGCTGAATGTCTCTGTCGCCTTTGTGCGGTAGAAAGGAAAACGCATCGATCTCAGCTGAGGTGCCTCGCTGACAAAGACGAAGAAGACGCCTAGTTGCACTCACACGCTTGACCTTGACCTCCACAGGAACAATCTCGTCCTTGAATGCGCCGGCCTCTTGAGCGGCTTGCCAGCGTTGCTGACTCTGCAGAGCGAATTGGTCGCACTGCTCGCGCGTAATGCCGTACTTGTTTGCAAGATTCTCGGCGGTGATGCTGAGGGAGGCGCGTACAGGTCAACGAGGCTGCTCCAAAAAGCAGCCAGAATTGGAGGCGCGCGCTTGACTCACCCTAATTTACGGTATCAGTCGAAGTAGAGAAGACGTGCGAAGGGATGGGCAAACGGTAGGATCAGCGGAATGGGCGTGTCAGTCCATGCAGTGCGGAACAAGCTTGATATCGGGCCCGTCTGTGGATGAAGCACTGCCTGTAAAGCTTCCGATGAAACGACCTTCCCGGCACACAGTCACACTCCGACTCACCCATGGGAGTAGGCTGAGGAACCATGTCGGTAAGAGCAGCAGCAAGAGAGTCGACGAGCTTGAGGTCCACTCCGTACTTGCCGCCTCCAAATCGAACGCCGTGGAGTGTGTAAGGAGCGAGACTCATACTCTCCGTTCCACCCGTGAGGACGATGTTGGAGTCACCGCTGTTGACTTCCTGCACGGCATTGATGATGCTCTGGAAGCCAGATCCGCAAAGACGGTTGACCGTGAGTGCGGGCACAGTGACTGGCAGACCAGCATGGTGACCAACGTGTCTGGCCAAGTAAGCAGCAGAGTTGTCGGAAGCGTGCACATTGCCGAAAATGGTAGCGTCGATCGGTGTGCCTTCAGGCAATTGGCTCAAGGCTGCTTTGGAAGCGTGTCCTCCCAATTGTGCGGCTGTGAGCGACGAAAGCTTGCCGCCGAAAGCGCCGAACGGCGTTCGCTTGGCAGCGACAATGTAAGAGGCCGACTGGCGAAGTGTCGTAGCGTGCATTTTCGGAAGCGTTTGGATGGGCGACTGTAGAAAGAGGGCCTTGCGGACTTTGTCGTGATGTGTTTGATGGTGGATCGGACGACAAGGAGGATGATCAGCGTAGCACCGTCGTCATGAAGATTCACTAGAATACTGGTACTCTTCTGCGTCTCCACAATGTGCTGACCCAGAAAGAGCGGCAAGCAGCAAGGCAGCAAGGGGCTCAAATAACCCCCCGCCTTCGATCCCTACTTTTCTCGCTTTCGGGCGAAGCGGAGACATGCGTAGCAGGCGAGCAACACCCCAGCACGCGCCAGGGGTGCGCTCTACAGCCTTTGCGCTTGCGTACGCGGGCATCGCGTACATGCACATGTATGCGCGCACGCGCGCGTCCACGTCCGGTAAGTCGCAAGCCCGATGCCCGAGGCACGGCTCTTTCGCGTGAGAGCAACGCAACGAGTTCACGTGACGTGGGCCAGCCCCAATCTCCAGAGAATCACAACAGAGTCAAAAACTTGATAAACTTTGAATCGACGACGCATAGCACCTCAACATACTCCATCGCATGACGAGCGCTTGCATGCTATCTCGTCAAAGGCTGCCAGTCATCATTTGGTCTTTCACTGGCACATCTCTAGCCATGAGAGGTTATGCAGAGGTTTGGTTGTCATTTCTAGGCGGTATGTCTAGTCTCTCGAGCCAAGACGGAGAAGCAGCTCTCCAGTATGTCTGCAGCAGTATCGATCTGCTCCAGCGATACCGTCAAGCTTGGGACTATCCTAACGGCATCCGATCCAGCGCTGAGCACAATCAAGCCGCGCTCTCTGGCCAGCTTGACGATCTTGCCAGCATGAGAAGGGTCCTTTGTGCTCAGACCGATCAACAAGCCTTTGCCTCTGGGTGACTCATACGCGCCTTCTTCGTGTCGGATCAATTCAGGAAAGAGGTCTCGCAATTCAGTCAATCGCGCCTTGAGCTTGTCCGAAGCTGCTTTGGCACTCTTGACCAGGGCAGGGTCAGACAGCCGCCCCAGAACGTGATGGGCTATCCTGCTGGTCAGAGGACCCCCTCCAAATGTTGTTCCGTGATCCCCAACTGTGATGCTATCGGCAACCGACTTGCGCATCAGAACCGCTCCGATGGGGAAGCCGTTTGCAAGAGGTTTGGCCATGGTGATGAGATCCGGATGAGCGTTGGTCGGAAAGTTGGAGTGACACCACAAGGATCCGGATCTCCAAAGACCGCATTGGATCTCGTCAAAGATGAGCAGAGCCTTGACTTCGTCGCATCTCTTTCTGAGAGCTTGGAGCCACTCGAGCTTGGCGGGAAAGATGCCTCCCTCGCCTTGCACCGGCTCCACAATGACGCCTGCCGTCTTATCGTCGATGAGGTCGTGAAGACCTTCAAAGGAGTTGTAGTGACCCGTCTTTACATCCCCGAGAAGGGGGGCGAATGGTGCTTGGTATTTTGGGTTGGGCGTCATGGCTAGCGCTCCCATCGTGCGACCATGAAAGGCGTTGTTGAAGCTGACTAGACCGGATTTGGTTGCCGGCTTGCCAGAATGCGACATGCCATGCTTTCGAGCGAATTTGAGGGCGGCTACATATGACAAGTGGAGCAGCGTTAAGCAGCGCCGAGAGGATAACAAAGTCCGGTTGAAGTGTTGGATAGCGGCCCGCGAGAACTCACCTTCGTTCGCCTCCGTACCGCTATTGGCCAAAAACACCTTCAAGTCTCCCTCTGAGCTTCCTCGCTCGATGCCCAGTCCGCCATGTTCTCTCGTCAGCTTGACCATCCTATCCGCCAGCTCCCCACTCCACTCGTTGTGATACAAGTTGCTGCTGTGGACCAATCTATTAGCTTGATCGGCCGCAACCTCGGCGATTTGCGCATCAGCATGGCCCAAAGAGTTGACAGCGATGCCGGAACTAAAGTCCAGATAATGCCGCTCTCCTCTTCCCGAGGGGGAGCCGGCATCATCCGATGCTGCCCACAAATCGAGACCTTTTCCACGAGTGAGCAAGACGGAGGGGCGAGAGTAGGTTGCTAGTGTGGACGCATCGAAGCGCTTCAGCGTCGCTCCAACCGAGTTGGGAGAGTCGAATTCTGGTAGATCGTCTGGATGTGTAACTTTGAGGTACCGCTGGCATGGTTCCTGCGCACGCGCAGCCGGCGCAGATGGGCGAGTATGTAACTGATGTGAGCTAGGCTTGGTCTGCACTTGCTGACTGGCGGGCAGAAAGCGCACACTCACGCGCGGTGATGAGGCGTAGGACCTCTGCGCAAGGACACCCGCTCTCGACCACCTTCCAAGCTGTCCAGCCTGTTTTGTAAAACGCCCCAACATCCTGGAGCTTGTCGGAAGAAGCGGAAGTCGGAGATGAATGGAAAGAGGGTGACGTGCAAGTCAGGTCAAGCGCTACCACAATGGCGGAGGAAGATGTCTAGCTTGTGCTCCAAAGTGAGAGTCCTTGTGATGACATGGTGAGCAGGAGAGACATGTTGGGAAGATGTACCATTTCGAACGATCTACCATGCAACGATTGGATGATCAGCCACCAGCATCTCTTGTCTTGTACGAGTCATAGCAGCGCAGCGCAAGATCTTCTCGTCACGATCGTTGAGAATTCAAATTCGAATCCTCATGCCTGAAACTCTTAATGATTAATGGAGAATCTGATTCAAAATACACATGCACATCAAATGTCGACCAATCACGACTTGTATTCAAGATTCAAGACTTCGCCGCGCGCAGACGAAGGCAAGCTATAGAGGCGGTGCCGAAGCTTCGGCGTGGCTTCCTAAATCCAGAGTTTGAGCTGGTCGCACGCGGCAGCGCAGCAAGCTCACAACAAACCTAGGGCTCGGGGTTCTTCCAGGGCCGAGGGCGTTTGCCTTGCGGCTTGTGCAGGCTAGGCCCACTTGCAACTTGTTTCGCGACTGCTCGATTTGCACACAGCTCGTGTCCATCTCTTCCTCCTCAAAACCACGTGAATGTGAGCTTTGAGTCAGCCCGACGACTACGGGGACCTTGACTGCTGATGTAGCTTGGGGAGGCACGACTGACTCGTGATTGCAGGAATTGCGGTCTACGGACAACAGATCTGGCAACGCGTCACGAGTCACACTCATCACACTCTGTCACAGCATCAGTTAGCTGTAAGCCCGGATCATACCGAAATAAAGTCATAGTAGTAAGATCAAGAATCTTGCTGATGGGCCTTATCTCTCGCACGAAAAGAAATGGAGCAAATACAAAACTCCACATCGCGCAAATGTCGGCATGCACAAATCGTGAAGAATCGTGAAATTCTTGAATGTGGCTGTCTCGGCTGTGCGCGGGATGTTTGCGAAGATGCGCGCGCGATCGAATTTCGTCCGCCTTATATTGCTTCAGCCGCCGCCGTCGCCGCGCGCGCCCCCATACGTGGTGCACGCCGCGGTGGTCTGCGCGCGATCTCATCTGCAGCAGCTGCATGCATGGCAGCAGCAGCAGTTTCAGTTGACTGTCGCCACGCAGCGGTGGCCCGTTATTGCTTCGCTTCGCGCGTGCGCCAAGGCACATCAAACACGCGCAAATAATTTTTGACCAGGCGCTTTTTTATTTGGAAGGAAGTCGCTGCTGCTGTGAATTTAGATGCACAGCAGGAGGGCGTGCGTGACTCGGCTGCTGCAACAATGGGCACGATCGAGTGCCTCTGCTGCAGCTGCTTGCTGCATGCAGATAAAGGACGGATCGATCATCCATCCAGCATTCATCCACTTTTGCCTACAGCATCGACCAGCCTCTTGCTATCTTGTGCGGGTGAATATCTGTATAGTCGTGAGTGCAACACTCTGCCTCCGCTCCCTTTCTCCACCACACCAGCTGACAAGATCAGTGCATAGCTCAGTCTGCTGTACATATCCATCAACAATCCCGTATCGATCATGTCTGCCAAAGGAAAGGTACTACTAGCCTACTCTGGCGGTCTGGGTGAGTAATGTCTCCTAGCTATTCACATCGCGCCATAGTCGCCAATCGCCAAGTCGATGTGCGCAGCCCGCTCATTCAGGTGTTTCTTTCTTGCAGATACCTCTACCATCCTGGCTTGGCTCATCGACGAAGGCTACGATGTCGTCGCCTTCATGGCCAACGTCGGACAGATCGAGGACTTTGAAGCAGCTCGCACAAAGGCGATCAAGTGTGGAGCCAAGGACTTCATTCTCGAAGTGAGTGATGGGGACAGAGGGTATTCAAGGAAATCTTGCATTGATCATCCCGAAACGAATGCTAATCGTGCTCCTACCTCGCTCGATTCGCCTCCTCCACCACCCTCCAGGACATGCGCCGCGAATTTATCGAAGAGCTGATCTACCCTGCAGTGCAGGTCAATGCGATCTACGAGGATGTATACCTCCTCGGTACATCCTTGGCTCGTCCAGTCATTGCTCGAGGAATGATCGAGAGCGCTGCCAAGACGGGATGCCAATACGTGGCTCATGGCTGTACGGGCAAGGGCAACGATCAGGTCAGATTCGAGCTGGCCTTTTACGGCCTCAAGCCCGACATCAAGGTCATTGCACCCTGGCGCGATGCCTGTGAGTATAGCCCAAGAAAGGCTTTTCGACGCACGGAGTCACTAGCATACACTGACTTCCATCCCTCACCTTGCTACGCCCGCAGCTTTCTACAACCGCTTTGCTGGACGTTCGGCGCTCTTGGAGTATGCCGCGTCCAAGGGCATCCCGGTCGCCCAGACCAAGGCGAAGCCCTGGTCTACTGGTGAGCTGCTGATCAGGGTCGCTGCAGGAACCCTGCGCCTGCTTACACGAGCTTCTTTGCCCCTCCTCGCAGATGAGAATGCGATGCACTGCTCCTACGAAGCAGGTGTTTTGGAGGACCCCGTGCGTGTGGATTGATAAAAGAAAGTGTGCTGTGACATCCAACGCTGATTGCTCTCCAAGTCATTTGACGCATGTGCGACAGGACCACACGCCTCCTGAGGACATGTGGGGCTTGATCAAGTCTCCCGAAAAGGCACCGGACACGCCTGAGCAAATCACCATCACATTCACCAAGGGTCTGCCCACCAAGGTCAAGATTCAAAGCAGCGGAAAGGAAGTGACGGACTCTGTCGAGGTCTTTGACACTTTGAACCTATTGGCTAGGGAACACGGTATCGGCAGAGTGGACATTGTCGAGGTGCGGCGACCAGGATCTGAAGGTTGGGACAGCAATGTCGATTGAACTGACGCGCGCCTTTCGAAATTCCTCTTCACCTTTTTCCAGAACCGACTCCTGGGTCTCAAGTCCCGAGGTTGCTACGAGACTCCAGCTGGAACGATCTTGCGCACCGCGCACATCTCTCTGGAAGGTCTGGTGATGGACAAGGAGCTCCGCAAGCTTCGCGACTCGTTCTTGTCTCGCAGCTTCAGCCAGCAGCTGTACGACGGGCTCTACTACTCTCCCGAGTGCGAATTCGTCCGATCTGCCATTCCCGCATCACAAAAGAACGTGAATGGAGATGTGAGGCTGAAGCTTTACAAGGGCAACACGATCGTCGAGGGCAGATCTTCTAGCGAGACGCTGTACAGCGCCGATGCGGCTAGCATGGACGTCGTCGAGGGCTTCGACGTCGAAGCTGCTGGTGGATTCATCGCTACTTCTTCCATCCGACTCAAGGCGCACGGCCTCAATCAGACTAGAAAGGGCCTCGGAGGCGTGGACAAGCAATCCGCACATGCCGGAGGAAAGTAGGCGGCAAAAAACAGTAATTTGGGAGCGCGAAGCACCCTCGCTCAGGAATCACTGCAACGCGAATGGCGAGTCACGCGAGTTTGAATAACAACTGCTGAAATGTGAATGCTGCATAGCGCGGTGAGACGTGCAGAGTGGCAATTTTGGCTTCGTCGATATTATACATAGGTAGTGGTAGGGTGACGTCTCGATATTTGCACCGGTTCAAGCGAGAGTAGCAGATCCTGAGGAGCCATGCGACATTTCCTCCGAGGCAGTTTTGACGGAGCCGTTTCCTTGCACCTTGCTCCTCTGTGTGCCATCTCGACTCGGCTTGGAGCTTGATGACCCGTCTGTGCCGCTAGGAGCCAGAGTGGCGAGCGGCGAAGAGACAGGAGATGCCGTGGAGCTCCAATTGTGCACGATCCTAGGGGAGAGAGCTCTTCTGTACCTGTCCAGCTGTGTTCCTTTAAGAGTCTCGAAGCCCGTAGGCGCTCTCCAGTACTCTCCGCCAATACGATTTGAATCTATGGACGGATTGCCGGATCCACTCGTCCTCGGCGACCCGGACGAGTCGACGCGCTGATAGAAGAGCAAAAAGGGATTCTGGGAGAGCGCTTCGTTCAGATGACAAGCTTCCACCGAGGAATCTGATATTCGGAGCCATTCCAGATCATCCGAAGAGTGCTGAGAGGAAGACCAGGAAGCAGTCTCTGCGTCTAGCCTTGAAGCAGAACTCATGGTATTTCGCCTTGGGCGTCGTCGATAAGAGACGTAGTGCCCGAACGAATGACCGCCGTAGTGAACAACTAGCGATTCCAGTCTGTACACTGTCCTCGGCGCTTCGTAAGCCTCTAAGCCTTGCCGAGCTTTCCTCCTCGTGTGCCCATTCGCAGCGCTGCCATTCGTGTAAGCAGCTCCATTCACGTTCCGTGACGCATCCTCTGCGTCGTGCATACCATTCAGGTATTCTGCACGTTCCGAAATGGGCTCGTCGGCTTGGACGCTCAGCTTGCCTCCCGTGGTGAAATCGCCCACATCAAGATATTCGGGGAAGCGCACCAGAGCATCATTCTTGCTCGCCCCGAAGGAAGATGCCGAGTAGCTAGAGCGGTTGAGATGTATGGCTAGCACAGGAGGTGGACGGGCTAGCATGACTTGCTTCGTAGCAGCTCTCGACATGGTCCGCTCGAGTCTGATCTCTGCACCCGAGCTCGTGGCTGCTTGCGGTTCAGTGCCCATCGACGGGTCCAAGAACTCATCTTCGTGCTCTCCACAGAGTATTGCGCTCTCCACTCGAGCCGCCTGCTTCTTCGCTTCTTTGAGCCTCCTCTTTTTTGCTGCATTCATGGGCGCCTTTTTTCCGGCTCTGCTGCTCTCTGCAACAGCTTCCAGCTTGGCAACTTCTTCCGCCAGCCTGAATTTGGTAGCGCGCAGTGTGCATCGCCAGCAGATCCAGTCGACGTGTTCAATCTCTGTCCAATTAGCTAGACAGTCTCTCAAGTTGCAGGCGCGATACGTGGGTACGGTCAAGTTGAGTTCTTCGAACGTCGTGTGCCTGACTGCCTCGACGTATCCGCATGTGTAGCACGCAGTCCTTTGAGCAGCCAGCCCCTGAAAGGGGTTGGGCTGAGATGGTCCTGCTTCTGCCTCTTCTCGGATCAAGCCTGTCGCATGACCGTTGTGTTGACCCGAAGCGAACGCTCTGAGAGTAGGTGCCATGAGACCTTTCAAGCCTCTCGTACGATCCTGAATTTGGACTGCTTGTTCTTGCTCTATTGACTTGGCCTCGTCCGAAAGAGCAGACAGGAGCAGAACGAACAATTCGTGCGCATCCTGCTGAGCGTGCGCGCCTACAAGTGCTCGGACGGCCATCGAGTCAGGCGCCGACTGAAGAGCCGAGGTGAGCTGATCGGGTAGAAGAGCTCGCCTTTGTTTCAAGGGAGTGTTGAGCTCTGCGGAAAGTGACACACGCAACGCAAAGTTTCATGTCAGTCGGCGCCGGGCGCCCACGCATACGGACAACCTCACCCGCAATGAGTTCCTTGAGCGCATCAGCAACCGGTGTAGGCACGTCCCATCTTTCGGCCTCGTTCTCCAAGTGCTCCAACCAGTCACCCAATACAGGGACCGAGGCCAAGCTTTGAAGCACACTGTTGAAGTAGCAAGTGTTTCCAGTGTTCCTTAGACCCGGATGATGCTCCCCTTCAGGCAGTTGCGGGGCTTTCTTGAAAGAGCTAGAAGCTGCACCATTGAGTGAGCCCGCTGAGGGCACAATTGTAGCTCTTCTGAGTGCGCCGTGCCGCCGAGCTCCATCGGTGCTCGTGGAGCCTGAACTTCTGGAAGTTCGACCGAGGGACAGATGAAAGCTGCTTCCAAGCCCCACAGAGGGCACGCACGCCGCCATTCCGCCGGCCATGCTCTGAACCAGGTGGGTGAGGTCTTCAAGCAGCTGCCCAAGTGTGTCTGCCAGCGGACCCAACAAAGACCGGGCCAGCTCTGCCAAAGCAGCGGTCCAGGAGATGCCGTGGCTGCTCGAATTGTAAAGGTAGACAGAAACAATGGAAAGAGCTATGAGGAGCAAGGAGCAGACGATGCCTTGCTGCAATACAGTAAGAGGCCAGGGAAATATGAAAAGCAGTGGGAACCTCTGAGGATCTTCAAGCTGTGGCAGGATGAATCCAGTTGAGGTTATTGTGGGTGAAAAGTGCGCAACAAGTCGGTCCATCTCGTGTTGACTGGCCGCTTTTCAAGCCGCTGGCAAAGGCAGCATCGGATTGTCGAGTGCAGCAGGCTCGAAAGGTGGGACAGTGGCGCACGAGTAGGCCCTGATGTAGCAGCGCTATAGCTGGCGTACTCTCGCGTTCTCGTCCACTTCTCCGCTATCCTCAAGCAAGACAAGATGAATCCATCCTCGCACAGTGGTGGTGCAGTACGGTGCGGCAGGTGCAGAAGGAGCAGAATCGGATTGGACAAAGGGGTTGGACGATGAGCTGGCGAAAAGGATGACGCATACAGCATGCGCGTGGACGTGATGGGTGATGCAACGAGAGTCGTGAGACACGCTCCTCATTCACGATTGAAATTTATTAATTGGATCAGCAGCAGCAGCAGCAGCAGCAGCAGGTCATTTGCAAAGCGCAAATCACGAATTCAAGTCGTTGCGAGTATCGTGATTTGAAGATGCACCGTCGGTTAGGTCCGTATACTCACGGCTGTATGTATACCTGTAAAGCGAATCTGTGAGTCTTTTCAGTTGTGCCTTGCCGCCCTAATCAAAAATTTGTAACGCGAGGTTGTGCGCGAAAGAAAAATTCGCCGCTGACGACTGTGCACGCGCGCGCGTGCAACGCGCGACGAAATCAACCGCCGCCGCCGCCGCTTGCGCACGCGCACGCGCTGCGCATGTTTTGTCGAGACGCGCGAAAAGATTCACAACAATCTTTTCGGTTCTCATTTGATTGAGTGTGAGCATGCACGAATTCGAGACCTGCACGTTCCTTCCTGACCGTAGCATCACCGCCAGGAAAGCACACACACCGCTGCTGCCACCATACGCCGCCCATGCCCTTGTTCATCAGCCCTTGATTACATTGCTCCTCCTATGGTCACGCCTCCACGCCAGCACACCCTGATGAGCAAATCAGCCATCAGTCGCTGATCGGACATGCGGTAAGCGGTAGAATATATGCGCTGTACTTTGTCCTTACCTTTCAGATTCGGGTTGGTCGATCAGTCACTCGACCCGCATCGGCAAGTGGATTCACACAGGTAGGTCAAGATCCTTTACCTCGTTCCGCAATCCAATCACCACACGCATGCTGCTATATTCATCACGTTGCTCGATGACTTCTGTTCATCACATGGGCAATCGGCTGAGGGAAAGGCAGCAAAGATCAATCGAACAGGATTTCGTTCTCAACCAAGACTTTTTCCTTGGTGCTTCTGATACATATTACGCGTCTCTTTCGTACTGCTCAACAAGGGACGCGCAAGAAAGGAAGCCGACATCGAATTTTATCGTGCTACTCGTGGATGGCGGCGAGTGGCGTCGAAATGTTGCTCGGACGCTGGTGCAACTTCGTCGCTGACACACACCAAGGTGGCAGGGTTTATCGAGCCGTGTTTCGCCCATGTTCGACGCCGTCTCTCGTCGTCCACGAAGCATTGGAAGGTTGCGCATGGGCTGTCGATGTCCCCATGTGAGGCAGTCGGCGAGCTCGACGAGTTCATTCTCGCAGTTCTGTAGCTGCTGAGCAGCGTCCAGAGACGGTCAAAGGACCGCATTGCAGCTGCGATGGGGAGATGCTCATCAAGAGCTTTTTTTCACCATCGATCTTTTGCTGTAGGGAAAGTCCCCGGACAAGCGATCTCTTTCCAAGAAGCAGTTTTCTCATTTGGACACGATCCTCCTCTCGAGCTTTGTCTTTTGTGCCTTTGCAATCCCCATATCGGACAACTGCCCACGACGTTTACAATGGGGCATGGAAGCGGGGTCATGATGGCTCTCGCGTTTGCGACCTCCACGCTCTCGACTTGCACCACTATCCACTCGTCTCATCGGAGAGCGGCCAGTGCCGTAATGCGCACGGCTCTTGACGCGGTTCATGGTGCGAGCTGGGAGCGGGGAGGTCGCGGCGTGAATATGGGTCGATCTTTAGCTGGTGTCACCTGTCGTGCCGATCGGCATGCGAGAGCACGTCAAGAAAGACACGGGAGGATCCGTTCCGAAGCAGGTCGGCCTTCGTTAGTTCTCGTTGCTTCGGCAACGGGAACGGTTCTGGTGATCGATGCGCCGCTCTGCTGGGCCCGTGAGGGTGCAGTGGACGTGCCTCGTGAGACCCGGATTAGAATGGGCCCGTCCTGGTGGCTTTGGGTACCTCCGAAGTGTCTGCGGCTTTGTTTCTGGCCCACATAGGAGCCTGTCCCGAAGAGAGCGCATCCCTTCTCTTTGCCAAGCCCGCGAAGATGCACACGGAGCGGTAAAAGAGCGTGTCCTACAGAAAGGGCTGGCATATTTCCCTTCGTCATGAGCATCCTGTGCGAGTGTGGCAAAATGGCAAAGAGGATGCGCGAGGCTTTGGAACGTGGTGTTGCCAGCAAAGCGAAGGGGGTTCTTTGAACGCATAACGCAGCACAAGTTGACAAGTCGTAGGACACGACCTGAACAAAAATCCCACCATGTTCCTCCAATGGGACACAGCCCAGGAAACTCTTCGAAACGATTCAAAGAGTCGCAACGTTTGTCATAACGTCTCTAGCGAGATGTTGATAGTTATGCGGTCATGTCCCTCTGCAGGAGGGTCATAACTCAACGGGGCTCACTCTTGACTTGTTCGTCTCTGGACTCCTTGCTCGAGGCGATGCTTTTCGTGTATTGCAAGCTGCGCAATGATCTCGTAGATAGCATCCACATCCATTCCAGACTCCAGACTCGAGACCTGCTCACTCTCTCCAATAAACATCCAAACTCTGACTACATCTTCGTGCTTGTCTGATTCGTCACCAACTTTCGCCTAACGGTCGACTGCTACGTGCTGGATACCCAGCATGCGGAGCTGCAACTCAAGATCATGACTGATCTGAACTATTTGCGACCTCAACAATTGATGAAGTTGAATGCCGAGCTGTGCATGCTGGCATAGTCCGACAGGGATTGGCTTGTGGTGCAGAGCAGTTGGCGGACACTTCAAAGAGAGTTTGGAGCCTGATGAGTCGAGCCTGAACCACACAAGATCAGTCACGTGATACTTTTCTTCGGCACGCATCGCCAGGGTTACGACCAGTCAAGAGTCGCGAGTCGCTACTCTTTCGCTTCGTCCTGCTTCTTTCAAATGTGACCCTGCTTACTATACACCACAACCGTACCGTACCGTGACCAAGCACTATCATTGCCGCCACGAGTCTTGTCAGCCCGACCCCTTTCACACGACGTCTAACGCCATCCCACCGTCGTGATCCGGAAGCAGCAGCTTCATTCCACGCTGTACGCCCCCGCTAGCCCAGCGGAGCACGTCCAAAAGAGAAAGGTCCCAAACGAAAAAGGAGAGCAATCCGCTTTCGATCGGCGTTCACCATGGCGGCCAAAGCCAGGGCGAGAGTGCTGATCACTCGCTTGATGTCCACTGCGGGAACGGGATACTATTACACTACCAAGAGGTTGCGCGTAGCTGATAAATTGGCAAAGATGAAGTATGATCCTGTTGGTGAGTTGTTTTTTTCTACCTTTGCACATTATTGGCTGGTCGGGCTGGCATTGGCGAGTAAGGATGCGAGCGAAATCATGAGGAGCGTTGAATGGTGTTGGTCAAGGTATTCAGAGGGCGAGAAGCGCAGGCCTGGACTGTGCTGGGGCCGGGCTTTTTGGAAGGAACAGGAGGAAGCTTGGTCTGCACCGGACCTGATCACCACTTGCCGAAAGTCTCGCGACGTTTCGGCTTCGCTCTTCGTCAAAGATTGCTGAAAGCGCCCTTTCTCTGCTCATGCTGGCTGCTCTTCCAGTCAAGAGGCACGTCCTCTTCAAGGAAGTCAAAAAGTAATCGCATCCCAACACAACTTTTGGCCCAACGTCATCAATCCGTTCACCATCCGGCCAGGTGTTCAAAAGTTGAAATCCGAGCACGCGTGTCTCGCCGAATGTGTACTCGATGCAGCTTTCCACGTCATGTAGGAGGTGAAAGCGGGCATGGAGGGGCCAACGAAGCACGCAGATGACCATGCGAAGGGCGACGAAAAGGGGAGGAGGGGGCAAAAGAATCACGATTTCGACGTTCGCCAACTTTTTCTTGGTGGAAAAGGCATGGCGGAAATTTGTTGAGGGGGGGTGGGGAATTGCTGCTGTTTATGGAGTTCGCACACGTGGCTCTAGACAATCAGAGGAAAATGTACAAATCGAATCTTGTGCTCCATACTTGACTACAACGTGGGATTGTGCGCTCGACAAGGGAATCTAGCGGGGAACATCCCGATCGGTGCGTGTGCCGTGCGGCCAACTGCGCCTGGGCGGCGCTTGAGCACCACCGCAAGGGTCGTGCGTGCCCGCCCCCCTTTATCCTCCACGCGAGGCAGCGGGCGGCTCTGTTTGACATCGCTGTCAGATTTGCGCAGTGAAAGTCCGGCGCTGAGCTCCTGACGGAAAAATCAGAGGTCTGTTTCGACATTGTCATGGAACCAATCTCTGCCCCCCCGACTTCAGAGCGCCAGCGCACGAATCACGCATCACGACCCGTTCGCAAAATTTCTACTTCTTTGCTCTCTTTGCCCATCCGTGGCCCGTATGGCATACATGTGGAGTCCTAGCTTCGAGCGATGTGTCCGCGCGCCTAGGCAGCAGGTTGAAGCTCAACCTGGATGAAGGGCACCTCGACGTCGTCCTGCGTCACGACCGAATCGGTCATCGCTTCAAAGACGGACCAGCGGGCATGCTGCAAACATTGCACAAACGCGGATGGGCACCAAGTCAGCTCGAACAGAGGGTCGAAAGCTCTAGCATGTCCGCGTCGGTACTCACAGGTGGCACAGGCTTCTTGCTGACATTCTCCACCAGCTCCTTCATGGACATCTTAAGCCTCTCTTCCCTCTTCTTTGGCGGCATGAATCCAGAGAAAAGCATGGACACACCCGAAGAGAGCATCGTAATCTCCAAGCCATGCTTCTCCTCAAACAGGCGCAAGAACTCTTGCAATGTTGGGTTGCCGGGCACCTTGAATCTGCGAGTGAATGCCGCGGAGTCAGACTTGCGCGAAACTGTTGTTCTGTACGACAGTGAAGTCTCACCTGGACCACAGCGTCCATGTAACTTCTCCGTCGGGACTGGGATACTTGAATTTCGGAGCAGCGATGGGCTCAGAGAACGCCATGAAGGGGAGGGCGATGTTGACGAAAGCTGCCAAGCAAAGCAAGGCTCTGTCAGCACTCAAAAAGCCTGATTTCGACACTTCTACCCAATCCACTGGACGCACCATTCTTGTACTGCTCAATGTCATCCTTGCCATCGATGATTTTGTACAGCTCCAAGCAGACGAGACCTGTGGAGCGTGACATTGGAGAAGTTTGATCAGAGACAAACTCGCTGTGCGCGCATGACGAGTCACTCACCCGTAGCCATTGCGGTCGTAGTCGCGATAGCAGGAATGATCTTTCCAGCAATGCCCTTAGTTTTGTGTCTGTCAGCAGGTTGGATGCCATAATTGATAGCTCTCAGGTTGGACGCGGCAGTGATGTAGTCGATATGATGGTTCGAGTCATCGTCCTTCTCAAAATCGACCGGCTGCAGTCTGAATCCAGCAAGGCTAGCAGGCGTGGGCAGAGAGCTAGCAATTTCTGTCAAGTCACCTTCTGAGCCTGGTGCGGCAGCAGGCTCAGCGGGCTGAGCAGCTTCTTTCTCGTTCGTTTGAAACTTGACGTTACTCTTGGGCACAAATTCGGGCACTTGGACCTTGCTCAACACCTCTGCAAAGACCTGAGGGTCCGTTGAGCCTTTGAGACCGTAGTTGAAAGCGTGCAGGTTGGCCGCCGCGACAATATACTCGAGGTGGATGGGCTAATGGATTGGGAACAGCGCTCGTTAAGTCAGCGAGCAAAGCGGTCTCTCGGCGCCAAAAATCGGTACTCACGTCCTTGACATCGAAGGTGATGGGCTTGGGAGCACGCTTCGGACCTGACCAAAAAGGCTGACCGCTTGAGGTGACCGCGTCCTCGGGCAAAGAGAACAGAAGTTGCCTGATTGTGTTGCTGTAATTCTCTTCAAACTTCAGCCTTGCCCAAGCGATGCACTGCTCGAAAGAAATAGGCTTTTCCTCCACCAAGAAAGTCCTGATCTGCTCCAATTGGTCTTTCTGTGATCCACCACTCTTCAGGCTTGTCTCTACATAGTCAGGCTGCGTCAAATACTGATTGACATTCTCCGCTGGCTTGGTGAAGTAGTCGTCGAGCTGCTCGCGGGCCCATTGAATGGTGTGTTCGATGGCATTGGGGAAGTTCTTGAGCGTGCAGACAGGAATTGACTTCTCTGGCGGATCTTGAGAACTCGAGTAGCTCTCAGTGAGGTGAGGCAAGACAACTTGAGTGTTCGCTTTTGTGCCCAACGTGCCGCTTTCCAACAGGGGCTTTTCGTAGTAAACGCATCGACGGTCCATATACTGACGTGCTTGAACATTGTCGAGCGCGTTCGTGACGCCCGTGAGCGATGCGAAGAAAGCGTCGCCGTATACGTCCTCGGTCTCGGGTCCAACTCTGTTCTGGTGGCTGTGAATTTTGCCTTTGAGGTCGGTGTTCATCTCAGCTACTGCAGCAGCAGCCGTGTCCGCCTTGAAGTGCCCGACATCCTTGGGTCGGAACAAGAATTGCCTGTTGAGGTTACTCTTTTCGATCTGGTCCATGTCCGTGACGTGTATTGCTCCCTCGGGTCCGGAACCCAGCCCCATCATGCTCCAGTTCTTGAGCATCTCGCATCCAATGGCACCAGAGCCGACCAGGAATTGCCTGACGTTTGCTAGCTTCTCTTGGAAGCTGGATCCAAAAACGGCAATCTGTCCATCGTATCTCGAATTCCTCGGTGCAAATTCGGACTCGGGCAGCTCCGGCACCTTGGCCGGCAAGGACTCGAGCGAGTCGACATAAAGGTATTGTACGAGAGGATGGAATTTGCCTGAGCAAGCTTTGAGCGCTTCTTGCGCGACGAAGCCACCGATGAAAGCGACCATCGGCGAAAGGTCTCCTGTTGCCTGCAATGCGAGCTCCCTGACTACCTTTTCTTGTAGCTCGGACTCATCGCCGCTTTCTTTGTGGATGTCCTGGGCGAGCGCCAGGACGGCGTTAGCATCAGTGGCACTGCGTGCTTTTGGTAGCCTGCCTTGAGACTTCCAAAACGCTGATAGGGCTTGCCAGCCAGCATGGAGACTGGGCGGTCTGTCGAACTTGGCAAAATCAGAGATGAGGTGTTCTGGTGACTTGAGACTCTCGCGCAGAGATTTGAAGTCAATCGTCTTGGGCTGCTTGACCTGAGTAAAGATACCTCCGCGCTTGTACTCGCCCATACCAGTGGTGTCGCCGATGGAGAAGGTGTATGGTCCTTTCACTGTCACCTTTCGCGGCTCAGCAGCATTCAGGGCCTCCATCCCCTGCACCTCGCTGAAAGAGACGTAGTCGCCATCCTCGAGTCCATGCCTGGTTTCATCGAGCGTGGTCACGATACCATTCGAGTCTGAGTCGATCGATACGATCATGCCATTGAGGGGCTGCTCGCCGGTGGGATCATTGACGAGGAATTTGTGTCCAAAGTCGTTGAAGACGGATCCGAACAGGCCTCGCACGTCTGCAGCGATGAAGTGGGTCGAGGTGCCGTGCGTCCAATCGTTGATCTCCAGCTGCTTTTCCAAAGACTCGTTCGTCACTACCACGGCCTGGAGAGGCGAATTTGCGTCAGCCGTTGCTGTCAAGAATGCAGCGCGATATCGTACGTGGGAAGGGCAAGACCGGAGATAAGGCTTAATACCGCGAATCCCTCCCCGCCTCCCAGCCCCCTTTGCAATTCCTCCGGTGACGGAATGAGTGCCAATGACTGCCATAGCACCGCCAAGAAGCTCCTTGACTCACTTGGAATTTAGACAGAGCGTCTTTGGAGAGCGCAGGCTCCTCCAGTACCCGTACAGGCACGTAGGTGTTGAGCTCTGCTAATCGCGGAGCGGTAGCATCAGCTCTGCTCTTCTTTCCCACATCTTCAGGCCTCAGAAAGAATTGAGTGGACAAATCCTCGATGTTGACAGTGTGAGGATCGAACAAGGTGACGGATTTGACACCTGCCAAGCAAATGTTCTTGGCTACTTCGACTCCTAAACCTCGCAGACCGACGACCAGGACATTGGACACGGCCATGCGCTTCATTGCATCGTGGCCCAGCACATAAAGCTGACGAGAGTAGAGGCCCTCGTCGATGGACGACTGAGGCGCATCCACGTCCATTGCTGGCATTGTGGCTACGTGTCGTCTGGCTGAGCGAATGGATCGAAGGACGGCGGTGGCAAATGGGTAAACGAGCAGGTGACTCCTCGAGCGAGACGGTGTTCGATTTTGTGAGAGAGAGTGCCTGTACTCGCGAGTCTGGCTATTGCTGCTTCAAAGACGCTTGATCTGGGTTGCTTTGAAGGAGAGTGCGGAGATTTGAATTCAACGGAATGATGGAAGTAGACGAGGAGGGTTGTCGCTGTGACTGCTGCAGGAATTCAAAAGCGCATGTGCGTGTCCACATATATATATATGACGCTTTGCTCTCGACCACCGACGCGTTGACCACTCAAGACTCGCATCACCCCAGCAGCGTGCACGGACATTTTGATTATGGGACGCTCACAAAACTGTGTCACGTGTTCTCGGTTCTGTACACGCAGCCACGCGCATCATGCATGCAGCCAGCATCAGGCGTGCGTCTTAGAGAACATAGGAAGCAATTCACGAGGAGCTTGACGCTGAACATCATCATCAACAACATCGATCGTCGCAAAGGGGACAAGGGAGAGAGGCAAGGCGGTCGTATATGTCGCGTTGAGCTCAGACCAGACTGTAGCCACAAGCAATTCCCGATAGCTGCAGGGTTATAAAGGTCTGCACAGACAGGAAGGACACGAGCGCAGCACCAACTACATCCGGACCCACCCCAAAGGCAGGCTTCCCTCCTGTCCTCCCATTGATTCCTGGTCGACAGGCATCCCAGCATTTTCACCTCATTGCAGGCATGCTTCGAGCCACCACTCTGCGTGGCGAAACGGCTCTGATGTCGGCTCTGCGAATGGTCCACACCAGCAGCAGGCAATCGCAGCACACTTTGCCTGTCATTTGCGCTCACAGCCCCCGTTGGATCGCTGCCCAGCCAGAACGTTTTAGGCGGTGTGCAAACCCGAGCGCACCGCATGGACGTCATTTTGCGACTTCCGCAAGAGTCTCCGCGTCGGGATCAGAGACCGCTCGAGCTCAGGAAGAAAGCGTGGAGCTTCCGCCGACGTTGAACAGCCTCGTGAAAGCTTGTCGGAATGATGCCGATCGAGATCGCGGGGATAGCTATCTTCAGGGCGCGAAGCCGGTCAAGGTAAGAGGCTGGGCCAGGAGCGTCCGAGACCACCGCAAAGTGAGCTTTGTCTCCTTGGTGGATGGAAGCATGTCAGCGGACAATCATCTGCAGATTGTCTTGTCACCTCAGCTCAGAGAAGAGCTTGGGAGCAGACTTAGTCCGGGCGCATCCCTGGAGATCGAAGGTGCCCTATGCGAGGTCAGGAAGAAGGATGGAAGGGCGAGCGGAGGCGATGATGTAGAATTGAGAGCTACCTCTGCTCGCGTAGTAGCAGTTTGTGACTCTGCTGTGAGTTTTCAGTCTGCGTACATGCCACTTTTATGCACATGCAATAGCCTATGTAAGAGCGGCAAGCGCTCACATCTAGCTACCGATCACAGTCTTATCCAGTGCCACTCCAAGGCGAGAACAATCCGACTGAGACCTTGCGAGCGCACGCCCATCTTCGTTCGCGCGACATGAGGCACGCAGCTCTGCTTCGCTCTCGAGATTGCCTCGAGCGAGGCCTGGCTGACTACTTTGCGAGAAACGAATTCATCAAAGTTACCACTCCGATCATCACCTCTTCGGACTGTGAAGGTGCCGGAGAAGTGTTTCAGATTGTTGCTGACTCAGATCTGAAGAAGGTGGATCAGCCGAAGGCTGGCGCTGCAGAAATCTCACCAGCGGAGAATGGCATGGATCACGAGCATTCGACCAACGCTGAAACATCACAGCCGACCACATCGGACAACCAACTGCAAGCCTTTTGGTCCGGTCAACCAGCATATCTGAGCGTCTCGGCGCAATTACACCTAGAAGCCATCATGCACGGACTGAATCGGATCTGGACGCTTTCACCGGCTTTCAGAGCGGAAGGGAGCGCTACCAACCGTCACCTGGCCGAATTTTGGATGGCGGAGGTGGAGATGGTCACCTCAGATGATCCTCAGGTGGCGCTGGAGGAGGTCATGACGATCGTTGAAGGATCCGTCAAAGCGTCTGCCCTCGCGCTTTTTGGTGCTGAGTGGCGCGAGCCTGCGACGCTGTTTCTGGGAGGCGAAGGCGACGAGGATGCGGACTTCTTGATCGGAGCTCCGCCAGCGAGAGAATTTCGGAATTTAAGCTGGGATGTGTGGGAAGAGAAGCAAAAAATCAAGGAGTTGAGTCTTTCGCGACCTCCAAGTGCCTTGGACGAGATTCCGTTCGACCGACCATGGACTCGAATGACGTATTCGCAAGCCATCACGCAGCTGCGGCAAATACATGAATCTGCAGGATTCCGCACGGAGCCGATAGCCGGTCAGCCTCTGGCCACGGAGCACGAAGCAGCATTGGCAGAGGATGGCCCTGTTTTCATCACGCACTATCCTGCTCACAGCAAGCCATTTTACATGCGCGCCTCTGCAGGTGCTCCGTCCAGCGATCAGGGGGGGAGCGAAGGTTACACAGGACCGACTGTGGACTGTTTCGACCTGCTAGTCCCTGGGATGGGCGAGCTGGTAGGAGGGAGCCTTCGAGAGACACGCCCAGAAGTCATTCAAGAAAAGCTGAGTTCCTTGGGCTGGAGCGAGAAGGCTAAGAAGCAGATGGAATGGTATGCTTCGGATCTGAGAAGATTCGGCACCGCTCCCCATGGCGGATTCGGGTTGGGGATGGAACGGCTACTCAGTTGGCTCACCGATACCTCGAACCTCAAAGACTGTGTCACCTTCCCTAGAGTCAAGGGACGTGTACGATATTGACAATCATAGCACCAACACGCAAGAATGCCACAGGAAGTAGACATTGATTACTTAGGAGCGACAGAGGGGTGGTGGTCCGGCCACCACGCTTGATGCCGTGATGGTGTAAAACGGAGAGTATGTGTACAAAAGAATGTGTTTGCTCAAGAGCAGCCAAGCTCGGCGAGCGCAGCGTTATTTTCCGCGTACCTTTGGGCCGTAAGGCGCGGGGCCACTCCAATGTAGTCAATATTTTCGTCTTCCATGCCGAAATCTCTGTCGTCGATGGCCTGTCTGACGGAGCGTCGAATGGTGTTGCTTCGCAAAGCGAGGAGCGTCATGGCGACTGGAGAAGAGCTGCACGTCGGCTGCTTGTTTGCCACTGGACTTGCAGCTCGCAAGTCTTTCGGAGTCTTTGCACCTTCTTGAGATGACTCGCTATCCGAGGAGATGCCAGAGGTGGCAGAGAGGGAGACGCTCGTTTCTGTGTCTGCGCGCGGCCTTCCCACTCCAAACTCGCCTCTCGCCCGCGCGTTTGGTGGAGCCACTCTGGATTGGATCGATGTTGGCAGCACAGACAAATCCCGGTTACGCGCATTCACTGGCCGAGCTTTGAGTGGCGGTCTAGGAATGCGCGAGGTGCCGCCTGCACAAGACGTCACGCTTGCCCTCTTCTGGCTAATGGGCACAGGGATGCGAGACCCAGAAAGGGTGCTGTCCTGACTTCCCCTTTCAGAGATCCATCCGACCGGCGCGCGCCTGCTGTGCGTGGATCTGACGCTAGACTCGGTGCCTGCTTCGGAAGCTCTGGTAGCTTGTGAAGACTGAGCATCCATCTTGACCGTCTTTTGCCATGCCGTCTGTACTGCAGACACGGCATCGTCGATATCCGCTTTTGGAGCAGGTCCGCATTTTGCAGCAGCACGATCAGAGCCGTCATGCCCTTCTCCTTGGGCGCACGATAAGTTGACACCCAAACGCTGCTCCAAATGCTTCCAAAGCTTGCTTGCCTCATCGTCTGTTCGAGGCGAACAAGCCACTTGCGCTCGCTGCTGGCGGCTTCTTTGAACTCCATGGCCCAGCTCATCCTCGCTCGATGATACTTGCGATGTCACTTCGTGTGGATTGAGTGCTTGTGGTGGCCGAGGCGTGCGCACATCGTTCTGTCCTGAATTGGGGTTGGCAAGCACGCTGCTGCCTTCACGCTGCGAATCTCCCAATTGCGCCTGAGGGCGAGCCCGCAGCTGGCTCGTGCTGGGCGGCGCAAACATGCGTGCGGATGCTGAGATGCCCGACGTGCTTGCTTGCCGATGCGGTATTGCTGTTGCGTGCGTGTCAGGCAGGGAATTCTTGGCGGAGCGTGCGGCAGGGCACACATTGGCAATGCGTGATGCCGTAGATTCTGCTCGTGGTCGAGAGCGTGGTATCATCGTCGTGGCATCCAACGTGAAAAGAGGACCACGCACGTCTCGCACATATTGCCTAGCGGAAGGTGCAGGAGGGCACACATTGGCGCTCCGCGTCGCGGCCGAGTCTGCTCGGGATCGACTTTGAGGTAGCATTGTTCTGAGTTCCGGTGGCCTATGAACTTCACGTGTGTCGTGTAGATATTGCTGAGGGGCGCGTACCGGAACATTCACTTTTGTACTCCGCGAAGCATTCGACCCTGCCCTTTGACGAGATTGAGGGGCGACCGCCTGGTCGCTCCTCGTGCTATAGGCTGCCGATGACTTTGTCGTCGGGTCAACGACATTGCGCCGACCGCAATGTGAAGCTGCGTCTTGGCTTGCCTCCTGCGTTGGTGCTGGAGCAGCTGGAGCTCGTTGGGAAAACGGCAAAGTGTCTGAAGCGCCCCCGTTCAATGACCGAGCATCTTGTGGCGCATTACCAGTATAGATTATCGTGCCAAGCGAGGTGGTGTTGATGCGCACCTGGGGTCCCAAGTGGTCAGGTGTCTCATCCGCCACCGGAAGAGGTATTGGTAGCGACGCAGGTGTCACGTCCACCGGGACCGTGCTTGCTTTCCTTGTGAAGACAGCTCTTTGGTGATGCAAAGGCGTGACGCGTTGAGAACCTCGGCGAGGCAAGGCACGACCCTGAGAAGCGCTCTGCTGGTGCCCGGGCTCGCGTCTGGGCTGAGACACATTCTGCGCGTGGCTCTGCTCACGTATGGGGTGAGGAGCGGTTGTTGGACGTGACTCAGATTTGGTATCAGGCAGTCGCTGGAAAGCGTCACGTCTGATAGGTGAGGCTCGGAGCTGATGCGGGTCACGTGCGCGTTGACCCGAGGACGACGGTAGATGCGAGTCACCGCCAGGACGCAGGAACGGTGGCAGCTCGCTGCGATTTGAAATCCTCGAATAGCGATTAGACTTGATCGATCTTGCTGATCGCGAGGCACGCTTTGAGTCCGTTGTGCCAAAGTCCAGATTGCCCCATGAATTCAGATTGAGTAAGGGTTCTCCAGTGATGCGCACTGGTGGCAAGATAGGAGGCAACGTGGGCGGCTCCGATGGGTAAGTTGCAGCATTGACCCTCGCATGATGATTGAGCACAGCTTGGCTGGGCTGCTCCTGCCTCTGAAGTCTAGCTGGACCCGTCTGCTGTGGTGACAGAGGGCGCGTATTCGTGGCCTCTTGGGAGCGACGAAGCGAGAGCAAACCGCGACGTGGTCCGTCTGAACGCGCCATTTTCGGCCCTGATCGAGCGGCAACAGCAGCGTAACTTCGCGGATGTTGTTTGCTGAAAGACTGCAAGTCGTGGCATCGACTCGAATTGACGGAGCGCTCTTGTAAGCTAGACGCAGAGCTCTTCCGGCTGCTGGCCGCGTCTTCGGCAACAGCTTTGCAGATCGCGTACGGACCTTCGTCGCCAGAGCTAGGCGCCCCCAGAACTTCTTCAAGAGCACACTGCTTACCGGAACTAGCTTTAAAGCCCTGGTAAGAATCCTTCCAGCTGCGTAGACTACCAGGCGAAAAATGCCGCAACCTCTCTGGTATGTGGATGGACGGCAACCGTAGCTCGGAGAAGGATAACGAATGTGCAGAGTGGACACGGGCGTGCTTTCCCGTTGCGGGTCCTACAGTGGCACGCGAGCCGACAAATGTCCCTTTGTGAAGGTCTGGAAGGTTCGCTGAAAAGCTTCGCCAAGGTTGGTGGCTCAAGTGCAAGCGGCAGGCGCGCTTGGATGACGGTGGCTCTAGCAGAGTCGGCAGAGAAGAGCCACAATGTTCCGACCAAGGTACGATGGGGCTACCGTACCGCTGGTCTGCGAAGGAGGTAGCAGAGCATGGTGAGTCCTTCAGTGGTCTTAAGGCTCTCTTCACCTGCTGGTGTCTGTCATGGAGCGATGCTGAGGACGCGAAAGATGTCGCAGAGACACGACGGCTCTGTCGCACGGCGCAGAGCTCCTGCGTGCGGAGGTGCAACGGCGCGGTTGGTAGAATCTCGCCTGGTCGCAAGGACACGTCGGTGCCGTGGGAGATCCAAGACGTGTTGGAAGCGTAGGATGAGACAGAGGTCTCTGATCCAATTTGACTAGATTCTGTACGTAGCATTGGACGCCTAGGCAGAGCATACGCCACCCTCGATGGAGCGACAGCCATCGTCGAGCTCGTTCCCCTCGCTTGGCTACTGGGAGGAGAGCTCACTGCCGTGATCATCTTGGCAGACTCTTCGGCGGCGACGAACGGAGTAGCCAGCGCAGACAAATTAATCATGCGTGGCATATCGTGTGGACGCCTGCCCCTTGTTGGAGGCGCTGTTGAGAATTGACAGGGCCGTGAAGGAGGAATTGGCAAAGACGTCGAGTTTAATGAAGAACAACCGCCCGCTGCCGTTAGATTGACTGGGAGGGCTCGTACTTGAGATGGCGCCGTCATTGCGACAGGGCGCGGTGCTGAAGGCGCTAACACCGGGCATTGTCCGGCGCGCACGCCAGCTGGCGTTGACCCCTCGGTCGATCGATGCAAGAGACCGACGAAGCCGTCTGGTCGAGCATCGCGCTCACACCCAGCCTGGAATGTCACAGACGCACTTCGATCGCGCGGGAGGGTACCCACGTTTCTGTGTCCGAACACAGCCCAGGCTTCCGAAATAGGGACCTGATCGCATCGACGGAGTCCTTGGGCAGCTAAGATCGCAGGCGTATCCCTTGTGCGACTATGCGCTGGATTGCTGGCCTGTCGGGTGCGCCGTGCGACGGGCGCTCGCGTTGGAGGTGCGGATGACCGCGGTTTGTTGTGCTGCGTGGAGCCAGCAACATCTCTTGAAGCTCCTACTTTCCGCATCTCGTTGCCGTAAATAGCTCGCAAGCCCGAGTCATGATCCTCAGGCGCTCTTTGAAGCATCCGATGGCGTCGACAGGTCGTTGGTTGCACGGCTCACCTGACTCGTCGTTGCAGAGGTCAAGTGGCAAACACTGACGCGTTCCTAGCAGTGCCTTCGCTGAACTGTCGGTGTCCAGACGCAGATGATAAAGTCAAGCTTTATTTGATTGACCACGGAATCTGAGGCCAGTGAAATGTCGCACGAGCGTCAGCCTGCCAGCAGTGGATGGTTGTCGCGATCTGCTGAAGGATGCAAGATCAAGACGCTCGACGATGGAAGGATAATGAGATAACACGGGGTCGAAAGGCGGTCCTGCCGCGCAAGTGGTGAAGGGGTGAACGAAAGAGAAAGGGCAAAGGAAAGAGCGAGCAGCGAAGGATGATTGCGAATGAGAAGGTGAGAGTCTGGTCAGAATCAAGCGAGCCCTGGTCTACCTATGTCAGCTAATCTCTGCACCGCTGCGCGAAGACCGCAAAGTGTCTGCAGACCGAAGAGGCAAGCGACGGTCGGCAGCAGCGCATCAACGGAAAAAGCTACAGCACCGCTGTGCAAACAATTGTTGTGCGCACGCTGCTGCTTCTAAACATGCGTGTGAAGGTGGATTCATCAGCGTGCTTGTACCCGGTCCGCTTCGTACCACGCAGATTGCATGCGTGCTCATGGATGTTTGGCAACGGTCTCCAACGGCTCCAGCTCGCGACGCATGTACTGGCGCATCTTGCTGACCTCGTCATCACGTGCACAGCCCCAGAAGCAAAGCCTCGTACCGACTCCTTCGATTAGCGATAGTTGGCTAGGCTTACTTGGCTAGCCAGCCTTCGTCCTGGCAGTGGTGGTGAGTAAAAGGTAGAGATTGGCTTTGAACAACTTTGAGTTGTAGATGCAGCCGACCCCCTTCACGCGCATTAAGCTGGCTGATGTGCTGGTCGGACTTTCCGCACCTGCTGCTCGCTGCATCTGCTTATGTGCGGGGCACGATCCTCGATCACGTGCTGAAGACACAACAAGCCTAGCGAGACGTGACCGACGGCAGACCGATCTTCACCTCGAAATTACCCGCGGCGGCCGGCCCCACTTGCTCCGGCTTTGTGAACCCACGCTATATATATACCCACACAGACAGGGACCTGGACTGGACGTTGCATGATGGTTGACTTGCTGCTCGACAACGGAGCCTCACATTGTTGGTTATTCCGTCTGGCACATGAGCAGAGCTCTTATAGGCCAGTTTGCTGTGAAGTATCGACCACGATGTTAACGTCATCAGATCTGCCTGCGGGTTGTGTGGCTTGAGAGCGTGAGGATCTTTGATGTCTTCTCTCAGTGCTGGCCGACCCTGTTGTAACGAAACACCTAACACAGCACGGAGCCCTACAGCGGCCAGTCTGTCTGCCATTGTGGCAGCAGGCGCGAGAGGAAGTAGGACGACTTCTCTCCGGACTGAGTGATTCATCGTGTCCTCAGATTTGCCAGGTCTACCTCGTATCAGGCAGGAAGCAGCAAGCCTCTGAGCAGGCCTGCTAAATCTCGATCTGGAATGATGTGTCACAGTCATGAGTCTATACACATCTTCTGCTACTACTCGACTGCTATCTCTGAGCGTGCGTGCGACATCGATCATGATGACTGCTTCTGCCCGCTTTGCGTTGGATGACCCCCCTGCCTTTCCTCAGCGAGGCGGGGGCGGCGCCTAGTCGAGGCCTCAATTTGAAGGTATGAGCCACTGACTCACGACTGCGTGCTGATGTCGCGCGGTACGGTACAGTCGTGATGCATGGGCGTAGGATGCAGCAGCAGCATGCAGTGTCTTGAGTAAATTCACGATTCAGATTAGGCATCACGTACCTGCTGCTGCTCGCCCAAAGACTGCAGCAGCCGAGAGGCGCCGATGCCCAAACGCGATCGAGGCCTGGCACAGCGCGCGCGATCAGAGTTGGCAGCAGGCAGCAGCATCATCAATTATAACCAGCATGCAAGCAACCAGCAGCAAGCCGTGCCCGAGACCCCAAACGGCGTGACGCGCGCGCGAGCACGTATAGCAAGCAAGCAGGCCGCGGCTTGAGGCACCGGCACTCACACTCTTGACTGGCACTGGCACCATAGCAGCGTCTGCAGCAGCAGTCAAGTCACGGGTGGTCGCGACTTTTCCACCGATCAGGACCGCCAGAGAGGGGATTGACCCCCTCAGTACGGGGTTGGCCACTTTGATTGAAGCGGTACCGCACCAGCTTTCATTTCTACACCAGGCTCATCCCATGTCCCGCGCATCTGCAGCTTCTATCTGCCCCACGATCTGCTCTTCAACTCTCACATAGACTTCGACTGCCATCGTACAGCAGCTCCGTCGAGCTATCGTCTCCTTACACCGGCGTCAGGTGGAAGGCACGCCCGCTGATTCTGCCCGGGACTGATGGAAGCGTATCAGTCTGCCATTCCTCAAGTCACATCTCCACACTCTTCGCTGTCTTCAAAATGATGTCTGCACCTGCTCCCTATCCGGCCGTGGCTTCTCACGCGCCGGCACCCGACGACCACGAGATCTCCAAGAAGACGCCATCGATATGCGTCGACTATCTCAGTCACAACTGGACTGACGAAGATGTGTGGAGCAGCTGGAAGGCGATGACAAAGGTAAGTCTGACTTGCGCATGGAACAGCAGTCGAGACTGAGGTCAACGTCCATGTGCCCTCGTGGGCATTGCTCCCTCCGCATGCTCCCTGCTGACCATTAGCCCGCCTTTCTCAACTATAGCGCAAGAACGAGATAGCAAATGGTGTCAGGTTAGAGAATGCGAGTTGGAGAACGTGGGCAAAGCAGCGTGGCAAGTTAAAGACTATCAGTCCCGAGACTTTGAATTGGTGAGTGCCAAGGCTTCGTCATGGGACGAGATTGAGGGTGGCAAGTGTGCTCATCTGTGCTAATCACTAAATGCCAACCCATCGGTCCCGGCCAGGTTGAAGGACAGTGATGTGACTTGGCTGTATGGGCCTTTGCATGAGCATGCAGACCCTGTACCTCCTCCTCGTGTGGCCACAGCCGGCGAACGCCTCGGTCTCGATGACGACCCACGCCGAAGGAAGTCGATCCTGAAGCATCGCACTATCTCCGAGATGCTCACTACACCCGGTAGAAGCGCAAACGAAAATGCGCTGCCTCTGAGTGCTGAAGTATCACACGAGACATCAGAGGACGAGACCGAGACAGAGTCCAGCACCCCAAGGCGCAAAGGCACCAGTTCTCTTGACGCGTCTCCAAGGCCAAAACCCGAGCCACTCCCCGGACATTCGGCAACTCTTGATTCAAGCTTGCCGACACTGAGGAAGAATTTGGGCGGCAGTCCACCGCCTAGCGTGAGGCTCCCCAATCAACCTGCGCTGGACCGGGCGGATAGTGCAGCTAGCAGCATTGCGCCTGAAGAGAAGCGCCACATCAGCTTTAATCAGCGGGTGGAGCAGTGCATCTCGGTAGACGTCGAGGAGATTGAGTACGATGATGAAGAGGAGGAAGAAGATGAGGAGGATGACGATGAAGATGACACCTATAACGCTTCCAAAGCGGCCTTGCAAGCCCAATCTACGCAAGGCTCCCGACCCGATGGGCGCGAGGGCGATACTGAAGAAGGATCCGAGGACGATGTGCTCACAATGCGCTCCAGTCCGAGACATTCCCCTTCGTGGCCCCTGACTTCGACATCTGGAGCCTCAAGCCGCGTGTCTAGCCCAGGCGCGGAGCATCACACGATAGCAAAGCTAGCGCCCACCATGCTGAAGACCAGCGATACTTTTTCATTGCCTTCTGCTCCCGTCGTCGACCCTAGCGGCTTTGGTGACAGCTTCAAGGCCTCCAGCAGCTCACGTGTATCAGCGACTGGTGGCAACAGCTACTCTGGCTACGGTGATGACGAAGATGCTGGGACGAGGTATAGCCAGTGGGATGCAGACGACGACTTTGGGGAGTACGACTACTTTGACGGGCCAGATGTGAATGAAGGCTATACTGGAGCTGCCGGCGGATCAAATTCGGACGCGTCGCCATCTCCTCCAACCTCGCACGAAGACCCGGAAGCCACTGTCAGGCGCATGGCTGCTGCCATAGCTGCCAAGAATGGTGGCCAGACGGTGAAACATGCTTCGCCACCCGAAGAGATGCCCCCCGGTACATCTGCACCTGCATCTGCTCCTCCGGCAAGGCGAAGCATTCTGAAAAAGGGCGGGTCGGGTGGACAGGCTGTGTCCGACGAGCATCAGCGCGAAGAAGTCTCCGCGGAAGCCTCCGCGGAAGCAAACGACGGAGACTACTTTGGCACTTCTCCCGCCAAGCTGCCGGCAGACGAGGCCATCGATGATTTGTCCGACCCAAAAAATACCGCACCAGCCAGTCGCGGTCGCTCATCGCAGCGATTGGGCACTTCGGCCAGCTACGAGCGCATACAAGATGCGACACGCGGTGGTTCGAGCTCTCGAACGCGAACCAATTCCAACAACTCTTCGTCGAGCAACGCTTCCACCAGTCCTGATGACCGATTTGCTAATTCGCACAGGTCGGGCGAGAGGCGAGATTCATTTCGCGGGCGAGCTGGAGATGGCTCGAGAGCTATGGACAAGTCAGGCTCGTATGCAGCGGCGGCGGCTAGGGTAGCTGGTCACGATGGCGAGGACTCGGATGGACGCGCATCGCTGGATTTTGCCAGTCCAGGGTTTCCCGCTAGTCCACAGCTTGGCGATGGCGAGAATGAGAGAGCAGAAGAGGGCAAAATGTATGGCAGGACTGCTGGTGGTGACTCAAGCGTTTGGTCAGATGGCAAGCCCACAGGTTCTCGATCAAGCCCCTCCAAGTCCAAGTCGGCTGCACATCGAAGGTATCCCTCGGATGATGGGGACAATCCAAGGGGACCGGACGGAGAGCGCCTCAGTCTTGATGTTGAGCACTTGCCCAGCAACGACCCCAACCTTTCACCACCCTCTGCGCTAGGCGGCCCAACCCCACTCAATACGCCCACCCTTGCGCTTGCGAGAAGTCGCGGCGGCGCACGGCCCTCACGCAAAGCGGGTTCGAGCGAGACGCAGCCTTCGAGCCCGACAGTGCCTCGACGGAGTAGCGCTACTGGCGCTATAGTCGCGCCTAGCGATGCCGATAGACAAGCTGGCGTCAGGGTGCCGCTTTCCTCGGATTATGTGGAGGAAGATGAAGGTGGGATCGTTGGGCGTGCTGTAGAGATGGTCAACACTGCAAGAGACCTCATTGGAGCCTTGTGGGGCGGCGATAGAGGAGCCTCTTGGCGCCAGTCCTAGAGGACCCGGCGATTTACTGGCTCAGACAACACCTACAATGCTGCGGGCCTTGGCCCACTCACCATTGTTCGTCTTCGTCTTCACATCGCACCTCCAACCAAGCTTTGTGTCGCACACTCGCACTTTTGCAGCTTCCCGCCCGCCCTCCATCGACCCTTTTTCGCTGACTCCAAGCTACATATCAGCGCAGACTCTGCACATTTGGCTCTTCTCACGCAATGGTCTTCCCTTCACGAAATGAAACACACTTCATAGACTATAATACTAGGTCGAGCTTGCTGAGACGGCTTCTGAAATGCCAGAGGTCACAAGCACGAGCACGTAGCGATTGCTTGCTCGGGCGCCGTGAGAACAGATTGATGGTGCATGCTTAAAGGTAAAGGCCCGAGTGAGGTCGTGGACTTGTGCCCGGAGTCATCCCTGAGTGCAAGTGCTCGTGTAACTAGGAGCCTCGCCCCGCTGGTCAAGGAAAGGCATGGGATGGGTGGATGAAGTCGTGGGAATCGAAGCGAGGCGCAAGTGGTGTCGGTGCGTCGGTGCGTCGGTGCTCCGCGTCTAGCGCACCTCTGCAGCAGCAGCAGCAGCAGCAGCATGAAACATTCGACTTGACGCAGCGACACGAGTCGTGAGTGACTCGACCATACCTTGCACTGTGACTGGGATTGATAAGCTCCGCCAAGATTCTTCTGATGCGAAGTGGATATATCATCTGCTGGATCTGCATCGGAGTATAGCCTTGGCCGCACAGACTTTTCAACAGTAATACACCACTGCGATCGACATGACTGACGCATCCTTGGCCATCGAAGAGGGCAACTTTCACTCTTCGGCGCGCCAACAAAAGCATCGTCATGATCTCATAGATGCCTGGCTCCAGCTTTCGGGTCGAGCATGGAGCTGCATCTTGGAGGTAGGCTGCGGTCAAGGAGACCAAACCGCAAGTCTAGCCAAGAGATTTGCGCAATCGAAAATCACCGCCATAGATCCAGCCAGCCCCGAGTATGGTGAGGCGCCCCAAGACTTGCTCGACTCAAAGTATGTGTTTTATACTGAAGCATGTCATTCGAGAACACTCGCCGTAGGGTCTCCAACGACTTTGGGTCAGTCCCAAGCCGCTCTGAAGGCGACACCTTGGGGTCAGAACATCACATTCGAGCAGATGGATGCCGTTTCCTTTGCCGCACGGTCCAAATCTGGAAAGGCGGAGAAGCAAGACATCGCGGTCCTGTCGCATTGCATATGGTACTTTCCATCCCCTCAAATCCTCACCGACACCTTTCAAGCGCTCAAAAGTACCGGCACTCGTCATCTCGCACTGGCAGAGTGGGACATCTCAACCGGCGCGACGTCCGCCTCGGTGCATCTTCATTCCGTCCTGCTCCAGGCTTTGCCCGCAGCGCTGCGAGACACCGAAGCAAATATTCGATGTCCCCTCACGCCCAATGCTATTCGAGAGGCAGCTTGCAAAGCGGGTTGGAAGGTGCGGGGAGAAATGACGCTCAAATCGCCTGATCTCGAAGACGCCCAATGGGAGATCTATGCCGCTAAGGCAGCCATCGCGAAAATGCAGAAAGCACATCTAAAGAACGAAGACCAGATCGCTCTGCATGCTCACGAGGCTGCATTGCAAGCCGCGATAAGTCATTGGGAGGCATCGAGACGCAGCACAGATTCTCTCGCCCCGTGCCTCGATGTCTGGGTGAGCGTATTTGAATAACTCACTCAGACAAGCCGCGCTCTCTTCACTCCTTGCAAAATTTCACACACAACACATTGTTGAATCGTGCGACTGCTTTACAAGAATTGTCACGAGTCTGTTTACATGCGCTGCAGAGCTATTGGCGGGCGTAGAGGAAGGGCGTCAGCATTCTTGTTACGTACTCTGCTCGAGTCGCGCGAGAACTCACGTTGCAAGGTAAGCAAACGCATAGCAGCGCTGAGTACATCACGCGCACATCGGTAAGCAAACAGTCTAGCGAGGGCCAAGTCCCTCTCTTGCCCCTTGACAAGGAGCACTTCCCAAGCGCTAGAGATGGAATGGCAGAGCTTGAAGCAGTACTGCACAATCGTGCTGGGTTGAAGGTCGTCGAGGGCTCTACGGACCACCTCGGGCCATTGCGCGAGAAGCATAACCAGATCTCTAGCCTTTGGCTCTGACAGCAAATCCAATCGAAGAGTGCTGGGGTCCAAAGGATCCGATAAGACCAATCCATCCGTCTCCTGCACTTTGCGCTCCACTGAGCAAAGTCGCGTGTGATTGTACTGCAAGTAAGGCCCCGTATCACCCTCAAAGCTTAGCATTCTGTTCCAATCAAAGTTGTAGTCGTTGATACGCTTGCCCGTCATGTCTTGAATTTTGACAGCCGTCATTCCCAAAACATCTGCAGTCTTTTCGGGCTCCGCGACAAGTTTGTACTTGTCCTCATTGCTCTTCATCACATTGTGCATGTTCTCACCCGCTTCATCCAGGATGTGATCGAGGAACACGGCAGTACCTTTCCGCGTGGACATGCCCTTGACCAGGCCAAAGTTGATGTGAAGCAAACGCTGTTGCTCAGGCTGAGCCCAGTCGTAACCCATCAGCTCCAGAACCTTGAAGAACTGCGCCAAGTGCAGGTTTTGTTGAGTAGCGATGACGTAGATCATCTTGTCGAAGCCCTTTCCGCGCTTTTGGTTCCAGGTATCCCAGCGCTGTTTGGCTTCTCCGATATCTCTCGTAATGTAGAGGGGTGTGCCATCTTGACGCTCAATGACTGTCTTGTCCAGCTTGTACTGGTTCAAGTCAATCAGATAGGCTCCGTTGTCCGCTTTTTCGATGTAGTCGCTAGTCTTGATGTGTGTCAAAGCCTCAGAGATACTTTGCTTGGTGACTTGACTCTCGCCAGAGTACACGTCAAAGTGGACATTGAGCCGGGCGTAGGTATCCTTGTATTTTGCAATACTCAGGTCGCGGAACTTTTGCCAAAGCGCCAACGCAGCGGGATCATCGTCTTCCATCTTCTTGAAGAAGGCTCTAGCTTGGTCGTGGTATTCGGGATGTTCTTCCGCTTCTCTGTTAATCCGAACGTAGATGTCGTACAGATGTTTGACTGCATCTTCCTTCAAAGCAGCCTCATCGCCGTACATGCCCCAGGCAACAGCCAGAAGGCCTGCGCACAATGCCACCACACGTCAGCCGTCGCTCTGTAGTTGGTCCAAGTCATACACGCCTCCACTCACCGAATTGCTTGCCCCAATCACCAAGATAGTTCCATCGCTCCACATACCAGCCATTAGCCTCGTACAAGTTGGCCAAGAAAGCGCCAATGATGGTGGATCGGAGGTGTCCAGCGTGGAAAGGCTTGGCAATGTTGGGCGATGAAAACTCTACGATCAAGTCTTTGCCGACTCCGCTAACATTGGTTCCATAAGACCCGCCTTCTTTGCTGCCCGCGTATTCACCTCGAGACAGCGCATTGATGGTAGACAACGTCAACTGGGACAGGGTGTTGGTCACGGCTGTGAACCAGACGAAGCCGCCCTTTTGAGCTTTTGCGGTCTCGATGTATGCGTCCGGTTTGAACTGGAGCGGCCAATGAGAGGTGAGCGGGGTCAATGAAAAAGAGCATACTCCAATCATGTCGGCCAACTCACCTCCTTTTCCACCTTTTCTGCCCATTCCATGGGTTTACCAGGCAGTCGAAATCTAGGAAGCGTCGCGATAAAGTCCGCTCCTTTTGTGTGGACCTGCACCCCATCATAGACTTTTTGCAGGTCGAGGTTGAGTATGCCGGCGAGTTGATGAGCGATGGCCAATCTGAAAGCATCGATGGGGTTACGCAGAGGGTCTGCACCTTCCAAGCTTGGCAGTTCCGGCAACTGAGACAGCAACGGCACCCCTGGGAATTTGGGAGAGGCTGCGATGCTCGGAGCAGGACCAGATGTCGAGGCGGACATGCTGAGCTCAGATCTGCTCGGTTTGATCGCGCAGGCGGGCAAGGCTGGGCGAGTGAGGAGCGTAGAGCAAGCACGCGTTTCGGCGAACGGGAGAGCAGTGGATCGCAGCGCAGACCTGTGCGCGATCGCTCTCAGGGCTACGAGTGTGACCAGCGTGGCGATGGATTTGTTGTGGAGAGGTGAGCTGCAATTTGGGCTCGGTGCTGGTGCAGATGGGCTAGATCTGATATCTAGGCTCAAATGGTGTGGTATGATTCGGAATCGAGTTGGTCGAGTCAGCAGAACATAGAATGACAATTTGAACAATCAGTCGTGAATGCACACTCAAAACTCTGACTCACACTTTTGACTCACGACTCACCACGACTCACCCGCCGTGACTCGTGATCAATAATTCTTCTCTGCGTCTGCATGTCCAGCGCCGAGTCAGGGCGCGCTCAGATTCAAGACTTGATCTACAAGCCAATACGTCTCGTGCGAGAGAAGTCAAATCACGTGACTATAGCCTTCATCGGCCGTAAACCACGAATGCGCGCGGTGCGCTGCTTGTCCAGGCATGGTGTCTCGCAGCATAACGGGCTTGGCCTCCACCTCGGTCTTAGGCGACGAACAGATGTCGACAAGTCGTGACGAGTTTGCTGCCGTCGTCATCAGCAGCTGTTATGTGGATGCTTTGGGTATGCTTGCCTTAACGGCGAGCTCCTCGACAGCCGACTGATCGTCCCGCGAACGCCGGGTCCCACATATATAGAAGAGCAGAGGCTTCAAACACCAGAAAGCAGCCATTTCATTACACAATACGCGCACAATCCTGACTTTCCTCTCACACTACGCATGTCCTATCGCTTCGCGCTCCCTGGCCGTCGTACGCTTGCAAACAGCCTGGAACGTGGTGCGTCTGCGCTCGTGCACAACCCAACAGTAGCTCAGTCCAGAAGTCTTTCAAGCCGAAGCTTGACTAGTGCCTTCAAATTTACGATTCATCCACCGACATCAGCATCTAGAAACATCATGACGGACACATCCAAGCAAGACCCTCAGACTGACGGAGCGGGCAAGGTGTGTTGCACACATAGCAGCGTTGCAGACAGCCGCAATGCGTGGTTTCGGCTGACAATGCTCCACCCATGTCTCGCAGTGGGCGTCGAAAGACGGGCAATTTCGTCGGCAAACATCCACTTTCAGGGATGCCATCTCCTCCGATCCAGGCTCGCCTTTCCCTCCCGAAGTAGGACGGTATCACCTGATCGTCGCGCTAGCTTGCCCATGGGCCCATCGTGCACTCATCGTGCGCGCACTCAAGGGCATCGATCAAGTAAGAGATCTACTGCCCGTCCACACTGTCGATTCATTCTTGGGCCCCGAAGGGTGGACCTTTGAACCTTATGGGGACGATGTGACCGGAGGCGTCAAGACTGCTAAAGGAACGGGCAACAAGATCCCAGGCCACGAGAGCAAGAAGCGGATCAGGGACTTTTACAAGGCTGCGGATCCCGAGTATGCGGCTAGGTGCACTGTTCCTGTCATTTGGGATAACAAGAAGGGGACCATTGTCAACAATGAGTCTTCCGAAGTCATCCGGTTTTTGAACCACGCCTTTGATCAATTCCTGCCAGAGGACAAGAAGACACTCGACTTCTACCCCGAAAAGCTCAGATCCGAGATTGACTCTCTCAACGAATGGGTGTACGATACGGTCAACAATGGCGTCTACAAGAGGTGAGACGAGGGCATGGCGTCTTGTGAGATTCGCATCTCCACATAGCTAACATTGCGCTTGCCACCCTTGTCTCCAGCGGGTTCGCAACCACCCAGCAGGCGTACGAGTCTAACGTTGTGCCACTCTTCAAGTCTCTAGACAGGCTCGAAAAGCATCTGCAAGAAGTTCACAATTCTGGCGCAGAGTTCCTCATCGGAAGTCAGCTGACAGAGGCTGACATTCGACTGTTCACGTGAGTTCATTGACCTTATCGAAGTGGATCAGAGTATCGACGCTGATGTGCGAAATCCGCTCGTTTGCGCGGCCAGGACGATTGTCCGCTTTGATCCGGTCTACGTGCAGCACTTCAAGTGCAACCTAGGCACGATCCGCGCTGATCACCCCAATCTGCACAAGTGGCTGCGAAACCTGTACTGGAAGGTGGACTCCAAGGCTTTCAAAGATACGACAGACTTTGAAAGCATCAAGAAGCATTACACCCAGAGCCATGCCAACATCGTGAGTGTCTTCGTGGAAGGTGGACCTCCCAAAAAAATCGTTGACCAACCTCGTGACGTATGTTTCGCTCCCACCACAGAACCCAACTCGAATCGTGCCTTTGGGACCCGTCCCGGACATTAAGCCTCTTGATGCTTAAGAGAGGTGACGTGGTTTCTTCGCTGGATCTACTCGTCGCATTGGTGTCCTTCGAACCATCACAATCCGCCGGCATGGGAACGCAAGATTTGCACCTTTCTGCGTGCTCTGGGCCACCCTCTCCCGAAATCGTTAGATGTATGCACCTGAGTCCTCATCTCGCCCAACACAGGCTTTTTCAAAACTTCGCTCTTCACCCTAGTGTGTTGCCAGTCTGCGCATTAAGCAAATTTTCTCCGTACTTGTCCAGAAACATCTCAGCCGTACCTGAACCCAACACCGAAGCCCGCAATGAAGCTAGCTTTCCACTGAAACCCAGTCGTCAAGAAGTTGATGAAACTGCCCCAGATCTTTGCCAATCTAGAGTCTTGCCAGGATGTGGGGGCGTTCTGATTGCCAGTCTGTTGAGCAGCTCGATCGGCTGCTTTTTCGTAACGAGAAGCTATGCCGGACCAATTTACGCTGATGAGATGCTGAGTGGAGAGATATTGGAGAAGGATAAAGGCGGCACCTGTGAGAACGAGTGATGAGACGATGAGCAATTGGACTTGCATGTGGCGCCGAGTACGCTGAACGCTTTGCCCTCACCCAGCAGCACAGCCAACAATTTGAGCCCCTTTTTGACAAAGACGCCAGAGCAAAGACCTCTGCGGGTCATGTGGCCATCGAAGTAGGAATTTGCAAGGGTGAGCAGCGTGGCGCAATTTTGTACTTTGCCATGGATTGCCTCCACTCACGCAATCGTACCGAAGCTCAAGTTGGCCACGTTCAATAGGGGCTCTTTGTTCGGCGAGGGAGGAGTCGGTCCACCTTCTGCTGGCGTCGGCGGTCGGCTTGTCGAGATAGGTGGCGAGTCTTGAGGCGGATCCAGAGTACGCGCAACAGTCAAAGTCAACCCTCGATCCGCTCTCCCAACGCAAACCCGAATCTCTTGCTCACCGCACTGCACCTCTCTTTTCTCTTTGCCGAAGAGCCCGAACGCCGCCAAGCCCATTGCAATCGAGACGGGTGCGCTCCTCCAAGCTCTGCCGGCGCTGCTCTTGTCGCCGGAGCGATGATGGCCAGTGTTGTGGGTGAAGTTAGCAGCACCGATGTTTGCGTGAACACCTGATCTTCCGAAAGACTTCAAAAATGATGACAATGGGACCGCTCGCGTGTTGTCCAACGCGGGTAAAGAGGCGGATGAGTGTACACAACGCTGGTGCGCGCAGCCGGCCAAGCCGAGCGCAGCTGCCCTCAGAGAAGCGGGGCCGATCCCCAGCATCGCGGTAGGAGAATACAGCCGCGTGGACATGGTGAGCCAGCTATTGGAGGTAATCGTAGAGACGAAGGGCCCGTCAAGATGATGCCTGTGTCAGCATGAGTCGATTCTTGATTCACTCACGGCTTGAGTGGTCGCGGGGATGCGCGCTGACTCGCGTCTGTGGAGGTTCACGCTTGACGGGGACTCACGTGAATCTTGAATGCAGCGCAAGCTGCTGCCCCGTGCGCTGGCTGGCCCTGCTGCTTTCGAAGATGCACCGTAAGGTGCGATACACATCCACGCATCCTCCTCGCTACACAAGCTTTGCTTGTCGTCACCCACACCTACATCACGCACAACACCCTGCACCGCATTTCCCTCTCGTCGACGCACCCGATACCATTCGCGTTGACGCTGGCAAGCGTATCGATCAGCACTTGTCGCCCAGTCCCACGTGCTCAAAGCCGGAGGCGGGCGAAGAAGTAGACGGCTCAGCCGATACTCTACAAAGCTTCTGTGTAGCTCAACTGGGCGCAAGGCGACACCTCCGAGCTTACCCGCATTTGCTCTATTGAGAAGGAGCGTTGTCTGCGAATGCTGCAGAAGGGCGACAATTTCCTTTACTTACCAATTTCCCAGGTCCAACACCGCAATGTCGAGCTCCTCCGCATCGAGCGCAGCAACACTGCGATCCGCTCAACAACAAAGCCTGTTGACACTCTTGCACTTCAATCAACCGCGTGAGGGCGGGGCTGCACGTCTTGGTGGTGCTGCGGGATCCATCATTGGTGGTAGTACAAACGGGTCAGATGGAGTGGGTGGTGCTGTCTACGATGCAAATGGTGCTAGTAAGGAGAGCAAGGAGATCACCATTCCGGATGCACCACCTGTTTGGAAGGTATTGATACTGGACAAGATCGCGCAAGAGGTGCTTGCTACGAGCCTGAGAGTGCAAGATCTTAGAGAGGCCGGTGTCACTTTGCACATGTGAGTGAATTGTTGTGCCATGAAGAGCGGACGTGTGCTCAAAGGTTTGATCTGCAAACGAGTTTTGGGCATCGCTGAACTGCCCCCCCCTCTCTTCCCCCCCGGCGCTCGCGTCGCTCTTGATACATTGGCCTATAGGCAACTCCACGCGGACAGATCAGCACTGCCAGATGTGCCGGCGATCTACTTCATCGCGCCCACAAAGGAGAATCTGACCCGCGTTGCACAGGTGAGTTGCGTGTCCTCAACGCCTGCGTGAGGCTCGCTTCCTGATTTGCCTACCTGCTACCTTCAGGACATGTCAAAGTCTCTTTATGAAGCAGTCCACATCAACTTCGTTGCGCCTCTACCGCGTTCCGGCACTCTCTTGGACGACTTTGCAGCTCAAGTGGCTAGGGATGGGACAGCATCTTTGATTGGAGGCATATGGGACCAGTATCTGAATTATGTGGTATTGGAGCCTTCACTGTTCTCTCTTCTGCCAGGTCCACCCAAAGGGGGCGACTCGCTCGTGCCGGGAGCGAAGAGCGGTCAGGTGAACGGAACTTCAGAAAAGGCAAGCAAGAGGGATTTGACCACCTACGAAAGGCTCAATGATGCTGCGGCAGGCGAGAGAGAGGTGGAGACGGAGACGGACCGCATCGCAGCCGGCTTGTTTAGCACTCTTGCGACTATGGGTGAGTCAGCGTGGGCTCGACTTTGCGAGGCATGTCATCAAACATTTCTCCGGCGTTCGACCTTGCCAAGCATCCCCTCTGCTGACGAGTCCAATGTCCTACAACGACCCGCGCGTGAAGGCACATTGCCAATCATCAGGTGTCCACGCGGTAATGCTGCCGAGCTTGTTTGCCGGAAATTGGAAGGCAAGATCAAGGAGCACATCAACAGTGCGCGAGGGGCGACGCACTTGTTCTCCGGCGATAGCGCTGGAAGCCCCTGGGGAAGCAGTCGACCGCGTGAGTATTCCCCTGTGGGAACGTTGCGCACGGGAGCATTACGTCCTGACCTGTCCTCTGCCTTAGTGCTCGTCGTCCTTGACCGAAATGTCGACCTGGTACCAATGCTTTCACATTCTTGGACTTATCAGGCGCTAGTTCACGATGTGCTGGACATGAACCTCAATCGGGTCACCGTTGTGGTGAGCATGGCGCCTTGTGTCCCATGGGTTTGCTTAAGCGATTGGCGCTGACCGCAGTGCGAGGGCCTCAACAGTCCACTGAGCAGGGCAAGACGCAAAAACGATCATATGATTTGGATAGCAGGGACTTTTTCTGGGCCAAGAACGCTTCTACACCCTTCCCGCAGGTCGCAGAGGATATCGACGCAGAACTGAACAGATACAAGTCTGACGCGGCCGATATCACCCGATCGACCGGTATCAGCAGCATGGATGAAGTTGGCCAGCTGTGAGTAGGGTGACGTGACTGAACATCCTGATGTTGCCTCCGAGACATGCAGCCGCTCGTACGAAGCTGACAATCCGGGACTCGTCGACGCGTGGCACGAGTAGAGATCTGTCATCTAATGCAGCGCACCTGAAAGCGGCAGTCACTGCATTGCCGGAGCTCACAGCTCGGAAGCAGACCATTGATGCGCACATGAACATCGCGACGTCGTTGCTTCAAGGCATCAAGACTCGAGGCCTGGACACGCTTTTCCAACTCGAAGAAGGCATTGCGAGACAGGTGCGTTTTGGCCAGCACCAGTAGTAGCACTTGCGATCCGTTGTGGTAGCGTCCCTGTCTCGTACTAATATAGTCTCTTGCCATCTCTTGCGACTCGCAGAACAAGACAGTCATCATGGACACAATCAAAGATCCGACACTGGAGTCTGTCGAGGACAAAGTGCGGCTGTTCATCATCTACTACCTCTCCGCTCCTGACAACGTCTTTGCGAGCCGCGCTGATGTGGAAGAATTTGAAAAGGCACTGACCGATCTCGGAGCTGATTTGCGCGCATTGCAATACGTCAAAAAGTAAATTTTGCGTGTACGGAGCGGTCTCGCAACGCGATTGATCACAGAAGCTGAATTCTACTTTTGTCGCCCCACAGAGTCCGAGAGCTAACGCGCATGACCATGCTTGCGTCGGCACCTGCACCTCAGCCCGCAAGCGGAGGCGGCGGCGAGCTGTTCCGAGGGTTCAGTTCGCTCAGTAGTCGTGTGAGTACAATCCTCAGCCGTATCTTGTAGCATGCACTGCTAATCCCACCCCTCACACGGTGCTCACCACGTGTGCTTGCAGCTCACTGATCGCTTGAAGGACAGCGGTCTCGAGAACATCGTTGCTGGAGTCAAGAATTTCTTGCCAGCACAGAAAGACTTGACGGTGACTCGCCTCGTCTCAGCGCTGTTAGACCCGAATTCGGCCTCCAACCAAGTACGCCAAGAGGTGGAAGATTGGCTCTCCTTCGACATGGCTCCACGTCGAGGCAGAGCGACAGCTGGCTCCTCTGCACAAACCGGAGCTGGATCCAAGGATGCCATCGTCTTTGTTGTCGGAGGAGGTTCTTACGTCGAGTATGCTAACCTGCAAGAATACGCTGCTAGGACTGCGAGGACGCAACCCGCAAACAGCGCTTATCCTACGCCTGGAAACAGCGCTCGGAGGATCACGTACGGATCTACGGAGATTCTGACTCCCAGCGCCTTTGTTGGCGCTTTGGCGAATCTGTCTTAAGTCCGCGGCGTCCAACACTACTTCATCTGCAAGGGCTCGAAGCTTTGCGATCGATTCTCAATGCATGCTTGTGTTCTACGTCCATACAGCAAAGATGAGTCTGGTATCGAGCCATGAAACGCAATGAGAGCGCGAGAACGGCATACAGGTGATCGTTCCAGAGGCAGCGCTCTGGCGAGGTGTCGAGGAAGTGCCCACTACAGCCATGAGCACCGTGCCCCCAGACTTGTCAGCCCATGATTTGGCGGTGTTATGCTAAACTTGCGTCACCTGTCCCTTCAATGTGCGCCATGCTTGGATGGAGGCCGAATGATGTGCAATGCATGACCAAATCGCGCGGAGATTCGAGCGCGGATCCGTGCTTGCCTCCAAGATGAGGCTTCGACGAGAGCAATGAATAAGGTCGCGCTACCCTCTTTGGAAACTGTGTAAGGCAAAAGGCAGAGAGAAGAGGGTATTCAGGTCAGCCATCAGGTTCCTCGAGCAGCTCTGCACAAGCCAGCCAACTCAACGACCGCAAAGTCCTTGCACCACCCACTCCGACTTACTTTTGTCCCTGATTCTTTTTCCTCAGGTAGAACAAGTCTGTCCTGCTAGCTCCCAGGTTGACGACTTTTGGACATCCATCCCTATCCTTTTCCAAGCGCGTACATTCGGCGCAATAATAAGCGTCTGAGATTCCTGGTCCGCCGCACACAATGCATCTTCCACCGTACGTGCCAAAATTGCACTCTTCGCAGATCCGAACCAAAGTGGCAGGCCGAACGTAAGAGTCACAGATTGGACTAAGCAGCGGGGAGATGTGTAAATGGTCACTAGGTGCTCGACACTCGTGGGTCTAGTAGCCTCTTGATTCGTGAGGTGCCAGTGCTCACCATTTTCCATCACACTTTTCACACAAGCGCCCGATTGCTATTCCAGGTAATTTCCTGCAGAGGATCAGGTCTGGGTGATGCCTGCGTGATGAAGGGGATGGAGAGCAAAGATCAGTCTTGAACACTTCATCCCGCTCTAGAATAGCATTTTGATTGTCTCTTGGTGCGGATATCCCACCCTTGCAAAGAATGCTGCGCTTGGAAGCACACGACACTCACTTGGACATGTTGGAGCCGGCGTAAAAACGTAGCCTCCTAAGAAGTGGATGGCAGAGCCCCTGCAAGCGCGCTGTCTCAGTGTCTCAGTCTTCGAATGGTGGACTCAGAGCTGCTTCAGACTGGCAGCTGCGCAATGTACGCGATGCGATAGTGGCGCACGAGATGTCTTGAGTTGAGATTGTAACGGTTGGAGGTTCCACTCTCAAGGACAGGACTCGAGATCAATGTCAGAGGCTGTAGGCGGCAGATGGGACAGCTCGGATGATATTCTCCTTGACATCTGCTGTTCAGAGCAAAAACGATTGCTGAATGCAACACACTGCTGCTCAGCTCGTGATTTTGCTCGTGCGCTGCGCGTTCTTGAGCTGCTGCAATCGAATGGTGCAGGCTGTCCTAGTCCCGCGGCTGGCTCTCTGCTTCAGGAGGGAGTGGCGTTGAGGGATCTTGCTCTTGATGAAGGTGGTGATGATGGAGAAAGCTGCGAAGGCTGGATCTATGATGAGTCTGGAAAAGACTGTTGCTACACGTCGATGAACTCATCTTGACTCCAAGCCGAAAGCTCTCTTCTGACTTAACTCCACTAGGACCGAGGCGTCACGTGATGCAGCACCACAATGGCCTCGAAATGCAAGCAAGCGATTAGAAGATGATCGTTCACTTTGACTCGTCAGACTCACGAGTCAAGACTTTTGAATCTCACTAGCTTTCCAACCGAGTTGTCGCCCTTTGGCTCTAACACCACCACATCCGTTGCATGCATGTGTTTCAGCAGCGCATATGTGCTCCCATAGGCACCTGTGCTGCTCGGCTGCCAAGTCGCCAGTGGTGATCGGCCAGTCATAGGCGCATCCAGCATCCAGCACCACCTCCACTCTCCGTGCAGACACGGCCTCGGACCCCAAATTCCAAACTCCTTCGACACGAGCATGACCTTACACACGCCTGCTCGTCCCTCTTCGTCCTTTGCTTCAAGCTCGTCTCGCACGCCGATAAGGATCGCACCACACGACATTGAAAGCGGCTCGCGACGAGGTGTGAGCCTAGACGCAGACGATTCTTCAGAATCCGAGTTGGAGCTAAGAAGCAGTACGGATGGTGGCGGTAGCAGCTCTAGCGCCAGTATAGATGATGGCGAGCTCAGTGGGAACAAAATGCTCGGAACTGCTGCAGGTGCCGTCAATGGCGTGGTCAGCCCAGGAGCGGAACAAAGGATGCACGAGGCGAATGGCTTGCCAGCCTCGAAGAACACAAGCAAGGACAAAGAGACATTGGATGAAGGATCGGCAGGCACCGAAGAGGGTTCTAACGAAGCATCATCTTCATCTAGACCGAGGCGTACTGCTTCGTCGAAAGCTCACCTGGCGTGGGAAGGCAGGGCTCCTGATAGAGCTCCCAGGCTGCTAGTAGAGGTTGAACCACGCAAACGTGCTCGGACGTCAATCTCTGCAGGTCCCAAACGTAGAGTCGGGCGACCAAGAAAGAATGCGGATGCATCAGCAGATGCCTTTGCTGGAAAGCAGGCTGGCAAGGTGTCGATCCCAAAGACTGGAGGGGCAGCATATGAGCGCGACGACTCGGAGGAGAGCGAATTGGCCAGTCGGAATAGCGATGCCGAAAGGGATTTTGATGCTTCAAGCCACACTCTCGATGAGGGCAAAGGTAAAACCGGAGCAGTAGTGCAGATCGATGTCACGCCTCGGAAGTCTCGCAGGCCAAGTCCAAGTGCCTCTCTCTCCCGCTCAGTCCCTTCGCCATTCGCGGACGAAGAGGAAGCTCCACCGGTCGTTGGGCCACGCAAGCGTGGTCGACCACCAAAGAATGCCAAGGTCAGCGCAAGCTCTTCAACATCGCAGTCTTCCACCCCCAGAAGAGGGGCCTCATCGTCCGCCTCTGGCTCAGCGTCAAAACGCAAGCGCATCACCCCTAGCCATTCGAGCGTATCAAGAGCCCGACCCACTCCCAGCACGCCGAGCGGTCTCACTGGCAGATCTGAGAAGCATGATGGACGCAAGGGGGAAACACAGGACGACGCTTCGGCATCGGCCTCACTTGTGGTGCCCACTTCATCGGATGCGTACTTTGCTGCGCACGCGAGCACTCGATCCAGAAAAGCAAAGGATCAAACCTCTTCTGCTCTTTTGTCTGCTCGCTTGGGCCCCCTGCGGCTATCTTCCATTGCCGATTTGTCCCAAGTGTCCACCACTCATACCGGCCTCTCCACTTTTCAACGTTCTCACAACTCGTGGAGGTACATGCTGCAGGATGGCTTTCCGATCTTGTTTCACGGCGTGGGAGAAATGAAACAAGTTCTGGACAGCTTTGCCAGTCGGATGGCCGAGGAGGGGTATGCAGACAGCGTCATCGTGAGGGGCGATCATGTGAAACGACCCGAAGAAATTCTAGACGCTGTTGAATTGGCGTTGGGCATGGAGAAGACTGGTAGAAGAAGGGAAGAAGACGACGTGTTTGCGACGCCAATTGAGAGGAGAGCTGCTCTCGTTTCCAAACACTTGCGTAGAGGAAGACGACGGCCAAAAGGTGGCAATCCTCTTCAAGACGACGAATACGACGATGACGACGACGACGACTGCTGGCTTGATCATTGGCAGGATGTTAAAGCAATTGCGGAAGCAGTCGATGATCTCGAATTTCCGCCTTTGCTGCTACTGATTCACAATGTGTCCAGCGCTCCGCTACTCGTTCCGCGAGCACAACGAGCGCTAGGCATGCTTTGCAGGAGCAAGCTGATCTGGCTGATGGGGAGCACAGCGCACGTTCGCGCAGCCTCCTTGCTAAATCTGCATCCTTCGAGCCCAAGGTGGGTGTTGCACGCGCTGCACACCTTCATTCCTCGAGAGCCTTCGGCGCGCGTAGCTCACTCAGCCGGACTACCACGGGCTTTGTACGGTTCCGCGTCTAGCAACAGCGCTCAACGACCCGTAGGATCGGCAGCACCCTCAGCGTCGCTTGGGATTTCCTCGGGCACTGCGCACGCAAACGAAGCTCAATCAGATCTGAGCGCAAAGCAAGCTCTTCACATCTTCAAGAGCGTAACGAACAATGCTCAGTCCCTCTTTCTCAAGCTGGCCAATCTACAATTGCAAAAGTTGCGCTCGGACACGCCTGCTGCTGCGCCGGGAAGCACGACGTACAGCGAATTGGGAACATTGGCAGCTCGCAATTTTATAGCTACCAATCCGGGATCCTTGGCCTTGGTGGTGCACGAATTCACGTCGCACGGCTTGTTGCGGGCCGTAGGATCCGATACGCAAATGGACAATACGGGATCGCAGTCGCAATCGGGCGTGCCTGCGACGCAGGTGGTGCAGGGTATCAGCACCTTTGCGTCTGCTACAACGCTGAGACTTGCTCTGGACAAGGAAGAACTCGAGAGGGCTGTGCAGCTTTGCACCGCTGCTAGAGCCCATCGATGAGTGATGCGCGAAAGGACATGCATCAGAGCCAAACCCCGTAGCGCCCCTTGTTGTGATTCACCATCCATACGCTGTACTCTTCGCAATGAAAGCAAAAAATTCGACACAGTCACGAGTGTCATCGTCGTGGGGAAGCAGACGCAATGCAGGGTGAGGTGACGTGAATCGTTGCAGCATTGCACTTCGTCCTAGAGTTCAAGCAGTGACAACATGGGCACTTTGAGCACTCGCAAGCACTCGCGATCACCTTCTGAGTCATGTGAAGTGTTGAACTTAGTACCAAAGCTGCAAGACCACCCAAAGAGCCAGCGGAGGAAAAGCTACGGCGCCAAAGTCCGCAAACAGAGAAGTTGCTGCACGCTTTCTCTTCTTCTTATTCCTTGGAACTGCTCCAGCTCCATACTGGATCTTGGTAGGGCTCAAAGAGCCCAAATCCAGGTGATCGTCCGAGTCCTCATCGGACGTGTTGCCTCGTGCTGTTCTGGATGAATCTTGCGCAGAGTCGACTTCCAGATCTACCATTTCCCAATCGTCTCTGTCAGCTGCGCTGGCTGCGTCGTTGGGAGGAGCATGTGCACGGGAGTACAAAGGAAGCCAAGAGGCGCGTTTTGCTCGTCCTGGTGCTTTGCCCAGCTTAGAAGATGTTACCTGGGAGTCCGCAAAGGAGAACAAGAGCTTGTCTCTCCATCCCATCCGCCTCAGGAGGGCTAAACAGCAAACCACTGCGACAGCTAGTCCAGCATAAACATGAGTCCAAATAAGTATCTGGTCAGGCAGCAAGTAGGGCGCATAGTGGATCCCCGCAGCCTCCGATGTAGGCCGCCTAGACGCGCCTTGCTCTTCTGTGGTGGTCGCGGCGGAGGGAGGGTAGAGATGCAGCAAGGCATAGCCTGGATGACGGATGCCATCCGTCATAGCAAAGCCCTTGAGAGTCAACTCAGGTACTTTGTTGGGTGGCAACCACGGAAGATTGCGAATGTCGGAGCGCCATAGAGAGTTGCTCTGCGAGCTAGATCGCACCTCTGGTACGTCGTGTAACATCTCGCAATGGTCGTGGTCGTCGCCGCTACAGCGCAGGATTTGGGCGTGTTAATGTGACTTGCATCTCCACACAAAAGCACAAAGCGATCATCTCTCACCTAAACACCACGCTAGGCCGAACAGACTCGAGCACCCATCGACTGACAGCTTGACCTATCTCATTCTTGTACGTGTGACCTGCATCTTCACCTTCGCGAAGACTGGACCTTGCTTCTCGCGTCACACCATGCGTGGCCCCCGCCAAGTTGCAAGGTGTGCCCGCCGGTCTGTAGAGCGGAATGTGTGTCATGAGGACGCGAGGCGGATCTGTTGATTGAAATTGATGACCCAGGCACTTAGCGAGACCACACCGGGCATGTGAGAGCATACGGGTTCCTCTTATAGACTTACGATCTTTACGTTTTGCAAGCTTGTTCAAAAAATCCTTCACTTCATGTGCCCCTTCGACGCTCGCATCGTCGTCACTTGCTTCTGACGGGGCACGCATCCGAGCCAAAGCCAAAGCGTCCAGCAATATGATTTCGTGTGTCGGAGGAAGAGTAGCGCTGTCCCCAGTACCATCGTGCGCCTTGTCAAGTCTCCCCCCAGCCCAGATAGGCACGATGACATTGATTTTTCTCAGCCCTTCATTATCCACCAACTCAAATTGTTCTTCCCTTGGCTTCTCTGGCAACGCCTTGGCTAGGCCAAGAGCTGGTCGAGACGCCCCGCTCCACTTTCCCAGCTTTAGATTGGAGAATGCCCCGAGTCCGTTCTTCGCCCTCGTGCCGAACGAGGCAATGTATCGCTGACGAGCTTGTGCATCCACTGGAATGGATGGTGATGGACCAAGACCTAGATCATGATTACCTGGAATGTAGATCGAAGGGGCACGCGGGGTAAAGAGCCTATCAAAGCGCTTCCGGAATTTTTTCCAGCTTGAAATTGAAGTGGCGAGCATTTTGAGTGTCAGCCACAAGGACAGTCTAAGCGCGCACATGCGCCGCCAGCGTAGCAACAACGATTCTCACTCACCTCTCATCCGACATTTCCCTTCTGCCCCCATCGAACAGATCGCCCAGCCAGACCACCCCATCGCAACTCCTTTTGGCTCCCTTGAAAGCTCTCCTCACGAAAGTGTCTGCAGCCCACCTGACCACCGGTCCCAATCTCTTTGGCACATCTTCATAAGTGTGCTCATCCACCAGCTGAGGATCCGCAACCAGCAGCAACCTTAGCGGTCTGCTCATTTTTTTGCGCGCAGAATTGCTGCTGGTCGAAGTAGATGGTTGGGAAATGAGACGCCAGCGCTCCCAGGTCAATCTTTCTGCCCAGAGCACAAGGGCCAGAGCGAAGAGCCGGAGGAATTGCACAGTCTGAGGTGCTCGAGTCAATGATCTGATCGTTCTTCGAGGTAGGACTGCTATTCTGTAAGTTGCGCTCAGAACCAATTCTGCAGGTCTCGAAAGCTTTTTCGGTGGAGCGCGCCTGGAAGAAATGTCACGTAAGTCGTTGCCGTTGGTGTTGGAGGCGGAGGCGTGAGCGCTGGACGGCATGGGTAAGATGAAGGAGCGTGATCTCGAAGAGGTGGGTGTAGAGCTTGCGCCAGCGTAGGAAGTTGAAGCAATCGATTGAGCTTGATTGAACATCATCTTCGTCTCGAGGTTGGCCAGGCAGATGCGTGGAGGCACGAGTGTGTCCGGTGAGTGAGTCTGCCGGAAGAAGAGGCCACCAGACGATGTGACCTGCAGGCGCTCAGAGGTAGCGCTCCCTTCACGTCGGCTCCCTTTGAAATTGCTGGCTAGCCGAGATCGAACAGGCTGGTCAGGAGCACCGGTCACACAGCCTCAATCACGATTCAGATTCTCGAGTGAGATGGTGATGGTCAGCTGCATGTGCCCTTTGCTGGAGCCCCAGCTGCTGGAGATCTATGTACGGTATACGGAACTTACTTCGACCTGAACCGTGGTGAGAGACGCAGCGCACGGACCTCATCGGCGCAATCGCAGCGGACGCGTGCACGCAGTCGTGAGTGCATATCGGAGACGCTGGACGTGGCGAGAATACGCCGACCATTCGATGCCCTTTCTCTGTGATTCGATGCTCTCTCATCATGACTCGACCATCATCTCGGCGCATACATGCTTCCACTTCCCGCTCTGGATCTGCTTGATGGTTCACATCCATCGTCTCGCTTTGCGGCATCTTTGAGCAATCTTGTACCTTTCCTGCTTAGTCTCGCAAGAAGTGCGTACTGACTGTGCCCAAGATGGCTGCTCGCGAAGCGTCAGTCCACAGGGCCGACCTGCCAAGCGACGTGTCAGCTCGCATAGGTCGACCCCTCTCTGATCTTCCGACGCCGAGCTGCGTGGTGGATGTACATCCCATGCGGAGCAACATTGCTAGAATCTATACTCTGTACGCTTCCACTTCCGGCAGGATCGGTATTCGCTGGCACCTCAAGACGCACAAGACCTGGCAAGCTACAAGGGAGATGCTGAGGCCGGCGTACGCCGATGAGCAAGGCACCAACAGGCGTGACGCAGTAGCTCTGGCGGCCGAGACTTGCGATGATGCGAGAGGGACTGATCGAGCGATCGTGTCTACTCTAGCAGAGCTGCAAGGACTCCTCACAGACGGCATCGTCAATGGCGCCAAATCTAGCATCCTAAGTCAGGTGCTGTATGGTCTGCCACTTTCCCCGGGTCGCATCCCGCGACTTGCGGCCATCAGAGCAGAGTACAAGCGTGCATTCGGCAGCGCGGTAGAGAAAGAGAACGGCACCACCAAGGGAAAGCCGACCGAAGTTCAGATCTTGCTGGACGATGTGCAGCAAATCGAAGCTCTCGAGGCGTTCACCAAACAACAGCAACCCAGTGCTGACCAGCCTTGGCAGGCCTTTATCAAGGTAGATTGCGGCTACCGGTAAGCCCTTATGCGTTCCAAGCTCTCGCGATCCGCTCTTTGCTGACTCCTGCAAAACGTTCAAACGTCTAGTCGAGCAGGCGTCCCATTCGAAACAAATCAGCTAACAAACGTCTTGCACAAAGCGCTTGCTTCTCCCGCTATCCACCTGGTGGGCTTCTATACGCATGCAGGTCATTCCTACGGCTCCAGATCCCACTCTGATGCCTCGTCAATGCTATCGACCGAGATCAATGCCGTATCTTCCGCAGCCAAAGAGGCGCATTCCATCTTACGATCATCCAGCTCGTCAGCTTCCAGACATCCTAATCAATCGATCGAGCAAATTTTCACCCTAAGTGTGGGAGCCACGCCTACATTCCACGCGGGTAGGGACAGCTCTTCTTCGGTCTGGAACCAAATCCTCTCTTCACTCCCTCCGAGCACATCTTTGGAGCTTCACGCGGGCAACGCACCCTTCTTGGATCTCCAACAAGTAGCTACGCGTCTGAACGATCCGGACGCCATTTCGCGCTGCGCAGTGACGGTGCTCAGCGAGATCATCTCCGTCTATCCGCGACGTCGCCCACAAGTCCTGTCTCTGTCTTCTGAGGAGGCCAGCCACCAAGCCGAGCAATCGTCCGAAGGGTACTGGGACGAAGCTCTGTGCGATGCGGCAGGCACTGCGTTGAGCAAGGATACGGGCCCATTTAGCGGTCATGGACACGTCTACTATCCCAAAGATTTGAGGGGTTGGAAGCTGGACCGCATATCGCAGGAGCATGGTGTGCTCGCTATCAGGGACGGACAAGTGGAGGAGTGGGAAAGGGAATGGGGTGTGGATGTTCAAAAGGAGAGGGGCAAGTGGATCAAGGGAGCTCCGAGAGCATTCAAGGTCGGCGAAAAGATCAGAATTGTACCTCAACAGTGCGTAAGCGGCAGCCGTTATGCCATGGCAAGACCTAGTCCAGTCGAGCTCTGACGCGTGCTTCCTACCTTGCACACAGCGCTTGTATGGTAGCAGCAGCCCACGAATTTCTCTACGTCGTCGACTCCTCGGACCAGTCAGGCGGCGGTACCATAGCGGATGTGTGGAGACCTTGGAAAGGATGGTAGAAAGGTGGAACACGCGCGAGAATGATCAATCTCGAAGACGTTGAAGAACACCAACTCTCATTGACTGGCCATCGTTCGTGATGAAGAGCATTCGCGTAAGATGTGCACATCTCACGCACGTATGGCAGCAGTACGGGCGTAATGTGGGTGACATTCGTGACTTGAGCGGATGCGGCACGCAGCATTGTTGTTCGTAGAGCACAGGCAAGCAGGGCAGGGTTAGAGTCATGCACGTCGAACGAGCCGCCCGCGTCATGCACGAACGCGAGCTCTCAACCCTCAGCATACACAGCACAAAGAGCGATCCACAACCTGTTGTAGAAAGAGACGAAAGCTCTTTCTCCTCTTTCCCAAGCTGATTCTTCCTGAGCTCTGATCTGATGAGCGATGGCCGCATAGACGCAGCAGGCTGCTCTGAGGCCTGCTCGAGCGGGCGCACAGGGCAAAGCCCTAAGCGCTGGCAAGGACTGTTCAAAGATATTTTCGGCGCGGTCCAACAAGGCCAGAACATGAGGTCGGACGTCCCTCGTCGTCGGTACTTGGTCGTTCTCTGTCTGGTTATGCTTGGCAGCAGGTTCCTCGGCCGCAAAGCATCGAATCTTGCCTAGAGAGAGTGCGTGCGAGATCCATTCGTCTTGCGGCTTTAAAATGACGAGGTAGCACCGCTGGAGGCTTTGTGCGTCGCTCACTACATCCCTGGCGATGTTGATGAGCTGCAACGCCACGCCCATATTCCTAGCGTTCCACAAAAGCTCTTCCATCCGCCGTGTCGAAGTGTCGCTTTTCTTGTCAACTCGAGCATTCTGCGCTCGAACATCCCGGCTCACGGCTAAGTCCTTGGGGATCAAGTGACCAGTGCGACCCAACACCACTCGAACGACCATCTCTCCAATCACTCCCGCGACACATTGGCAGTAGTCCATCAGCTGTTCTTCTGTGCGCATTGTTCGAGAAGCCTCGAACCTTGCGATGGCTAGGGTCGTGCTTCCGAGCTTCAGATCCATCTCGTATCCCCTCAAAAGCTCTCGGAAGAGAGACAGAGGCAAAATATGTCGCAGTGAAATGCACGCACAAGCGCACGCCCTCACCTCCTCCAGCTGATCAGCCGCGAGCCCATCATCCCCTTCACCCATGGAGAAGGACGATACCGCCCGGAGCACGTTGTGCCTTATTTGCGAGTCGGATTTGTCTTTCGAAGGATCAAAGACAGCTTCGATGACTCCATGCAAGAAGTCAAGCTTGACGTTTCGTTTGCTCGAAGTTCCTTCCGCCACTGCACTCGCTTTCGATTCGGCGGTGGGGACAACCTCGTCGACGACATCGTCGGCGGCCCTGCACAGCGCATACAGGCAGGACAGGTCCCTGCGCAAGTCCCAGGGTAAAAGTTTGGCAGCAGCAGCGAAGCTCTTGCTAGCTTTTTCCAGCACTCGCAAGGCGGTCCGAACATCGTCTGCTTCGTCGCTACGCTCCATGGACCCCTTTGCCGATCCAGATGAGAAGCTGTCGAAAGAAATGAAAGCTTTCCAAAGGGCACCAACGGTAGACCAGGCGAAGGGCAGATGGACTGCGCCTAGAGGTGCAACACTAGATGGAGCGCAGACGCGCAAATGAAACACAGTCGTGTCAAAGGCCAAGAAGGCGCTCAGCAGCAGCAAGTTGGTGACTGCAAAGAATGCGGCCTCTTCGATCGGCAGGTCGGACACTGGAAATATGTTCACCGAAGTGGCCTCCTGTGAAAGAGACGCTTGCGAGAGAGTCAACAGCCTAGGATGCCGCGATTGGAGCGATGCCATCGGAACTCACGTTGATGTGCCACGTTCCTCTCTGCATCGCGTAGCGATCAGCAGCACACAGAGCTAATGTCGGGATGATCCAAACAGAAAGCCATAAAGCTTTTCGGCCGAAAGACAGCGCTTGCCAAGCCCCTTGAACGCCGAACCAGAGGAGCGTGAGTGGGACTGAGACCCACCAGGCAATCATGCCGCCATAGTACGTGTGTGTCTCCTTCTTGGCGTAGTGCAAACCGACGCAGAAGACGACAATGGGCACCAAGAACAGCCTTCGCCGGTGTGTCTGAGACGCGGTGGGCGGTTGCCATCGAAGGATCAATGTGGCAAAGAGCGTCGTGATGAGCGATTGGATGATGAACTGGGGTACAATTGCGTCAGCTCTTTCGATCAGCAGGTGCGCAAGAGCTACGACTTGGCGCGGCAAGCTAGACTTACAAATGCGTACTCTTCCACTGGCACATGACCTATTCTAGCCAACACGCAGGTTTCCGGATAGCTCCAAGCTTTGTTCTTGACGATGACGTTATCCCACGGTGTAGTCCATACCAACGCTAGAAGGGATATCACCATCAGCTTGGCCTTATCCAGGCGAGCAAGGAATGGTCTTGCAAGACCATACAGCAACGCAAGCGATGGTAAGGTGAAGCGCAAATGAAAATCGGAATAGCGTAGAAGGCAGGCGGTTGATGGACTCGAGATGAATGAGCTGAGAAAGACGGTGATGCTCAAAACGACGTGCATCAAGAGGGGCGAGCGTCGATACCGAAAATCGCCAGTCGAACGCGCTCGCCGTGCAATGTGAGTTATCGTCGTCATTTCGTCGTTCTGAAATCGCTTGATCGTGCCAAGGTACGCTCTGTTACCAGTGAAGGTTGTCGTGAATGGAAAGAGGGCGCGAAATGGCCGTCTGAGTGGAGCGGACAGGAGACGTTCGGTGCAACTCGCATCCCGAACTTTGATGTTGCGTGAGGGTGGGTGCTAAAAGGACTCCAATTGATGGCAGAGGCCGGCCTGCGCCCGAAACACACAGCAGTCGTGAGTGCGAGTGTGAGATGATGGGGGGGAGGTTAGGAGGGGAGTGAGATCCAGATAAAGGCCGGCAAAGGGAAAGCAGCAAGGCTGATGAGAGTGTTTTTGCCTACCGTCTAGCCGAGGGCTTGACTCCATGACGAAGGAAAGGATGCAGCAGCAGCAGAGAGCAATTCGTGATTTGGCGGCAGAGTGGAGGGAGGACCGCGCGGCGCATGCAATCAGCAGGCAGCAGCATCCTGCCTGTAGCGGCTGCATCCATCCAGCATGCATCCATCCATCCATCCATCCATGACGGACCCTGCAGATCCGACCCGGCATGATCTGTCGGCACGGCTGGGTGCAGCACCTGCAAAGGAGCTTGCATGGCTGCTGATGGGCCGGCGGTCAAGCTCGCACTCACGCTCACGCTCCTCAGCCAGAATAGTCACGAGCGTGTCATAGGTATATCAGTATATTATAGGGCTCCTGTTTCACTGATACACAATTCAAGACTCTCGTCACGACCTCGCACGCAGGAAGGACCAAGCTGCCATAGCATTCACATGCCTGACCCGCATTCTTGATTGCAATTCACCTCAATTCAAGCTTACCATGAGCGACGAGGCAGCAACGTGACTGCACGTGCATGGGGCTCATTGAATTTCTTGGTCCGGCACTTGATTGATTGGTCTTATGCAGCTCAGCTGGAACAAATATCTGTGCAATTCGACGATTTCTTGAGAGTGGACAAATCGACCTCTGACATTTGTAATTCTTGCTTATTTTGATTGTCATCCGACCATCCACCCGCAGCTGATGATGTATGCCTTGCCCCCACCTTGTTGCCCCAGCCATCAGGCCAGCAGCGGAGCTCTTAGCATATGTTTCGTGCGTTACAAGACCAGCTATATAGCTGCAAGCAGCCATGCACCGGCTCTTCACATCATTTGTGAGTGCGCACGCCTCCCACCACCATTCGTGATCAATTCGAAAGTTGTGAGTGATCCTAAGTTTAATGTACAATCATCACCACACCCGATCAGGCGTCAAAGATTGATCCAACAGCGGCGGCCTCATCGCAACCAACGTTCGTAGCCCCGCGGTCGCCGCGGACTCGTAATCCTCGCGGGCATCGGCGAGCGGACACGCAAGAAGAAAAGCGGCCATGCATGCAGCGCTAGCCTTTGACTCAAGACTCACAGACTGCAGAGCCGAGCCGGATCCACGTGAATCAGATATGCGCTACCTCGATCGACCACCTTGCGATTTGTTTCAGCTCCCATTCGACCACGATCATACATGTCATCAGCAGCAACGCGGTCAACGACTCTCCATGCACTCCACGCTGCTCGCGAGGCTTGATTTGTCCACAGCTCGCAGTTCAATCTGAGTCAGAACAGAGCCCGTCTCATATTCGCAATTCGGTCATACTCGGGCCTGCCCACGCGTATTATTACCGCAGATAGCAAGTGTAGCTCAAGTGCTTCGCTGGGCGAAATATAGGACCGCTCTAGTAACCTAGCTACATCCCTCGGCTTAGCTTATCTGAGTCAAGAGTATCTCCAAAGACCTTTGCTTATCGCATCGCGATTTCGATGCTTCTAGCTGCTGCTTGATTGAAGCGCTCTATCGCATCGAGAGAAGCGGCCGCCGACGGACAGGACAACGCTACAGCAGTCACGTATACACACGCCTTTGCACGCAGCCAGCCGCCACACTTGGCCCTCACACTCACGAGTACTGTGACTGTCTCGCATCATGTCATCCGCGACCACCACCTCCACCTCCCCTTCCTCTGCCAAAGCTCCGCCGGCCAAGAAGCGACAAGAAAAGCCGCTCAACTCGCTAGTCGCTGGTGCTTTTGCAGGCGCAGTGGAAGGGTTTGCAACGTACCCTACCGAATACGTCAAGACGCAAGCTCAATTTGCAGTGGCTAGCGGAGCCAAACCTCCCGGGCCTTTTGCCATTGTCAAGGAGACGGTGGGTAGGAACGGCGTGCGAGGCTTGTACGCAGGTTGCTCGTGAGTTGTCTCAGCTTGGCACAGCTCCGAGTTCGGAGAGCGTTTGAGGCGGCAAGATTTGACGCTGTCGATGCCTACATACCTCTCGTTCATGACCAATGTCTTGTGGCTTGTGCATAGAGCACTCGTTGCGGGCAACGCGGTCAAAGCAGGAGTCAGGTTCCTCTCTTACGACAGTATCAAGCTAGCCGTAGCTGATCGCCAAACGGGTCAATTGACTCTTCCAAGATCCATCGCTGCTGGTTTTCTGGCAGGCTTGTGCGAAGGTGCTTTTGCTGTCGCCCCCTCTGAAGCTATCAAGACGAGACTGATAGAAGATGGAAAGAAACCCAAGTCGGAGAGGTTGTACAAGGTGCGTCACTCTTGACTGCTTTCGAAGCTGTGAGACGCGCTTGGACCGGCGCATAGCTCCGCAGTCCTGCTCGTAAGAGGGTGTCTAGATCGAAGCAAGTCTCACGATGCTCTTCTTGCACGTTGGCCACATCAGGGTCTCATCAGCGGTAGCGCAGCCATCGTCCGCGCGGAAGGCATTCGCGGCATTTACAAAGGTCTCGTGCCAACCGTGAGTCTGATCGGAGCTCGTTTCGAGCCAGGCGCCCCGACGACCCTGCTGACGAGCCGTCACTTTTTTGCACCTGCACCTGCGCACACAATTGGCAGATGGCGAGACAAGGAGCTAATTCTGCAGTTCGCTTGACAACCTACTCGACACTCAGGGCGCTCGCTACCAAGGATGGGCGCAAGACGGGCAGTGTGGAGACATTCTTGATGGGTGCTGCTGCGGGTGTGGTCACAGTCTGTGCGTATTTCCAGGAAGGATTTTGCTAGACCTCTTGTCTCTAGAGATGGGTACTGACTTTCTTGTACTTTGCCCCTTCATCGACTTCCTTGCCTCCCCCCGTTCTAAGACCTGACGATGCCTTTCGAGTGAGTGTGCTCGGCGTGACTTGCAGAGCCCACGTCAACGACCCGCTGACGCGCATTTCGATCTTCCACTCTTCTCAGCGTGGTCAAGACGCGATTGCAATCTGCCAATTCGGCTCGCTATACGGGCATGCTCAATTGCTTCACGACCGTCCTGAAGGAAGAAGGTGTGCTGAGGTTCTGGAAAGGCACAACACCGCGGCTTACCAGGTTGATACTGAGCGGAGGCATCGTCTTTACCATTTACGAGAATGCTCTCAACCTACTAGATACCCTGGAACACAAGGCTGTTGACGTGGTCAAGGACAACGGAGTGGTCAAGGCGTAAGCTGCTCTGCAGTTGTACTTCTTTGCACTCGCGAATAGACCGTTCCAAATCAACACCCAAAAATCGCGATCCGAGGACCCAGGTCTGGCCTTGCGCCTTTGCTTTCCGGGATAGAGCAGCCATGTCGGAGCTTGAAGGCAGCGCATAGACAGGCTCATATATGTATTGTACAGTGTGTGTCGAGAGTGGGAGCGGGTACGTAAGCAAAACGAAGATGCTTGAGAGAGTGTGCGTGTTGAAGGGCGCGAACGGCTCCGGGTCTATGCGCTCGTATGCCCGAGAGAGACAGCGTTTGCAACAAAGATTGAGGCTAAGTAGGCTCGAGGGCTCAGATCGGCTGGCGTGCCGAGGTGGGACTGCGGGACTAGAGTGATCCAGGGCAAAATTGTGCCAAGCTTGCGCAAATCGCCGGGCGCTCGCTGCATTGCACACAGATGCGCAATGGACGCCTCACTTCAGGACCCCAAGATTATAGTTGATCGCCTAGCAACTGCACCTGTCTCGCGCCACACCGAGACCATACCCCACGACTCCTCCAGGATCTGACAGACTGATGTTGCCCCTCGTATCCGAGGCGCTGCCAGCAGGCGCGCCTCCGGGTATACGATCGCCGGGTCTTCGACCCGTCCCTGCAGCCCAGAGTGAGGGTGTGGAAACGATCTGCGGCGCAGGCCAATCGCGTTCAGTGCGAAATTCGTGCATCAGTCATCCGTACCACACTTGGCAAGACTTGTTCGAGAAGCAGCGCTCGGGACTGGACACTCACCCTGTTGACCAGCTCATCGAAAGCTCCGCTAACACCTGAACCACGTTTGGCACTGCACTCAACAAAGAGCGCACCCATCTTGTCTGCGAACGCCTTGCCTTCTTCGGTCGTCACGACTCGCGAGAAATCCTGCACAAAGGAGAGGCCGAGGTGCGCAAAGGTCGGATACGTCAGCTGGGAGCCCTTCTTCAGCCTCTTCAGGGCTTGGGACAGACACCAGTGACCTCCTCTCGCGCTGCATTTGCAAACAGAAAGCCACTGCGAGTCATCGCGACTGTCTACACTTACCTTGTCAACTTTGTTGCCCACCACGATCTTGACGACTTCGGGACTGGAGCTGAAAGTCTCGAGTTCCGAGAACCAAGTAGGCAATGCGTCGAAAGAAGATCTCTGCGTGACATCGTAGGCTGCACGAACCCAAGCAGTCCTTGCATCAGCTCGGCGACAGATAGTGCAGCCTGCTGAAGCGCTGATGAGCGCAATGTCGCACCAACCAGCACCCCACTCACCGATGATGACCCCATGAGCGCCCCTATAATAGCTGCTAGTGAGCGTCCTGAACCTCTCCTGGCCCGCTGTATCCCAAATGCTCAGCTTGTATCTCTTGCCCGAAACAGTGATGGCCTTGATCTTGTAATCCACGCCAATCGTAGCGCTGCTCTCTTCCGGACCCAAAAACTCGTCGTCTGTGAATCGTAGGAGCAAGGACGACTTGCCTACGCTGGATGCTCCGATGAGCAATATCTTGAGCGTGGGTATGTCCGGCGAGGCCATCGAGGTCATCTTGTATTTGCGTCGAGATTGAGAGGAAAAGCGGATCAGACGTGCTCAAGATTGATGCCCGATGGGCTATTCCGACGGCGACTCGGTGGCGAGCAGGTGCAGCGGCGGAGGCCCGTTGTGAGTGCAAAGTACGTGCGTAGCAGAGTCGAATAGTGTCCTATCGAAGCTATAGGAAAGCGTTGTTGCTGAGGATTTTGCTGTCGTTGGGGACTTGCAAAGCAGATGATGGGTGCGGTCAACGTGAATAGCCTACATCTAAGTTTGACCAGGTCAATGACTGCAGATCAACATCATGATCTGCGAGCGCTGAGAGAGAGGGGCCCGGCTCAGCCCAAATCCGCTGTGGAGACGCATCCGAAGCATACGCGCGCACTGCAGTCGTGAGTGGCGCGCGTGCATGTTCATTGACTCCGTGGTTGCGACTTGCGCGGTCCTCGTTGCCGGTTTCGGTTTCGCGCTTTCATATCATCCTCGCGCTCGTGTGCCTTGCCTGTTGGGCTGAACGCACGGCTGTGACGTCACGTGAAGGCCTGCCCACAAAGCTCAGCAGATCTTGCATTCAATTTGATTTTCTTTGGATTTTGTGTTCGAAGAACCAATTGAAATGTTCGCGCTGCGAACTTTTGAGGCTGCGCAATCAAACCACGGCGATTTTGAAAGCATCGCCACGGCAGTCGGCAAGCCCGCTTTCCGAGTTGCCGATTGGCCAACCGTACAGTCTTGAGTGATACGACAATCACAATCAAACACTTTTGTGAGTCGCGAGTGCGGACAAGCGCTCAGCTTGAGGCGACTTGACTGGATACGCTGCACTCAGCACGCCGGTCCATGGGCTGAGCGGATTCACCGCATGGCTACTTAGCAGGCATATGTCGCCTCCTAGGACGCTCTCATGCACGCAAGCCAGAACGTCCAAGCGTGGGGCCTATGAATATCTGACGAGAATAGCAAAGATTGAATTACAAAGAGAGAGATGGGAGGGTCCAAGTAAAAAGTATGTTGTGTATTGTTCACGTCTTGTTAGTGTCTTATTGAATAGCGATCTCCTTTCGCAAAGGACTTGCTACTCTTGCGCTCACTCTGTCAGCTCTTGGGCGCGAGTGGCAGCAGAAAGCTCGAGGCTGTCGAGGACGCTTCCAAATTTGACGACGAGCAAGTCGTAGAAGAAAGAGTGTCGCAGGTACCAGGGGGCCTTGTTTCCTCCCTTTGGCAGATCCTTTCGAGCCCTGGTAATGTAGCCCGAATTGAGGTTGATCAGCGGCTTTTCGTTCACAGTAGTGTGGTCGCAGCGAGGAGTGACCACGTCGATGCCCTTCTTGTCCATCTCGTTGATCAAGCGCGCAATGTAGCGAGATGCCAAGTCGGATCCGAGCGTCCATGACGCGTTGGTGTAGCCCAAGCAGAGACCAAAGTTTGGTACGTCTTCGAGCATCTGTCCTTTGTAGATGTACAGTTGTCCGATGTCTTTCTTCTTTCCATCCACGTACAGCTGAGAGCCTCCTGCCATTGTCATTTTGAGCCCTGTCGCAGCAATGATGATGTCTGCTTCCAAAAAGCTTCCGTCTTTGAGTTTGATGCCATTCGAAGTGATTGTGTCGATATGTCCTGTTGCAATGTTGGCTTTTCCGGAGCGAAGGGAGGCGAAAAATTCGCCGTCAGGGTCCAGGCAGATACGCTGGTCCCAAGGATTGTAGCTGGGGTTGAAGTGAGGGTCCAAGGGAATGTGAGGGGGGAGCTCCTTGGCAGTCAAGTATCTCAGCACTCTTCTGGCAACGCTGGGGAAGCCTTTGCAGATCCAGACCAGCAGGTATGCGCGGAAAGCATTTCTCATGCGGATGAACGAGTGGGCAGCTTGGCTGGGCAAGATCTTCTTCCACAACTCTACTACCGCGTCTCGCCTAGGCAGCTTGAGGAAATACCCGGGACTTCTCTGCAGCATCGTGATGCTCTTGACCTTCTCAGCCATAGCTGGAACGACAGTGATCGCAGTTGCTCCGCTGCCAACGACCACCACCTTCTTGTCGACATAGTCCAAATCCTTCGGCCAAAATTGGGGGTGAACAAGCTTGCCCTGGAAGTTGTCCTGACCCGGCAGCTCTGGGTTATGGCCCTCGTCATAGCTGTAATACCCAGCGCACGAATACACGAAGCGGGAAGTGAAGGTCTTCTCTTGGCCATTGGCGTTGACGTAGAGAGTCCATCTCTTGGTCTCGGAATTCCAGTCCAATCGTTGTACTTTGTGATTGTAGCGAATGTGTTTGTCAACGCCCGTCTCGCGGGCCGTATCCTTGACGTACTTCAAAATGTCCTCTCCACTGGGTAGTACAACAAGCGAAAGCAGCGACGTGAGTAAGAAGCCTTTTGAAATGTGCCTTGCGCGCTGCTCTCACCTCGCAATACCCTTGGCGTCGAGCCATGGTCGGAAGGGGAAGCCAAGAGTGTACATGTCCGAGCTGAGTGGCAAACAGAAGAGTCGAGTGGCACGAGCAGTCAGCTACTCTGCTCACCATCGCGTGCTCGCCCTCCTGATCCCACACAAGGTGTTGACATCGATCCGACTTGGCCAAATTGCGCTCCGTTCGCGTCACTTTGACATCAGATGGCGATCAAGCGGTACTCACTCTGAACGAATGCCGGGGTAGTTGAATAGGCTCCAAGTTCCGCCCATTTCGGAGCGACCTTCGAGCACGGTGTAATTTTGCCACTTGGTCATGGTTTGCAGCTGCGAGTGCAAGCGGGCGCCGCAGAGTTGAATTGTCGTATGATCAGCTCAGGACTTCAAACGTGGAAAGGCACTGTAGAAAGACTCGCGCACTCACTCTGTAGGATGCATTGATGCCGGAGATACCAGCACCAATGATGACCACATCGAGCTCCTCGGAGGCGGAGGCGGCAACCATATTTGCGGTGGCTGGAGATTGTATGAGCCTTGATTTGGGGTGTGCAAGCAGGCAACGTTATGTGGCGGAAGTGATGTAAATTGATGAGCGTGGAAGGGAGGCCTGCAACGACGAACACGAATGGCTGGCTCCTTATGAAGAATCGAGAGGGGACGCGAGCGAAGTCGTGAGTGTAGAGTCAGAGTCAAGAATTAGCTAGGCGGCGGTGGGACCTCCTCGTAGCTGCACGCATGCATGCTGGTTCCGGGGAAACGCTCTTTCATGAGCGCGCACCGCTCCGGCTATATCGCATATCCACTCACGACTCTGAGACACTTGCAGATGCGATCCACATCGCATATGGAGGATCATGCAGCATATGAGGGGCAAGCATGTCTCGCTCTTCTCGACCTCCTGTCTTGGGGCTTTGAAATGAGACACGAAGCAAGCTTGAGGCAGCAGCAGCAGCAGCGCAGAAAGAGCTATAGACGAACGATAAATGCGGTACTTTCAGCAGCAGCAGCTGAGCATGTGCGAGCATTGTGAATATGCAGGAGCCTCGGTCATCTCCGCCTCGGTCGCTTCCTCTAGCTCGTGAGAAGCCTCGATCGGTGGATTCGCGCTGTGACTGCATGGTGATTTTAGAATTTGGATTTGTGCCGCGCCAGGACGTCAAGCAGGGACGTCGCGCGATGGAGATGGTGAATCGTGTGAATGACGTGCACACTACTTTGCGGTTAGGTTTGGTGCGCTCGCTTTAGCTGCATGCAGTCCCCAGTCCACCTTTCAAAATATCTCCGTCTTCCTGACCGAGGTCGCTCCCTGCACGGCCTTCGTTCGGAGCGCTCCCCAGCAAGAGGAAAGGGTCCAAGCTGGTTAAGTGATGAGTCGTGAGTGGTGCGTACTCACTCACACACTACTGACTGACTGAGCTGACCTACCGACACGTCAAGCGAAAGCCACCTGACGTCTTCATTTCCAGACGAACGAGCCGCCCTTCTCCAAGCTTTGATCTGTGCTCGCCACGTCTTCTGCTTTGCCTACATGGAGGAGTTGGACATCTGAAAGCACCATCCTCCTCCGTCTTCGACCGTGCCTTGCCGTCCTCAGTACCACCTGTTGTAGCCCCTGTGGCACCGAGATGCGCGTGGAGCTCTTGCGTGTGCCTCAAAAGACCACTGAGGATCGACATGCTGTTGGATTAAGCTCGGGCTTCGTTTCCAAGCATTCCGCACAACGCACCGCCGCATGTAGCTAAGAGCTGAAGCTCATTTTCGCAAGCCCAGCCGCAAAGTGACTTTCGCTGCAGCTACTGATCAATCGTGAATGGCCCTCAACACCTGGCAGAGCATTTGTGACCGCAACATTGCCATCGAGAGCAAGGCCGTCGGAAGTCGGCCGCGCGCGTGCTTCAGAGAGGAAGAAGCACATGGAGCGAGCGAGCGAGCGCAAGAGATGGGTTTTTCGCAAGTCTGTGTCAGTCTGCAGTGTGAGTCGTGAGTGGAGTCCTCCCATATCGATCCCCGCCCCCTTAACGCTTCTTTCTGACTCCTCATCCACCGGCAAAGCCAAGCCGATCAGATGCTGCTAGGCCATCAGCAACGATTCGGAATCGGTGGGACGCGTCACCCCCGCCCGCCCAAGCTTGGCCAAATTTATCCTCGGGAGTCGGTCGAGCCGAGCGCTCAGCCATGCAAGCGTGACCGCTACCCGAATTCCGTGGCGTGCCCATCGATCGTGATCAAGATTGTTCTAGAGCTTGACGAATCTGCATGCTTAACCTCATCTGCTTTCACAACTCAAAAGTCCGGACCGCACACCCAAACTGCGACGATTGCATCTAGGGACGTCGAGCGTCTTGTTGATGAATATCGTCAAGCCAAATGTGCACTACATGTGCCCGTCTAGAAAGGCGACAAAGACGTGGTATCGTCGAGCACGAAGGGTTGGAAGGAAGGCAGAGCAAGATGACGCCAGTGTGGCAGAAGTCGAACGAGGTGACTGAAACAAGGAAGAGGAGAGAGAAACAAATACAACATGTGGTACAAGAATTGGCCATACCAATGAGCTTCACTTCATCACTTTTGCAGTCATGATGTCTCCTCGCTGGCTCTCTTCATCTCTCCATCGGAGTAGTGTGAATCCAACGGAGTGAAAGGTCTTTCCTTAGCGGAGCTCTCTCTCAAGCCGCTTAGCACATCGCTGCCTTCCTCAATGGTGTCCAATTTCGCTGATCGAAGGGCAAGAGGTACACCCGAGCTTTCTTCCGTCTTTAGATCCGCTTCGCCGTAGCTTGAGACGCGCTGTCTGTGGGAAGAAGAGACGCCGTGTTGACCGCCTGCCAGACTGCTGTACGACGTCGCTTCCAAGACCTCCGCTTCCGTCTCCACGATCCTCACGCTCGTCGTGGTGAAGTCAGTGATGCGGACAAGAATCATGGGAAGCGCAATGACCAGACTGCCTGCCAGCGAAGCCCACGTGATGATGAGAAGCTGAGGGCAGACGCGGAGGTCGTAGGTCAGCAAGATCCGGTGCCGAGTGCGCTTTGATGCGAGACTGACCCTCATATACGGAATGCCTCTACTGTCCAATCGCCAAAAGACTGCGTTGCCCGATGATTGGAAAGCTTTGTATAGTCCGCTCATGTATGAGAGCTGATGGAGATTTGGAGCGTTCCAAGAGTGAGTGACGATGATCTGTCGCTGGCCCAATCTCGACATCTGCAGCACAAACAACTCACCTTCCTGCTATTGTTGCTCATGGATCCGATTGAGTAGTAGGCAAAACTTTGCCAGCAGCTGTCCGCCACACCAAAGAGGATGTACAACACTTGCAGGCCAAGATAGTACACGCGATCGTCGGTATCCTTGTAGTCCAGCGCGCGAGGTGACTCTCTTGAGAAGCTGTGTTGAACATGGTAGCTTGCGGCCCACACTAACATCGTCAGACTCCCGACGACTGCGACGCCGATCTTCGCACGCGTGGGTCTTGAAACTCGCTGAAGGTCCAGAAGCTGTCCGAATAACGGTGCAGCTATAGACTGGGCCAACCAGTAGAGCAGACTGTTGAGCGCTCTGGACCTTATCGAGAAGTTGCCCAGATTGAAGCTGTTGAAGTGATAGACGTAAAAGGAATTGCTGAAGAACCACCAAGGCACCATTAGTAGGATGAGAGGATCGTAGCGCAGGCACTTGTACATGCCTACTAGCTCCGACCTCAGTGAGGGAAAGCGAGGCGAAATTACGCGCGTTCCGTCCGTCCTGGTCACCTTGATGGGTGGTAGCAAAGCCCAGGGCAAAGCTACACCAGCTACGGTAAGACCGAGCAAGACTGCATAGCCAGCGACCGAAAGGTGTGTCTCCTTGGAGTCTGCCGTCTCCACCACGAGGACAAGAGAGCCGATGATATCGCCCGCATTGAAACAAGCCCAAGCTAGTCCAAAGAAGCGACCCTTTTCGGACTCTGTTGGAAGAGAGAGAACAAGGGTGCCATAAGCTGTCCAGAGCAGCCCAGCCGAAGCGCCGAGAATGGCACCTGCGGTGATCGTGAAGGGAGCTGTATCATCTCCCCGAACTGCGTAGACGAGCAAAGCGGCCATGTACAACCTGCAAGACATCTCAGATCTAGTCAGGACACGAATAGATGGGCAGCACCAATCATACTCACGAGTACCCTGTGGCTCCCAAGCAGAGAGTCAGTCGGACTCCCAGCTTGTTGTTGATTACTCCGCCCACCAAGCCAGATAGAGCAAACACCGCATATAGCGACGTCAAGCTATCCGAAGCGACTCTAGGATTCGCCAGTCCAGCCCCACCAATCGACGTCGCAGCGTTGAATAGCCCTACAACGAAAATCCAGATAACGATATTCAGCCGCTGCCTGACGCACCGCCGTGATGCCAATGCGCTCACCTGGACACAGGAAAAGTACCAAACCAAGAATGAGAATTTGAGTCCTAGGATTGTAGTACAGTCTCTTGAAGAACGGCTTGGGTTTCTGGTCCGCACTGCTGGCAAGAGCTACGGCGTGCTCTCCCAAATCGACTTCGTGCTCCAACGCCTCCTTCTGGCGATTGGGCTTGTATCGAGGTAGCCTCAGCTTGGCTGACATCTCGCAGCAACTAAGAGATTCTCCTTGGCAGTTTGTGAGGTGTTGCGAGCGCACAAATTGGCATACTCTGTGGGAAGCGTTGCAGCAAAGTTCAGCAGGATTGGATGATGAAGGTAGGAGTAGAAGACCGAGAAAAGGCTTGGTGAAGCCAGTGGTAGAAGGGAGTCGTGCTAAGGGCGTCGGGTTGTGGCAGTCAGCTAGAAGGCATTTGAAAGAAGTCCAGTTCCAGAGCAAGCTGCACGCAATGTTGTCGCCAGAGGACGGAGCGGTGGTGACTTTGGTGCTGTTTGTGGCAAGTTGGCAGGCTACATCTCTCTTTGATTTTGCAAGTCCGAGGGAACACGGACCGATGTCTTCCACATGGACTTAGCAATGACGGCGAAACGTTGTTTCTCACGAGCTGCGAGAGCAAGTTCGTGCTCTCAAGCTAGATGCGCACAGTCGTGAGTGCAGGAAAAGCAGCAGGAGATTTTGGCAGGATGGGCTGGCTGCTGCAGCACTAGCAGAGGTCACACGCTTCGCAGCCGCATCGTCAGCAGCAGCAGCGTGTCTGAGTTAGCCTCGCGGCGGCGACCTTCTGCTGCAGCGCGATCACGATGCAGCCGCAGAGGTGACACGGTACAGGCTGCTGCGTTAGCCTCGGTCTCTCCGGCAATCTTGCCGATGCCGTTCCGTGCGCGTAGCTTAGATGATGAGAAACAGGTGGTGGAAGGCGAGGGCAAGCTCATAGCGATCAGCGCCTCGTCTGCTCAACCCAGCAGCGATCGTGATCCAAATTTGCGGCTGCGACTTCACTTAGGCAAGGAATTCTTATTCGCAACCTGCAGCTGGTGCTGTGAGATGCGACAACAGCGAGGCGATGTCGCAACCGCAAGCACCGAATCTGGCGGATCGAGGTCGATGTTCAACTCACTCACAATCTGTGTCGCGCGGAGCCGGGCTATGCGCCAAGTGACGCCGCACATCAGCTAGATGAGCTGATATATATACACCAGTCTGGTGCATGCATGTGTACATGGACCACCGCACTCAAAAGAGTCTCCATGGGACATCCACATTCTCGCTTGTCACCTGAGATCCCCAATTGTGTCTGCTCAGAGCTCTACCTGGCGCCTCACTCTCCCGCACCTCCCCTCTCACAACTCTCGAGGCGATTCATCAGAGCCACTTTATGACCCCATCTTGCACGAGGCGCCAAAAGCCGTCCAACATTCCAAGTTGCGAGGCTCAGCTGAGCCGGAAAGACACTCGTGACTTGGTATTTGCCACGACGCCATCGTCGGCCAGTATTCTGGTGTTGCTCGCGATGCACCCATCAACAGCCATTCAAGATTTGGATCGTAGACAAGGGCGCGGTACTGCAAAGCTTTAATCGTGGCTGAGATCTCGTGACTTGATTCATCAACATGTGCCTTATTGTTCTGCAATTGCTGACGGGTCAGCTGGCGGGAAGGACTGGCTGAGCTTCATCAGTCTTTTCGAGCCATGCAAGCCATGAGACTCGAGGCGGTTGTGGCTTCGAAGAAAGCTACGTACAGATCGATCAGAGCCGAGCCGAGCAGCCACCTCGATCGCTTGCCTAATCTGACACTGATTCCAACCCGCAAACGAAATGTCGGTTTCACCAAACATGCAGATGGCACACACGCGCTCTCTGTCAGTCTGAATACGCCTGCTTCCCAAAAGAATGTAGAATGTAGAGCCGGATGATTGTCTGTCCTCGCAGCTTCACTCGAATGGTAATCTGCAGCATATGAAGTATCATTGACTTCCGTGCGCGAGATCGCGAGAGTCTTGAGTTCAAGTGTGCCAGTCAAAGTGCAATGAAGCTGCATTCAAGCCGTAGCTGTTCATGTCGCGCGACATCAGTCTTGATGAGTCTGAAGAGTCTGTTGTGAGTGAATAGGCACGATATTTGTTTTGAGAGCGGAAACACGAAGTCAGGGGTCACCATGCAGTCAAGAGTGGGAACTCTCGACGCTCTCACTTTCAAGTTCGCAACCAGAAACCAGCATTGAATTCATTTCAGTCAAAATCATTCATTCGTGATCCAAGATCTTTCATCATTGATCAAATCCAAATGATTCAAAAAAAGGCTTGGCACCATTTGCGGCCCAAAGCGAAGAGCTATCACGTGATATTCCGCCGCTCGTGTCCACGCTTTGGCCTAAAAACAAGAATCAAAAATTGAATCGTGAATCAATACGAAGCAAGAATCTGTTTCACGGTTGTCGTGACTCCATGAGTTGCTGGTGAATGCTTTCCTTTGAATGTGCAAAACCCTTGACCGCGTCCGGCGAAGCCACAGAAAACTGGTGAAGGAGATGAAACGGACAGTCGTGAGTCTTGAGTGCATGGGGTTGCGCCTTACCCTATCGCTCGCCTGAAGGTTTAAGCGGGTCGTGTGCGCATACAATCACGAATTAAAATGACACTCTTGAATCAAATGGTGCGCGCCCTTATATAGGTTACCTGAAAGGGTGCGGCACCGCCGAAAGCTTGCGTGAAGCAATAAAGTGGGCGCGCGACAACGCGACGCGTCGATCTATACCAGCAGTTCACCGCGCGTGCGCGACGTGCGCCATGCGGGGACGGTGCGCACACCAACACAGCGCGCGACGAGGTCGTGAGTGCTCAGCGAATCGCAACGTCTTCCCTGGACGACCACATCGAAGTCGTCTCTTTGTCCAGCTTGCGACTTGAGCTCATACGTCACCGACCCGCCCACTACACGCCAGTGCAATTTGCACATCTTTGGCGCGATGGTGCGGCCTCAATCAACTCGCGCTCTCGCGCGACTTCAAAACACTGGCCAGATCTACCAGAAGGGCACGTCTGCAGATGCTCTGCTCAAGCGTCTCAAGGTCAGTACGTCTTACGCAGCAATGATGGCTCCGATTCTCAATTGACCTTTCGCTCTCGCCATAGGCTCTTCAAAAAGAGTTGTCAGAGATGGAGCAGGAGCAGGTTGATCTGAGCTCGCTCAATCCCCTCTGCAAGCAGCTCATCGCCAATCCACTCGTGCACCACAAAGTCGATGCCGTCAAAGGCTCGGCCGCTTGCTGTCTTGCAGACTTGCTCCGCTTGTACGCACCTCAAGCACCGTACACAGGCGCAGAACTGCGCGTGAGTAGATAGACTGCACCTCTGAATACGCGAGAGGTCCGAGAAGTGGTTCGCGTAACCCCAATCTAACCCGGCTCTCGCCCCTCCTCGACTTCAGGACATCTTCGCATTCTTTATAGATCGACTCACATCTCCCAAAGGCGGCCTCAGCAATCCAAGCAGTCCGCTGTACCCGGATACATTCTACTTACTGGAGAGCTTAAGCAACGTCAAAAGCATTACGCTCGTTGCTGATCTTCATGGAGCGGACGAGATGATGACTGACCTCTTCCGAGGATTCTTCGAGTTGATCAAGTAGGTGGGCAATTCCACGCTACCGCAAGTGCGGTGACCACATGTCTGACTTTGACTGAAATCACAGGCCAGAGACGACGAAGAACGTCGAGATTTGTATGGCGGACATTCTCGTGCAGCTAATCGACGAGTGTCTCAATGTGCCGCAGGAGGTGCTGGAGATCCTCATTGCGTCGTTCCACTCGAAGGCTGAGGTACGTCCGAACGAGGCTTTGAGGGCTCGACTTAGCTGACTTTCTGCCTTCTCCTCCTTGCCGCCACAGAAAGCAAACCCTGCCGCTCACCAGCTGGCGGTCGAGATTTGCGACGCCACCAAGGATCGACTCCAGAAGCACGTGGCTCAGGTACGTAGGACTTGCCGGATCTTGCCTGTAGAGCAGGTCGCTCATCCGATCGCTCTGGGCTGCCAATCTCACAGTACTTCAGCGAGATTCTGGTTTCAGTTTCAGAGGAAGACGATGTGCAGGACAAGGAGAAATCTCTCAGAAACGCGCATCTCCTAGTCGCGCAGATCAACCGTGCAGTCCCAGCCCTTCTCTTGAACGTCATCCCTGCACTCGAACAAGAGTTGCGGACCGACGATACGACAGCGCGCAGCATTGCGATCAAGACGCTTGGTCAAATGTTTGCCGAGACGACTGCGAAGACAGGCGGTGGCGGAGACCTAGCCCGCAAATACGCATCAACCTGGAGAGAATGGCTTGCCCGCGCAAACGACAAGCATCCGACGCTGCGCATTGCTTGGACAGAGGCGGCTGGGCCGCTGTTCGCCAACCATCCGGAGCTCCGTGTTGATCTGCGCGTTGCTGCGCAGAACAAGCTCGCTGATCCTGATGAGCGTGTTCGAGCGTCCATGGTCAAGGTGTTGGGGAGCACCGACTACGAAACTGCGTTACACCACGTCGATCGCGAGATTTGGCAAGAAATCGGGAATCGCTGTAGGGACAAGAAAGCCAGCGTCCGACAGCATGCATTCGACGCTTTGGGTCGCATCTTTCGACTCGCGCGCGGAGAGCTAGAATCCAGGGACCCGAGCGCGATCAAGCAATTCGGCTGGATACCAAGCTGCGTGCTGAAAGCTAGCTTCGTGGGTGGTCGAGAGATTGATAGTCTGGTGGCAGGGACGCTGGATCGTCACATTCTTAGGTTGCCGGCGTCCGTTGGTGATGCTGAGGATGCAGAAAGGTGGACCAGCAGATTGCTACTGGTCATGTCCCACTTGGAGGATGACCGCGCTCGCAAAGCGCTCATTCGCCACTCCAACCTTAGAAAGGTACGCGAACCGTTCGTACAATTCGTGAAGGCATGCGAGGACTACAATGCCGGTATCATCGACAACGACGAAGCGGCCATTAAGCTGCGCATGGCAACCAGTATCAAGAAGATTTCATCACTCATGGCCGACCCACCTCACGCCACCTCTGATCTTCATGCCTTCGCCAAAGCTAATGATAACCGGACTTACAGGCTTCTGCGCAGTCTCTTGGACGCTCAAAGCGATCTCAAAACCCTTGTCAAGGTCCGCAGCGAGCTTACCTCACGGCTGAAAGACACACAGCCCGGTGTGACGGGAACGATGGATCAGCTCTTGCGAATGTCGTGCCTCTTCTTGGTCAACAAAAGCACAGTACCGACGTTGTTAAAGCGTTTGGAACACAGTGGCTATTCCAACACCGAGAGCCAGGTGGCTGCAGTCCATGACGCAGACGAGACGATGCGCACCACCGAGGCGATGGATGCGCGCCAGACAGAGGCGCAAGCTTGCCGCCGCGACTGCCAATTTTTGCTTCGCGAGATCTCCAAGGCTTGCCCGCGGCTTTACTCGACGCATGTCCCTCTGCTTCTCAAAGCCCTGAACGTGCAAGGCTGCGACGCGCTGTTGACGGAAAGCCTTCGCGCCCTTGGAGCCCTCGCGCATGTAGAGCCAGCAACTGTGGTGGCAGATCGGAAAGTCGTTGAACGTGTTCTTCACTTGGTCCGCAGTGGCACTGTGCTGCAATCAAAGTACGCTGCGCGTCTCCTGGCTGTGCTAGGAGCCAGTCCTTCAAAATCCAAGCTTGACAAGTCGACAATCTCAGTCGTCGACAGTAGGACCAGGTCGATTGCCCACGCAAGCTTGGAGCAGTTGGCTGAAGAGCTCACCCGGCGCCTTGGGAAAAGTGTTGGAGAGCGTCTGGTCGCAGATCTTGCCGCACTGGGTCAGATCGTCAAGTACGCCAGCGAGACTGCTGCGGATGTGGGCGACGCTATCGTCAAGACCGTGCTTACCGGCATTCTAATGAAGCCGTGGGGCAAAGACAAAGTGGAGGATGTCAAGGGCGAGGATCAGCTCGAAGCATGGGTCGAGGACGAGGAGATGACAGCAGACTTGCGAGCTAAGTTGCTTGGCCTGGATCTTCTGATGAAGCGCTGCGTCGCTTTTGCGAACGCAGAAGGCGTCACTGATGTGGCCATGCCGGTGTTCAGACTTCTCTTCGCCACGCTTATGGAAGGCGAGCCCCGTAAGCTGGGCGCTCCCCCTGCTGCGAAGAGTCGGATGCGCTTGCAAGCATCACTCTGCGTGCTCAAGATGGCACGCGTGGAAGCCCTGGAAGCCTTCATCAAGCGCGAGTTCACTGAGCTTGCGCTTGTCATCCAGGACCCGTGCTTCCAGGTGCGCCAAACTTTCCTGCACAAGCTGCTGAAATATCTGCGCTTCAGACGACTTTCTCCTCGATTCAACGCCATACCCTTCTTGGTGGCTTTCGACCCAGAAAAGGAGAATCAGGACATGGTGGTCAATTACGCTCAGAGCATGTACCAGCCCATGCCGCCCGAATTGCGCGTCAAGCACTTTGATGTCTCTTTCGTGCGATTCCTGCACCTTCTCGCCCACCATCCGGACTTCTCTCGAGAGCGTTTAGACGAAATCGTGGACCTCGGAAAATACATCGACTTTTGGCTGGATAGCCTCGGCACTTCGCAAAATGTCAGCTTGCTCTACTACTTGTCTACTCGTCTCAAGGGTATCCGCGACACCGAGAGTCCTGGGCACTCGGACAACCTGTACTGTCTCAGTGAGCTTGCTCAGCTTTATATCAAGCTGCGAGCCAACCGAGAGAATTGGACGATATCCAGCTACCCGGGAAGGGTCAACTTGCCATCGGACATCTTTCGACCTCTTCCAAGTCGTGAGGTCCAAAAGGAGGTGAGTCGACATGATGACGTGCTCCCTGCACTCCTTGCTCACGCTTGGCAGCCCCACTCCAGGTGTACGAACGCGTCTTTCTGCCAGACACGATGGTCTCCGCCCTCACTGAGAAGTATGCATCGTCAGGATCCAAGGTGAGCAACTGATCAAGCGAGGCCTAGCATTAAAACGACAGGGCTGACCAGATGCCTTGCGTGCTTTCCTGAGCAGAAGCCTCGTGTGCCCAAGGCAACCAAGATGCGGAAGCCGGCCACGCAACGTGATGTCACGAAGCCCAAAAAGAAGCGCGCCCGGAAGGATGATGGTGATGAGGATGGTGGGGCGACCACGTCGGGTGCGTCAGACATCGAGAACAATTCTGACGACGACTTGAGTTCTGCGGAAGAGGCAGAGGCCGCAGATGGAGCTGAAGGGGAAGGCAGGGGCGCTCGCTCGAAGCGCAAGAAAGAGCAAGCTGTGCGCGCGAGGAACCAAGCCAAACGGGCCAAGAAAGCTGCCGGCGCCTCGAGGAGAACGGAGAGCGATGGTGATTCTTCGGAGCTCAGCGATGAAGAGGAATGATGATGGCATGGCCATCTCTTACGCCGTGCGCTTAGGGATTCTTCCTTTCCCGCGCAATTCGATGTGGAGCCCATTCGGCGTCTCAAACTTTTCTGTACTTTACTGCGTCCCAGACAGATCCGCATCCTTTGTGAATCGATGTCGCTCCCCACATTTCGCCAGCAAAGCTTCGCACCTCGCCTGACCCGGCATGTTGACGGCTACGTGCCGTATCTTTGCCCCCATATCTTTGCTCAACACAACGCTCGTCGACCAGATCAAGAGCGTCGTGGATGCCACGACTACCAGGCACCAAGACGATGCAGTAGCAGTTGAAAGATGCAGTCATTTCCTTGGCGCTGCGTTAGCCGCGTCTAGGCGCATGACAAGACCCGCTTGTACGTCCAGCACCTCTTCTGGGCCAGCAATCGCGAGTGCATGGCGATGGATTCGCATTCCGGGTCTGGCACGTTGCCAAGACTTGGTAAGTTGTGCTCCGGTCTAGGCGGCGGTACGGGAGCTTCTGAGGGGCAAAAAGGGACATCAAACCGCCGTCAAATCTGAGTGGTGATAGCGTCGGTTCAGGCGGGGGCATGCAGTCTTTCCTGCTACTGCTGCTCCACGGACTTCGGATGAGTCAGAGCCGATTGATTTGGCATACATAGCAGCCATGGGCAACCAAAGCGTGATTAACGATTGCGAGTCAGAGTGCGGTGCCCGCTGCGTTGTACAACTCCGCAAGTCGTCGCGGATGCGGTCGTCACCCAAACGTGTAGGCCCGATCAGTCTGGGCGAAGCTGCTGCTGCTGCTGCTGCTCGACCCGTGCCTGCGCGATAAGACCTGCGCGGCGATTGAATTCAAGATGTGAATCGAGCCGAACCGATCGACGATTCGCGGTTCGTGATTCATGCAGCGAGCGCACCGCACCGCGCCTTCGGTTCTGCTGATTGGTCCAGCGCATTTGGGGCCCAGCAGGCGCTTACGCTCTTTTGGGGATTTGAGAAGATGTCGTGCGCATCGGCCGGTTGGACCCCCGATGAAGGTCAATGCGGCGCGCGCCTTGGCGCCACTGCATGTGCCTCATCTCGCTACTATCGCATGATACTGCAGATTCACATTGTCCTTTCCAGACTGCTCTCCTCATCTCATGCCACCGGCATTCAAAACGTCTGCTCTTTCCCACCACATCAGCCGCAACCCGACTCTTGTTCAAGAATCGCAGTTGATGCTACCCACCTCGATCCTTTTTACTCCCGCCTTCCAACGGAGCCCACTCGTTCTGAGGTCACACGCACGTGCAGCCTCGCAAGCGTTCAAGAGTCTAGCACCTGCCAGCATTCCCGCTCATTCCGCTCGTACGTGCTGCAGCAAAGCAGCCGACTCCATCGCTGGAAGACCGCTGCAGAGTCACAAGCCGAGCAGGAGTCTTCACACTACTCCCATCGTATCCAAAGACTCCGAGCCTCCCAAAATGACGACGACGCTGGCCACCATCCTGTCCCGCAACGACTCTTGGGTCTCATCGTACGGTCCAGCGCACATCGAAGAGTTTAAAGCGAACGCGCAAGGTCAATCACCCAAGGTGCTCTGGATCGGTTGCAGCGATAGCAGAGTTCCCGAAGGCGTCGTCTGCCAAACTGCTCCTGGTGAACTCTTTGTGCACAGAAACATTGCTGGACAATTCAACCCCAAGGATGACTCTGCCAACTCGGTTCTGACGTACGCGGTCGAGGCGTTGGGCGTGGAGCAGAGTGAGTGATACTGCAAAGAGAGAGAGAGAGCGTCGGGATGAGAGGCCCCGGTGTTGGCTTCTAGCATGCTTTGTCAGCCAGCAGGGAAGGATGTGGCTCGACTGCTCTCTACCAATGCAAACTGATCTGCTTGGGCTTCGCACTACTTTGCTCTTGCCCTCAGTCGTCGTTGTCGGACATACCTCATGCGGCGGTGTGGCAGCCTCTTTACAGTGCGCCGCATCAAAGCAAGACCTGCCGTCGGCTCCTCTGGCTCGCTATCTCACCCCTCTGATCAGCTTGGCCGACAAGATCAGGGCCTCGCCAGAAGCCCAAGGTCTTAGCGAGGCAGAGCTCGTACAGCTCATCACTGAGCGCAGCGTAAAGCAGCAGATGGAAAACATTGTAGAGTCTGATGTGATCAAGGCCAATTGGGCAGGAAAGAAGAGCGCTTTCCCCGGAGAAGCAACCAAAAAGGTTGAAGTTCATGGGTGAGTATGTTCTATGGGCCTCCAATGCCTTGCAAGCAACACCTGCTGACCTCTTTGCGCTGAATTGTCCATAGCTGGGTCCACAACATCGCAACCGGCAAGATCACCGACCTTGGTATCAGCATCTTGCCTCCGCAATGAATGAGAGCAGCTGCAAGCACTTTCTGGGTATATGGCTGAGTCACGGTGTCCACAATCACAGAGCAAAGTGCGTTATCGTATCACCCATGTTGTTATCACCTACTTCAGAATAGCATAAGTCTTCGTCGCATCCGACAGCACGCGGGTGTGGAGCAAGCAAGCATCAGCCAGCAGCAAGAAACTATATATTGATTGCGAAACAGAACAAAGGCATTTGAGACAACAGAGTATCGTGAGGAGGCATGGAGCGATGAAGCAGACTCGGAGCAGAAGGACCGACAAGGCAGATACTCAAAAAGGCAGACAGAGGTTACTGAATTGGATAAAGGATGGGAGCTGGGGTGAAAAGAGCTGATTGCCTGAGTGAACCTTTCAAAGACGACTGGTGATGTCCTCCAGGCCCATCATGCGTTTGCCTTCAGCCACGCCATCTCCATTGGCGTGAGCAAAGAGGCTCTCTCCGAGTGCGATTTCCAGCGCGTTCCAGACATTGGAAACGTAGTGAATGCGGAGATCGTCTTTGACGTTCTGCGGCAAGTCCGCTACCACATCCTTTTTATTCCTTGCTGGGAGAATGACGCGCTTGATGCCGGCTCTGTGCGCTCCGATCAGCTTCTCCTTGATCCCGCCTACAGGTGTGACGCGACCGCGCAGATCCATCTCGCCCGTCACGGCCAGCTTGGGGTCCAATGAGACGCGCGTGAAAAGAGTGACGAGCGCGAGGACCAGTGCAACCGAGGCAGATGGTCCATCTTTCGGTGTCGACAGTGACGGGAAATGAATGTGAACGCCATTCCTGTACACGATGGCGGCAGACGTCAGTCTAACTCGGCCATCGAGTCTAAAGCGTCTCGACTTACCTAGGAAATTCTGCATCGCGAGACGGAGTGATGCCAAGCTGTTGAGGTCGATTTGTGCAAGAAGTCAGTCACAAGGTCAGTCAAGGTCTGACGTGGATCGGAGATTTCCAGAGCGCGCGTACCTGGTAAGAGTGAGCTTTGACCCAGGACAGTGCCAACTCAGCGGATTCTCTGATCACGTCACCGAGACTACCAGTCAATTTGAGGGCTCCGTTGTCTGGTGGCAGCAGGACCGATTCGATGTGTAAGATGCCACCGCTTCCCGAGCCCTGGTAAGCGAGACCAGTAGCCACACCAGGTCTGGACTCCAGCTCGGCCACCTCAGGCTCGTAAGTCTCGACACCGAGGATACGTTCCAGGTCCTCGACGCGAACGACTGGATCGTACGATTTGGGTTTGCCGTCCTCGCCCTTGACACCCTTGCGCGCCTCGGCATACTCGACGGCCTTGGAACGAGCGATCGCGCCGATTTCTCGTTCGAGACTGCGCACACCGGCTTCGCGGGTGTAAGACATGGCGACCTTGAGTAGCACGTCGTCTCCCACCACGAGATCCTCTGGCACTAGACCTTGGGCTTTCGTCTGCTTTGGAAGGAGGTAGTTGCGTGCGATGGCGACCTTCTCGTCGTGAGTGTAGCCAGAAACATTGATGACCTCCGTTCGGTCCAACAGCGGGGGGGAAATCGTGTCCAACGTGTTCGCAGTGGCGATGAAGAGCACGCGGCTGAGGTCGATGGGGCAATTGACGTAGTGATCGTTGAACGCATGATTTTGTTCGGGGTCAAGGGTCTCGAGCATAGCAGCCATTGGATCACCGTGCAGACCGTTGCCACTGCCCAACTTGTCGATCTCGTCCAGTAAGAGCACCGGATCGCTCACGCCGACCTTGCGTAGACTCGAAGCGATCGTTCCGGGCATTGCGCCGACGTAGGTCCTACGGTGTCCTCGAATCTCAGCTTCGTCACGCACACCGCCAAGCGACACGCGCGTGAAGGGACGCTTCAGTGCGGTCGCCAGGGATTTGGCGATCGAGGTCTTTCCGGTGCCTGGAGGTCCGACGAGGAGCAGGATAGGTCCCTTGTCCGCAACATGAGCCCGACGACGCTTCCTTCGCGCTTCGTCGACAGCTTGCTTACTCTTCTTCTCCTCTTCGGCAGCTTCCTCCAAGTGTTGGAAATCCCCTTCTTCTTCGAGCTCCTGATTGATAGCAGCAGATTGTTTCTTGGCAGCGGCTGCCTTCTCGGCACGTCGGCTCGCGATGCGCTCCTCGCGCTCCAATTTTTCCTCGCGAGCAATCCGCTCCTGAGCTTGCGAGGTCTTGAGCTCGAGTACAGCCAAATACTCCACAAGACGCTTCTTGATCTTCTCGAGGCCGTAATGGTCTTCGTCCAAGATGCGACGAGCCCTCTCGACGATGCCCTCGTCCTCGATTGGTGCGTTGATGGGGCTTCGTCCCACGTCGACGTCTGCTACTTCGGTGATCGCAGAAGGCGCTGCGGCATCCTTTGGTCCAGAGGGCTGCGGGCTCAGGTCCGCTGAAGTCTTGTCCCACGGAAGCTCCGCCATTGTTTCGAGGTAAGTGATGACGACGCCTCTTTCGACGCTTTGCTGCGGAATGCGCGCGAGGCGCTTTAGCTCTCGATCGCACATTTTACGCGCTTCAGGTGTGAGCATGGCTGCATCGAGCTTGCGGGTAAGGTCCGCAACCTCATCTTCCTCCTCTTGGTCGCCAGCGCCAGAGCCGCCGCCGCTGCCTCCTCCACCGACGCTTCGAGCACCAGGCGCACTGCGAGGCATGCCGTCGTTGGGTCTTGAAGGAGCTCGAATAGTGATGATGGCATTGCTGTTATTAGGGTTGCTACTGCTACCGTTGTTGTCTTTGCCGCTACTGCCAGTGTCGCTCCTGTTTGCAGGACCAATGCTGAAGCTATTCGTGCCAGTGCTGATGCGAGCCGTAGTGTTGGGGTTGAGCGCAGCAAGCTGTGCGAGCAAAGACTCGAGTTGAGTTCGCACGAGCGATTCCTTGGTGTTGCTACTGAGAGGCGCGGCAAGGGAAGCCAGCAGCTCTCGCGCCAGTCTCACCCTCGCCGCACCTGCTGATAGGGCGCTAGCAGCTGCCTTGACCCTGTAACGCGGTTCCCATTCGCCCAAAACATTGACTCGCTGCGACCACTCGCAAGCGCCTCCAAGAGTGCCAACCAGCACATCAGCTAGCATGCCAGCTTGACCTTCTCGAGACTCTTTGACGAAGGCCCGCACGCGCCTGAGAAGGCCAGAAGGAAGAAGTGGTAGGGCAGGTGGCGAAGCATTGTCCTGCCCTTGATTCTTGACCGAAGGCGCCGCACCAAGAGCAGAAAGACTCTCGAGAAGCTCGTCTGCTGCCGCACGCAAAGCCCTGACCGCGTCCATGTCGTTCTCGGTCGCGCCAGTCAAGGGAGGGAAGGGGCCTCCATCAGCAAAGCCAGTAATGGCCGCCAACGGGACAGGAACATCGGGAACCGTGATGTTGCGATCGAGCTTGGTGCTGGTGAGCGGGGCACGTACGCTGAGCCACCTGTCAATGCGGACTCGGGTTACACCAGTGACGACGAGGGTGCAAGTCTGACTGGCCGGGTGGCGAGTGAGCCTGACGAGCTTAGCAGCGACTCCCCAGTCGTACAGATCGTTGATGCGGACTCGCGGATCATTGGCCTCGTCTTTGGGCATCACCGACCTCGTAGTGGAGGGCTTGGCTGGATTGCTCGAAGCTCCTGCTGGAACACGCATGGTGGGAACGCAAGCCACGACGATGGGTCGTGTTGCTTCGCCATCCTTGCTGCTTGACGACGCATCGCTCGCCTCATCGGAGCCAACTTGCAGAGCAGCCTTGAGCAGGCTCAACGAGTGCGCGTAAGAGAGTGGAATAGAGAGCAAGAGGGAGGGGTGCAGCACGAGTGGATATGGGAGCGGCAGCACTGGAAGCCTCTCCGGGATCACGATAGTCTCTGACGGCATGCTGAAGAGAACGTGATGATGATGGACTGGGTGGCGTAAGAATCGTCCAACGAGGCTGCTATCAACGCGCTGATAAGGATGGTGGCAACCTTGCCCAAAGGAGAGGTGAAGCGTTGCAGAGGAGTGCTGGGGGAATGCCTTGTGTAGCTTGCTGTCTATTCGAGCATGAACTTGATGAGCGTAATGATGGTGATTTGGTGATCAAACGGTGATACCTACGAATGTGAATGCTGCGCATACGTAAGCGATTATCCAAGCCAAGGGATGCCCATGCAAGCTGATCAGCCGGAGCTGATATCTCTACGGCGGGCACTTCGACTCCGAGCCCCGGCTCGACACACACGACTCAGACTGACGACCGTCGGGCCAAATTAGAGCGCGATGGCGAATCAGGGTCTCGCCGCCCCGTTGCGATTCTCCACACCCACAACACGCCGGCCTGGACGGTCTAGTGTGCCTCAAAGGTGCTGCCATTCTCCGCTCGTCTTCAAAGCTGGTCATCGCAGTCACACTCGCATACATGCAGCATCGGTCGCGGTATTTGGGTATCACGCAATCATCACCCTTCCATGCCTTGCGGGTCGTGCACGAACCGGTTAGCCGATCTCCTGCTGCTGATGCGCTCCCGGTAGTCGAGCAGTAGGGGTTAGTCACACAGTGCTTGCATGCATGCATCGTGTCTGCGTGCTGATGCTGACTGATCTCCCGCCGCACGTACGTGCGCATCCGGCTGTGGTGCAATGCGTGATGCACGTGACCCACAATCAGATACGTAATCTTGAGGTTCAAATTTCTGAACTGGCAAGATATTCAATTGAGCATTAATTTCGATTCTGAGTGGCGATTTGATTGAATTCTGAATCTGAATCGAATTCCGAATTGAGGATCGTGAATAATCTTGAATAGGTATCTGAGACTTCCACTAAGCAGGCATTTTCAATACCAGCCGAGTACGAGAATCAAGAAGTTGGTTTTGACCTCAAGATCACTTTCAAGAGCGACAGACTCAACTCATCGGAGCATCCACTACTACTCGCTTGGCGCGACAAGTCTCGCATGACCTTTCGGAGCCGTTTCAGAGAGCATCTCAAGAGCCGTGTTGTTCGAGTGTCCAGTCATTTGGGCAGTCCATCGAAGTTCTGGCAGACGAGCATCTTCGGGACCCAATTTACCGTCGACATCAAAGTCCTCCGGCTCACTCGTGCGGACGCGTTGTGATGGTACGACTGTTCAATACGCGCAAACGCCGTGTCCACGCAGACTTTCCATTCTAGCCAGTCAGGTCTCTACATGGGTGTCGTCTGGGACCAGTCCTGCTGGACGCAGAAAGCGCTCTTGGCGCAGCACGCACAGAGCCGGACCACTGAATTTGCACCAGCGTTGGCGACGGGGATGTGTCTCATGGGAACTTTCGGCTCTCTCTGGCGTGAAAAAGGGGTGCCCGTGCAAGCCGGGTGCTATGCGACGGCTGACATACTGCGGCACATTCGTCTGGCGGATCCCCAAGCGAACGTGTAGATCGGCACTCACACTCACGGCGACGGCCATCTTGCACCCACACTTTTGACTGCTCAATCGCTACGTCACCAAAAGCAACGTCTCATGCTGCGCATCGCGTGCACCCTTGACCAACGCGCGAACGCGACTGGGAAACAACCCGTTCCGGGTGGCGAGATATCAAGCGCGCCCCAATTTGATGGTACCGGTTGAGCGCGGGCCGCCAGCTCTGCGCACGCGTTAGCAAAAAAAAAAAAAAAAAAAAAAAAAAAAAAAAAAAAAAAAAAAACAGCATTGTATCACAAGCGGCATGGGTGTGCTGTGGACAAGCGCGTTTCCCGGTCTAGACTGTACCTTACATCATATGGGTCGCGGCCGACCGGAAATGCTGGATGAGGTCCTTCCGCCTCCGCGGACGACAACGCCTTTGTCACAGCTATATAGCTCGTGTGCTCATAGCGCGCTTGACTCGGCTCCTAAGCCGATCGGACTGTCATGGCGACAATCCACTCGAGCGCAGACGAGCCTAGGCAGCCTGGAGCGACGCGAACAGCTGCCTTCAGTCGGACATGAGACCATCGCGAAATGGCAGGGGAGAATGGGGGCCGGCCAGTCTTTGTAGTCAGCACTTCGCTGAGTCGGCACGCGCGATCGCCTGCGGCACTCTTCTTTGTCGATCCCATGGACCGCAGCTGGTCAAGATGACGCGCACACACCAGTTCAGTAGAGTCACACAAGTTCTTTTGAACACGTGTGAGGCTTTGCCATTCATTGATTCAAACCGAGAAGTCGCCAATTGCTTTTGCGCTGACACAAATGCTTCGGGGTATGCATGCATGGAACAACAGACGGCAGTTTGGAAGAATAAGGGAAAAGGTGGGACGTCGATGAAGCACTCTGACTCAAGACTCGCATGCTGGCTGTTTCGAACCGCACTTAAGCACAGCAGCAGAGACCTGCAGCTGCCAGGTCGCAGACCAGTATTCAAGAATCACGATTGGGGGCACGCCAGCAAAGGCTTGTCTGCGCCCGGTCATGGTCACACCGCTGCCAACCGCAACTTGGTGACGCCCAAAATACCCTGCGATACCATCTACGAAGATCCAGCGCAGTCTATTGTCGCACCCATGCAGCTTGCGGTTAAACTGCATGCGAGAAGAAGCTCGCCGTAAAAGAAACATCAAAGTAGGCTGAGCAGCCAAGATTCTCAATTTGCGCGGGCGCAAAGGCCAAATCTATCCCTCGAGCGCCGACGAACAACCGTCAAATCGCGAATCTCGCACCAAGGACCCTCCTCAATCACGATCTGGTTCAAGAATGTCTCTTGTGCTGCATCTGTCTGCCTCCTGCCGTGCCAATCATTCACGAGCAGGTGGGTCGATCGTCATCAGCTAGCCCAGCTAGCCCAGCAGCGCGCATCACATCATCATCGCGGCGGGCCCCGCGGTGCCCTTCTTACACCCACTTCCCGCCGTGCATCGCGCCGCCATGAGGTATATAGCTACAGCAGAAGAAGGGCGCTGAGCGTCCGAATTGCGACGATGCGTCGCCCTCGGCTATCTGCTGGCGGCGGAGCGCAGCCAAAGTCGCATTCATGTAGGTCCAGAATGATCAAATGAGAATCGAATGGTGATCATGGATTCATTTCGCGCAGACCGCCCTCTCCAGCAGACACCCACGGTGCTGCTGCTCCATCAATCTCCTGGGAGCGCCTGCTGCCTGCATGCCTGGGGCAACGGGTGCGGTCTCCTGCAACAGGATCGTGGTATAGTCACTGTAGTAAGGTGTGCCGCGCCAGTTGTGCGTTGCTGCTGGCAAGACATGCTGCCGACGGTTGTAGGGTGAAGCCTCAAAAAGCAGCCAAGATGCCAGCTAGGCGACGCACCTCCTATACATGAGTCGCATACACCTCTCACCTCTAATCGCCCTTTCTCCTCAGCAAGACTCACCCCAGCTCCACAGCCACATCTCCCTCCCAGACGTCTCTCTGATCGACTGACCAGTTTAAATCCAACGCTCAGATCCACGAACACCAATTCTCCCTCATCCTCATCTCTATCAGGCTCTGGCCCAACGGACCGTCACGGTTCCGTACTAACAGTCGTTATACCGAATCACTCTTCCCCCGTGCGGGCTTGCAAGACCACCTCGCTTGGTCAACGTCTCACACCCGGCTTGACTAGAAGATACCTGCCTCGACTCCGCAAAAATTTGTCAGAATGAAGTTCAGTCCTCTCAAATTGTTGGCGATAGCCGTGGGAGCTGTCAGCATCACAGCACCGGCTTTGTAAGTTGTCTCGCCGGCCTTGCACCTGGTCCCGTCATGGCTGATTTCCATTATTTTCGGATGAGCTATCAGAGGATGCGGTGCACCAGTCAGCGATGCGCTCCCCGCCGTCAAGGATAAATTTGCAGCTCTCGCAGCGCACATGGGGACCATGGTTGCCGGCCAAGTGTGAGTTTGGAATCCATCCCAAAGCCTCAATGTCGACATCATGCTTACATTTGGGACCATCCGCCTGGCACCTGGTAGCGACGGTCAGAACATCACGATCAAAGCCGCTCTGGAGGTTCAGGCAGCCATTCAAAAGGCCACTGACACCGCCGGCAAGTGTACAGGTGCAATCTTGGACGGAGAGTGAGTCGGTGACGAGAAATACACCTTGTCTTTGACACTGAATGTCTCTGGAATCCAATCGCTGGCCTCTAGTGTCGAGGTCATTGTTGGTCACCTGTCAGGCATCCATGCCCACGTCAAGTCTACCATCTCCAACTTCACTCAAGCAGGAGGTGTGCTCAACGTCGAGCTCGTCGTGGACCACATGATGACGATCGACTTGCACCTGAAGGTCCTGCTCAAGTCCATGCACGGCATCTCGTGAGTGCAGGAGACCTCGACGCGACTCGCCTCGCCTCGCCACGCTTTGCTCTTCATCGCTGACGCGTAGCGTCGTCGTCCATAGGGTCACTGGAGAGGTCGGCACACAAGTTGTGAAAGGAGGTGCTCCTGCCGTCGCTGTAAGTGCTGATCGAGTGGTGGTGTTCGAAGCAATACTAACCGTGCTGTTGCCTATCTGACAGGACTTGGATCAACTTGGACGTGCGAATGCTAAGAGGCCACCCCACGTCGGTCTGAAAGCGATCTTGAAGATGAATCTGAGCACCTATGCCACCGTTGCGCCCGAGGATGTAGCTGTCAAGCCAGGCGTTGGTCTACCTGACAAGCCTTCGACGGCAACACCCACTGATGGAAACAACAAAAGTACCCCTGGCGCTAGCTACGGTAACAAGGCTCCGAACGCCAACGACAAGCCAAGCGCTGACAGCGGTGCGGCGCCGGGAGCTAAGCCCGCTGACCAAGGCAACGCTGCCCCAGCTGGCCAGAACAATGCGCCAGTGGACCCCAACGCTCCAGCAATCAAGACGACTACCAAGACTGGTTCCAAGATGCACGCTGATGCGCACGTCCAGCCTGATGGTACCAAGCTCGCTACGTAAGTGCTGTAGGGTCAGTCTCAGAGCACAACATGCTGACCTTGTTGTTCCTGACAGTGTCGACGGCAAGAACGGTGCCGTAGCCGAGGCGCGCCTGAAGGGCTTCTCCGACGACTTGATCCTTGCCTGCGCTTCGAAGCTGTCGCTGCAAGTCGACTACGACCCTCCTACCAACAACGGCACCGCTCCACAACAGAAGCAGAACAAGCGAAGCGAGCAACCTCTCCCAGAGTCGTACTGGAAGTGTCTCAGCGACACGCAAGCTAAGGCTCAAGGTACTCATGCCAAGTTGCAGCAAGGCAGCAAAGCCAAGGCAGCCGGTACCGTCACCGATGGCAAGACTGACTGTGATGACCCCAAGAAGAAGGAGGAGGAGCCCAAGGAGGCTGCTAAACCTGCAGACAAGGTCGGCAAGCGTGCGATCCCTTACGGATCGCGCAGAGTCCTGTCTGACCGCGCTTGATCATCATTCACATCATGGCCCTCACATTTTGCCTACTGAGCATCTCGCCTCAACCTGGCTCAACCCCATCTGTCATATTCGAGCCAGTCTCGCTTGGTCCCCAACCGTTCTGTCGTAGCCTCTGACCTCTGCTGCACGTCTTGGGAACGTGAACAATGAAAGATGCCGTGTGCAAAGCTCGCCAGTCTGCCGTTGGAGATCTCGTAGCGCACTGGCATGCGCGGACGTGTCTTCAATGACGTGCCAATCTCTCCAAGATCTCTCTTGACTCGTGACTGCTCCCGACTTTGCGACCAGTGTGAGTCCACACATGTGGGCCGGTCGCGAGATTTGGAATGATCTTGATGCACCTAGGCGCTACTTCAACGGGCATACCGACATGTGGCGGATGAACATGCACCTACCGCAGGCGTACCGTTCTGATGGCTGCTCTCTTGCAGCAATTGGCTGCTGAAAGCCACGTCGGGCTCCACCGACGACACAAGCTGAAAGAGCCTTGCTCGGTTGCAGGGGTGTGGATGCAGCGCAGAAATATAGCGAGTAGATTACTAAAACTCATGTCTCGCTTAATTTGAGGACTTCAGAAGCGCCGCGCGAAGCTACTCGTGCAGCAGTTAGTGGTCTTGGTGCAGGTCGAGACAGTCGCAGTGAATATAGACAGCCAAGGAGATGCAGCACCGCAACGGTTGGGTTGGTCGCGTGACTCGCACTCGCACGCTGATTGGTCAACACGGCGGCAGTCCGGCAAGCTCGGGAACGGCCACAGGACCTTGCACGGCCGGCACCAATCGCAAAGCAAGAGGAGCCGCTCAACTGCAAGCGGCGAGGCTCTCGTCTAAGCCTGATCCGGCTTACCCGCACGCGGATTCTGAGTGCTTTGGATGTTTATGAAGGTGCCCTTTCCCTCCTCCACTCAAATCACGGACCAAGACGTTGTATTTCTGTCCGTCACGCAGTGGATGTGCAGGACAAGAACGGCAGGGCTGCCACTGCCACATCGTAGGGCCGAGAGCGAAGTCTGAAAGTATGGTCCGTCTCGACAAAATCTCCGAACATCAAGCTCCGACACAAGTAGCTCGTTACTTTGCTCCAGACGCGCAAATGCACGGACTTTCCGAGGCTTTCATGTCAAGCGATTCACGTCATCAATCAAGCGGCATCCTGCGAGTCCAATAAGACACCCGACCCGCGGCCAGGAGCCCCCGCCAAGAAGCAACGCTTGGCTCATTCCGAATCCTGAATCTGAACCGTGGATGCCACTCATCAGCCTACGTCAAACGCGACTACTGTGTCGACGATCGATGACCAGCAACATTCATGTTCACGATTGGAGTGCGCATGGCCTGTCGAACATCAATAAATTACACAAGTCGTGCGTTGGATTTCTGCACAATGCGATGCGGTGGCGACCGCATACAGTTGCAGCCGTGAGACATGCAGGACCGGGTCCGCTTCCTGCCATTCGTGATTGATCCCGTCGTCTCGTTCAGTCACAAGTCACAGTGCGAGTCCGTCGACTCATTGAACAGCACGACGTGACCGCTCTCGCCAACACGATGTTCACGATCCTGGTCATGATGGGCCAACGTGTCGTTTGGAGCAACGGCTGTTATTCATGAGTCAAATCCAAAACATGACTTCGCTCCTGCCGAGGCAAATGATGCTCTCGTGCGCCCTGCAGATCTTGACGCAGACCGCATGCAAGCAGTGGGATATGGGCTGTCGCTTTGCGCGTTGAACAGTGGGCGCAACCCTGGAAGGGTCACAGACAGATCCATCGTGCAGGCAGGTCTGTTCATGAGCTTCTGCTGAACGCTGCTCTCTGGCTAGCGAGTCTTCAAGCTGGGCGCCAAGCGCTCGAGCTTTCGTGACATATGCAGGCGAATGAAGGACGCGTTCACAACAAAGCCGAGGGTGCAGGCTCGGGCTCGTCCGTCTTTCGAAATCTAGCAGGCCGCTGCTGGTCCCAAGGCTCTCTGATGTCTGCCCGCCCTCCTCTTGCTGGTTGGGAAACTCACGACTGCAGCTCATGATCGCCCGCGTGATGTTGAAACTTCGCATTGAGCGCATTCAGACGTGCATGGAGTTGCTTCTCACGCGGGCCTTCTGGGAGGGGCGAGAGGGGGGTGAGAATGCAGCTAGGCCGCGCGGCGAGTGGCGCTCGCTAGCTGCTGAGCAACTGCATGCATGCAGCACCTGCAGTCAAGCCAATATAGCGGAGAACTTCGGGCGCTAAGAAGCGATGAGGAGCTCAGGCTCTTTTGCCGCCCAGCAAGTCTTCCAAGCTGCTGCTGTCCTGTCATCAAACGACGACACCCCGGGTCTGGCTACCTTATTACTCTGACTGTAAGCTGCGATGTACACAATTGCTGAACCTCAACACGACTTTGAGCAAGCACCACCTCGATCGTGGTCATGAGTGAGCAGAGCAACTCGGCAACACAAGTCCAACTGCTGCATGGTCCACGCAGGGGCAGAAACACGTCCCGCGCTGTTCCCCATCAGCCTTGGCATCGTCAATGATCCCTTCGCACAGATTTTTCAGGTATAGCCTACGCTGATCAAGGCGCAATCGAGCTGTTCCATGATCACAAAACGCGAAATCGTCGTTTCATGGCGACCATGATGATGGGCCCGTCGATGGCTGGAACGACCTTGCTGTCTATAGAGTGATCAATCCGTCTGAGTTCCGTCTGAGTGATGGGCGGGGGCCATCAGCGCAGACACGTCCAAAGTGGCCCCGGTTGAGACCTGGCAACCGGTCGAAATCGTCCGAGTGAGACCGGTACAGCTCCAAGTCAGAACCGGGCCTCCCCATCGTCGAAGCTCTATATAGCGTCGCAGGACAGCTGCTGGCTGCTGCTATTCAGTGATTGCTCAAGGTGACGGTGCTGCCTGCTTCTCGTCGGCTCGCGCGGCGACTGTTCCGAGCGTGATCATTTGCCCGAAACTAGATCCAGTTACACCAGGCATCAGCGCGGTCAACACGCCGACGATAGTTCTCGATCAAGACTCGGAAGGTGCCCAGCAGTTCCCATTCATCCTCGCAGCAGTGCCGGGCGACTCGTCCAAGACGGACGTGCCGCGGCTATACAGCATGTACACAGGATTCCCGCACTCGCGCAGCAATAATAATTAATGCTGTCAGTGCTGCGTGCATGTGTAGCTTACGCCTCGCAGCACTCTACTACTCGAGCGAGGGCTGCTTTCAGAGCCGCCGAGGCGCGCAGATGCAGTGCCGCCGCTTGCTGCTCCCTCGGTCGAACAAGTCGAATCTGACCTGAGATCTGACCGAGACTGCCGGCGAGACTGCTGTCAAGCCCACAATAACTGCACACAAGCCTGCAGCCCCAGACCGGTTCCGATTCTGGAATAAATGTCTCCTTTCCAAATTCGAGTGGCTGCGCAGCCAACCAGAGCTAGGCGCCGACCGTGCTGGAAATGGGCGGGCGCCATGCAGCTTGCGCGGTTGTCTGGCCTTGCGCCACGACAGCATAGCTAAGCTCCTGTGGATTTGGTCCCGCGAGCGCACTCAAGGAGCCTTGGCAGCGCCAGTGTGATTTCCCTCCTTGTCGCCCCACTGGTCGACAAGCGATACATGTTCGCATCTCCACCTCATCCGTGCTTCCACCCGATTTGCTTCCTCAACCTCATCATCTACAACCCAAAAGGACACTCGACGCCCGACGCCGACCAAAATACTTCAAAAGCTCCCTGTCTGACCTGGCGTCACTGAGCACAAAAGTCCACTACGACAACCCATTCGAGCCACATCGTATAGCTCAATCTGCATTTAACGCGATTCCTTCCCGTTTCGCAACCCAAAATAAAGTCGCAACCGCACTTGTGACTTCTTCAAAAGCAGCCTTCCTCTCGGCGACTGCGCTCTTCGAGTAATCCAAAAAGCGCGTTCGACTTTCTTGTCAACGTGCAACGTCGCCTTGTCGACGCAAAAGCCACAAACAGTCATCGCCACTGTCTGGCCCGAAAATACGAATCACCTATCTGAGGTGAATTGACACAACACCCCCTATCGTCAATCACATCACCTCATTCTCACCGCCCACAATGCCTGCACCCATCGCTATTTCCCAGACTCAATCTCATCTGGACTCATTTGGCGCTCCACGGTCAAGCGATATGACATCCGGTGTGAGTGCTAGCAACGTACCCTACCCGACACCTGGTAGCGCCTCCTACCGCGAAGCAATGGCCCTTTCATTTGGCAAGGATGTGGCAGAGTGAGTGAACCGCCCATGTGCATTGTTCTTCATGCCTCAGACTAACCCACACACCTGTGCTCAGCGTCATGGATTACTCGATCGCAAGTTTTTCAACCTCTACCGACTCCACAGCCTCGGACGCCACTGCGCTGCCTTCCACCTCCGTTTCGCGCAAGCTCGACACCACATTTTGCCGCAACTTCACCTGCTGTGGCAAGGCTCTCGATGACCTGCACGACCTGCTGCAGCACTACGAAGAGCGACATGTCCGCTGCCAAGACGACGACTTGCCATCCATGACGTCCGACGATGATTACTCCTCCCAATCCTCTGCTTCGCAACCGCCCAGCCCTCGCTCTAGCTGCCACCACGATGCTGACGACACCTCCGCATTCGACATAGCCGTCATGCGATCGCCCTTCCAAGCAAAAGGCAAAAAGCGCAGCTTCGGTCAATACAGCAGCTCACACAACCCCACCCATCAATCTCTGCGACGTGCATTGATCGATGGCGGCATCGGCAGACGTCAGCCTCAGATCTACACTGCCAACTCGCCTTTTTCCACGCCGGACAGCTCCGTGCCTGGCACTCCAATCGGCGAAAGCGAGGCAGATGCTGCCTTCGTTGGTGGCATGACTCCTTCCTTCTCTTCAATGTCCATCCGCAACGGCTTCCACGACGACCACAACCTGCCAAGCTGTGCCCCACCCAACCTGTTCTTCCCTTCGGGCGGTTCAGCTTCCCAGTCTGGCCACGTGCAACCTCCCATGAAGCGCGAGCGCGTCGACTCGATGGGCGGATCCATCTCCTCCTCAACTGCTCGTGTCATGGCTGATGCCATGTCCGAGGGCGAGCTCAATGGCGCAGGCGGGGTCTTCGTCGAGAAGCCCTTCAAATGCCAGATGCCTGGCTGCGACAAGGCCTACAAGCAAGCGAACGGCTTGAAGTACCACCGACTTCACGGGACCTGCAACCAAAACTTGCTTCCGTTGAACCAGCAAAGCATCAATGGCAGTCATCCAAACAGCAGGGCTTCTACTCCATCTGCTCGCACTGCCATGAACCCTGACGGCACATTGTGCGATGGGTCTACGCCACCCAGTCCAAGCTCAGCTGCTGCTATGGAGATCGCCGCCAGCAGAATGGAGAAGCGTTACGTCTGCCAGGTTGGTGCGTGCGGCAAGCACTTCGGCTCCATCTCAGGGTTGAAGTACCACTACACCCACTCTGGTTCCCACGGTCTACTCGGCATGGCATTGTTGTCTGCGAACGGCGGAGGGGCTAGCGCCAGAATTGAAACGTCAACCGGACGACCACTAGTCAACACCAGCACCTTGACCAGCGAGCAGCTCGCCGCTGCAGCTCAAGCGGCGCTAGCTGCGCAGACAGCGCAACAGAATGCTGCGCAAGCTAAGGCTATGGCGACACCGCAAACCAGCCCAACGGCGTCGCCTGCTCCCATCATATCCACCTCGCCCAAGACTTCGCCAGCTCAAGCATCACCGACTTTGGCATCTGCGACCAGCGTACTGGCAAGTTCATCGCCTGCTACGATGGCATCAACGCTCGCACCGGCGCCTTCCACAGAGACTGTTTGATTGCCAATCTTTGAGACAGTCTTTCCAGCTACTCTACGTGTGCCATCGTCGCTCCACTGTACAAATATGTTCTTGCCTTGCCAGATGTTACCGGTCATTGCTCTACAGCGAGTCACATCCCCACGCCAGGTAGCTGCCCAGCCGGTACTGCTCTTTTCGAAACCCATAGACGCTTCGGATACCTCTTGTACGGCACTGTCAGCCCATTGTATACTGGTGCCGATCACCACGGCTCCGAAGTCACCCATTCTTCCAATGTCTTTTTCGCGACTTGATTTGTCTCCACATCATACATTATCCACCACTTCTAACGCCCAGAACATGCACGTTCAGCCCGCCTTCTCCCCTCACCACCTTTTTGGCATGAGGTCGTCTTGGACGGCTCTATGTTCCAATGCTTGCCTCACCCTCTTGTGTCTTCATGCCGTCTCGCCCTCGGTCTGAGTCTTGTGGCTCCATGTAGATTCCTTTGTTTCTTCTTGCGTCTTTGTTAATAACATTTCACTTCTCAACGTTGAGATATGCCGCTTTACAGAGTCGTCCCAACCTTTCCTTTGCAACGCGGAGGCCTGGCTCAAATGCGCTTCAACCGCTGTCGATTTGATCGACTGCCCATCAGCTTGGCGTTGCGGGTCTTGGCATGAGGACCTTTGCTTGTCACGCCGCGCACGATTCCACGTCTCGATCGACGGCCCGCGGGTGTGTACCTGCGTCCCCAAACAGAGGTCACTTCAGGGACCGGTGCGACGCTTGACAAGTTGTTGCCTCCTGGTTCGTCATGTTCACCACCGTCTACTAAGTTGCCGAATGCTTGCATGGAGATCTACGATTGGATCGTCGTTGTATGGCCCCCCCTTTTTTCGCGTCGGCCCGCGTCGGCCGCGAAAGACAATGGACGATGATGGGACGGCGATTCAGCGACCTGTACACGCGGATGTACGGATGGATCAATTTCGCCAAAAGAAACGCTTCGGTGGATCTCGGTGCTTTCGATGCGCGGCGCTGTTTCGCAATCGCAATCTTGGAAGCTGGTCGATCGGAGTACATCCATAGAGGTGAATCGAGGTTTCGAATTCGCGCGCGGCGGCTCGACCGTTGCATAGCTCTGCCGCGGATCCACTCGGAGTCCACCACGGTCCTGCTGCACAGCTCGTCGATCCAAGCACAAAAGTGAGCATGACATGGCAGGTTGCACTCCATGCATTCTGATTCGCGCGCTTGCGACGATACCGGAAGGGGACTTGTTGGAGACGGACGAGCGCTCGTTCTGTGCCGATCATGCTGTCATGTATAATATCAGATGGCACACAACGATCGTGAATAAGAATTACAACCCGCGAAACCTGCATCAGCAGCAGCGTTGCTGCTGGTTTGGCAAGTGCGTCGAGTCATCACGCGTGGCGGCGACGCGCTGGAACGCATCGCCCGCGGGGTCCGCGCGAAAATTCCCTATCGCGCAGCTGCCGCGAATGCTGCTATGTATGCTGTTCCTTGTACTGTATGTATACGTGCTGACTGTGCCACACATCAGCACAAAAGCTAGGCTTGGCCAGGATTGCAAGGGCGGTGCAAGGGACCGGCGGACACCGACGCCACGCCGTGCCAAGCGCGAGCGATGATGTGCATGCATGGAAGATCCGCAAAAGTGCTGCTGCGTCAAGCTTCGACCGAGACGAGTCACACAGTCAGCAGGCAGATGAGGCTATCCACACTGTGACCAAATCTCACTCACAGCACACTACTACCACTCACGACTCACGACTACTACTCTATCTTGGTATAAGAAGACGCGTGTCATCGGTACGCGTCGAGTTCCCTTGCCCGTTCCATCCTCCCTCTCCGTGTCCAACAACGTCAACAAGCCCACCTCTCTTGTGAGCATTCGACATCTTGGCCAACACCTCGACTGCTCGACATCCCCCCAAGATTATCATGGCACCCACAGCTACGAATGGAGCCGACGTCGCAGCGATGGCCTCGGCAGAGGCAACGGCGAATGGGCATGGAGCGAGTGCAGGCAAAGCAGCGCAGCTGAGCCATTCCAATGGCAACTCTTCCGCTCGAGGCAAGACATCGAGCGGTGGAGTGGACATCCAGTCCATGTTGTCCGAAGCTGCGCTTCGTCGACCTCCTTCCGCCATCCGTTCGCTCTTTCCAGCAGAACTGATTCCAGGCATGTTATCCTTCCTAGCCGGCAAACCCAACCCTTCCACTTTTCCCATCGATGCCATCTCCATCAACGTCAAGCCCACACCTGGGGCGCCCGAGCAATCCACGCAGCAAATTTCTGTCAGCGGAAAGGACTTGGAAGCGGGAATGAATTATGGTCCGACAGCGGGTATCAAGGGTCTGAACGATTGGCTCGTCGCTTTTCAGACCCGCATTCATGGCAGAGAGATGGTGCAAGAGCAGGCGCACGGCAAAGTCAAGTGGCGCGTGACTGTCGGAAACGGCTCGCAAGATCTGCTCACCAAGGTGCGTCGAGATCGCACGACGCGCACGCTGATGCTGCATTCGAGGCCTTCCAAACTTACAGTCAGCAGTCCGCCTTCATCTGCTGATGCGCAATCAATCTCGCTGCGCAGACCTTCACAGCGCTCGTCAACCCGGGCGACTCCATCCTGGTCGAGAGCCCAGTCTACACGTAAGTCCTGAAGAGTCGCAAAGCACCTCTTCACGGCTGACAAGCTCCTCGCGACTTGTTTGCAATAGCGGTATCCTACCACAATTGACTGTGGCTCAGGCCTTCATGGCCCCGGTCCAGTCAGACGCTGAAGGCATGTGCCCAAAGTCTCTGCTCTCAGTCTTGTCCAACTGGCACACCGACGAGAAGACAAAGTCTCATCCTTTTCCAAAGTTCGTCTACACGGTACCCACTGGAGCGAATCCAGCGGGCACAACTGCCTCGGAGCAGCGCAAGAGGGACGTGCTCTCTGTGGTAAGACGATTCAATGTCTTGTTGTTGGAGGATGATCCGTACATTTTCCTCAGCTTTGAAGGTCTGGGCCAGGACCCAGTCACGCGCAAAAGGGTCAGGAGCTACTGGGATTTGGAACGGGACGAAAGGGACGAAAGCGATGCGCTGGGCGATGGCTTCGTCGTGCGCTTCGACAGCTTCTCAAAGGTGAGCCGCGGCTTCTTACAAGCAATACGAGGGGAGACTAGGATTGATCTCGTCAGTACTGGCATTTCTCTACACCTCTAGATCATCGGCGGAGGTCTTAGATTAGGCTTCATGACGGGTCCCGAGGCACTGATAGACGCAGTCGACCTCGACTCTTCGTCTGCGAACTTGCAACCTTCAGGATTAGCGCAAGCGGTGATTTACAGGCTTTTGCAGCATTGGGGCCCTGAAGGCTTGTTGCGTCACGTGGACTCCGTAGCATCCTTCTACGAAGCTCGTAGAGATGCTTTCGAAAGGCATGCTCAGAACATTCTGGGCACTGCAGGTGGCAAGGTGGCCGTGGCGGAGTGGGTCACACCAGTAGCTGGCATGTTCCTCTGGTTGAAGCTTAAATTGCCGCCTAGCGCAGCTTCTGTTCAGGCTGGCAAGCCGGATCAAGGAGACAGCTTTGCGCTCATCACTGAGAAAGCAAGGGCAAAGGGCATCCTGGCAGTGCCTGGGATCGCTTTCTTGCCAGGATCGGACGCTGATACGCCCACGCCATACGTGCGCGTCAGCTTCTCCATTCTCGAGGAGGAATACTTTGCAGAGGCATTGCAAAGGTTGAGAGCCGTGGTGGAGGAGGCTCAGGACGAGTCCAAGTAGAGTGCTTGCGCAGCATTCGAGTGCTCATCTGCCGCGAAGGTTCTTTGTACAAATATCATTTTACACTGCCCAGAGTCTGGACTCTGCAGCCCCGCTTAGATTGCATCGCAATGGAAATCGCTGCACATGCTGCAGCCTTCGCGTTTCTCGATGCGCAGATCTCGATCAAAGGAATAGGCTGTGCCAAAGCCGAGTTCGAAGGGACAGACTTTAGCGGGCCCGCGGTACCATTCCCGGTCTTCGACATGTCTTCAACAACTCACCTCTTCTCACGCAAAGCCCTCCAGCCAAACATTTCCCACTCCTCCTTGAACACCCACAGCTCGCCAACACTTTCCAGCCTAGCCAAGACGGCCGCTCCTTTGCTGGCTAACACTCTGGGGTCCATATCTCGAGGAGAGGGAATGACGGTGGCAAGGGGTGCTGAATCTGCATCTTTATGCAATTCCGTAGCTGCCCAGCTTTCCAGGTGCGTATTGAGCCTGATGTGCGTCACGAGAGCAAGCGTGAGCAAGGAAGCGATCACGAGAAGGCGAAGCCAAATACCTCGCTCATGAGTTCCGCACCCGCGCGCGCACTCTCACCTTGCTTCGAGAACCGCACCTAGACCAGGAATCAGAGCGGATCCCCCGGTGCAGAGGATGTTTCCAGCCAGCCTCTTTATCCTCTCTTCGGCAGCAGCTGGCGAAAGCTGCGAAGTCAGGCAAGATTTGATCGAGTTCCAAAGCGCCACATCCAGAGGGACTTTGGAAGCTTCAAAGGGCACATCAATAGCTGCTAAGCCTTGGGTCGTGCCTGCGCCCAACGATGAGGTAGCTGCTGGGGCATTGCCGCCAGGAGCATTCTTGAGCGAAGGCGTGTCTGCGCGAGACGTCTCTGCTCCACCGTTAGCCTTGGTTTCTCCCCCATCTTCCGCTTTGGTCGCCCCCGCTATGCCCTCTTGGTAATTGGGAAGCAAAAGGCTTTGCATGCCAGGTGGCATGGGACTAGCGCTATTTTTATTTGCACTCGCAGCTGGGGTTGTAACTGTCGCTGCAGCTGGATGAGCGGAGGCGATGTTGCTGGTAGTGCTTGCTGACCTTTCCATGGGTGCAGCGTCGGCTGTGCCCTCGGACGCGGTATTGACGACGGGAACGGGAAGAAGATGTTGAACGCAATCCTTCATTGCTTGTGTGATGGCGACATCTGCCCCGGAGCCAACAGCCACCCTCTCTCCTTCATCCCTCTCTTCCCTCGAGATACTCTCCATCGTCTTTGGCGCTAAATGCTGCTTGCTCTTAAAGTCTACAACTCGAGGGCTAAAGAGAGCCATGGGTGCTAGTATGACTTCGTCATAAGTCCTTACGGTGTACTTCACAGTCGGCTTGCTGGGAAGGCGCAAGTAGAACTCGGTGATGGTCAGTCCCAATTGGGTGGCGTCTAGAGTCGAAAGACGATGCTTGAGATCATCGATGAGCCAGCGATCAGCTAGTCGACGATCAGGATCCAATTCCGTGTACGACAATTTGGCGGCTTTCAGGAGCTGAGCGAAGAACAAGGAGACGTCTCTGCCTCCATATGCGAGCGAAATTCTGCTTTCGGGATAGACCAGACCTTCGTCGATGCAGCTGATAGCGATTCTTTCGCTGCCAAGATGAACCACGCATCCGCCGGATTGGCCTGCTCCGAATGTCGCGCACACGCTCTCTTGCTGTATACAGATCGCCGCAAAATTCAGATCGCAAAAGAGCAGATCCACCAGCTGCTCCACATCAGTCGGGCTGTATAGATCGGGCACGACGAGAATGGCGCTGTAAAGGTGCAGGTCTTTTGGAGATATACCCAAGCCTTCCTCTGCATCTGCGAGTGTCTCCTCATTTGAAGCGCTTTCCGACGCATCTCGAGGCAGACTAATAGCATGAAGAAGGATGCTCTGTATGTCTTTGCTGAGCGCCGATGAAGCAGCCGATTGACCATACCGCTCGACATATGGCTCGATGTTGAGCCTGCCTGCTCTGAAAGGCCAGAAGAGCTCCCACGGTCTGTCGACGGGCTCATCGTTCGGATAGTTGCCGCTAGAGTACTGAGGCAGCCGAGTCGCTCTTTGGCCCAGGATTGTGTCCGCCTCCTCGTCTACCACCTTTGTCCACTCCACACCAGTCACGTCTGCATGATCCGGTATCTTTTCGCTACGCGCGGATTCGTTGTACTGTGCTGCTAAGCCGCGACCATTCGTGACTGGCCTCAACTTCATCGCCCGCATGATCTTTCGCAAGTCGGTGCGAAGGACGTCTATCTTTTTGCTCAGCTAGACATGTTCGCACCAAGCGTCATGACTGTCAGCTCTGGTCTACGCCTGTGGCGTTCGCAACACTCACAGAAGACTTGCGCGTCCCATCCACTTCCATCTCCTCTTCCTGAGCATTGCGACCAGACGAAGAATTAACATCCTTCTCGGGGTCAGCGCGATCTTCCTCAGCATCTTCTCCTTCCAGCTTCATGCTGGGCAGAGTGCTCTTGATCGGTGCTCTACGAGGTGCGCCCCTCTTATCCCTGCGCGCAATGACATTGACAAAAGTCTTTGGGAATAGGTCAGTAGCAAGAGCTATTCGCAAAGAGGTGGAGCTTGGATGTATGACGATTGTCTTGGAGGCCGGATTGATGTCCTGCTCGGCGACAAAGAGATGGTGAATCGGTGGAGTCCTGCCTAAGCATGGATGCAGCACGAGTTGGGGACTCACCGCCTCATCCTCCTCTTCCCCATCGGCACCATCGCTGTTCTCGTCTTCCAATGCAGAAGCGGTTGTGGAAGCAGCTCTTGATCTATCCGCATCCTCTTGATCCGTCGCCCTTCTCCGCTTGCGGCCCCTGCTCGCTACCATACCAGGTGCCAGAGGCCCAGGATTGTTGAAGCCTCTGCGTGTGGACCATGACTGAGAATCGTGTTTGAGAAAGGTGGTGGATACGTCTGAGGGAGGTGTGTGCAAGGGGTGCAGAAGATCGCCATGTGAGCTTTGGTGATGCTTGCTGAGCAGCGATCATTGCGACTCACTCTTGGCGTTGATGGGTGCAGGCACTTGGAAAGATGTGAATGCCAATGGCAAAACCCTCGTTTCGTCAGCTGGAGGAGCTTCCACCATCGCCTTCTTGGCCGGCTTCCTGCCCGAAGAAGCAGCAGCAGGCATCTCGAACTCTCGCAGCTTGCTTGTGTAGATGGGCGACTTCGCAGCCAATGTGGTGTTGCGGATCGTTTGAGAAAGGCTGTGCAGCGGAAGGCGAGGGTGGTCGACAGTTGGTCGAAACGCGACGTTCTTGATGGCGGCGGTGATGGAACTCTCCTCCATTTGTCGACTGACTCGCGACTGTGACTGGTCACTCTCGAGCGAGACCCTGCACGGCTCTTTCATCCTGAAGGGCACCTGCCTACACAAATGGCTAAGTCTGAACACGTGATGGGGTACTCACACTGCCTGCGTTGGGATGGGGAAACCGGGTTCAGGCGCTCCTCCACTTTCGCGTGTGCTGCTGTGACTGCTGCATGCCAAGAAGGCGCAAGCATTCCCCCCCGCGCCTGCGATTTCGCTCGCTCGGCGGACAAGGGCGACGAGGTAGGGTCAGGGGGCAGCTATAAGTACCTTCTAACAGCCCTTCTACCTTCGTCCACAATCCCGTCCAGCATCATTCCAACGCTCCTCCTCTTCCACGAAAGCATCCGCATCGACGGCAATACAAGGCAAGCGAGACCGGACTTGATGCGCCTGGCTCCATCCCAGTCGTATGCAGGTCCTTCCTTGCCCATCCACGCTCATCTGCATGGACGACCAAGCATCCAAGGTGCAGCGAGAGAATTGGGATTGGGCTCTTGGAAGAGTCTATGACATACCTCCGGATTCGCAGGATGCTAGCACCTCGACCGATGGCGCCGGCACGAGTACACATGTGCGAAAGGTGGGATTAGCGAGCACGCATGGCGGTGCAGCTAGTGCTGGGGTAGCAGCTGGGTCACGGGAGGCTCAGCAGCTCAACGGCCAATCGGGCGGAAGCAGCCAAATCCTCAGGGAAGAGCAAAGTCGCATGCGAGTCGCTGAATATTCTACCCTGAAGCATCACGCTTCTCTGCATGCCGCACTCGAACCTCTGCAGAAGGTGCCATCGCAGCTTGTTGATCTGAGATCGGAGCAGGTGGACGCGGCGGCAGCGGCAACTACGCAGAGGTCCCATCTGCTCAGAGCTGAGCGAAAGCTTGAAGAGGTGAAAGCGAGAGCAAAGAGAGGTTTCTTGAGAAAGCTCAGAGGTCCTTCGCATGCTGTGAAGTTGGAATTAGAGCTGGTGAGCACCTCCAGTCACCCTCGTTGCTGCGAGCGCTGGCTGAAATGCGCCCCTTGACTGCTTCGGCTACCCTTCACCAGTCTGAGAGAGAATATCGTCAATTAAAGGGAAATTTGCAAGACATGGAAGCTCGCATACACTCGCTCAAAAGCGATGAAGATGCTGTGATGAAGCTTGAGCAGAGGCGCCTCTTGCTCATCACTGAGATCGATGCGTAAGTGTGGAGGTGCCAATTGTCACGGCTTGGCGGCGCGCCAGCGCCTCGAGGATTCGGATGCTGAGCCATTGAGGATGCCTGTTTCTGCAGCATCAATGACGCGATCTTCATCGGCACGACGCTAGGTAAGGTCATTGAGAAGGCCAAATCTTCCTGACTTCACTTCGCTGACATGGCCTTTTCGACGACGTTCACTCTTGATATGAGCAGGCTGGCCTGAACAAGACGTCGCCGAAACGAGATATCTTGTGCTCAGAGTGGCTTCAGATCTGCTCAGATCGGAGCTGCCCCGAGAGGCGCGAGCGAGAACAAAGCTAGCTCAAGCTCAAGCGACGTGCGCTGAGCTCGTCAAGGAGCTTCAGGGTGCCCTTCAACATGGCATAGATCTCGGCGTTGCTTCAAACACCAAGTACACGAAGCAGGTAGGTGCTCAATAGTGGCAGTGGCATATCTCAAACATTGAAGCGAGCTGAACTCCTCTATATGCTTGGTTCTTTCGCGCTTTGTCCAGATCGGCAGAGGTAGTTCAGCGATCGCAACGGCTCGAGGAATGGAGCCTCGGGTGAGAACTGCAAAGACGCTCAGTGGAAGAATGTACGAGAGGGGTGCAGAAGCTAGATCGATCCAGGCGGAAATCAGGCCCATCGGCAAGCTAGAGATCGTAGAGCTGTACAAGCTTCCCGGCAGAAAACACAAGGGCGCCTTGTCAGAGACTGTGAGCGGTTTCGTGCGCTCAGCGTAGCGACCGAGTCTTGCTCGTGTTATAGCTGACGATGATGAATTTTGCTGTGCGCCCACCACCGTTCTTGGCGCTTCGAATTGACTGGTTGCGCAGGACCTTTACCATTCTGTCGAAGCTTCTTATGCTCAAGCCAGACACTGTGCGCAGCACATGGTGTACAGTCTTCGCGCCTCGCGTGCGCGCGAGAAGCAAGCTCGAGCACTTTTGCGTTCCTTGGACGCAGAGACGTGCGAAGCATGCGACTCGTTGAGGGAAGTGAGGAGAAGCATCGTTCGTTCGGTGCTCGACGCATCTTCGCGTTCTAGCTCCGCCACGTTGGTTTCCGTCCAGCGCTCGGAAGAAGAGGATGTCGAGAGTAGGTTGCAGATAGAGATTGGAGCTAGAGCAAGATTGAGAGCTATCCTTCTTGAGTGTGCAGAGGCTGGCAGAGCTGTGGATGCCCCGCCCGAGGACGAGGATGGTGCCGGTTGGGAGCTGCTCACTTGATTCGGTGTCCAGGATTGGTATTAGCTGCTCCAGCCCTCGACAAATACGATACCCCTTCTTTGTACAATCGACGCTCGCACGATTTGGACTTTGAGCAAAAGTGGTATGATATTGCAATAAGGGGAGTGTATGTGTATGAACGTGTGTTGTTGGACAAGGCAAGGCAGGGGAGGATGGGTGGGGTGGCACGCTGGCGATGTGTGTAGGCGAAAACGACGATGCAGGTGCAGGCAGAATCCGTATGAAGTAGCTACGACGATTTGGCAGCTGCAAACGCGGGGGGCAAAGGTGGGACAGGAGGAATGTCCTCCTTTGGCGCGGATGCCCTGTCGGCGAGATTGGGCACGCTCTTGCGCCTCTTCACAGCCCTGGACTTTACAGAGGTGGAAGAAGCAGAGTCCTTCCGCTCTTCCCAGCGCGGACCGTCCCGTTTGGCGGCCTTGGCGGCCTTCTCCCCCGCTTCCTTGATATCGCCAGCAGAGCCGTATCCTCGAAGTGGAATCTTATAACTGCCGCTTGGAGCGACAGCTGCGCACAGCTCGTCGGCATCTTCGATTCCGTAGTTGACGAAGGAGATGCTACCGCCGCTTCTTGGAGTGGGTGGGAAAGAGGGACTGTCGAGGGTACGATATCCGCTGCTTGCGCTACTCAATGTCATGGTGCGCGGCCTTCCACTATTGAAGCTGCTGGCGGGGCTAGTCTCGGTCGGCATCGTCGACGCGTTTGACGACGCGTGCAGTCGACGATTGCTCGCGATCTTGCGAGGCGAACGGGAAGGAGCATCTTGGTGCTGTTGCGGGTCGACAGAGCGAAGATTAGGTGCGCTCTTCGCTTTGTTCGGAGAGCGTGGTGAAAGAGGAGCGTGCGACGACTGGCGTTCTTTGTGAAAGAGAGACGCAGGTGGATCAGAACATTCCGATGTGAAGGCGCCAAATGATGACGGATCGATCGCCTGCAGGCCGGTACTGGGACTGTTCGACAATCCATTGGTCCCAGAGAACGGTTGGGAGAGTCCTAAAGCATTGCTGCCAATGACTGCTGTATTCATGTTAAAGGGCACACCGTAAGAAGCAGCCATATCGCTAGGCATGGTGCTGACCCGGAATACTGAAGACGCAGGCGAAGAATGATGTGAGGGCAGCTGTGCTGAGCTCGGTGCAAGTGCGTGGACTGGCGAAATCGGTGTTAACAAACCCATGGAAGTGTACGCAAATCCAGATGACCCTGGTCCCTGCCGTTTCGATGCGTGATCCTGCCGGCCGCGAGCATATATCAGAGCAGCCTGGTTGCCGGCTGCTCGGGCTGATGAGCCCTGGCCGCTCACACCGCTGTCTCCGCGGGGACGATGGACAATAGTCTGAGCTTCTGACGCAATGTTGCTTTGCAGCTGAATGACGCGCGATTGCTGCTCCGGCGAAAGCTGGTCCCAGGTTTGGCTCAATGGAGACGTAGCCGTGCGTGCTTGACTGTGCTGCTTCGCGGGCAGAGGCGCAGCAGAGAGTGGGGTTGTGAACGCACCGCTCAGCGTGGATGTCCCGATGGGTTTGGGAGCAGGCATATCACCTGCGCGCGAGGCGTGCGCACGGCGTTGGAACAGAGCGCCCACACCCGTGCTCGATTGAGCAGACGAGAAGGCCGTCGAGGACGAGAGCTCGAGCGCCGCGTCCGAATGCCCATTGTGCGTTCGAGCCGAACCGACCTGGTCAGGAGCCACAACGTTGCTGGCATCGAATGCCGCACACTGATTCTCTCCGTCACTCTTCTGCGACAGGTCAGCCCACGCAGACTGCGAAGCAGAGGTCATTGTGGTGTTCTGGCCAATTGCTAGTCTGAGCTCTGGTGGCGAAGCGACGGAGCAAAGCTTCGCAACGGTGGCTTCAGAAGTCGCCGCAGCGATCTTTGGAGCAGGTGCGACCAGCGTGACTGGAGTGAATATGCTGTTCGAGCCACCTCCAGATGCGGTGATTCCGTCGTTTGTCGCACCAGTGGTATCGTTGAAAGCGGTGCGGCGGACCCGTCTGAGCGATCTGCCATTCGAACTCTCAGGCCAAACGTCCTCGACCAGCGCTTCGTCATCCGATGCATCTGAGCTTTGCCCGGCGTTGGACGTGTTGGGAACGTCATTCCACGCCGACATGGGTTGGCCCTCGACACTCAAAATTGGCGCGCTCGAAGGGCTGCCAGGCTGACCACCGCTACTGTCGCTGTTGCTGCTGCTACCTTCCGAGAAGTTGCTCTGTCTGTCGATGAGCGCACTGCAAAGCGCTCCATGATCTGCGTTCGCAGCTGAGCAAATTCACGTTGCAGAAATAAGGTCAGCGCTGCTGTCACGGATCAGTGTCTCCTCGATTGTACTCACCAAGCTCCCAAGGCCCAAAGGCCGAAGAACCGCCCAGCAGCGGCGTCCAGCTAAAAGTGAAGGATGAAGTCTCCTCCCCAAGGTGCGAGTCTTGCAGCAATGGGCTTGCGCCAGTATGCATCGTGTCGAGAGCGGCTTCAGTGGCACCCTCGCTACTGTTTTGACAGCCCAGCTCCAGCACTGATGTGTCGAGGATGGCGGGCGAGCGGTACAGGGCAGGTGTCAGATTGGTCTGCAACGTTTCTAGTCGAAGGACCGGCGAAGAGGTGGTAGTAAGACTGTCAAAGGCTAGATGTAGTAGGCCCATACCACGCCTAAGGAGCGCTGCTGATCGAAGCTGAGGATAATGCGTGGGACGCGCTTAGGCTTCAGCGCAGGGATGATCTCGCTTTAAACGATTGCCTTCGTCCACGTTCCCCGCTTTCGAGCGGACAGACGTCTGACAAGAGATTTGTGCACAGGGCAGGCAATCCACGTAAGTGAGCCATGACCAACCAGGATTTGGTTCCGATAGTGAAGCACGGCAGGTCCGCAAAGTTCCCACACACGACTGCAGCTTACCGAGCCGAATTATCCGAACCTTTGAGTGCATCTGCAGCTCTACCTCCAACTACTCACCTGAGACTGGTGAGCTGATCAATGGCCTTTGCCGGTCCAACACTCCGATGGATGCTGAAACCGATGATGACGCTAGGACCGCGGGCTTGATGAAGCGACCGATGTACTCGATCGGGGACAGATCGAGCTGCTCGGTGCAGCCGCGTGAAGAAAGCTAAGCGCAAGAAACTGCGATGCGCGTTCGAGTGCGAGTGAAAGAGTGGCGAAGGCAATGAGCGTTGAGCGAGTTGGACTGTGGCCGGGTCCTGCCTCGGCGCGAGTGAAGGTTGGTGCGGCAGTTACCGAGGGCAGAGCAGTTGTAGCTCTACAGGGCTCTGATCGAACCCGCGGCGGCGGCGTTGACCTGAGACAAGATTTGCAGATGCGCACAGCGCTTCTGTACGATCCGAAGAGAATGATAAGACGGGGGGCGATCTGCCGAGCAGATGAAGAGGGGAGGCTAACGAATGAAAGAGTAAATGGGTGAGGCGAAAGGCTGGAGAAGAAGTAACGGCAATGGTGAGGGTGAGCAAAGTGAGACATGCGGTAGCAACGCATTGAGAGCGGGCAATCTCAACGGGTCCACATCGGCCTGTATGCGGCTTAAAGCCACCCCATTGCGGTCGAAGCTTGCAACGCTCGCAACAGCACAAGGTTTAGACTTGGGTGGGCATGCATGCGCATGACTAAGGATAAAGAGCCCCCGTCCGCGCAGCAATCAGGCTTGCCTAATCTGCTCAATGGCGACCTTTGGTTCGGTTTCGTAGCGGAGCGCGAACATGGACATGGTCTCAGCGCGCCCACAAGCGTGAAGCTCCCCAATTCTACGACCCTTTCTATGAATTCATGCTGAGCAGCCTGCCTGCACTAAGCCTGGACGATTGACGACTGTAGGTGCCTCTGAAGTGCACTGTTGCTGCGCTTGGCTCGGAGTAGCCGAGGAGGACCGAGTCGATCAGTCTACGATGAACTGTACTGTGACTGCAGCGCAAGCGCTTTGTGCGGCAAGGCATAGGCCACTGCACATCATCTTGGTATCGGTCATGGCAGTGTGCACCATCAGGGCGGTCTAGCCTTTTGCGGAGGATGAACGATTGGCTTGCAGAGCGCTTCCTCGCAGCAGGTTTGCCAGAGGAACCTAATCTTGGCTTCGCTAGCGCGGATGTTGGATTCGCTTGCGGAGCGAATCTGCCTCAACATCATCTGCTGGCGAAGGATAAGGGATCGTCCTTAGCGGTAGCTCCGTTGTTGAGCCGGCGAAGCCATTGGCGACAAAACGGAGGTGAATGAGCTGCCTGTCGTTCCTCTGAGTGCCTCAGTGCAGGCTGATCGTCAAGGCAGCTAATGTGCACCAGCAAGTTGGGTAGACAGATCATTTGGCCACAGCACTGGCACAGAGGTGGCAATCGAGATGACGGGAGTCGTGATCTGCGAGCCGGTCGGGCTTCTTGCCTGATGCGTCTGCCACCTGAGACATGTCGTTTCGTTGACGCGGTGGGGCGCGCAGTGCTGCAGACACGCGCGACGAGTCGTGAGTCTCGAGGTAAAGGCGGCATGAAGCAGCTGCTGCTGCAGCGTCACGCAGGAGCTCGGAGCGCGCGTGCGCGTCTTTGTGACGGCTGCGGCTGAGAGCATGCCCCACAGGCCTGCTTCTGCTCCATCCCTCACATGCTCCCTCATGGATGCGGACATGCAAAGATAGACGTGCACACAGTCATCAGCTCACGAGTGTGAAAGGTACGCAGGTCCGACTTGCTTCACACTTGAGGTGTCATTCGTCTGGGCGTCAATTCCTTGTCGATTGTGGTGCGATACAGATTGGTCCGAGCAGGTACATACAGTCTCGAAAACTTCGGCAACATATGATGGATCGAACCCGTGTTGCCCTTCTACAGTTCTCATCTGCTCTCGAGAAAAGCGGTCTTCTTTAGCAGCGAGAGGCCCGCCAATGTCGCCGACACTCGGCTCAGAAATCGCGACTGGCCAGAGGCTAAACGAACAAAATGGTCGCTTTGACGCCCCAATTTCGAGAACCAGGTGGCGAGCTGGTGGCATGACACCCTCGGCACCCACAAGTGGCGTCGACCGAGACATCCTTAGCGCAGATAGCGTGTGAACAGTATGCCGGGCCTGCGGATCGACCTCGCACCCTGCAAGGGGAACGTAATCCAATACGTAAAACGATCTCTGTCAGCACGTGCGACTATGGCTATGCGATCTGCGGGTGTGTATCGACCGTGATGAAGGTTGGAACATCATACGATCTGATGGCCGCTTGTGCATGCTGACGATCTTGGCAAGGGACGAGGTACGACAGCTGAAAGCACGAGGGCTATCACCGCCACGCATTGACGTTTCTTTGCTTTGGAGCGGCAGCTACCAGACTCGAGCCGGCCGGCCGAACGTCTACCGGTTTTGTGCAATACAATAGCCGATGAGGCTGCCGCAAATACGCACAATGCCGGTGCAGCTTGCAGTATATCTGAACGATGGTACCTGGCAAGGTGCACGACCTGTCTCGCTACCTCCACAGCCTGTTGCTCGTGACTCCTTTCTCATCAGCAGGTCTATGCCTCTCGATCGAAGCAAATGATCATGCGCTTGGGCGAGCGGTGGGCCTCTCGCGCTGAGATCGATTGGAAGTGAGACTTGGAGCACACAGGCTCTTTCTAGATGCCGTGGTGACCTTCGTCCTCTGCCCAAAATGCGATCTCCGAGCTTGCACATCGTCGCTGTCTCCACGTGCGCTCACGGCGCAAGCGCGCTACTTGACCGCCGGCTCATCGCGGTCGCGTAGCGCGCCCCGGACCACCCTTTCAAGCTCCGAGAGACATCTATCAGCAACGTCCGGCACACTCCGACGATCGAGCTTCCCACAAAGCGACACGATCTCGTCTCGCAACGCCCACTTTACGCTCTCCGACCCGTTCCTCTCCCTCCATACTTCCCTCCTCCCCACCCGCTGTCAAGTCTCTCTCACAGCGGTCGTCTCCCGCCTGGATGCTGCGCCAATCCGGCGGAGCCTGTCGACGGACCTGTTCGGCGACACGAGAACTCCCAGCGATCGTGTCAGACCCTGAGTCGGCGACCATTTAGACCAGTCTGGGCCTGAGACGCTGACGTTGGATGAGACCGTCCCTACGGCAATCTGAGATCGGGCAGCAACGCCAGAGTTGGATCAAGTGTGGGGTCTGCGCACCGATTTGAGGCGCTCCTGGTCGCACCACACAGCAGTGCAACGGCCTACTCTCCAATGACAATATCAAATTTGAGATAAAGGCTCACGTAGGAGCATGCTCTGACACCTGAATATCTGGTATAGAATGTGCCCTAGAGAGTCCAGACGCCGCGGTCTCGTTGGCGGAAGCGCTGGGCTCGGGCAATGGCAGCCCAAGACTGTCCTGCCTTTTTGGGTCAGCACATCCACCTCCGCTGCCGCTGTATAATGGCGCATTCTTGCGTCGATGTCTCAAATCGCTCACCCCCGCTTGGGTCGCGTCTCGAAGACCAAGCTGACTCAATCGAGCTCTCTCGTCCTCGTCGTCCTCTTGCGTCCATTCTCTGTCGATTTCGCCGCTATTCCTGGGCGAAGTTGATGACTTCACGCCTGGATGGGGCTGTGCCAAATTACGATCATGCGAGCCGACCAAGCCCAGGGTCATCGTCGAAAGCCAACCGCGAGGCTGAGCTCTGGCCCGGTTCCCTGCGTGCGCTTGATTGCGCGCAGCCGCGTTCGAGCTTTGCGCGTTGAAAAGGCTAGACGTGAGGGTGCCGGTCCTGTTGTGTCCTTGGCCAGAGAGAACGCGGGAGATACGCTTGCCTCCCTCGAAGCTCGATCGGCCCGAAGAGGAGGCCTCATTAGGGGAATCTTGCTCCGAGTCCGAATGGATGGCATCGTCCGGATCAGTAGCGAGCAAAGGTCGAACGTGTCGTTTCCAATTGCCTGACCAAGTCGATGTGGAGCGTTTCGTCTGGATCAGAGGCGGCTGTCTCTGGCTCTCGACGGGAGATAAAGCTGCGTTTGGAACCGAACTTGGTGCAGATCGTGGGTATTCCCACGACTTGAGGCCGCGACCTAGCACAGGCGAAGGCATCATAGTGAAAGTGGCGGGATCTGTTGGACTGAAGGGCGAGGGAGGGGGCGAAGGGATTCTTTCGCTACCCCGACCGTTGGCAGAAGTCGCACTCGCCAAAGCATCTGCACCGGGCAAAGGGACTTCGAATGGCGAGGGTAGTTTCTCGAGCTCAGCAGCCAGCCAGCTCCGTTCTGGGTGCTTGCTAAGTAGACTTTCCAGTTGACGAGCCAGCTCTTCTGCTGTTCGAAATGTCAGACCGTTGCGACGATCCTTGACCAGCTCGTCCAGGCACGGAAAGTCAAGCGCGCAGACCGGCAAGTCGCAGCCCAGCATGTCGACAACCTTCATTGGGAGATCTAGACCAGACGAAGATGCATGCAGAGACACCCCAACGTCCGCAGAACCTGTTCGAAGGGAGCGCCTATTAGCCGCTTCTGAGCGCGGTTTGTGGTTGCGTCGCCCACTCTTTGCCCGCCAGACTCACCCAGAAGGACCGGATAGTCTGCAGCCTCCAACCACACCGTCCTGATGCGCACCCACTTCCATTCTTCAGCGGATTCGAGCCTGGCAATCTCTTGCTCGTAGTGTGCGCGAAGCTCTCCCTTCCCCGTGACAAGGATCAATACTTTGGGCAGCATCTCAGCTGGCTCATTAGGCAGACGAGTAGGTCCAAAGGCTTCTTCAGCGGAGACGGAAGCTCGCTTCCTGCTCTTCTCTCGCATAGAGCCAGAGGCGGAGCTGGCATACTCGACAGAGCCCGAGCCCGAGCCGGTCGCACGATGGCTCGAAGAAGAGAGCCTCCTTCGAGCTCTATCAAAAGCGTCGCCGCTGGCGATGGGCTCTTCCAAAGTGGGTGAGGACGCAGATGTCTGGTTAGCTTCTGCTACCGCAACCAGTTGTCGCGCCCGACGCTCATAGATGCCAGCGGCCTTGAGCAAGATGGAAAAGTCCTCATCGGCTGTCCAGGAGGTGGAGCTCACGACGAGAGCGGGCCTGTCGTCCCTGAGCAGCGACTCTGGGGAAGAAGCCGCCTCAGGCGAGCGCTGAGTCACAAGCGCGGCGGCAGCTGTCTCCTGCCTCGCGATCTCCACAGCTGAGGGTCCGCTCTCGGAAGTGAAAGGCGTTGTCCGTGGCAAGCTATGAGCAGGCCAGAAGTCGTTGCAGGACGGGCTGATCGTAGGCGCGAGCGTGGTCCAAAGCCGATGCGTCTCTTCCGGGTTCCTCTTTCGAAAATGAGCCGGCGGTCGGTCATATAAGGTCAGCTTCTTTCCCCTCAATGCCCACTCTTGCGCGAGCCGTGTGCGCATGGCGTGGGTGACAAAGAGGTGTGCGTACGCATTCCTCCCCGTAAGCCTCTCCAGGTGACGCGCAAGGGCGACGAGGGGAGACTTGGCGCCCATGCGCAAGGCGAGAATGGTGTAGCCGAGATTGTGCCAATCGATGATCACCCTTGACTGCAGTAGCAGCGAGGCGACTCTGACGACGAATAGCGTTGGCAATGCCGGTGGTGTCTGCAGATGAGAGCAGTAGATTACCGAAGTTAGTATATCACATTCATCGATGAGATGAGGTGAGTGAAGATCAGGACAAAGAGGAGACGCGCAACTTTCTCAAAAAAGGCTCACCTGGACAAGCAAGAGCTCAGGAGGTGGCTGCACTTGGGTTGTAAGCTCGAGGAAAAGGACAGCGCTCTGCCATAGCACCTTGAAAGGCGCAACAAACGCAAACAGTAGCCTCGGTAGCCTCGCGATGTAAGCAGGTGGAGTTGCCAGATGGTGATGCTTGATGGATGATCTCCTCAGGTTTGAAGGGACAGCGACGCCTGTTCAGGTTCCAGTGAGGGGTGAACACTTGAGCGCGCGGTGCTGGTTCTGAGCCGGACAGGATGCATCGGCACTCACCAGCATAACCGACAACGGCGACTCTCCAGCCCTCGTTTGCCAGACTATCCACATGATTGCACATCCGCGGACTGCGACCAATGTCTCCCAATACCACCACTGCCGCACTCCTGCCCAAGCTGGATTTGCGCGTCGTCGAAGGCGCTCTATACAAGGCGACCCATAAAAACAAGAACAGCAGACCCAGCAAGGGTACCGAGATGAGCAGAAAGAGGAAGAGCAGAGGGACCAACATACTTCTCTCCAAGTCAGGCGAAGTACGAAATGAGCGTAGGGGAAGTGCTGACTGGAAGATTACGTGCTCGACCAGCGAGGCTTCATACGAGGCGCGAGAGCGAGGACGCGGTCAACTCGAGATGCGTGTATGTGGGAATCGTAAAATGCGAATGATGTGCTCGGGTGACGTGTTGGAAAGCGATTGAGAGAGATGCTCAGTGAAGTGCCTTGGGTCCCATGATAAGCTTGCGGCGGGTCTTGCTGACGGCGACGATGGTGACGATGGTGACTGAGAAGCACATCATGAGCGGCGAGCAGCAGTCACGAGTCGAAGTCGAACCGAGCGAGCGCGAGGCTCAACCCATAAATAACGCCTTTTGGCCCAATTTGAAAGTTGGATTCTTGATTCATTTTGACGTCCTCTTGCATGCATGCGTGCCGTGCCTCGTTGCAGCGCTCTGTCGTGCGAGGTTCGCAGCATCGGCGCGACTTTGCGTGGTTTGACCGCTGCTGCCGCGGTGCTGGGACCCTTGCAATTCGTGATCACGTGCGCGGCACGCTGCGTAATCCTTCAGGAAGATCCAGCCAAAGAGGTGCTTCTTGCTTAGCTTTTGCATGGGTACGCATCCGCTTGAGCTCGCGTCTCCGCTCTTCTCATCATCGCATCGCTTGCTACTGCGAGTGAATGCCACGACTTGAGACTGAGCCCCACCAACAGCCGCGACGGTCATGTCACAGGCTCAAACTCCCACGAATGGCTCGGATGGAGCGGCTGGCAAAGTCGCAGCTCCACCAAATTCCAACGGCGCAACCCAAGCCGGTGCTACGTCATCCGCTCAAACGGGCAGCAATGGACCAGGCGGCGGATCGCAGCAACCTCACGCTCAGCCCAAGACCCAACCAGGACTTTTTGCAAGAAGGTTCCCAAACGCTGCGGCTGCTGCTCAGAGGGCGAGACAGAGCGCTGGAGGTCAGGTCGCTGTGAAGGTCTGGAATAACAGGAGGTACTTGGGTATTGGAATTGCTGTGACATTTTTGGGGACGAGCTACATCAGCGGCAAGATAGCTCAGATGTGAGTGCATACATGCGCCTCACAGGTTCCACTCGAGGCGTAGGCTGAGCTTGTCATGGCCCACCCAACGTTGCGCGGCTTAGCAAACGGGATCACGTAGCTGATGATGTGAGTACAACGGCACCACATTCATCGTGCTAGCAGGGTATCTGCTCCATGAGCTGCACTGAGACTTGTCCGCCTTTTGATGGTCTCAGTCCTGGCTGGTATGGAAGATCTACGATGGCGCCATCGTCGAGGCTCGAGGCCCCACGAGTCTGACGGCGCTGCTCGGCGGCGCATCAGCAGGCGAGGATGCTCCTCGCGTCATGGAGCTGTACGAAGCCGTGCGGGCTCTCAAGTGGGCCAAAGGCGACTCTCGCATCCGAGGGCTCATTGCCGACTTCTCAGGCCTGCACATTCCAGGAAGCTCAAGAGGTCCAGGGCTGGGGTTTGCGCAAATCGAAGAATTGACCCAAGCCATACACGATTTCAAAATCGCAAAGAACGAAGAGCTGACGGAAAGGCAGAAGGGATCAGCAGGCAAAATTTTGCAGGTCGAGATTACTAGGCCGGGACATAAACCGGAGATGATGAATGCCGACTCCCTCGATGAGGAGCAGCTCGTCGCTTGGTTGTCCGAAGCCGACCCCAAGCTCAAGCCCGAGCAAGCAGAGGCCAAGGTCCAGCAGCTGCACAAAGCGGTGGATCGTATCAAAGCTTCGGCGGAGACAAAGGCAGCCACGAAGGTTGAAAACGGCCAGGGAGCGGCAGCTGGACCTGTGACGCGACAATTGCCAGCCACGATCGCCTGGACGGATACGTTCAGCTCTCAAGGCGCGTTCCTGTTGGCGTCCGCTTTTGATGAGGTCTACATCCAGCCATCCGGCTCCGTACCTCTCAGAGGTATTGGCGGCAGCATTACCTTTTTCCGGCGAGCATTGGAAAAGCTAGGCATCAAGCCTCACGCAGAAGCTCGGCGAGAATACAAGTCGGTCGTATCCCAATACACGGAAGATGGCACATTGACCGAACCTCAGCTACAGAATCAGGCTTCATTGCTTGGTGACTTGAATCGAGGAATGTGCTTTGCGATTGGCGTCAATAGATGGCCTGACATGGACCCGGACGAAGCTGCTGACAAGGTCGCGCAACTAGTCAAGAAAGGACCCTTCTCGGCCAACGAGGCCATCAAAGAAGGTCTCATCACTGGTACGATGTACAAGCGAGAGCTGTTCAAGCAAATCGGAGGACAAGAAGCCAAAGTGAAGGTAAGCATTTAGATGGGCACGGACCGAGCGAAGCCCCTCCTTGACCAGCACTTCTCCTCTTTCCCAGAGCTTCCCACTGTACTCCGACATCATTGATCGCACACTCGCCAAGCGTTTACCGGACTCTTACAAGAATCAGGTTGGCGTCGTATACCTCTTAGGGGGCATCAGTAGCGCTCCCGGGGACTTCACTGCCGCGCACGCCATCAAGGGCCTTCGCGAGGCGTGCGAGGATGATGAAATCAAGAGCATCGTTCTTCGTCTGGACACCGGCGGAGGATCTGTGGTAGACAGCGATTCGATCTACGATGCCGTGAGGAGATGTCAGGAAGAGTACGGCAAGCCTGTCATCGCAAGCTTTGGAAACGTCTCCGCTTCTGGAGGGTACTATGCTTCCGCTTCGGCAGACGCTATCTTGGCATGCGAGTCCACCATCACCGGATCCATCGGCGTGGCTGGCCTCAGACCAACGATTACGCGCAAAATCTTTGATCAGCTGGGCATCTCCATGCAGTCTTTCTTCACGGGCAGCAAGAACGAGTCGTTGATGCATGAGATGAGCGAAGAGTACCGCAAGAGGAACGCAGAGCATATTGACGAGACCGTGAGTCTCGGCCCATTTTCCTGCCGAGATGGCGAGCCCGTCTCATCGTCACTGACCCTTCCATCTCCACAATAGTACGACGACTTCTTAAGCAAGGTTTGTGAGGGTCGAGGTATCTCTAAGGAAGTCATCGAAGAGCTTGCAGGAGGCAGAGTCTACACTGGTCTGACGGCGCTCCTAAAGAGCAGGCCAGAGGAAGAGCTGATGGGCGACGAGGCTGCCTCCGAGACTCCGAACGCGGCCAAGAAACCCGTGAAACTTTCCTTCAGATATCGACCCAAAGACATCACGCGTCAAGGCGAATTTTCGACCATTGCCATTGAAAGTGACGCTTCCGAAGAGCAGGCGGGCACTGCTTCTACCTCCGCAACTGCATCTGCTACGGAGCAAGAAAAGCAGGACGAAGATATCGTAGCCCAGGCCGCTAGATTGGTGGCTGAAGAGGAAGGCTCGATCGCTCTTGCTGCTGCTTCAGAGACCGCAATTGATGGGGAGGCGGAAGACCAGCTGGCCGAGAAGGCTCATCAGGTTGCCGAGGCTGAGCGTAAAGCTGATGAAGAGGAGAAGGCTGCAACCGAAGGGGCTGCAGACGTGCCTAAGGGTCCGTATGGACGAGGACTCATTGATACCATTGGAGGCTTGGGCGAAGCTGCGGCTTTGGCGTTCGCCACCGAGGTCTCGTGAGTTGTCATCGAGCCCTCTGAACGTCCAGGACTTCTTGCGCTTCCGATGCTGACTCGCTGCGTTGCGCTCGTGCCCCCACAGCATTGAGATTCAGAAGCTCATTACTGAACATAAGATGACAAAGGAGCAGGCTATGCAAGCTGTGAGACCCGGTCGACCACGCGTCATTGACGAGTCGGGGCAAATCAGCTTTGAAGGCGATCTGTGAGTTTGAAACGGAAGTTCTATCATCTTCGCACACCTCTTATTCACATGGTCTGACGCCGCCTTTTCCTCCGACTCTACTGATGCAGCGAGCTAGTGCGCTTCCCGCGGGAGAAGAACTTCTTGCAGAGAGCGAGAGATATACGGATGGGCAAAGCGGATCGACCCTCGGTGCTAGCCCTCTTTGGTTTCCCTGGTCTTACGGCAATCGCAAATGAGATGGTAACCACGGCTGCTAGGTCTGCCGTCAGAATGCTCATTAACCTCGACAGCGAAGCGTGGGCTCGAATGGTGGAGGAGGAAGTCGCGAATGCGTCGAACGAGCAGAATCGAATGCGCGCTCACATGAGGACCGGAGCTTGGGCTCGTCCTTGATGTCCTGTGTCGCCACAGCACAAAAGGACCAAAGAAATCGTCCACCCCTCAGCACCAATATTGACGCATCGCTGCTCCGTGTCGGAGTACGCAAATCACAGCAAGGCTCTGGTCAATTAGATGCATGCATAGTCTACTGCGGTGACTCGCTTGATCTGCTACTTTCGCTGCAGATCGTGTGGCGCCCAAGGTGAGAGATCAACGAAATCAGTCGAGGTCCAATTCCTCTCCCCCATCTCCGGCAGATTCTTCGGTGTCTGGCCTCTGTACGCCCTTAGGTGCGGGCGGTTGCTTGACGATGACTGGAGCCGGCTGCGAGCCACCTTGGGGTCCTCCGCCCATCAGAGCTCCAAGCATGTCCTGCATAAAGTTTCCCTGCGGCTGATTGGACCTGACGTCAAAGTAGAGCGTCGAAATACCATTGATCGTCTTTTGAGAAGGAAAGAGGTTGTCAGGAAGCAGCGCATGATTCATGACGAGGGACCTAGAGCGAGCGAGCATTGGTTCGCCACTCACATCACCAACGAATTCGTCCGCTTCCAGCGCAGGTCCTTCCCTCTGGTACTGCTGAATGAGTCCTCCCCATGCATTGCGCAGCTGATCGCCAACCCTCTGACCCGACTTTTTGACGCTCACGGCTTGACCCACGAGAGCGAGTGTCATTTGAGCGAAGTTGAGATCCGCGTTGGCCGTCATGTACAGCTGCAACGGATCGGATTGCACAGTAGTTGTTCCCCCGACAGGCGAGAACGCCTTGGGATTCGGTTGAGTTGGCAATAGAAGTTTTGGATGCTTTGTGACGAGCTCTTTGACGTAGGCAATGAGGAATGCTCGAGAGCCTGTGAAAGCTCGAGCGACAAGCAACCTGAAAGCATGGGGCTTCGCACGTCAGCTGAGGTCAGGGGCCCGGCGATTGTACCTCTGCTAAAGACTCACGGCAATAGTCCTCTCAAGGCCCATCTTCCTGATGCTGACCTTGCGATGGTTGCCTGATCCCTGCTCTCGCCTTTGGCTTGAGACTCTGTCTCCGCATGCGCATACAGCCAGGTCAGCTGACTGGAGGCGAATTTGGTAGGAGCAGATGCATCAAAATGTTGAGAAGCTAAGCTGGCGTTTCCGGGGGGCGGTGCCGAAGCTGCGAGGAGGTGTCCTTCTGCCGCGTAGAACTCGCCAGCTGAGGGCCCAAAAGTGGCATATACTGGTCAGGTGAAAAATGGCGGCTGCGTAATGCAGCAAGTCTCCACTCACAGGCTACAAGAGCTTCTCCCAATGCCAGACGCAAGTGCCCATCTCCAGCTGGTGCACTTGTCACCTTCGCAGACCACCTGCAAGGGTATGGAACGAATGGGCAAGGGATCAGCTCAGAGGGACAGTTTCAATGACTCAGAAACCTCGCTCTATGCTTACTTTATGGCCGCATCAATCACCTTCTTGCGCCAGAAGTCAGGCTTGGCAGCTTTGACGATCTCGAGAATTCGACCTTGAGGAAGCAGCGTCTCACAAGTCAGTGTCGGAGAAGGTCGTCAGATCAACACAGCATGTGTGTCTCACCTCTGCTGGTCTCGTCGCTAGGTAGTTCAGCTTGACCATATACATCGATCATGTAAACTCCCAAGTCACAACCGGATCCTTGCTCTCCCTCCTTCAGCAGCTCGACGGCTCCCCCGTGCAGCGATTCGATGGCGCCTGCATAATCCTTCTTCTTCAATTGTCGTACGGCCTTCGTTCGCAGCTTCTGATGAAGCTCATACCCACCCATGGTGAGTTGGACCTGGAAGCGAGGTTAGGATGGAGGACCCCCGGACGTTGGCTCAAATGTGTATCTTGATGGACTGCTCTGAGGTCTCCTCGTGCGGGTGCAATCGAGGTGGCACTGTGCAAAGGATCAAGAGAAGCACGAAGGTCGCGGCTGTTGTTGCTTGCGTCCTGACTCGCTAGTCGCTAGTAGTCGGGAGCACGTTCAGCATTGTGACGGTCGTGCATGATGAAGCAGCCAAGATGTTGGGTCCTTCGATTAACACGTGACTTGACTTTACGCGATTTTTTGTACTACTCACGTGACTACTCAAACTCAAGACTCGTGACTTTTTGACTTGTCCCGCGGGCCTAAATCAAGAAGTCATGAGTTCGGCACGCGGTATGCTGACTCGGGAGGATGATCAGGCCATGTTCTAGCTCCGATCCATCTCCTCAGGCTCGTGCGTGATCACTCAGCCTCTCTCTTCAGGACAGGGGTCTCAAGGTAGTCTTGAGTGTGGACCCAGCGCATCCGAGGTGTGGATGCTCACAGACTGACGTCACATCGACCGATCGCGAGAGCGTCGGAGGGGCCCCCTCCCAACAAACGCACGGATCTCCTTTGCGCATCATCGCGCCGAGTGTGTCTGACGCTTGGGCCTTCAACGTGGATGAGATTCTCGAGCTGGCAAGGCAGCACTTCGTAGCTCTCACTGCAGTAGTAGCCGGTCGCATTCATGATTGAAGTGCAATCGACCGGCATGTCAACGACGAATCGGCATCACTCACGACTCGCCTGACTGATTGCGCTCAGTCAATGGACGTCGCGCGACACAAGCATCGCATCGCAGGTCTGTCTGAGGTCTGGAGGGGACAGCAAGGTCTTCTAAGACTTGGTTTCCCAACGCTCTGGTCGACAGGCAAATCAAATTCTGCACAGATACACATACACAGATTGCAGGCGCTCGACTGGCCCGAGGCCTCTCCTTCGTCTTTGCCAGTCATGCAATCCTGAGATCAGCGCATACATTCACCAGGCCACGAAGCGACGACTGTGCAAGGGCCTCTTTGATCTCTTTCGCGCAAATCAAGCGCTAGCAGACAGACGCTGGCGCGGTCTGTGAGGAGAGCTTCGAGCCAGCTGTCTTATAAAGGAGCACGTCGGAACGCTCCTTGTGGGTGCCCTTGACGCGCTTCGCTCTCCTTGTGGACACCACTTGTAACACCATCAACATCAATTTCGATCTAGCCTTTGCAGCGTAGGCCAAGTCTCCCTCCCCTGTCATGACGAGCAGCGCCGACCTCAAAGAGCGGGCTGCCGTCATCTCGGCGGGCGTGAAGCTGCTACCAATGCTGCTCACCCACCCGCCTTACATTCCTGCAAGCATGAAGTCCGACGAGCTGAATCAGCGACACCGCTTGCTAGACATGCAGCCAGACGAGGATGGCTACCTCTTCAGCGATGTGTTTGGTCATGCTCCTGGCACAGCTACGCGTGTCACTAGTCGCATCCAAGCTCTCCAGCAGCAGCTCGAAGCGCTGCTCGGCATACAACCGAGCGCTGCCAGTGCTGTCAAGAAAGTAGTCGGCGAAGTGACTTTCAGCGCTCCAGAGCAGACTTTTGCGCTTGCTTGTGTAAGCCTAGGCAACATCAACAGCAAGAAGCCTCTCCTCGATCTGGTATTGCGCAGAGCCATGGGCGTCTCGGAGGACGATGCGGAGCGAATTTGGAAGTTTGACAATCTCGTTCCCGCCGGCACCCTGCCTGGTGCGTGGGTCAGCAGTCTGCAACAAGCCTACGAGACACACCGACAAGAACAAGTCCGTGCGAGTATCGCCCGTCAAGCCGGTCGCGAACGCAACGTCTCCGTGGACAGCACAAACGTACCGAATTTCGATCGCTCATACAGCGACAGAAGCCTTGGCACCACGCGCACGTACAACTCTTTTGCCACTGCAGCTTCGAGTTTCGAAGAAGACCATATCGCGAAATCTCAAGCCGATGCTTCGGCCAAGCCCTCTCCTGGTGCTGAGTACATTACTGACCCGGACGAGTTCTGGGGCGGTGTGGATGATGGTGATGACGAGGACTCAGCCCAAGACGAAGCTCAGGAGCCTGCCACTGAAGCCCCCGAGGCAGAGCAGAAGGCTGAGGATGATTACTGGGCCCGTTATGACTTGCAGCAACCTGCGGCGGAAGGGCGTAGAAGCTCCGTGAATGGCGAACAGCACGGTGGCGATATTGACGGCGTAGGCTCAACGCAAGGCTTGTCATCTGCCCACTCAGCGAATCATTTCAGCGACTTTTTGAGCGTAGGCTCTGCCATTGCCGGTGCCGAACACCGAGAACTGAGCCTGCACGCTGCTGGCATGTCTTCGCCGGTCGAAGTCCATAATGAGCCCGCACTAGCATCCGGCGGTCTCACGATTCAGGCCCTTGATCGTCACGATGCAAAGCCACAACAACCACAATGGTGGGAAATCCCGAATGGAATCACGGAGCGCGAGCCTGCTCGACCCAAGCTGGGCCGCTTGTCATCAATCCGCTCTGACGCCACGGACTACGGCACTGAGACATTGCAGGATCATCGGTCTCAAAGTACGCATGCCGATGGCATCTCCATGTTACCGAACACAAGTGATATATTGCCTCATGAAGATCCCGATGTTGGCGTCGAGGATGATGAAGAGCGGGGAATCGCGGACGTTGTAACCGGAGAGGACTTCGCACTCGACCCTATTCCCGAAGCAATCGATCATCAGGCCACGGACGACCCTTATGAGGATGAAGAGTCAGCGAGTCCAAAAGATTCAAAGAAGGACAACTTTGGACTGGACACCATTTCTGACAAGACCGGTGGTCATGACTTTGACTTGGATGAACCCGCCTCTTCGAAAGCTACGGCTCCGGATGTTGGTCAAACAGCGCAGTCAATCGTAGAGCCGGATGGCGACGCTCTAGTCTCGCAGGCCGGTCCTAAAGTGATGATCGCCAAGCCAAGTCGTGATGACCTCGTTGCTGATAGCCCTCAAGCTCCCAACGACGAGGAATTAGAGGCAGCAGAGGCTGAGGACGAACTAGGAGCTGTCCTCTCACGGTCTCGAGCCGGTTCGCTGCTTCCTTCCTCCCCAACTGCAAGTCTGAGCAGCGTCATGGCCCCGCGGCCCCCACGCAGCGTTGTCAGTGTGCAGTCATCCTACGATACTCCAGCAGACATGGAGCTTGCCGACCTCGAAGCTTTCTACAGAGCACGCGATCAAAAGCGTCAAGAAGAGAAGCGCGAGCGAATACGTCGGGGCGGGCAGCTTCCAGGGATTGACGATGACGAGAATCGTGGAGTCAAGTCGCCTAGTTCTCATCAGAGCCCCGCGACACGCGAGCGAAGTCTCAGCATCAAAGATCTCGACCCCATCACCGCTCTTGGAATTGCACCCAAGTCGGCTCGTGAAAGCGACCAGCCGCGCAAGGTGGTCCGCAACGCTTCCATGGATGCTCTCAGACGCCTTGCCGAGCAGCAAGAAAGAGAAAGCAATATGCGATGGGGTGGTGTTGCCGGCTCGGAAATAAGTCGTCAATCCTCGGGCTCGAAATCGGCACAGAAAGGCGGCGGTTTTGGTAGCTTCTTGCAAATGGCGCCGAGCGAAGTCACCGACGTCAGCTCCGTCTCTTTCGCCAAGGAACCGCCGCTGCCATCTCCGACGTACCTGCCTCAGGTCAATGACCCATTTTTGCCACAAAACGAAAGCGAACATCAGGCTACTTCGACACTGGAGGCTGCTGATGAGGTACCTGAACTGTCTCAGCCTAATGAGGAGACCAACGAATCCGATCAACACGCATCCGCCCTGTCCAGAGGCCGGCTTCAACAAGGCGAAGCTGACACAACTTTGGAACATCCTGAGGGCACAGAGGCTCGAGGAGCGCCTGAAAATGAGGCTGCAGATGAACAGCACGATTTGGACCTCACCTTGGACGACGAAGAAGCCACGAACATTGGCCATGCCATCGCTTCTGAGATGCAGCTTGACACTCAGGAAGCTCAGCGCGTTACGAAGGAGCTGGACAAGCAAGATCTGGATCCGCAAAACTCGCAGGTGGCCATCGGCGAGGACAAGTCCGATGAGAATGATGCAGTGGACGACGAAAGGTTCAATCAGAAAGAACTTCACCTGCCGCTGCCGGAGGCAAAAAGCTTCCTCCCCTCCGAAGCCTTCAATCTCAAGGTGCGACACGCCATCGATTCACCCAACGCAAGCGAAGGCGATTCCCTGGTTCGTCAAGTGACAAATAGCATGCGCGGTCACGGCAAGGGTCGGGCACGAGTCTCGCCTGGTGGCAGCTCGGTCATTGCTGCGAGTGACAGCTTCATGCCGAGCGCAGCTTCGGACGCTTCCGTGCGTCCACTCTTTGGCAGTCGTCAGGGATCCTGGCCTTCGCAGACCGACTCGCCCGACTCTGGACCTGGTAAGCTCGCGGCACGCGCTCTTCGTCCTGCGCGCACACGCTTCAACCTGGAAACGTTTCAAGAGACAGACTTTGACGATGGAAAGTCGATTTCCTCGACGCAGCAGCAGCTTGGTCTGGATAGCCCCAGCGAGGCCCCGGTGAAGCCAGGCGTGGGAGTCAGCTCAAATCGGTCTGACCTCGATGGTGCTAGCAATGATCAGTCGATACAGTCCAAGCCTGTCAAATTCCGTGCAGTTGGTTCTGGTCCGCCTCCTAGTGCGACTTCTGCTCATACAGCCAACATGCTCCACGACTACCTAAAGCAGCAGCGTCGACAAGCTCTACAAAGTAAACGCGACCGTGTCGTTCAGAAACAACAGCAGCGCACAAAGTAAGTCGTTGAGCTTGTGGGCCCAACGTACCAAATATGTAAACTCACCCTCTTTGCACGTCCTGCAATCAGTTCGGAAAAGCAAGTACAAGACGCCGGCTACTTCAACATAGACACGTACGACGATCGGACGCCCATGCCCCTTGAGCGTGACGCTCAACAGCTGGCTTCGGGGTTTGCTGACGGAAACGAAGCGAGGCCGACAAATCCACGTGCGCTCACGAGCACCACCTCCCGCACATCTTCGACCCTTCGCGAAGTCGACGATATGATGGCAATTTCGAGGGAAGCCGCTCGCAACAGCAAATCCAAGGCCGAGGCTGAGAGTCTTGAGGCAAGGGAAGAGCGCAACGTGCCTCAGGATGAGGATGAGGAAGGCGAACAAACCGGCCTTGGACTGAGCAAGAACGCCGTCCAACCGGACGAGTCGCGAAGCGTCGATGAGTCGTTGGACGAAGACTTCGATGACCAAGAAGCTGCCGAGATTGACGCAGACCCCGAGGCTGACCGACGCGTCTTTGGTCAAGAATCTGAGCCTGTTTCGCTCGAGCTTCCCCTTGATGAGGATGAAGGGCCTGTGGCAGACAGCGGCGCAGAGGATGAGGAAAGCGACAGAGCAGCTGAAGATGCAGAAGGCTTCACCGTCAATGCTGAGCAGCCAGAAGGCGTCGAGGACGAAGATGAATCCACGTTCGAGGAGGGCTTTGTTCGACCCATTGCTGGACGCATTCTTGACCAAGGAGATGGCGAACGGACCAGCTCATGGAAGCGTCTTTCGCAGTCTCACGACGTAGCCGCCGGCGCCGTTCTGCCCCCATCCCCGCCTAGCGAGGAGGAGAGCCTGGGCTCTTCACACGACAATGTGCGAGAAAGCTGGGTGCAACAGGATCCCTCCATGCTCAGCACTCCTGCCATCAGGGCCGGCAATCAAGCAGACGAGTCGATGCTGCTACAACCACTGCACCCGAAGCAGTCCGAAGAGTTCAGCATTTCTCCTGCAGCTGCAACGATCGCTGAGCCGCAAGAAGAACCTCGCAGGGTCTCGGGCATCGGAGCTCGTCATCAGGGGCAGCTACCAAATGGCGTGCAAGAGTCTGAGCCCATGGATTTGCATCAGGCCCGTAGTCAGGGAGCACAAGCAGCTCGTCTACGTCGCCAGGCAGCCATGTCCATCAGACGTCGCAACGACGCTGCAAAGGCCATTCTGAGAGGTGTGTGGGATCTGTTGGAAGAAGCAACAGCGCCTACCGAAGGCGCTCAGGACAATGACGCCGCAGGACGCTTGACCGAAGGAGAATTTGTGCGACTTTGTCGTGAAGTGGCTCGCGAGCAGGTGGCGAGACGTGGCGAGGCCGACGAGGCGGACCAGGAGCAGGCTTTGCGACCGCTTATCAAGATCGTCAAAGGAGACGGAATCCCAAATGGTGGTGACAATGTTGTCGAGGAAGACTTTGAAGAGTAGCAGCTGGACCTGGACCCTGATCATTTGTTTGTATACTATATCTCGTTTCTCACCCCCTGACGCCCTCACACTCGTTTGCCAGAAGATTGGATCGCCTTGGAAGTCTCACTTCAATCTTGGCATTTCCGCGACTTTACGCTCATTTAGCCCGGCGTTGATCTTCATCGCCCCGTGAGAGTCACTTTTTGCATGTATTCCTAAACAGCCTCGTGCTCGGACACAGCAAGGCTGGGCAGAGAGCACCACTCGTTTATTCCTTGGTTCAAGAATAATTCAATTTGGTTGGACGCCGATCATCTTAGTCCAGTCGACCACCGACCAACCCTTGTGCTTGAATGCGGAAATAGCTTGCGTCTGTTGATTAGCGTCCAGCCATCGAGGTTTGCGCCACTGCCTAGGCTCGAGATCAAGCAGCTGACCAATGATCTCGGCCGCGAAGTATTTGGGAAAAGTGTTGCCACCTTTGGATGCGCCCTTGTAGCCGTACGTGTCCTCGTCTCCTTCCATCAAATCGCCCTCTTCTATGATGTGCCCATAACCCTTTTCGCCCTTGTAGTCCCACATGACGGCAAAGTGAGGTAGGTTCGGCACCAAAGATTTGCGAAAAGGTCTTGCAGAAGTGAATTCGATGAGCTTTTTGTTCTGGGACCATTCTTCATCGACGGTCAAAATTTCTTGCTTGAACGATGCGGGCAGCTCGCTGAAGAGATCGTGAGGAACGGGGATAGCTTCGATGGCAGTGTGCCGCTGATGCTTGATCGATCTGACCGTCTCGCAAAAGATGTAGGACTGTTGGCGAGCATGCGCCATCTGCATGAGACACTTCATGAAATTCTTGATTTCGTCCCAGGTGTCATCATCCGCTTCCAGCGAGCTGAGGTAGTGCTGCATAGGCACGATGAAGCAGTGGCCGTCCACCAACGCTTCGCCCTCTGGCAGAGCGAGGTAGCAGAGCGTTCCGCTGCTGACAACTGGTGCTCGGGGAGGCTTCGCGCCCTCCTCCTGCCAACAGTACTGACACGCATCCAAGGCTTTCTTGGTTTTGGCAAAGTCCTGAATGGCAAATTGCCTCTTCATCGCATCCGTCTTCATCTTTTTCCTTCCCAACCTCTCTACATTCTCGTCCATGTAATCCAAATCGTTCTTAAAGTTCGAGTCGTTCATGATGCGCTTAGCAAATTCGGCGTCCATGTCTTTCTGGTCAGAGCTTCCCGCTCCAAATCGTTCTTGCCGCACCAGCTCAGCAAGTGTTACCTCGTCGTCGTCAGCATTGTAGCGCAGACGCTCGCCCGTCTTTTTATCATGAGATTCGAACTGCGAAGAGGATAGGGTGCTTGTGGATCAGTTAGTGCCGTCGACTTCGCTCTCCACCGCCAGCATCGCTCAGCGCACCCTTTTGCGATCAGGATTGTTCTTTTCCGCCAAGCGATTGCCGCTTGTAATCGACGTGGGATTCTGAGCAGCCTGACCAGATCCCACATCATATAGGCGTCCGCGCGCGTCCAAAGTGGGAAGAACCTGTACTGTTGCGCCCTCATCAGCATCAGGCCGTATATGCTGTGCATCGGTAGGAAAGCCTCCTCCTCTATCACCCCCCGTACCTGATCTCGCCTTCTCCCTTTCGAGCTTGGCGCGCAAGCTGGTGGCCTGAGACGAACCCGTCAATTCTGCTCGCAGCACCTTTGCTTCTAGTCTGTTCAGCGCAGTGGCATCCATGGGCGGTGCCGCAGTTTCGCTGCTGGACTCTGCAGCCGTTGCGGTTCTCTGATATGGTGCAGTGGCCTGATCGGCTGGCAGGTCATTCCGGTCTGCGCGCTGCTCTTGCTGCGAAAGCTGCGAGCGACGCGGCACGGTGGGTGTGAAGACTGACGGAATGGGTGTGCCGGGCTTGCTACCATTTGCCGGACTCTCGAAACCGCGCTGCTGAAACCGTGTCGAAACGGAGGGTGGCAGTTGTGCAGATGGAGTCCCGGGATTGCTGCTCTCGCCAGGTCTTCTGAAGCTAGCCCTGCTGCTCGGCCTCGATCCTCCTTCACTTCCTCCCGGCGTGCTGAACATGAAGCCTTTTCTGGAGGCGCTCGCTGCGTTCGGCGTGTTTCTGCCAGAACCCCCTGCACCGCGAGTCTGTGACCGATCTTCGATGAATTGCCTCTCCGCTCGAGCCTCGTTGAAGTCGGCCATGCTAGCATACCTCTCCAGCGCGACTTCCTCCAAGGGTCTGTTCTGCTCCTCTGCTGTCTCGTACACCCTTCTGAGCTTCATCATGCGCCATTGGTAGCCAGAAGATCCATGGGAAGGGGCATTTGTGGCTGCGGCGTGACGGTTGCTCGATGCGATGAGCGCTCAAAATGGGATCCGCACGTTTGCCTCGCGCAGCCGCATCCTGTACTCACGTGTTGTCGAATACTCATCGAGCGACTTGCCCTGAACGAGCTGCGTGTTGAGCTCTCTGCTACTGATCTGAAGCTTTTCAGGATCCGGCTTCTCCGGTCTGGGCTTCCTGTCTCGATCTTTGGCCAAATTGCTGAAGGGGTCCTGATCAGAACCCTCGACATCGTCATGAATGAAATCTCCCGTCAACGGATCTCGACGTTGGTGCCTTGGCGCTGGAGCGGTGATTGAGCTTGCATCGTGAGCAGCGACGGTCGCTCCTTCAGCCGTAGATTGCTCAGAGGGGAGCATGCCGCTCTTCAAAGCGAGTGACTCAGAGGTGGGAATCGTATGGGTTGCAGCCTGATTTAGACGAGGTTCGTAGTGGAGCTCTCAGCTCAGACACTCTTGGCGAGCGAATTGCGGACACAGTTTCTTAGATCTTCATCACTCACCTCGGCTGCGCTTGCGCCAGCACTCGTTACAGGAGCTTCATCCTGAAAGTTTGGATCGTCATCGACTATGACGCTCTTGGAAGACCCGTGCCTTGTCCCGCTTCCCTGCCCATGCTGGTCTCCTTGCCTCTCTTCCTCTCGCCTCCTACGTTTCCTCTCTCTGCGCTCTTTTCCGTCCTCGTCATGACGTTTAGTGTCACGATGAGAGCGCGAGGAATGATCATGTCGAGACGATTTGTCATCTCTCCGTTCGTCTTTGCCGTAGTCATGCCGCCTCTCCTCGTCCCGATGATGCCCCCGCTTGCGTTCAGGATCCGACTTGCGATGCCTCTCGCTGTGAGATCGATCGTGCGAGTCTCTCTCCCGCTCTCGTTCGCGGTGAGATGGACGCGATGCGCGATGGGTATCCTCACCCTGGCGATCACCGGAGGGTCCAGAAGATGCATGTCTGCGATGTTCCATGTTCGTCGAGCGTTGAGATAGGAGTGAGGCTGTTAAAAAAAACACGTAGTTTGTCAGGTGAGCAGTTGGTGGAGGCGAGCTTGTACGTGCAGTCTGCGGAGGAGTGAGGGAGTTAGCAATGCAGGTGGAGGTGGTCTGGGTCAAAGATTCGCGTCCCGAAGGGCTCAGGTCGCGCACGTGATTTGCTGCAGGTCCTCGCAGATAGTTCGAGAGTTCCTCGGGCAGGGCGTCTGCATTGCGCAAAGTTTTACCACGTGGCGGAGCATGCAGGCGCATGCGCCCGCTCTTCCTTCACCGCAGCCTGCATCGAGACCTTAAGCTATCGGGCCAGAACTGGACGCCCTCATTCAACCATCCGCCCCACGAAGACTCTCCCAACAAACACTACCGACTCAACAATTCGGCAAGCAGTTCGTCAAGTGAGTAAGCAGTGCTTGCTTGGTCTCATCGCTCGAGCGGTCCGCTGACAGCCTTTCATTACCACCCACAGAATGGTGAGCGTTTGGACCAGTCTGGCCTCGGGGACAGAACAGACATGGAGGCTGAAGCGAGGGTTGAGAGCAATGCTGGGAGGCGAGGTATCACGATGTAGCTGGTGCCATGATGCCGCACTGGGTGTAGCCGACGCTATGTAGGCGTTGCTTACAGCATGTGGGGGCAGGCGTTGCAGCGAGAGCTGGATTGGCGCAGGATCAGGATGACGAGCGAAGCACCGGCAATCGAGTAGGGCGCGGGAAGGAACGCGTTTCGTTAAGAAAGTGGATCGGAACAGACACGGATGAGCTCGTGAACACTGCGCTGACGAATGTTGCATTTCATCACAGGTTCGCGGTCCTAGAAAGCACTTGAAGCGTCTCGCGGCACCCTCATCATGGATGCTGGACAAGCTCTCTGGCACCTATGCCCCTCGCCCTGCGCCCGGTCCCCACAAGTTGCGCGAGTCCTTGCCTCTTGTCATCTTGCTGCGCAACCGTTTGAAGTACGCCCTCACTGGACGTGAGGTGACCGCCATCACGGCGCAGAGGTTGATCAAGGTGGACAACAAGGTTAGGACTGAGCCTACTTACCCAACCGGCTTCATGGACGTCGTTTCCATCGAGAAGTCCGGCGAACACTTCCGCATCCTCTACGATGTCAAGGGAAGATTCATCGTTCACAGAATCACTGCAGAGGAGGCTCAGTTCAAGCTTCTCAAGGTGAAGAAGGTACAACTCGGCGCTCGTGGTGTCCCTCACGTCGTCACCCACGACGGACGCACCCTCCGTTACCCAGACCCTCTGGTCCGCGTCAATGACTCCATCAAGTACGACCTCGATGCGCAAAAGATGGTCGATTTCATCAAGGTGAGTCGCAGTGGACGAGATGTCACACGATTTATTCCTGCAGACCGTCTCTTCGACCACTGGTCACTTGGCTAACTCGCCTCCCCGCAAACTAACAGTTCGACACCGGTGTAAACGTCATGGTCACTGGTGGTCGTAACCAGGGCCGTGTTGGTGTTGTTTCTGGTCGCGAGCGACACCCTGGAGGATTCGACGTGAGTCGCTGGCCCGCTTCGAAGCGGCGTGTACGTCTGGAAGCAGGATGAGCAATCATCAAGCGACCAAGTCGTGCACGTTCGCCTAGAGCCCCACGCGTTTTTCCAGCTTTGCCACGTCTTCGACAACCGTTTTGCCAACATCTGCGACTCTTTCTCTCCCTAATTTCGGGCTCGCGCAGATCGTCCACGTCACCGACGTTCTCAACCGCTCTTTCTCCACTGTGAGTCAGCGCGCAGCGAACCGATGCGACGTGGCCGCGCCTTCACTCACACTGCCGTCTTCTCTTGCACGCAGCGTTTGAGCAACGTCTTCGTCATCGGCGACGGCTCCAAGCCTGCCGTCAGCCTGCCCAAGGGTGGTGGTGTTCAGCTCACCATTGCTGAGGAGCGTGACCAGCGTCGTCGTCAGAAGGAAGCCGCTAGCGCTTAAAACGGACATGTGTTGCTCTTAGCCTCCTGTCCATTTGCGCGCGTTCCTGCCTGCCTGTCGCTGCCCTCACTTCACCACAAATCCAGTCTCTTCTCAGATCCGCGAGAGGAGCAGCTGGCAAATGATCGTGATTTCGCGCGGATCTCTATCCATGCGACCGCGCGTCCTCGCATTCTCATGCATACTCGACGTTCTGATCTTTGTCTCGTCCAGAGCAGAGAGTCGTCCGTCGATCTACTACCGCCTTTTCCATTACATGTAACAACCCACCACGCCTCTTGACTTGGTCACCTATTGCAGGACGCCGAGACCAAAAAATGCAAAAAGCAAGCTTCTCGGTACTCTGATTATGTCATGCGCGATGATGAATGTTGTGTGCATTCAAGATTGACCCCACTTATGGTAGGAAGCTGCCGTGTGTCCTGATTTCGGTACCGTGGGGAGACGATCGAGCGCATGTGAGCGCGAGAAGCATTCACGATTGTGATTCAATTTCACGCGCACACAAATAATCTGGAATAATCTTGCAGCGCTTAACCACCCTAGCCTGCTACGCGACTTTATACTCAACTGACGACTGACGACTTTTGACTTTGACGCTCAGAGGCAACGCAACGTGGAGCGTCGAGTGGGCACTTTCCTCGGCATCAGCATCTCACACTCACCACCGACACTTGAGCGACTCTCAGGACTCTTCTTGCCGGAAATCAATCGTCTATCCCGCAACAAGTATTGACAGCTTTGCAGTCCTCCAAACTCCCTCACACATTCAAACTTGCCGACCGTCCACATTACGATCGGCGCCTGCAGACCCCGACATCTGCGAGCAGCCAACGAAGCGTCCTGTTGCGTCTGCTGCGTCGATCCTTGTGGGTCTAAATTAGGCTTTTTGCGCATCCCATAGCGCAGTGTTGTCATCGATTTGCGGGCACGGATTTCATCGCACGGAACTGTCGAGCAGGAGTAGCTGAAGCGCAACTTTCCCAAGGAGAAGGGGGGACGGGAGATTATCAACGATGCTGGCACACGATCTGTGCGCGATGATCCAGAATGGAGCTCGGGGAAGGATAAGATCCGTTCCTTTGCCTTTCACCAAACGAGCGCTCAATCTCTCCTCTGTTCTTCTCAAGCACGGCTTCCTCTACAATGTCACCCTGGGAACTCATGAAGGCCCATCTCCCTCATCCTGGCATCAGGCAACGTCCGACGGTTCTCGAAAGATCTGGCTAGATATCAAATACACATCGGATCAATCTCCCGTCTTGCGTCAACTCAACGTGGTCTCCAAACCCAGCAAACGCATCTTTGTGGATGAAAAGGACTTGTTGTTGCTTTGTACGGGAAGGAGAGCTGCTTTCGTTCCCCCTTTCAGGACCGGCGAGATTGGTATTGTGGATGCGGGCGAACATGGCTGGTGCGAAGCTAGGGAAGCCATAGAGAGGAAATGGCAGGGAGAGCTGGTGGCTCGAGCAATGTGGTGAGTTGTCTTGCGCTTCTTGTGGCTGGTGAAGGAGAGGCGATTCGAAAGGAGACTGCTCCGAGCAGAAAGTTGGGTCTGCTGGCCTAGGTGTGCGTCAAGGCATCCACCACGCACTACGTTCACAACCCTCCCCACAGGAAGAGGGAGGAGGGTGATACTCGCATTGAGTCTAATACGATGCAACACTTTTTTAAAACTGACGCCCCAATTTGATCTCCGCTTCGCCCTCCAGATTATCCGCCGCGAAGAAAAAGTTAGAGGGGGTAAAAGCAGGAGCAAGAGAGCATCGCTTTGGACCACTTGGGACCAACTCCAACTCCTCAATCGATGCGTCGGCTGTTGGCGCTTCCTTCATTCCCACCGCTGTCACTCATCGATATCTGCCCCACACGTGCGACGAGCTGCGCAGCTACGCTCGTGGCTCAAGCTCATCCTTTGGTTGCGTTGGTCGCGACGAGAATGTGAATGCCTATGGCTGCGGCAGACTGGAAACACTGCAAAGGCGGGGACCTATCAAGATGCTATGAGCAATGACATGCAGCTCTTGTTGGCTAACGCCTCGAATGAAGTTTTGGCAGAGACCCTAGAGCCACCGGGACTGCCTTTTCCTGCGTCGTCGCTTCGCCTTGCACTCACTCATTTTCTCGCAACAGCTTCATTCAAAATCCGCACACACGCGCGCGCGCCAAAGTGGTCCAAGATCATTGATGTGCGCACAACGTTCAGGGTCGTTGGCGCTTGCTGGGAGCAAAGTGTGCAGTACAGGCATCGAGAGGGCAGGTGAAAAGAGAAAAAGAAAAAGTGGGTTGGATCGATAGCGGGGGAGGGACCTGTGCGATGTGCGCCGCGACGAAGCGTCTAAGTAGGCATCGGCGTCTTGTTCACTGCAGCATCGTACTCGTCGCCGCTATTCTCCTCTTCAGCTGGCAAGTCCTCGAGTGGGCTTTTGCGAGTGTTCGAAGGAGCGCCCAAGTCGCGGTCCTGCGGAGAACGCTGTTGAGCGGCAAAAGACCTCGTGGAAGCATTTGCAGCCAAGGGCGTCGGAGTCGGGGTGCTCTCTGGCAAGACATTCGCGCATTTTGAGGAGAGACCGGAGGAGCCGTCGATTTGTATGCGCGAGAGGCTCGTCAGAGCTTTCGCGTAATCCACCTCGTCTTCTTCATCCTCGTCATCGAGAATTGTGCTAGTGCGAAGTCGGACGCCTCCCATGTTCCCTTCGCCATCGCTGCTAGAGCCACTCCGGATGCTCATATTGTCCACTTCCGACACAGCAGAGCTAGGGAAAGAGAGGCGCGCATCGTCATCCAATTGGAACGTGTTCCGAGCCAGCTGCAAGAGGATCACTCCGTCTCCATCGCCATCGTTCCCATTGATGGGCGCATGAGCGTCGCTGTCCGCATCAAAGTCCCGTTCAAACTCCGAGACGGCATCTGAAGGCACGCTGATCGACGGCACAGTATCGCTGCTCTTCGAAGGACGCCTAACTCGTGCGGCGTTGAGCATCAGCGAGACGTCCTCGTTTGAAGGTTTGCGCAAATGTGAAGAGGGACTGAGGGGGGACCTCTGATCCAGAAGCAAGTCGAGATCCTCCGTCGATACGTTGCCTGGTAAAGAGCTGGCCGATTGCGCTTTTGCTTGATCGTGCTTTACGACATTGCTTGGAAAAGCCGTCCATCCGGCCGCTGCGAGAGCATCTGCGGGTGCCGGGGGAGCTTCGGGCCCAATCGACGGCAATGAAGCAGAGCTCTTCTTTGGTGTCCGTTCAAACGCGTTGCGGTACACCGGCGAGCGCTGAACGCTTTCTTGCGAGGTCCGACTGCGAATGCTGACGTTGGCACTTCCCCGTCCACTCGTATCATCCCAAGACGGAGACTTGCCTCCGCTGCTCTGACTGAAAGCTGGACTATGCAAGGGCGCGTAGATATCGTGTGACTGCGACGTCGCAGCCTTGCCCGCTGTCGCTCTGAATGCGCCAAGGGGGATGCGATGGGGATAGCGCGAAGCGGTGAAAGATTGCGACGGCGCAATGTATTCCACGCTGTTGGCGCTTGCTTGCGAGTCTGCGCGCGCATGAGATCTGAAGGGCCGGACCGGACTGGCCCATTGCGCAAGTCGACCCTGGCTCGGCTGCGAAGACGAAGACGAAGACGAGGAGCGCACCAGTTCCTGCAGATCTGTAGCAGACGATGACCGCGACATGGAAAGCGGCAAGGGGTTTGGATCGAAAGATGGTCGCCGCTGTCGATCGAACACTGGCCTGCCACCCGTGATGCTGCCGGCGCTGCTCGAACTCAGCTGTCGCTCTCGTGAACCGCGTGTCATCCACCGCTCATCGTCAGAATCATCTTCCGGGCGGCGTAGCGCATGCTGAAGAGGATTGACAGCTCTATCCGTCGAGCCTATTGAGCCCGACGCGAGCATGCCCACGCTTTGCGAGGATTGCGTGGAGCCCCGATTTGTCATGGGCGGCCTCCTTGGTCGATGCTCAATCGAGGTCTGCCACGACGCATTAGACTCTGCTGCAGCAAGCTCACGCTCCCACAGGGCTTCGTCGATTGCGCTGACAGCTCTGCTGCTAGACGAAGTGGTAGGGCGTTCGGACTCTCTGAGCACGTCCTTTGCAAGCTTGTGACGCACCTTGCGCTCTCTTCGACCCAGCGCAAAGGACGCTCTGGTAGCGGAGGCAGGCGCAGGTGAGGGTACTCCAGTGGAGGAATGACCCGAGTACACAGACGCCATGGATGGCGAAGCTGGGTAGGATGAGGTTGAAAAGGCGCTTTCTTGAGAGTATGAAGGGCTGAGGCTGTTATTCTCGCTCGAATCGCGCTGGCGTTGCGCAAAGCTTGCATCTGAACCTGGAGACGTCAACGCGTTCTGCGTGGAAGGAGGACCTGTTCCATCAGCGCTGGCCTGGCCGGAATGACGGCCGAACATGCGCGAGGTGGATGATAGCGCAGCCTTGCTGGAGCGCTTCGATTTGAAAGCAGCTTTCAGGCCCAACCGTGAGGAGCCTTTGCTCGAGCTAGACGCATAGCCTTCATTGAAAGAGTCGGCATTTGGACTGACATCGAATCCGCTGCTCGACTTGATGCCAAGCAATTTGCGGGCCTTTGCGCCAGGCAAGTCGTCTCCGCTATTTGAATTGAAACCACTTCGAGTGCGAGGGGAATTCTGCAAGGAGGGACTGACCAAGTGACTCTCACTAATCTCGAGAGCTGTTGGGACTCTGCGGCTTGCACGGCTCTGGATGCCATGCGAGGTCGAGGAGCTGAGCCCACTGGCGCTGCTCGCGATGCTGCTGGCAGAGGATTTGCGGGCGAGCGCTGCAGATCCGGCCCTACCAATGGGAATGCCGGCAGATACGCCAGGCGTGGCCAAGATCTCCTCAAAGTCCTCCTCATCACCCTCACTGTCCCATCCCCTCGAGCCGCTGCTGACCATGGAAGGCCGTCTCCAAGAATCGTGACTGCTTCCGCCTACGGTAAGACTTGACGAGCTCGCATTACCCCCAGCTCGACTCATCCCTATGCCAAGTCCAGCACCAGAGCTGGACCCTGAAGATCCGTCGGCAGCCATGGTTGCACAGGCCGATGGCAGCGCGCTCTGGGATGTTGCTCTGCGAAGGCTTCGAGCCAGGGCCTGCGAAGGCGCCGCAGGCGGACGACCTCTGATGGACGGCCTCCTTGAGCTTCTACCTTCACCGACTGCTTGCTTTGCCGTGTCGGCGCCTCTATCCACCACTCCGAGTCGCGAGGCCTGGCTCGACGTCCGTTGGGGGACGACAATAGGAGGAGGTCTGAGGCGACGCGACTTGAGAGAGGAGGACCACTTTTCGACAGTCGAGGAATTGTTCGGGTTCTCGGAATGTCTGTCCTCGTGAAAAGCGCCTCCGCTGACGGTGACAAATTCTTTGCCGCCCTGATAAGCAGACTCGCTGTGTGCTTCCAGCTCTTCAGTCGAGAGGTAAGGTAGAACAGCTGCTAAGAGTGGCTCGTCGATGTCTATTTGGACGGGCGATAGAACGAGGAAAGACGCTGACGCTCTACGCCTTGGCGAGATCTGATGTGTGGTGCCGAGGACGATGGACGCTGCCTGAGCGCGCTGGACAGTATCCGAGAGTGAGCGTCCATGTAGACCAGGAAACGCTCTAGCTCCTGGCGGGTGTGAAGACGATGATGCGCACTGCTCGTGGCTGAGGGTGTTAGCCGATGAGGTTGTCGAGGAAGTCGTGAGCGCGCCCTCGTCGCTCGGCGCCTGACCGGGGAGATAACCGATGCACTGTACTACTCGAGCACCCTTCTGATGCTCAAAGAAGGCAGGCGATGCGGAAGAGGCCGGCGACTCGGTGATCACTGTGGTACCAGCGCTCTCGAGAGTCTGCGACCTGGCTCGAACCAGACGGTGACGCTGACCTTCTCGATCTGGACTTTGGCGATCGAAGAGGGACGACGTGCTGGTGAAAGAGGATGAAGATGAAGACGTTCGCCGAGCAACGCCAGCAACACCAGGTAGAGTAGTAGTCGCGGGCGATCCGTGAGTGGAGGAAGAGGCGGAGGAGTCTGTGCGAGGCAGTAAAGGGCCGTGGCGCACCGGGCCTCGCGTGTGCAATCGCAGCGCCGCTGCTGACAACGCTGAAGGCTCCTTTGGCCGGTGGGAAGAAGACCAAGAAGGGGAGGTGTGGTTGTAATGGAAGAGTGGCATCTCACTTTGAAATCACGAATGCCGCGTGACTTATTGCTGCGCGCAACAAACAACGCGCTGTCGATCTCTTCTGGTTGTATTTCGCCAATTGCTGTGGATCTGGCTGCCCAAAGTCAAAAGTGTGTGCGGGTAAACGTGCTTGTTCGGCCGATCAGCTGAGGGTGCAGCGGGGACAGCAGCAGCGGCGGCGGGCGGCAGGGGGCCAGAAGCAAGGCGATCGGAGACACCAATTAATGCGTGCGCGCTCGTCTCATGCAAAGCAAGGGCAGCCGTTGCGTTGCGAGCTTATAGACCGTGGGTGCAGCAGCAGTCTCTGGCCGCGTCGGCATGAAATCACACCTGCTGCGCGCGTGATCAGCGACTGCCTGATGCTTACTGACTGCTGAACCTTCAGTTATTCGTAGACACTGACTTTGGCAGAGGAGTTGCTGTGAAGGCAAATCTGACGAGCAGAGCGCGCTTTCAGGAGAAAAGAAATTGGGCGTGGCTTCTCTTGTTGCCTGCTGTCTGAACAGGCAGAGGGGATTTGCGCGTCTGACTATAGCGACGCGACGGTCGGCGCAGAAGCTGATTGCAGCGTCTGAGCAAGTCAGATGAGTGTAGCCACGAGAACAGTCAGTCTCACTCGAGAGGCGTTGGGTTGCGCGCGTGTTGTACTAGCGCTGTTCAGGAACGCGGTCGATGCAGTTGGGCACTTTTTGACTACTCACATGCTCCAACAAATGACTGATGTTGATCGAGCGCTGCAGCTGACGCAGCTGAAGCGGAGCCGCGCACAAGCTTGGCTGCAACAGACGCCTCTGGCAGCTTCTCGTTCGATAATGCGCACCGGGAGCTCGCAGATTCGCGAGGTGCTGGCGAGTACCGCTCCGTATGAAGACCGACACGGCGCGGATCGGTCTGCGGATGAATCGATTGTGAATGCCGATGAGTGGGATGATCGCTGGCCGAGCAAGTGAGAGTCAGTCACAGTGCTCCGGTACGCGACGCTGCCAAAAGTGACAGAGATAGGTTTATGGCTGCGCGCGTCGACGTGCAAAGCGTCGCAGATAATCGTGAATGGTTGGTTCAGGTCGGGTCGTGAGCGCAAGGTCGTCGAAGTGGACATAGCAGCGAAGGAGAGCTACGGGTCAGCACAGGGCAGAACTTGATCCCCGAGGGCCCCCCGTGGACAGTCTGTGCCGAGACGCTCCCAGGCGACTCTGCTGGCCAATCCATTCTGATACCCTTGGCCGGCTAGCACTCACCTTTCAAAGCGCCAGTGTCAGAGAACAGAGGGAAGTCAGGATCGGAGGCAGAGGATGGAAGGCGTGGGAGGGTCAGAACGCTTTGATGGTGGTGGTTTGGCGTCACAGCACGCTCAAGAGATGGAGCTCAGCTCTGAATCTTGAATCTTGCTCGTGTCGACTCTGGTCAGACATGAGATGGCAAGACAGAAGTGGAGTCGAGTGAATGAAGCAGTGAAGATGTCAGTTGGAAGACGCCGAATTCAGGACCAGAATTGCGACGCCACAAATGGCCGCCCTTCATCAGCAGCGAATGCCAAGCGCACTGATGGCGACTCGCCATGCTAATCGTCTGCGCGGAGTAGAGATTCGAGACTTGCAATCGAATTCACAATCGTGAATTGTTGCTGTCAAAAGATCGCTCACACCATGCATACACACCACCTGCTGGGCCGACAAACACCAGACAGCCAAATTCCTTGATGTTTAGCTTGCTGTCGCTGTACGCCCTGTTGGCTGCATCGGGACCAAGGGCGCAAGCTACGGAGAAGCAAAGGAGAGACGAGCTGTGGTGCCCATGCAGCTGTCTGACGCGTTGAAGCCTATAGCTTCGTCACAAAAGACATGCCGGGATCGGGCGCAGTCCCAGAAGGAGCGCGCCTGGGTGCAGTAAGCGTGCGTGCTTGTCCCCTTTAGCCGAAGCTGGGTCTACGCGCCTCCTTTGCCTTAATTGCCCGTCATGCACAAGCCCGTCGCTGTCTCTACTGAGCAAATTTGGCCAACAAGTGACCTGATGCGATCCAGCCTGTCATCACTCACACTCCACTCCTATACGTGATCATCTGCCATGATTCGGACACTGGCTTTGTTCCGCTTCACGAACGAAACCGCAACGAAGCACCAGTCTCAGCTCAAAGCCCCGCAACTCGTGACTGGCGCGGCCGGTCTGTGCGTCGGCTTGTGAAACCTGAAGTTTCGTTGGCTCGATCGACCCAAAAAAAGCGCGGCATGGGTGGGGGGTGCATTTGATGCGGGCGTCATGCACGTTGGCGTCGAGCAAGAGCATCAATCAGCAAGAGCTATAGCTGTGCTTCCGGGCGCCCTTCGAGCTGCGCCATCTGCTGCAGCACGCGCGCCTAAAGGGGCGCACGCACGCAGCACCAGGTAAGGTTGTCCTCGTCCAAGAAGTTGCAATTGCTGATGGACGTCATGACACCCGCTGCACACCATTCTTGATTCACTGATTCAGCTTCACGGTCCGGCACCACTCGCAACTCACACCTGTGACTCGCTCGCGCAGCCTCGGCTAGAAATGCTCATGCCTTCAATCTGGACTGGAGTCTTCAGCATCCGTGCTCCACGCTCGAGTCCCGGGTGTCCTTTGGCCCGTAGTAAGAGGTTTGCAGATCGTGGGTCCATCTTGCCCGCACAAATAACTTGTACCCTGGTCCTCCCTCAGACCGCCTCGATCGCTAGTGCTGGAACCAGTGGACCGTGGTCAGCCGCCCAGAGTACGCCCAGACCCTTCTGCGCGGCCCGACTCTTATAGGTAGGGTCTCTCGATCTGGCCCGAGGTGAAGAAACATCAACAATCAACCATTCGCCGTTGGCGCAGCACGTGATGATAATGAAAGCGAGATCGCCGGTGCGAGTCAAGGTCTCAAATGTGTAGTCCTTGTCGAGATGGGCAGAAATGAGTCTCGAGCAGAGTCCCGATCGTCTGCCAAAGCCACGGCCTCGTTAATAGATGCATTAAGTACGTAAAGTTCTGATGAGAATGAGGCTGACCTCGTAACGTGTCAGCAAAAACGCGCGGCCAGGCTTAGTCGGAGCCGAAGCGCTCAGGCACTGGATACATGCAGAAGCAGGGACGCTTGTTAGCATGTATGTATGCAAAGCTCTGGACGTTGCGCCCCTACTCACTCAGGACTGGCGCAATGAGGCTCCAGGCGTAAAGCACGGAGCATAGCCAAGAGCTGACGACTCGCATCCACATGGCTGTGGGTGATCGGCCAATCCACACCACGGGGGCTCCGTCTTCAGAGGGATCAGCTGAGGGTCCTCCAACCTTGACGATGCGCCTGGGGTACCAAATGAAGTCACGACGTAAGCGGCGCGCCTTGCAAGCGCACTCCAGCGACCTGAGTGCTCACCAATCAGTCAGCAGCATGGCCACATAGCATGCAGCGATAGCAAAAATGAAGTGGAAGAAGGCGTATGAGTACCGCGTTCCATTCTTCTCGTCGTCATTGTCTCCGCTGGATAAGCCTCCATCTCCATAGTCGTCATCATCCTCGTCATCGCTATCCTCCAGAGCGCTAGCGGGCAAGCTTCCAGCCTCGACAGCAGCGCGAAGTGCTTGAATCTTCAAGTCGTCTTTGCGAGCGGGCTGCGAAGTAATGGCGTCTGTGCCACTGCTCGCAGCTTCTGGGTCGGTCGTTGCCAAAGGACCGTATCCGCTCGGAGGGGCGTTGCGGTTCGCCTTGGCTTTGCGTGCGCCAACGAGCGCCTTGGACTGGGTGGCTGCGCGAGAGGTGCTGTAAGCTATAGCCAGGAAGGTGAAGAGCGCTCCCAGCGCGACCGTCATCGGCTTGGCAGGGCCAATCGAGCGGCCTCTGGTGATGGGGTTGCAGTGTGCATCGTCGTGGTTCATGACTGCGGAGGAAACCAGGTAGGTGGTGTATGCCGCCACTATACTGCTTTGTGCCAAGCCAGACCTTGGATTGGCTTCTTGAACTGCCGGCGAAACGCAGAGTGCCGTGAGCACAATGATACCGAAGAGGTTGAGGGTGATGAAGGTGATGTTGAGCCCACATCCGTTACCAGTAAAGTAGCCGTACAGGATGCCCGTCATGACCAGCACTGCGACGTACATGCCCAGCGTGCTGCCAATCAAGGTGTACTTCCAGAATGGAGCCTGCGTTGTCTCCCACTTGTCCAGACATGTCTCTGACCAGGTGTGGGCAAAGTCAATGAGCAGCACAAGTCCGAGCAGGATGAAGACGAAGGAGAGAATGAGGGCAAAGTAGTTGGCCCAGATGATGAAGAAGCCGTTGGGAATGAGGAAGGTGAGACCAATCAAGGAGAGCCAAAGCAGCACCTTTGGACCCCACCAGCTGAGGTGTCGAAGCAGAGGACCAGAGCAGCGTGATCAGTGGCTAGTCAAGGGAATACAGCAGACGTCTTTATCTGCACTGACCCGTTCTGGATGGCGGCTCTCTTGTTGCGCGTGTCGTTGACGCCGATCAGTAGCAAGCCGAGGATGCAGTGAAAGAGCGAGAGGGCAAAAGTGATGCGGTGCACCTGAGCGCAGATAAGGCGTTGTACAATCAGGTACTTCAAAGGTCAGCGCACGATCACTGCCATGACGACTGATAACAAGTATACCAAAGCTATTGCAGGACCCCGCAAAACCCGTCGTGAACGTTCAGCGCTGCAGGACCCCCCGAGAAGCACTCACAGCCAATACGCCGTAGCATCTATCCCTATCAGCCGAGCAATCCATGCGCAAATAACCTCCACTCCAATCCTCGATCTTCTTGACGATAAAGCCGTTCAGACTGATCCAAGCCAAAACAGCATCCAAAGTGAAGATGAGGGCGAACGCGATCCTGGTCGCGATGCTCGATTGGCAGTTGCATGATTTGAACAGGGACGAAGCTGCTGTCGAAGCGCAGCAAAAGGTTAGACCGGTGATTGCTGAAGTTAGAAGAGAACCACCGACGCCCACGAGGGGTATCGACAGCAGTGCACCCATCGCGCCACCGAGCTTCTCGTGAGTACGAGGTAACGCTCTGTCGTCCTCCTAGCGTGGAGTTGGTGCCGGACTTGTGATTGCAGCGCTTTGGTCGTATGTAGAAAACAGGCAGCGCTTATCAGCGGGTGGTGTGACAAGAGTATCCGGATCACGGCACGAATGATCTTGATTAGAGATGGGAGTCACGCCTGTGCTCCTGAATGCTGAGTTCTTGACTATCGCACTCTGATTGCGCAACAGCGGAGAATCACGAATCAGAATGAACTTCAGCCAGGAGTCAAGAGTCGTGATTCAAGATTGCGACGCCACAGAGATTGAATCACGTGACCTGCATCACGCATGCAACCTTGCGTGGCCTTGCCCAGCTGCTCAGATTCGCCCTGCTATATACTTCAGGAGAAAGGGCTCTTGGGCCTTACATCACATTGACGAATCCGAGATTGTGATTGAGCTCACACTCAAGACTCCACATTTTGATTGGTACGTCGTCAACCAGCCTGTGGCGATCCGCCGCCAGGGGAGTCTAAGGGAGAGGGCCACCAGGCCATCTGTCGTCTCGCACTGACAGTCAAACGATGGGATCGGAAAGGTATATATTTATGCGCGAAGGGCCACCCATTGTAAAGAGGAACACGAAAACGTTTCACTGCCGGCGACCATGGTGATATGTATGAACCGCCGAGCTCCAAATTGATCATCGCGAGGACGGATAGAGAATTGTTAGTGCAGAGAAGCAAAGGAATAGCTTGAAGAAGCGTGACATTCGTAGTCCCGATGCACACGTGGAAGGTGGAGTTGAGTTGCGTCTTTGAAGCTCGCTATTGCGAAGGTCATCAAGGTGGTCGTGATTGCGATTGATGAGGCATAAGTTGTAGAAGTTTGGAGCGCGACATCACTACGAGACGGTCTGTTGCTGAGACCGGTACATTGGGCTCGTGGTCATGTCACCCCCTGCAGAAGTACGCTTGCTGTTGCTCGCAGTCAGCGTCGCGCCGCGAGCAGCTGTGGTAGATGCGCTGCTGGTCATCGAAAGCTTGGTCGTGCGGGTCGTGCCAGGCCCACTGGTGGTTGCGTTGCCGACGGACCTTCGCGCCCCTCCATTGGACAATGAAGCTTGGCGGCCGTGCTGGGGTATCGGTCCAATAGCTGGAGCATTAGTGAAGGGCCTAAGGAAAGGGTGTCTCATCGCGGGATCCGGTTTGAGTCGGCGCTCTGGGTCCCAATGCAAGCATTTCGCCAAAAAGTCGACGAAAGAATCGTCGTTCGTTCGGAGCACTTGTGCAAGCGTCTTGGTTCCTGGGCGTCTTCGTTTGCCTTTGCTGTTGACGACTGGTCGGGGCGCGCCGGTAGAATCGAAGAAGAGCTTTTTGCGAGAGCTGCGCTCGATCAAGTACTTGTCAGGCACACCAAGAATCTCCATGATGCAAGCGAGCTGTTCCTGTTCGTTCTCCCCAGGGAAAAGGGGGTAGCCGGTGTACAACTCTGCAATGATACAACCCAAGCTCCAAATGTCGATGGCCGTGTTGTAGTTCATCCCGAGGATGACTTCCGGAGAGCGGTAGAAGCGACTTTGGATGTACGTGTACACCTTTTCTTGTTCGAAGCAGCTGCTACCGAAGTCGATCACCTTGATGCCGCTCTTGCGAGGATGCCTCAGCAGAATATTCTCTGGCTTCAAGTCGCAGTGCACAACTCTGTGGTGCCGCATAAGACTGAGCGACGCAAGCACTTGACTGGTGAAACGCCTGATCAACCGTGTGCTGAAGCCAGCAAAACTGTTTGCCTTGATCAATTCGTACAAGTTGATGCTCAAGAGCTCCATGGCAATGCAAAGGTGGTTGCGGAAGTAGAACGATTCTGTCATCTTGATGACGTTGTATTGCTCATCGGGGTCCTAAAGTAAACCGACATCAGCGTTGGCGTGTCAGCGAGCCAGCGTGTAACGCAGCGCATCGACCGGCATGATTCACTCACCCATTCGGTGAGATTTTTGAGGATCTTCACCTCAACCAAGGCCTGGTGGTGGAATCGCTTCTTATTTCGAATCAACTTGATGGCGACAAACTTGCCGGTCTTGTGATCCTTGCACTGCAGTACCTGGCCAAACGAGCCTCGACCGAGCAGGTCCATGATCTCGTAGCGGTAAGCCAGGTGGTCACGGTTGACGACCAGATAGTCGCCGCGCTCGTCATCGTATCCATAATTGCAATCCGACTTGCTGGGCACGGCAGGCTTCTTGGCCGGATTTGAGCCCACAAAGTAAATCTCTTTGTAGTCGTACATCTCCTGCATCTCGTAAGCAGACAGCTTGTCGCCCCACACCGCTTCCGCCTCTGTGCAGCGCGCGAATGGCACGTATTTAGAATATCAGTACGGTTGAGTGGTGCGACCAGCCATCTGCAGAATATCAACTCACGCCTTGGAGAATAAGCTCGGCTCGGTGGCACCGGATCGGGAAATCTGAGCATCTTCTCCAATTCCTCCAGACTACTCCCATCTGCGATCTTCTTTGCGTGCTGTCGTTTGATGTAAGCTTCCATCTCGGCATCGCCCTGCAATTCTTCCTCGTCGACACGCGGGCTGACACTGGCAGTGCGGCTCGTCCGGTCCGAGTAGGCAGGGCTTGCTCGAGGAGCCGAGGCGCTTGTAGCAACTGCAGACTGTCGAGGCACACTGCGCGGGGCCAAAGCACTGTCGCGCGCTTGGCGTGCACTTGTGGAGGCGGCAGTGAGAGAAGCGCGTACTTTGCGAGGGGCGGTGTTGTTTTGAGCGCTGTTAGCACTGACGGCAGCAGACGGCAGGACGGTGGATGAGGTCGATTGAGTCACAGCTCGGCGAGTGGAGTGAGCTTCACCGGGCTTCAAGGATCCCCGCGGCGTCGCAACACTCGGCGTCGATCCGTCGTAAGAGGAAGAATTTCCAGCAGCCTTACGTTGTTCTTGTCTGGAAACAAGCGAATTGAGAACTTCGCGTTCGCTGGCAGATAGCGCACTGGAGTACGAGGCTACGCGTGCTCTACGCATGACGACTTCCAATTCGGCAGGTGTTTTGGCAGCTGCGTACGAATTCAAGATTGAGACCAAGCTCGTCGAAGAGGCTCCAGCTGCGGCATTGCCGCCCGCAGCACCATACGTCTCCGAGCTCTTCGCACCAGACATTGACTTTCTCCTCGTAGCAGTTGCATCTCCAACATCGGACGCCGAGATGATAGAAATCGCATCTTCTTCAGAGCCAATGCCCATACTTGAGGCCAACGAGGATGTGGTGACGCTCTTGGGTAGCCCTGCAGCGCCGCTCGTGCTGACGCGCCTGTTGAGTTGGGAAGATGTGCTCGATCCGAGGGGCCCAGTTCCGAGCTGACTTCGGGAAGGCGTAGACTTGAGAGAAGCAAGCGCACGAGGGATGCGGCTTGCGAGGGGCCTTGAAGGCGAGAGCTGAGAATCTCGGGATCCAGCGCCGGCTGCAGGATCATGAGCCCCAAGTGTGGCGCCTTTACCAGCCGCCGCGGCGCGATCGCGCTGACGAGCTGCTGATGCGCTCAAGTCACCAGCGGAATTGGAATTGGCCAGAGCACGCCGAGGAGACATGAGCGCGTCGTGACTGCGGCCACTGACGGATGCTTTGCGGGGTGAGGCAGTCGAAGAGACGGGAGACTGAAGAGGGGCGACTTGCATGGGCGGAAGAGTGGCTGCCTCGACAGCTGGAGGGTCTGCCGATGACGGCAACGTCTGAGGCGCCCAGGGGAAATGAACGTTCAGTACCTGGAAGGTATTTTGCACTGCAGAGCCTGTACTTACCATGCCACGTTTGCGAGCACTTCCCATGATGTTCGACGGACGGAACTTGGAGGTGCGAGGCGAAGCGTCCGCAGCTTGCGAGGACTCGAACGAATTATCCACGCTGATGGGGCCATGCTTCCCATCCGTTGTACCATTGGTCTGCACAATGCTCTGCCGCGAGCTCTTGCCCCGGAGCAGACTTCCCAGGCCAAGGATGGAGCGCGTGCGGCTCATGCGACCAGAATTGGCTGAAGGGGCATGAGAGTCTCCGCTGCGCTTCTCATCGCGAGATTCTCGTGTGCTCGAGTCGAGTTGGAGATCAGATCCCGTACGCTTCTCCACAAGGGACGATTCAGATCCAGCTCCTTCCCCAGCCTTTCGTGCTGCTGCTTTGTTCGAGCGCATAGACGTCTTGCCGTCGCGCAGGCGAGCGACTGCATCGTCGTTTGAGGAACTCTTGCCGCTTCGTTCCGAGGTGATCGACTGCACCGCAGGAGAGTTGGGAGTCTTTTGCGAGTCTGCAAAGCTAGGGCGAGGCGCCTTTTCTGACTCGGCATCCGTCGAGACAAAGGTATTGGCGGTCACACTTGGTCGACGCGAGACAATCGGCGACGCTTGCGCTTGCGACTCGGCACTCTTCTTGAGCACAGATGGGCTGCGAGAGAAGGAACCTGCCAAGTTCGAGAAACTCCACTTGCGCGAGGGACCCTTCTCTTTCGGGCTCCGAACAGGCGATGCCGCCTCGGCGCTTGACGTATAAGGCGCATGAGCACCAAGCGCCTGGCTGACGAGGGCGGAGCCGGACACCGGAGGACCATCGCCTGTGCCCGTGCTGCCCGCGCGCGACCGAGACTCCCAGCCCTTCGGAAGAGGAGGGACAGGCGGGACCAAAACGCCATTACGCGAGCGATCCTCTTCATCAGCCGCACCGCGATGAAGGGCATTGCCAGCGCCCTGCCCTGTCTGTCTCGGCTGCTGCCGTGCGCCTCCGCCTTGAGACTGCTGCTGAAGGTCGCTGTGCACCGAAGCGTCGCTCATACGCTTCCGATCCGACGCAGAGTACTTTGTGTCGCGAGAGGCGACAGAAGTCTGGGAAGTGCGACGATTCTCCAGCGTCGTGTCAACATTTGGCAGCGGGGGCAACTGCGCTCGGCGCGTCCGGGGACTAGGAAAGACGGCCGATCTGGGACTCTCAACACTGGCAGCGCTCGGCGAAGCCCGCTCTTCTCCGGAGCGAGATTTGGCAGCAAGGTTGCGCGATGTGCGAGCAGTGTTGGAAGATCTCGACTCTTCCCTTTGACGATCGTTGCGAGGTGTCAGTGTTCCGGTTGCCGTGCGGCTGGGCGATGCTGGGCGACTTGCGGCTCCGCCAGGCGTCCTGCGGCCTGCACTGCCAGGTCGCGAATACTGCTTACTGGTGCGAGGGCTGCGAGAAGCGTCCCGGTGCCTCGATGCATCTCTACTCGATCTTGGCGTGCCGCCTCCGCCTAACCCGTCCAGCTTGCGCAGAGCTTCGGCCGCAGAATCTTCTCCTTGTCCACTGTCGAACGAAAGTTCAAACTCCTCAGCAGCGCCCAACGGCATCGACCCCCGCAGCAGGGAATGTCCGATGCTAGCCGAAGAAGCACGCTTCATCGCGGCCGTTGCGTGGCTCGCATTGCCGCTGCTGCCGATGGTGCCCGATGGAACGCTAGGACGCGTACGTTCACCGCCGTTGCCTGAACTCGTAGTCGGTTGTCTTGACGAGCCTCCGCTGTGAGGCGGCGATAATGGGCCCCTTGTTCGGCGGGTATCTCGGGACGTGATGCTTGCTGCACCACTAGAAGGCTGTGCAGAGGTTGCTGTAGAAGGCCGAGAAGAGACAGCTCGTGTGGAAGACCTGCGGCTACTCTTTGTCGCACCATCGGGCGTCTGTCTAGAGACTGTTGAGCGTGCAGTAGAGGTCTGAGAGGTCCGCTTCGATGGCACAGTCGCTGAAGCCTCCATCGAAGTTGGCCTGGACGTCGAGGGACTGGTGTCTGTGCCTGCGGCGACATCCCCTGCTGCACCGCTACGGCGCTTTCGCCTCTCCTCGTCCTCCTTCAGCAGATCAGCAATGGCAGCGTTGAGGTCGAAGCTGCCATTGACAGACTCATCATCCAGCTGAGCCAGATGTCGCTCGAGTGCAGTACCGCGACGCACACCGGGCGCCAAGGACATGACACGGCCAGGACTGCGGCTATTGTCATCCCCGGCCCCACCCCAACCGAAAGGCCCGTTTTCATCCTCTGACCACACCAGATCTCCAATCCTTGGTGAAGGCCGAGCATCCTGCATAAAGTTGCGCGGCGAAAGGAGAAAGTCGTTGGTGTCGTCGCCGTGCATCGCATCCGACTCTGACTCCGACAGCGCGTTGATCGAAAAGGTTGGGCTCTCCCCGGCATCCTCCGCATCCAAACCTGCTCCACTGCCGTCTTCACCGGGTGGATATCCCCGGGCCAGCGTCGCCAGCGATGTCTGTCCTCCCAGCGGAGGCACGTACAATGGCATTGATGGACTGGCTTTGAGCATGCTCTCGCCACTCTCAGTTGGATCTGGAGAGACGCGCAGCAAATGCTTCTCGCGCTTGACCGGATTTGACGCCGAATACGAGATGGCGCGAGAGTGACGGCTTGCCTCGGCTTCGCGTGCGGTTCGCTCCGTCTTGGAGCCGGAGATTGCTGTGGCGGGGGTTGGGGCAGCGCGACCTCCTGCCGCACCGCTTTTGTTCGATGTCGATGTGCCAGACTGTTGGCGAGCGAAGGAGTCAGTCGAGGCGCCGCTCCCAACGATTGAGGCCTGGCCGGATCGCAATTGGCGATCGGCTGCAGGTGAAGAGATACTCTCGTCTACCCGTCGAGGCTTGCTCGCCCACTGGGCCGAGGAGCTTCCCACGTTCCATCGCGGAGTAGCCAATTCTCCAATGCCGACCTGGCCAGCCCTGTCATAGCTAATCGACCTTGTCGAGCTCGCTGAAGGTAGCGAAGGGGAAAGCGGACCACTTCCTGCTTTGCCTCGCTGTGGGGTTTGCTGTGGGCGTGCACTGGCAGCTGCAGGTCCCGCACCAGACCTGCTTATTCGTGCCGAGGGCAGCCCAATGCCGAGTCCTGACATGGTCTGATTCTGAGCGAGCTCTAAAGCAGGCGTGCCAACAGTGCTGGGAGGGCCAGATGAGGCTGGACTGCTGCTCGATGTCAGACGCGGTCCACCAGTGCTTGCTCCACTGATGCTGCCCTTGCGATCTGAGAGGTTCAAGGCTTTCGATCCGTCAGGGGTTCCCTCGACAGAAGAAAAGATGGAAAAGCGCGATGAAGGTTGAGGAGATTCGTTGAAGTTCAGGTGCAAATTCGGTTTGCGAGAGGTCGTGGATGCTGTGCCATTCGCATCGCCGCGCGACCTAAAGCCGCTAGGCGATAGAGCGCCGCCACCAGAGGCTGAAGCCGTGACTTTAAAGGGGTGCATGGGGCGTGATATTCAGCAACGAGAGACGAGCCGCGAGAATGACGGACCTGACACCGATGTGGAGCGCACGGTGATCAGCTCAGCGGAAATACTCACCTTTACTGGGACGTGCAGCCGGTGGACCCATCGTAGATGAAGCTAACCCTCCGTGTCCTGCTCGAGTCGATGCGCTGGAGGGGATGCCCACCGATGAGGAGACCGATCTTCGAGCGCTCGAAGACAGGGTTCCATCATCAACACTCGGTGCACCACCTACCGAGTAGCTGACAGACCGGTCGCTGTTGCCTCTGCTCCCCAGCAAGGTGTCTTTCAACCTGGAAGCGTTTGTAGTGCCGCTTGTGGCATTTCTGGGAGAAGGGGGAGGCTCATGCCTGCTCGGCAGCGCAGAATTAGCGCCACGCGGAGTACGACCTGTCTGACTCTGCGCCGACTCGTTCGAAGGTCTAGATCTGACAACAGATGTACTAGCTCGGGTTGTTGAAGGCGAAGGAATGCGGGAATTGCTGCTGGCGTACTGCTCGTGCGCAACACTGTGATAGGAAGACATGCCGTGAGAGCTCGATTGCGAGTTCGGAATGCCGACTTCGCGATCTCTCAAGTCATCAGTGGATGTTGATGAGCCGGTGCTTGACTTGCCTATGTTCGATAGTCGACGAGAGCTGGCCGATCTGGATATACCACCGCCGCTGCTGCTACTGCTGCGAGAAGGAAGAACCGAAGCGTCTTGGATTGATAGAGGTGAAGCGATGGAAGATCGGGAAGCAGGCTTGCCTCTTCTCGGTGTTGTTGCAGCCGTGTGCACCACCCTGCGACGATTTGAAGCCGCGCTTGCAGGAGACGAGGTCGTCACGCTGTTGCGGTGGATTGGCATTTGAGTCCTATCGGTGTGCTGCGCCGAGGTTTGCTGCAGACTCGACCTTCATGCGTCTATGCAGACCCAGTCTTGCAACAAGGCCGGTGTGTCTTTGACTCGTGCGATCCTTCTTCAATCAAAGCTGTTGAGCGCGCTGAGACTGATGCTCTCGCAAAGTAGCGGGTGGTCAGGTAAAGACACGTGTTGGTCTTTCTCTGCGCACGCTGGATAGAGTCGCGATGGATTTACACAGCGGACGCGCTCAGTACGCGCTCAACCTTGGACGAAGATGTCCGCCTCTAGCCACGGCCTTGAGATCCAGGCGGAGAAAAATTAGACACCGTGGCCGCACTGCGATGCTAAGCTGCACGCTTGATGGTCTGCGCCGGCGCGACGCAGCTGTCGCTATTGCTGGAGAAGTGAGGGGCCGACGATTTGATAGCGGCGTGACGTAACGGCAGAATGCGACGGGCCGATGCTGAGAGGGTGACGAAGGGGCATGCAGCAACAACCAGCACTCTGGTGAGCCGCGTGTCAGTGCAACACGCTGACCTTGGTAGGTAGCGGTGTAGGTGTGGGCGACAGAGAGACTCGAAGCTCAGCACGACCTCCTACCAGTGTGGCGCAGTGTGGAGCGGCCTGGCTATCAGGGACGATGTAATGGGCCTTTGGTGAGGTGGTAGGTAGCACACCGCAAGATGATGGGGCTCTCCTGACCAGAATGAAGTGGCTCTCCTAACCAAAATCGAGCGTTAGCCGCAGTTGGCTGATGAGTTGCTCTGCAGTTCATCACATGTGCGGATGAGCGACTGATGTTCTTGCGAATGATGTGCATCAGGCAAGCAGACATACAGGTACAAACGCCGCGCCGGGGGAGGAGAGAGCGAGAGAAGGAACGCGCGCTCCTGTTCGCTGGCTGACTGTGCTCCTGCGCTCGCTTCTGTATGCCCACGCGCATTGGGCAGCTGTGTGGTCTGCATGTGTGTAGCTCAATAAAAGGCGGAGGCAACCTGAGCTGCTCTTCCACGCACCGCACCTGCAGGCGAATCGAGAGGCTAGTAGTGCAAGTGAGGCGGACACAACAGCCGCACACGGCCCCGACACGGTGTAAGTTGTGCAGTCCTCGTGACTCAAAACTGTATGCGCGATTGCTGCCTTGCCCATGCTGCAGCACAGCTAGCAGCAGCCCTTCGGACCAGCTAGCTAGTGGGACACGCATGCAGCTGTACGGCAGTAGTGAGCAGCAGTGCAGTACAGCACAGCACACACCTAGCTGTGATGCAGAGACACACCATCTGCAGCTGATCCGCTTTACCGCAGGTGTCGCGGAGGGTTTGCATATTCACGATTCACGATTATTCGCAGCGAAGGGTCAGCTTCAGCCACTGGAAAGTCTCTGCAGAAATGGAGAGATGCGACCACAATAGACTCAGACTGCTTGCTGCATTGACTTTCACGATGCGTCATTCACCTCGTGCGCAATCCGGAGTTGATTGACAGCACTCACGACTTGACTCTGGTTTCACACACCGCGGCGGCCTTCCGCAGGCTGTGTTTCCTATAGAGCTATGTAGGCCAACCTGGCAGCATCAATCACTCACACTATTAATCTTGTTCTTGGCTCGGGCGAAGGACGCTGCTTCTATAGTCCTGTACCACAGCAGCATACATGCAGCTCAGTGTGAGTCTGGCCGGGCTACATCTATAGCAAGCGTTTGCAGGCTCGAACTTTGCACCTGATGAAACGGGGAGCGGACCCCGCATAGCTGTTGTGAAACCTGCGCGCCGTAGATCGAGGGTCGAGAGCACTGCGGGGGTCTCACCCACGCTGCCGCCCGTACGCGCACGCGCGTGGCGCCCCGACCGCGCGCGAAAAAGGGTCCATCGCACCTTATTCACGTTCTACTTGCTTGCTAAGTGTGGTCTAGCGAAGTGCCTTGCCATCCAGAGACTCTGGTGCGCCTGACTGAGCGTTTCGAAGAGCCTAGGAAATGCGGTTGGTGTAGGACCACGAAAGGTGTGCAAGGAAACGGGGTGCTGCTCTGAAATCAAACGGGGTGTGACCACGTTACTAACCGTTCGCGCAGTCTTGATTGAAAGCTGGGAAAGGCAGGGGCGGTCACACAGTGGATTTCGAGTCGAGAGTAGGGAGTGGACCTTGGGGTTGAATCGCCTAGTGTGATCAACCATTGAATTCCAATCGTGAACAGTCTTGAGTTTGCGGGTCAAGAGTCACCGAGTGAGGAAGGCTGCCCGAGTCTTGAGTCACGTGAATGCAAGCGTCTCGGGGGACTCCCGTAGGAAGACTCACGACTATGCATGGCTGGCTGGCTGAGGGCGAGGCGCTCGATCGGCGTGATCGCCGCGCCCGATGTCGTCGTGCTGCAGCCGCGCGCGCTTGCCGCGACCTCTCCTGCTCACAAAACGCTGATGCCTGCTAAATTCACGACTCTTCTCCTCACATTTGTTGCTTCTTCCTCCATCACCTACTCGACTCGTATGAAACAGCGTGCCGTCGTTTCCTGGTCGCATCATCTCTTGCTTCGTCTCCACGAAGACTGTCTCGCCTTTTTAACACGCCTACCTGACCAGCAGCTTGCTCGTTCGGTCCTATCGGAGCTTCCGGCGTATCAACCACGCTATCAGCTTACACGACACGTCGCGCGAGCTGCATAAACACATCGCCATCCTGGCAGGTGGAATCTCAACATCCTAGACTTCGCCCTGTTCTTCGCAAATAGGCGACGCTCCCCGTCCTGTCCGAACCTAGCATACAGTCCATCAGCATGTCAACCACCTCTCGCGCCATGTCTGCGATCCCAGCTGAGGAGCTGCCCATCCTCGAAGCTCTGATAAGGTAAGCTGAGCTCAGCTCAGCACAACCCTCTACACACTCGTGCTGATGCCAAGCAAATTCATCCCGCGCTAGCATTCGCAACCGCTTGACTGCACTTAAGAAAGACTCGAGCGAGTTCATCAGACCTCAGGATGTCCAACAATTGTACAAAGAAGTCATCAAACAAGGTGCGATATACGCGCGCTGGCAAGGCACACTCAACTGGTAGCCAAGCATTACTCACCATGATCATTGCTGCTCGTGCCATCTTTCTCCCTCACTTCGATAAAGTCACGCGACTGAATACCGTCCGCGACGAGGCAATTGCGAGCGAGGTCTCCACTTCGGATCCGCCACGCGCAAGCACATCAACTTCCAGGGGTGGAGAGGCAGGCAGCGGGGGCGGAGAGGTTGACACGGCGGCGCTCGCGGCCACAAACAGAGTAGACACGACACTGAATGACGTCTTCAGCCTGCTCAGCCTCTTCTTCCTCACGATCGGAAAGAGCAGAGAGACTCCCGCCACTTTCAGTCAGATCGGGTGTATGAAGGTGAGCGATCGCCCGTTTGATTCGAAATAGAGCCCAGAAGCCTTTTAAGCCAACAGCAACGATGTAAGCGCTCACACGTCTTCTACTGCGCACCATCTCCCCTCTTGCACTGCAGCAACTGCTCGATCATCTTGCTGAGTCAGGCATCTACACGGAAGCAGACCTCCAGCCCTTCTCCAAACGTCTGGCAGAGCTTCGTGCTATCATTAAAAAGGACGGTGATGCTGGGAAGCACCCTGTTCAGTTGACTAAGCTCATGACCAGAAAACTTGAGGCTTGTGGTGCGTGAAAGTGCAAACATGACTCGCCTCGAGTTTGGAACGTTCTAATTTGAACCCCCTTGACACTTTTGACTCCCCACAGAGAAAGTCTTGCGAACTCTGGAGGGCACGCTATCGGTTTTGTCCGTGGAGCTCGTCCCAATTCATCAGAGACTGGTCAGCGTGCGGCGTCAAATCGCAGCAGCTGCTGCAAAGCCAAAGCCCGCCAAGCAAGAGATCAAACAACTGCAAGAAGAGTTGCGGAAAATCGACAGCAAGCGAGTGGACGGGAAATTCTTGGGTCCCGGCGGATCTTCTGTGCCTGCCGGTCAAGCCATCTTGGTGGGCATCCTAGAGGACTGCTTCGAGATTTGTCACGACATCACAGTCAGAAACGATGACGTGCCGCACACGCTCCAGCCCATTCACGAGAGGCTGTCTGAGATCTGCGGTCAGCTAGAGCACCTGGTCCTCACGCATCGCTGGACGCTCAGAGAGACGGATCTCTGGAATTACCAGGTCACACTCAAAGAGATCGACAGGCTGCGAGTAAACGGTAAATTCGTGGACAGCGAGGGCAAGCAGCCAGAGGGCCAGCTGGTTCTCCTTTACCTGCTGCGGAGATGCTATGGACTGATCTACCGCTTGGTGGCTTCTTCAGAGCCCATCTCAGAGGAGCTGATGCCGATCAGCAACAAGCTTTCGACAATTTCAAAGTGCTTGAAGGAGGTCTCCAAGTATGGAGGGCCTTTCACGATGAGGGACCTTTACCCTTACAGACTTGCTTTGCATCAGATTGACGGGATGCGCAGCGATGTCAAGGACAAGGAAGGCAACGAGACTGGAGTCAAGAAATGGCTGGGTCGAGATGGCAGCGTCCCAGAGGGCCAAGCGATCCTGCGAGCTCAATTCGAGGAGGTGGAGCAGACTATCGAAGAGAGTGAGTGGTGCAATGTGCTTGCCCTTTCTGGGCAAGGTCGCACTCTGACATCGGCTCGTTTCTACAGTGCTCAATCGTGAAGAGGACGATGATGATGACGATGAAGAGGGCGAAGATGAGGATTGGGAAGGTTCGGCGGCTAGCGGAGAAGTCAGTGACTTTGACGACGAAAGCGTGGCTAGCGAAGGCCACGACAGTGGTGATGACAGAACTTCCAGAAGTGGTCCTGGATCGACTGCCGTGTTCAGCCCCTACAGTCCAAGCCTCAGTGATCCCTTCAACAACACAGCCGGGTCTCTGCAACCTCATATGAGCCCCTCGCTGAGTGCGATGGCCGCAACTGCTCAGCAGCTTGCTCCGCCACTCGCTTCATCCTCGCCCACCACACCAAGCACGGCTAGACCAGCACCATCGGCTGCTGTGGCACCTCCTTCCGGTGTCCTATCACCTCCAGTCACGCTAGCCTCTGATCGCAGCCAAGGATCTGCCGAAGGGAGCGGTGCAAGCGCAAATTTGTCCGCCGCAGCAGCATCTGGCCTTGCGGCGCCTTCAAGCCTCGTCGATGGTGTTCCGGCACTACAGCCATTACCGCCCGGAGCGGCACCACTAGCAGTGCCTGGACCCTTTGCTCCTCCACCCATCGATGAGATGCCCATCCTATCCGGTCTCACAGCGAGAGAAGGTCATCCCGCCTTAGTCAATGATGGTTTGGCTCTGAGCGCTAGTCCTCCTGAGCAACCTGCTTCTTCAGTCGATGCACTCAGAGCTCAAATGAAGAGCACCAACATCTCCACACCCCTCTCTTCCCATTCGTCTGCTGGTCCAGCCGTCTAGATCTCCTCTCGCCCTTTGTATCCTTAGCATGCGCGGTGCATTCCGCTAGACTGATGTCGAACCGAAAAATTGTCAAATCATCACCCTTCATGCAATGCTACCGCACAGCGATGCGCCGCCCCGTCATTCTCACTTCGAACGCGATCGCGATGCGGGTACGTGTTTAGATTGGCTAGGCTCACGACAGCATGCCTCGCATACCGCCTTGGTTGCTGTAATACATAGGCGGCAAATTAGGATGTGGCACAGCAGTGTACTTGTGAAAGACGTATGTCCCTCGTTCGTCGACGCGCGCAAAGGCCTGTGTGCGCAAGGCAGAGGAAGGCGATGAACAACGCGTTGATGTAGCAGATCAGGAAAGGAGGCCATGATGTACTCACTCCTTCATTTGCTCCTTGGTCGCAATAATTAGGAGCTGAGAAGACGGTGCATATCAGACCCTCGTGTTCCTGTTGCGAATAACGGCGGCCAGGCAAAAAGCGAATGAGCTTCGTGCGTTCCCTACGCATCCTGTCAGCTTCGCACCAGACTCACCTCATCGTACCCCGCTTGCCTGACTTCGTGACTTCTGAACACCGCGGTAATTTTGTTCAGTGTGCACCAAGCCTTGCTGATGTCCGGTCCAAATCCATACCCAACGCCTCTCTTGGATGGCGCTCTGCCATTGGCAGCACAAGGGTCGGCCCAGAGCATGTCGTGCATGATGCCCGAATTGGGCGGTTGTCCGCCAGCAGCGAACCTGTTCACAGCTCTAATGTTGTCCAGCGTAACGCCGTCTTGAGCAAAAAGACCTCCGTGAACCACAAAGAAGCGCTTGATATCTCCATCGAAGAGAATAGGTTCTCGCTGCGCTTTGGAACAGCCAGATGGCAGCTCCGACTCCGGAACGGCGGGCTTACTGGCGGTGATCAAGGTGGCTAGCGGCAATGACACGAAAACGTCGGTAAAGACTTTGTATGCTGCGCATCGGACGAATGAAGATCAGAGACATGGTGCATGATGAGCAACCCCATCCCTGTGCGCGCTTGAGATCGTTCACTCACTCATCTCGTTGAACTTCGCCTTGCATTCCGCCTCAAACCCATAGACAGTGTTCATATCGTGAGTCTCGTGGTTGCCTCTGCGAAGAGCTCCCGCTGCGTCAGATACTGGGCGCATCGAAAAGCTCGGTCGAAAGACGACTCACCGGTTGAAGAAACAAGTCTTGGGATAGAGCCACTTGTAAGCTAAAATTGTGAGCACAACTTCGCAGCTCCAAGAGCCTCGATCGACAGCATCGCCATTGAACAAGAGGGCGTGGGTATTCGATGGCCTTCCAGTCTTCGAGAGGAGATTCAGAAGATCATAGTACTGTCCGTGGGTATCGCCGATGACGTCGATTGTTTGTCCTTCGGGGACTGTGTAGTCCACGATCGTCCCTGTGGTGGCGCACCGAGGTGACAATTGAGCTTCTGAGGAGTATGGAGGTGCTTCCAGCTTGCTCGGGCTGCGCTCACCTTCCTTTAAAAATTCTCGCTGAGCGCCAAGCATGATCTGCCAAGCATACCGCATGGGCAACCGTTTTCCATCTTTGAACCACTCTATCATCTTGTCGATGAAATCCTGACTCAAAAAATTCGGTGCTGCATGAGCGGGCGGCTTGTAAGGTCAAGAGGACCTTTCGCGCTTACCTGATCGATAGCACCGAGGAAAGGTCCTACAGCGTTCGGATCGTCACCCTCTTTTGCGAGTGGTCCCTCCTTCAATTTGGGACCCTCGTAGCCCTCTTCCACGTGCACGGTAGGTAGATTTTCTCTAAGCGTCTCCAAGGCTCTCTGCCAAGCTTTTGGTCCATCCTGCTTCACGATTGCCTTCTCGAACTGTTGTCTACGCAGCAATTTCGTCGTCGCGTCCACCTGACCTCTGATCGTCTTGTTGTTGGGCTCCAACTGGGCTACCCTGCGCAAGTCTGGCAAGGCTGATTTCGGATCGAGGATCGAGAGAAATGCTGAAGCTCTGCGGTAGTAGGCTTTGGCAAAAGATGCGTCCAAACAAATGGCTTTGGCTGAAGATGGATGAAGTTGCAGAGTGGAAAAGTCAGCCATGTATGCGCCTCTTCCTCACTCAATTTGGGGCCCCTACTTCGCATGTTTGCGCCCGCCGCTGTCTTGCAGAAACAACATCATCACACTTTGCATCTTCGCACCTGGACCCAAGATGCCAAAGATGCTCATTGCCTCACTTCCCTCTGCGAATTGTTTCCGAATTGTCTACTCACTTGCATCCTCGATGGCCAAGCCGTGCTGCTCCAACTTGAGCTCGCAGGCGGCTCTGTTGCTCCAGAACTGAGGCACACTGGGATCCAAAGCGATAGCTTTGCCAAAGGCCACCTTCGCACCTTCGTAATCATGTTTCAAGAAGAGTTGATTCCCCTCATCCTTCAAATTGGAAGCAGCACTCGAGCGCTCCGAAGGGGACAATTGTGCAGTCTTTGAGGTCGGACTGGGAGGAAGATCCGAAGAGGTTGCAGATGGGAGAATTGGAGAGGAGGAAGTGGAGGGGATGGACGTTGAGGTGGATTGCTCTTCCCCGCCTATGGAGAGCGTGCTGGAAGCTGCTTCGGTGTCTGATGCCTCTGGCGAAGACATGTTAGATGGCGAGTCGCTGGCACTGTCGAAGCGGTCCCGCCGAAGGGAAAGGCAATGAGCAGCAGTGCAGAAATGGGAGGACGAGTGGTTGCAGCAAGCGCAAAGCTGAGGATGATGAAAGTGTCCAGCTGATCGAGCGATGCGAGTGAGTTTGGATGTGCTTCCAATAGGGGGACTTCACCGTCACGGTAGAGAGGAAGCATCTACGCGAGCAACAGCAGCATTCACATTATCAGCAGCATCAGCATCCATTTGCAAATGATGAATCGTGCGTGAGTCACGAGTGCATGCCATCTTCTCGCACGTCGAAAAATCTCGCTTTGCTGCTGTTGAAACGATCAGCCGCAACGGCGATCGGCGTCGTGTGCTGCTGCACGCAGCAAGCAGATGTATGCATGCATATATGCATCATGTCTGCTAGCTGCGCGTGGGGCTTCGGGAAGTGTCCACACGTGATACTCACGACTGGATGCTTGTGCACTCAGTTTGACTCATCAATCATTGAATGACTCATCAGGACTTTCAACTCGATGAGTAAGTCAAAACGTGTGTCACGCGATACACCACCTTTGTTGCAAGTCACGAGTTCAGATGCGCCAAGAAACGCACAGGCATAGGTACCGCATCCTCCGATCAGTGGAGTGGTGAGTCGTGTGCGAGCCGTGGGTTGCGAGCAGACATCGCCAAAGCTCGGCACGCAGCTCCTGTCGGATCTACTTTCAGCTCGTACATACTTGACGAGTGATGCAGGCAGGCAAGCAGCAAGAGCGGCACCAAGAGGAGAGGCAACATATCTGAGCGACGGTGCTTGCTGCGGCACATTCGCGACTGGACGAAGGCAAAAGAGGCTTCATCTTGTCGTTGCGATGCGATGGTCGGCCATCAAGAGCGATGAAGCTGTCAGCCAGCATCTTTGGCAGCTGAAATCGTATCCGCTTTGAGCATAGCTGCGACCCCCATTTGGCTCAGGATGGCACCCAAAAGAGCTCATATTGACCCCGAAGGAGCCCGCGCTCGACCCAAGCATGGCAACTTCTCATCCTACTACTCTATCAGGGCCGAACATGCGTCTTCGGAGTCCTCAAGAAGTATTGGCCGAGGAAGAGATGCAAGTGAAAGCAAGCGGCCGACACACGTCTCGTCCGGCAGCGTGGATCCTAGGCTTGACGTCATGGTGAAACACATCCAGCAGCATGTCAAGACGTTTACAGGAGGTGCTTCTTCGAATGACAAGATGCATGGAGCTTGGCCTACCCGGATATTGGATGTCGGCTGCAACGAAGGCAGGATGACATGCGCAATGGGTCAGTCAAATGCGCTCCAATTCAGATTAGGGGCCCAAACAACTTACAACCAGACCGTTATACCAGCGAGTGCCTTCCCAAACGCTCAATCACACGGCGTGGACATTGATGAGTCGTTGATCAAGCGCGCGGGAGCTTATGCTCGTCGCATGGGGTTCTCACCGTGCGTGAATCCACCGCGCTGTACTGGCGTGGACAAGGAGGTCGCATCGAGTGCGCAAGAACAGAGTCCCGCGCATCTAGCATTTCATACGGCGGACTGGCCCAGGCTATCCATCGAGAGAGCTGTGTTGACCAGTCAACGTCACATCTCAGATGTTGCGCCATTTCAACACACTACTGAGCTGCTCGCATCGCGGAGACAAGAAAGTCGAGAGCTCTGCTTGAGCGCTCTTGCGCGTGAAGACGATCAAGGCTGGGACGTAATCCTAGCGTGAGTCTGCTGAAGAAGTACAATACCCACCCTCCAGCTCATCGTTGGCTCTTTGACCGCTTATCAAATGCTGTTCTTCAGGCTCTCAATAACCAAATGGATCCACCTTTCTCACTCCGATCTCGGCATCCGGCACTTCTTCAGCCGCATTGCTCAAACCCTGTCCAAAAGGCCTCTAGGTGGCGTTCTGATCCTCGAACCGCAACCCTGGAAGTCGTACGAGCAAGCCAGGCGCGTAATAGGTGCCGAAGGTAGAAGAAGACACAAGAAGCTGCGTCTTCGACCTGAAGATTTCCAATTCGTACTGACGATGGAGCTGGGCTTCGCAGAACCGGTGCGGCTGGGCCAGACGGCAGGCTATGGTGCGTAGCATGCAGGCTCCACTACGCGCACGTCGCATCGATCCGACTTGAACACATGTAGCCTTCTCACCAATCACTTTTGCCGTTCTCTTTCTCCTCTTACAAAGGGTTTTCACGAGACCTTTACGCGTACCATGTACCTCCCGCGGAGCGCACACCAGCATGCTACGTCTCGCTCAGAGATCAGATCTGTAGCGAAGCAGAACGCCTAGCAAGGCACCCTCTTGACGGCGCGAGCTTCTCTTTGCATGATCGGTCGACGAGCAATGACCAAGCAGGAGAAGATACCGCGGTTGCATTCGCCTGGGTGGCCAGACCTTTCTCTCAGCGTTCCGCTCCGCGGCCGAACGCTGACTCGTGATGCGCACATCCAAAGTCAGTCCACCGCACTGCACGATACCACCAGCACATTTGGAACTCGTATGATTCATTGTTGAGCGCCAAGATCGCGCGGACGGGTCTGACAGAGTACAAAGCTTGTTCGTAGAGCGGATACTGTGATCGTATTTGTGAGCGGAAGCGATCGGAAACGTGTGGGGGGATTCCTGTCACAAAATTGAGTGGGGTGTGTCGAGTCTTTGCGGTCGGATCATGGGTCAAAGCGGAGTTCGGTTGGATCGAGCCTTGAGCTGTACACATCCAATAGGACGCGCAGAACGGGTGGTTTGCAGTCGTTGTTCGTTTCAAAAGCTACGAGGCAGAGTCGTTGACGGTCTGAGGAGAATCCTCGTTCGTCGATTCGGCATGGACGAAGAGCCTACTGCGGAGCTTTGGTGGATTGAGCTTTCTGAAGCATAGCTTTAAAAGCATCCTCGAGGTGTTTGTTCATCTCGCTTGGTGCAGTCGCAGGCTCAGAATTGAGGTTGTCACTGCCGCCCTCCACCTTGGGACGCTTAGCAGGCAGGGTAGAAACTCCATCATCTTTGCCCTTAGGCTCTGCTGCCTGCTGATGAGAAGGCGAGTTGGCCTGGGGAGCTGCAGTGGCTTGCATCTTCGATGGCTTCGGCTGGCGCGCGACGTAGGGGCTCTCGTTGCGCGCTTGACGCATCTCCTCCAAAAATTTGTCGAAGTTGCTGCTCGTCACGGTGAGCATTTGCAGAATTAGCGCTTTCATGATGATCTGAGAGTGAACACGAAAGACTCACTTTGCAAGAGTCGCATTGGTGGCTTCAACTTCGGCCTGCTGCGCAGGATCCGTAGTTTGCTCAGCTGGAACAGGATCGTCGGCCTGCTCGATCTTGGGCGATGGCTTGCGGTGCGCGAGGGAGGGAGAAACAGCGCGCTCCTTACCCTTGGCAATCTTCGATGCCAGTTGCTTCTTTTGCGAACCAAACTCCTGACTACCCCTTAGTGCGGCATCGCGCTCAGCACGAGACTGTCCAACATGACCCATTTCGGACAAGCGCTTCTGCCAAGCATCTTGCATGTATGCGTTGTGTGCCGCAATCTCGTCAGTGATGGTGAGAGGTTCCGAATTGTTCAATTGCGTGCCCTTGTTGTGCAACGAATTGCTCTGAGGCTCATTCGGTACGTTTGGAGCAGCACTACCCAAGGCAATGCTTGTGGCTGTATGCTGCTTTCGTGCTTGTTCAGAAACGACTTGCTCCTCCCTGCCCGTGTGCTCGTGCTCCACCAGTGAGAAGCCATCGTCAGACACATTGCTAGGGGTAGAGTTGTGCTCATGTTCGTCACGGCCAAGTCCAAGCTTGGCCGCACGACGAGCGCTGATCTCTCCAAAGGCACGTCCTTGAGCTTCTCCTTGAGCGCGGCAGGCCGCCATGATCTCTTCGTACGTGGCACCGGTGCCCTTGACGGTGGCGCCTTGTCTGTGAGGGGCAGGAGTGATGGCAGAGGTGTCCGTCTCTTGTTGGGCAGGCTTGGTCTCTGGACGCAGTGCTTGGGTCGTACTTGGGACCGCCTTCACTTGTTCTGGTACCGTCGCCGTATGGGTAGCGGATGGAGCCGCTGACTGTGGTGGCGCAGGAGCTGAAATCGACGCTGACGCAGATGGTGGACGTGATCCATCGCCACCAGTCACGTTACGGAGCTGAACAGATGCTGCAATGTCTCCAGCTGCTGCAATGAGCACATCCATGCTGCGACGAAAGTCCTGCGCAGCCGATGGCAAGCTCGCGTTGCCGTTGAGGGCAGTCGAAGGACGAACCTCGTCGCGAAGAGCTCTGGTCCAGCCCATCACTTCGGCGCAGAGTTTTGTGGACGTGCGGATGAGCTCTTGCACGGACTCTGTGACTGGGGCCACATCCGGAGAGATAGCTGGTACGGTGGACGGAGCTTGAGGGGCCCTAGTGGCCGGCGGAGGTACAGCTGGCTGACTAGCAGCAGGTGCTGCAGTAAGCGACGATGGCTTTGAGGTGGATGCGTCGCCTGACGTCTTTGCGTGAGCAGCTCTGGAGACTGGAGTGGAAACGTTTCGCGAGATTGTGTCGCGTTCGACGCGCTTGCGAACATCGTCGATCACCTTTTGACAATCAGCCAAAATAGCGTCACGTACCCCCGCGTTCGTCTCAGCCTGCACAAGGTTGGTAGCAGGCTTGCTCGACGTCTTGGTGCTGCTTGTCGAAGCAGCACCAGCTGCTTGGGCAGAAGATGTCGCGCCGACGACTCGACGTGTCCCATTCGACTCGTACAAGCTGGTAGATGCAGGCTTCAGTTGAGTAAGTTTCATGTTCAACGCACCCACTCTAGAGCATACACTCACTCGTTCACAGAGAGCGCAGAAGGTTTGCGGACGAGAACAACGGGTTGGTAATGGACCTTTTTAGGGTCCAGCGAGTAGTGACCAAAGCCACCTCCGGTACTATACGGGGCTGCCGTGTTGTGGACGTGAGGCCTTTCTCCGCGTAGAATCCTCTCGTAGGCATGAAAGTCGAGCCACTCTCTTCGGCTAGTGATGACCCTTTTGTCAGAAGTGGGGCCAGAAGCGTGGCGCACTTCCAGAGCGCATTTCTGCCACTCGGCGACGCCATACACTCCAGCAGCGATCTGTAGCATCAACTCAAAGTCTCGATGTAGGTGGTCCTTGGGCACGCGAACCAAGCGAGAGTCGCAATCCGAAGCGCTGTGGACGCATTTTGCCCGAACGCTCAGATACGCCTCGTCGCCTGACCACTTGTAATCCTGAAAGACGTCTGCGGTCGACATGTTGCGTTGCGTCCCTTTGCTGCTGCTGGCAGCCATCCGAGCCAGACGAAGTTTGAGTATCTGAATGGTAGATGGGTGGATGTGACGATTACTGGTGCCGGTGTGAGAAATGGAGCAGGACTCACGACTCACGACTGGATCCTCAACAAAGCCGATGTGAAATCGTGAATCCATCCGCGGGCCCTAAATGTGACAGTCGCATATTGCGCTACAACGCGCGCTGCTCAGCGCGCAGTCCGTCCTGCTCAGCATGCACCCACGCCGTGCACACCCCGACCCGCTCTTCGGTGCAGGCATGTTCACCTCAGCACAAGTCTGTGCGCACCACGCCTTTGCGTGATGATCGAGCCCCTCCACACATCATGCGTCCCCCGCCCAATCGTCACAGATTCATCTCGATGACGCAGAATCGCGACACCTGCAGCGTGAAGTTCGCACGCACATCCATCAGCTGTACCCCCCGCAGAGAGCAGCATTAAGCGTGCTGAGGCAGATGATGGATGCTGATGATGCTGCAAGGTGGTCGGTCAGGGTCCACGGAACCAAAGAAGCCACGAAGAAGGAAGATCACAGCCATGCTTCATTCACGATTTGAATCACACACTCTGACTACTGACTCGCGTGATCGCTATAGGAGCTACGTGATACACATCAGTCATCGTTCAAAACCCGAATGCACTTCCACTGTCATTCGGCATAATAATGGTGGCAGCTCGGAAGCCACATTCATGATTGTTGTCGGGTGAGGCTTATACCCGCTTCACCATGATCCATGATGTGCACTTCCAGGCATATAGGCGTGTAGCCGTAGGCCAAGCCATGAGGTTGTCAATAGACACCCAATAGTAAGCCACCATGCAAGGAAGCAGCAGTCTGACCTCGGAAAGGAGGGGTCCAACTCACGTGTAATGTGCTCATCGACCTAGCCTTGAGCTTGTTCTCAACCCTTCGTGCCTCCACTTCCACTTCCACCTGCAGACGCCCGTACTCGAGGCGAGAGTTGCAAGACTACTAGACCACGGCATCTCCGATCTTGCAGTGTTGGTCGTACTCCACAGCAACGCTCACCACTCTCTTTGAGCCGAAACGCTTCCTTCGACTCTTACCTTTCCCATCCTTCACTTCGAACACGACTTCATTCATAGTAAAAAATGTCAGCTCACTCCCTGCAAAGCCGCACCTCGATACCGCTGACTGTGGGAGCAGTGACGCTAGCTTTGGGTGGGGCAGCATGGTATCTTCGCAGCTCAATCCTGCGCAGTTCGCGCAACAGTCGCACCTCCCAATTCCTCACCAAATCGACCTCTGCGCGCTCCAAAGCCCAGACCGAATCGCAAGCTCATCAGCTCGCTTTGACTTCTCTCACTTGGCTGGTTGCTGCTTTTGGTCCTGATGGAAGACATGCCAACGATACGGCTGCTGGATGTATGGTAGCGAGTCCGAGCAGACCAGAGGACAGACCAGGAGGCAAAGACGAGGTGGGTGTATGCGTTGCGGCCCCTTCGGAGGTGCTATGGTTTTCTTTGGCTGAATGAGCGACTCGCTGCCTGCGCTCTGTCTCCAGAATGAGAGCTACTACTTTCAGTGGTCGCGAGACAGCGGCCTTTGCGCGAGAGCGCTGCTCGGTGCACTCGTTCGTGCCGAAGAGGGTCACCAGATCGGCATTGAAAACGAAGAAGCACAAGATCTCCACGAGATCTTCAGAAAGTGAGCAGAATGATGTCTTCCGGTACGGCTGTGCTGAGCCACTGCCTCGGTTTGGCGGGCAGAGCTGACCAGTCCTTGTCCTTGCTCGTTGGACGTTGATAGCTTTGTGGAGATGAGCATCAAGCTGCAGGCTTTGCCAAATCCTTCGGGCACTTACGAGACGGGCGGTCTCGGAGAGCCCAAATTCAACGTGGACGGTTCTGCTTTCCAGGCGAGCTGGGGTCGGCCACAGAATGTGGGTACATCAAAGAGCTGTCACGAGCTGGGCTAATCGCTCGACATGCATCTAGCTGACACTATCGGCATCCTGTTCTGAATGGGTAGGATGGACCAGCCCTCCGTGCTTTAGCTGCGCTTCGCTACGCCATCTTTTTGCAGAACACAAGACCCGGATCGAAAGAGGTTGACACATACATCACCGACAGGCTATGGGCACCAGCTTCTGCCCCTTCTTCTCGCACACTCATCAGAGACGACCTAGACTACGTTGCGCGCGTGTGGGAGACGGAGAACAGCTTTGAGCTCTGGGAAGAGGTGGAGGCTGCTTCTTCGCCCCTCGATGGAGGTGGACACTTTCACGTGTTGATGTCACAGAAAGGAGCCCTCGAGGCAGGCGCTGCGTTCGCCAAGACGCCGTTGATAGCTGACGAAGAGCGCTCACAGAGGTATGCAAAAGCAGCTCAAGGGATCGCGCAGCGACTCGAGAAGTTTTGGATAACGGACACCGAGATCGATCATGAGGGCGGTCCGACCATCAATGATGGACCTATGGCCATCAACTGGGACGATGATCGGCGCCTGGGTATCATTCCGAAGGACATTCTCGCGCTCCCTCACCTCACACCGACCTTGTTGAGGCAAGGAGGTCAACAAAAACCAACAGAGGTGGACATTGCCTGCATTCTCGCCTTCAATCACAGCTGGGACGGTCACTATGACGGCAATCACAGCGACGTATGGTCGCCGTGGTCCGAGCGCGCAGCAGCAACACTGCATCGCGCTCTGATCGCTTTTCAGAGTGTCTACAAGATCAACGAAGGACATTCCTTGGAGGATGGTATCCTGGTAGGCAGGTATCCCGAAGATGTGTACAATGGCGTGGAGCAGTCCATCGGCCATCCTTGGTTCCTCACGACGCACGCAACTGCGGAGCTGCTTTACATCACCGCCACGCACTGGCTGGCGATCCATCACGTCGAGATCACTGCTATTTCTCTACCTCTCTATAAGCTCTTTGACCCTCGCGCCAAGGTGGGCAAGCATGAGCAAGGCAGCAGCGCCTTTCAAATTGCCATCCGAGGCCTACGGGCGCTGGCGGATAAGCAGCTAGAGCGGTGCAGAGAGGTCTTGCTCGCCGAAGGAAGAATGGATGAGCAGATCGAACGCTTCACAGGCAAGCAGCGCGGCGCTAGGCATCTTAGGTGAGCATTCGCGAGATCAGCAGAAAGGCCAGGCAAGACGCTGACGATGGTGACACTATCATCTTCATTTCAGCTGGAGCTATGCAAGCTACCTCAGTTGCTATGATGCACGCCATGGCAGGGAAAATCCCGTGCTATGACCGTCTTGAGTGCATATAACCGTACGGGCGGGCGGGGTGTCGGTGTCCTGTGCAGCCCCTGGATGGACCGTTGCGACCTGATGAAATCCCTAAACCCTCGCGTGGATCGTTGCCTGACGGACATTATTTTGCGTTCTGCGCCGAATGCTATTGGTCGTATCGATGCCTACTTTCTGCCTCCTTTTCCTTTGCCCTTCGCCTTGGCAGGTTCGGGGGTAGGGCTGCTCTTCACCTCGACCTCTGTCGTCTTGCGCTGATGGATCAACTTGGCGTTGGCAGCCTGAATAGCCTGTGCGTCTTGCAGCTCCCTGATCTTATCGACTGTCCAAAACTTCAGCTCCAGCTTCATGTGAGAGTCGGTAGAGAGCGCATCCGCGGCCGTCTTGACGACCTGTGTATCGTTGAGCTTGAGCAGTGTAGAAGATTGGTACTGCGACGCATCACCCGCAACTCGTTCTCTCAACTCCATCTCTCTTCTCTCCTGAACGGATGACAAGGGTCCATTATAAGCGATCGGTTTCGCTCCGTGACCTCTTCTCGGACCGAATTTGCCTGAAAAGTTGACGCGCACTTGCAGACTCTGCCTCGCATCTCGCAGAGTTTTGGACTTGGGCATGGCACCCTCTGCGCCGGCTGGTCGAGCAGGTACGGCTTGGCAGGGTGTGTCCTCCACTGGTTGGAGCGTAGGTCGGTCAGGCCGCTGTGTATTCGCAGAATTCCACCAGTCTGTCTTTGGAAGCACGAAAGGAAGTCTGGCAGCAGAAGTAGGAGAAGAAGAAACGTCGTCGCCGCGCTTTTGAGGAGGGCGAGAGGCGGATGTGATCACGCTCTCCGGTCTGTGCCGCTCAATGGTACGAGGTGGACGCTGCTTGTTGCTCTGCGGGCGACCCGGATTGGAATTGTCCTGATTCTTTCTACTGCGACTGCTGGCTTGATCAGCAACTGCGTCTTGTCGCGCCGTGACTGCACTGGAAAAGCGCCTGCTGGCAGCGACGTGATTACACACAGCGAATGTGGATTTTAAGCCTCGCGCCGAACCAATCGCAGGCACTGAGATGGAAGTCATGGTGCTTGAGATGATGGTGGGAAGGCGAGTGCACGCTTCTACCTCGCACCGGCCAGACAGAGACAAGCGATGAGGGGTGTTGCGTTCCAGCTGGGTGGCACCGCTTCGAGTGCTTATCGTGCAGGCTCTGGGCGCCCGTAGAGGTGGATCACGATGAGAAGCTTTGATCGGCAGTAGTCTTCAGTGAAGGCTGAGTGCGCAAGGATGACGAATGTGAAGCACAGATATTCGGGCCAAGGCGATCAGAAGCAGCGCGCTGCGTGCATACAGGTATATGCGGCTTTGAGAAGAAGCGAAGCTGTATCGGCCGACAAACAACTGCATCGTGCGTGCGTGGGTGCGTGCGTGCGTGCTTGCGTGAGTAACGTGCGCATGCTGCTATATGTGTGCGCGTTATCATCAGGAAGATGCGCTCGACTCGATCCAAGATCGTACGTGTCTCAGGCAGGCGAGTGATTCGTCAGTGAGAAGGTATCCTTCAGAACGCCGTCATCATCGACCCTTCACATTTCGCTCGCACCGACAACGGTCGATCGGCAACTTTGGAGCGTTGGTGTCACGCTCACAACCTCATTACAGGCGCACTCCAATAGCCCGTCTCTGCTCGGACACGCGTTTCCCTACTCAAGATGGGGTTCCGAACAGGTTTCGTCCTAAGCGCCGTAGCGTTCCAATTTGGAGTCATCTACATGGCATCCATCTACGACTTTCCCCTCTTGTACGGCAGCAGCCTCTCCTCCACAGAAAGTCTCGAAGCAGCCGACCGAGCAGAATTCTTCTACTTGGGTCTTTTCAAAGCTCCCGCGGCCGTGCCTGCTCTGCTACACGGAATGATTGGGTTGGGAATCGTTGGACTTTTGGCCAAGCTGCATCGATGGACAGAGATTGCCAAGTGGTTCGATGGTGCTGCCATCGGTTAGTGTAGCGAAGTAAACTTCACAATCACGCGCTGGCTGCATTGATGACGAGATTGTTGCTGCCCCCATTGTGCAGTCCTGTACGTTGGTGCTCTGTCCATGTACCTGACCGTCTCGATGCCAACCATCAGACTACTGGCAGATCCCAACAACGAAGCTCTCCTTGCTCGCTCCTCGCTGGCTACCCAACGGAGCACTTTGGCTGCAAGAGCAGAAGCTGGTCAGCTCGACGCAACGTTGGTCCCTTCTGGTCCCTTGACCGCTTCGGAGAGGGTGGATGCGCTCAGAATCATAGGCGCTACGAACACCATCATCATTCTGCTGCTGGCTGGCGTGTTGCTGATGCAGGGGACGGAGTGGTGGTTGGAGAGAGCGGAGAGGCTGGAGAAGAAGGCTATTAGGGACAAGGAGATGAGCGAGTTGAAGTTGAGCAAGGCGGGCAAGGACCAGTGAAGCGAATTAGGCTTGTATGTGGTCAAGGGGACTCGGAAGCTGAGCAATGTCTGTCACAAGACGCGGTAATGTCACGTTTGTGTGAATCGTGTCGAGGGGCTTGGTGCTAGTCGGCCCTTCAGGCTAGTCAACCTCACCGGTCTGCGCGCGAAGTCTTAGGTTTGCCGAACGATACTGCGGGGCTGGGCAGCCATGGCGAGGCTACGTCGGGGTGACGAGAGGATTGCAGCTCTTCTGTTTGAGAAAGAGCGTCTAAGGAGACACGAACGAAGACCCGATCGTTCAGCCCACCATCATGCAGTCGCTAGGGGCTCAGAAGGGGTTTAGATCTGGCTCCTCCTGCGCAGGAGCTCGTATGCAACCCGGTGAGCTCTTGTCGTTTGCTCAGCGTTCTAGCACTTCGAAGTGAACGCCTTGAGGACGGACGGGGGGGGAAGTTGAGACGAGCAATGATGGTCTGTGCATGCCGAGCATTTCGCCATGCGGCCGAGATGCACCTTCACGCTCGACTGTTTGCTCATAGGTGTTGTGGACCAGCGATACATTTTTGAGGGCCAAGAACAGGGTTGGAACTGCTCGCACGTCCAGGGCGAAGCGGTGCAGCGAGGGTTTTCAGTCAGAGTGAGAGAATGACATTTTGAGAGTGGCCAACGAAGGTTGTAGGGCCTCACGGCCGTGCTGGTCCTTGTCGGAGCGCGGTGTCGAATCTGAAAGCTGCCTTTTGCTATCATCTTTCCTTCTGAACGCCCTCAGCTGCATCGCACTGATACTGCTAGAACGTTGCGTCGCAGCTACAAACAGATTCTCCAAACAAGCAGAAGGACGTGCAATCATTCAGCTCCTCTACACATCACTCGCATTTTCGACTGCGCACAGCTAAGGCCCCATCTTGAGGTGATCGGTGCGACACACGGCTGGATGAATGCGCATCAGCATACCTTCAAGAATGGTGCACTTGTCGAATTGGAATCTGACATGAGCGTGAGCCAGCGACTCGGCGCGTACGAGACTTGTCGATCTGGTGCTGCCTGATTCGCTTCAGTCGAAAATGTGCCACAATCGAGTCAGTGTGAATGAGTGTGAGCCGGCAATGTCAAGAGTCAAGAGTCAAGAGTCATGCAAGCGCGTGTCAATCACGAGTATATAAAGCGCAGAGTGCATGCGCAAGCGCGTACTTTGCCGCGCGACATGCGGCGGTGCTGCTGCTCCTATATAAGCCACGCGCGATGGTGTTTGGGCTCGTCGGTAACGTGGGCGCGCTCAGCAACAAGCAGATCAGCCCATCCAGCGCACACATTCGTGATTCACGATTCACATGCACATGCCACTTCGAACCTTAGAACTTTCATCTCCGCAGTCGACAGCCGCAGACAGCTACCGCCTTCACCTTTGCGTACGCGAGCTGAACCGAGCAACCAGGTGCAAGCTGTGCTACGAACCTTGAGACTGAACTCTCTGAGGGGAACCGCGCAATATCGCTCTCGCCCAAATCCTCATCGACTCCTTCAGAAAGTTCGCACAGAAGCAGGGACAAGAGGCTCAAGAGTTGTCCAGCGTGCCATGTCGTTCAACGATTTGGAGCGAGGATCAGCTCAATCACCCCGGAATAACAATAGCAGCAGGGGCAGCGTGGGGCGATCATCCAACCGAGCATCCGGTAACCCTTTGCCTCTGTACCACGCCCCTCCTTCCGATCGTTCCAGCTCTCCTCACAACTCAAACTCTGGCGCAGGATCTGCGAAGCTGACACAAGATGAAGAGTACGAATTTAAAAAGCTGGCGGAAAGAATGGGGGTGCAGATCTTCAAGTTGAACGCCAATGTGAGCGCGATTGATAAGCTCGTGGAGCTCAGCTCGGGAAGCGGCAAGGTTGCAGCTCAGAGCAAGGCTCAGAGCAAAGAAGGTAGAGACTGGACGAAGCAAGTGTGAGTGTGGTCATTCAGCATAGTCCGCCTCTTCAGCTTGCTGTAGGCTTGCGAGTCTTGCTCTACACTCAAGATAAGTGGCTGACCACCCATTCTCATTTGACAAACTGGTAATCAGAGCTGATCTTACCGATACGACGCGATCGGTGTCGACCTCCCTCGTGAGCGACATGAAGACTCTCTCGACATTGAGCAGCAAGAGCGGATCATCTCAGCACAAGATGACGACGAACAAGCTGAGGACGGATGTCGAGAATGGCTTGAAGAACTTTCAGAGAGCTCAGAGGGCAGGAGCCAACGTGACTAGGACCGCATTGGACAAAGAAAGAGCGAGGAGAAGCGCTGCTGCCTCCACATCGTCTGCTTCCAATGCCAAGTCCAGCGAAAATCAAGTGTAAGGGCTTCGCATGGCAAGCTCCTGCTGCTGCCTCTCGATGCTGACGGACTGCCCTTCATACTCGTCGCCAGAGCACTGGAGTCGACTGGCGGGGCTTCTGCGGAAGGAGGTCTGATCGATCATCCATCGGCCGAATTCGACGAGGGTCAAGAAGAGCAGGAGCAAGCACAAGTACGAGTCAACGCTGGTCCCACGCAATCCGACCTCGAATTTCAGGAGGCGCTGATCTCAGAACGAGAGGCAGAGATTCAGGAGATCGAGGGAGGTATCCAAGAGCTGAACGAAATCTTTAGAGATCTGGGACATATTGTTCAAGAGCAGGGCGGTATGATAGACAACATCGAACACAATGTTTCGCAGATCGCTCTGCATACCGAAGGAGCTGATCGAGAGCTGGTCAGGGCACACGAATATCAGAGGAAAGCGGGAAGGAGAGCGGCTTGTTTGCTGCTCATTGTGGGCATTGTCGTTGCTGTTGTTCTCGTCGCTGTGAGTGTTGCGCCTTTGCCGATGTCAACACATTCCAGGGGTGCGCCAGTTGCTGACACCGACGATTTTCGCACACTCCCAGGCTCTAAGCTGATACGTGCGCTCATGCCTTTCATGGGTTTCTTTGTCCCGTCACCTTTCCATTCTTCGTCCTCATTTCCAACTCCCTTTCGTTGGCCAATGCAAGCTCAGCTTAGTATTTCGTACCTTGTTTGAGCACCTCCCAGACTTCCTTGATTACATGCACACGTCACCTTTGCCCAGGGCCGAAGCCTCGACGTCAATATTTTGCTTGAATCTGATCTCTTATGGAGCAAGTCTTAGAGGTGGCAGAGGCTTTTGCAAAACCATGATCCGGACAACGACGGGGTTGCCTAGGGTCCGAGCTCGTGAATGTCGTGCTTCGAAGGAATTGATGGATCAGACTGGCCTCTTGACAAAGTCTGGGTTGCAGCTCTTGGCACGCTGTGTACGGTATGCGATGTCTGTACATTATTATATGTATACTCATTCACCGCACTCACGATCTTGGACGCGGCTTCGCGGACCCACGCCACACATTCGTGATATTAGCTGCGCTTCGCGATGAACAAGTCAAATTGTGAATCTTCAATCTTTGAACGGGACTCGAGTGAAGATAACCAGCAAATTACGAATGAAGTCATGAATCGTGAATATGCTCGCTACACACATCGGCGGTGCGCGCCGTCGTACACTTTGCATTGGGAGGCCGAGCCAGATCTAAAACCTTAGCGTGACGTCAGAGTAAAGTGTGGCGCACGTGCGTGCTGCAGCCTAGTCAGGCAAATCCACGCTATGCACATCATGCACGCACCATGCAACCATGCAGCATTCAATGTGAATGATTCAGATTCATTTTGATTCTGATTGATTCAGCCAGCAGATTGCTTGAACCAGCGCGGCCGTGGCGTCTCATGCGCGTGTGGCCCTTGCGCGAGTCGAATGGACGCTCTTCGGTGACATCTTTGATCCCACGACCGCGATTCGTAGAAATGCTGCTGTGCAGCAGCACGAGTCAGAATCAAGAGTAGCATACACCGCAGACGAGGTCGAGGGGATATATGATCCACGCGCACGCTTTTGCTCGCTGCGAAAGTTCGAAATTCGTCTTTCTGGCAATAAGCCGTCGATGCACCGTGCTTGCGTGCTTGCGTGCTTGCTTGATCGATGAAGGGTCGCGTCCGATCAGCAGCACACTCCACATGCTATTCAATCAGGATTCTGAGAATCTCGATCATGAATCACAATGCGTACGTACATGATGTAGGCACACGGACATCGAACGCGGTGCCTCGCACTCATCACGATTGCCAGGATCTGACGCACCGACCAAGGGTCTAAGCGCCCGACTAACCCAACCACCACTGCGAAGCTGATACGCGCCAGTAAGCTCACGTTCGCGCGCACTCATTCTAGTCTTGCAATAACACACACACGCACACACACACACACGCAAGGATAAGGTCAGAGCAGCAATCATGGCCAAAGTAGGACCCGTCAGGGTATCCGTCTCCTCGCTAGACCCACTGGGCATCGTCTCGCTGGTGTACCAAGCCATCCAAGTCCTCATCGCTTGGTTCTTTGCCCCTTTGCCTCCCTCGGCTCAACAAGCACAGAAGCCGCTCGCAAAGATCGCAGTCATTGGTGCGGGTATCACGGGTATTTCCACCGCTGCTCATCTTGCTGGTCGTGAGTATACGTGCGTAAAGTGCACATGCCCGAGTCGTACCGCTTATCAACCGCGCAATTCTCTCGCGATATTGCAGATGGCTTTGACGTCACCATCTTCGAGGCGGGCTCGGAAGAGAAGCTTGGAGGAATTTGGGCAAATGTGAACAGCAGCTCTGGACTGCAGATCAGCTCCATTTTGTACCGCTGGCACCCGCTCGTCCGCTGGTCCAAGGGCTACCCCAAGCGAGATGAGATTCTAGCCAACGTCAAGCGCGTCTGGACTCGTTACGGCCTGGACAAGAAGACAAGGTTCAATGTGAGTGGTAGCAGCCACGCAAAGCGCTCGGAGAGTTCACATTGGTGGAACGCTAACAGGCTGCCACGGCGGACCCGTCTCTTGCTACGTTGCGCAGACACCCGTCCAATCTGTCACGCGCCACAAGAGCAGCACAGACCCTGCAGAGAGAGGCAGCGCCAAGTGGATCATCAATGGCGACGAAACGCAGGTTTTCGACGGAATCTCTGTCAACGTGGGAACGTGTGGCAAGCCAAAGCGCATGGAATTGCCGGGTCAGGAGAAATTCAAGGGTCAGATTGTACACTCGAGCGAGCTTGATGATGTCGAGCTGAGCGGTAAAAAGGTGAGAAGAGTGCTTCGTTTGCTGCTACCAAATGTAGGGTGATTGACGCGTGCGGCTTGGTCATGGCAGGTTCTCGTCGTAGGCGGTGGGGCATCTGGTGTAGAAGCGCTGGAGCTGGCAGTTGAGAAGCAATCGGAGACTGCCATCATTCTCGCCCGCTCCGACAAGTGGATCATTCCTAGGTGTGAGTGGCTTGCTGATCGATCAAGTATTTAGATCACAGAAGACTCACAGTGACCTCGCTTGATTAGTCACCGTCGTGGACATCCTTCTGGCTCTTCAACCATTCGGCCGCGAAACCGTCACCAGCAAGATTCCCGAGTTCTTGCTCAAGAAGTTGCATTATCGTGACCTCGAGGAAAAGATGGCACCTACCCAAGGTTTCTACCAAGACACGCCAATCGTCAATGTGGGTTGCTCGAGCAGGGTCTGGCACATGCGCAGAAACGTGACCAGCTGACACCCAGCTTTGACTCTTATAGACGTCTTGCCTCGAGCACATCCGGGAGGGGAGAGCTGATTATCAGCGCGGCGACGTGCTCGAGCTCACCCCAGACGGCATCGAGTTCAACAAGCGCAAGCGCGGACAAAAGAAGGAGACCACTGGCGAAAAGGTCCACTATGACGCTGATGTCATTGTCGTTGCGACTGGTTTCGAGAAGCCAAAGATCGACTTCCTGCCTGACGACTTGTTCCCTGGCGAATACATGTGAGCTAGGCGCGGCGCTCTCGCCCCTGCTTCGCTTTCTCAACTGACACAGGTCTTCGGATCCCAGTCGCCCAAACATGTACTTGCAGGTCTTTCCAGTCGAAGATTCCACAGTATCGTGCACGAATTCCACCTTCCAAGCTGCAGTCGGTGAGTGACCTTGGTCTGGAAACGCACCGCGTAGCTGCGCGCTCACTAACCGCGCTCACTTCGCACTCAGGTACCGTTGGACACGTGCACATTGGCATCTATGCGCGTATCCTCGCATTGTTCGTCCTTGAGCCGGAGACGAGGCCAGTACCGAAGGACATGCGCCTTTGGGTGGATCTGATTCGTTGGGTGTGAGTGCATGAACCTCCCCTCTCAAGATGTCGACTGCAGCTGCTCATCAAGATTACTGTGCCTAATGCAGCAAGGAGAATGCGCCTGGCGGCGAGCTAAGCTTCTTTACGTACATGGAACTCTGTGTAAGTGGAGCGTGACGCATCGACGAGGCTTTGGCATATAGCTTGTTTCTAAGCGTTCATCTGTTCCATTTGCTTTCAGATTTGGCTTGTTACTTTCCTGTTTTTCCGTTGGACGCGGATCCAATTCTTCTGTGAGTCGAACTTGGCGGAGAGACCTGCAGCAGCTTCACAAACTTCGCTGACACCGGCGACACGCGTCTGCAGTCTTTGTGCTTTTTGGCCTCGGCTTCTGGTCGCGTGACCAAGCTCCCGATGGCAAGCCGGCAGGCAAACCTCGTTTCCATTTGAGCATCACCAAGCGTAAGTTGTTGATTGTAGACGCGGGTGGCTAGAACGCACCGACCTGCTGACCTGCTGTCTCTGCAGTCATCCCACATTACAGACGCAAAGTCATCTCCTCGCGCGAGACTAAAGCGAGCGCCAACAAGAAAAAGTCAAGAGGAGAGGCCGTCAAGCACTAGTACGATAGTTTGAGTGCTTCATCGTGGAGCTTTTCAGCGCTCTTTGCCGGCTCAAATGAGCTCTAAGAAATAGGTCACTCCAATAAAAGGAGGGGTGCAAATCCAAGTATTTGTATTAGGGATCAGCGAGGCTTAGCTGTGCTAGGTCAAATCAATGGTCGAGCGAGCACGCGTGGAGTGGCACCGTTGCAGAGGTTTGGGCTAAGGAGCTGTTGCTCAAAGGAAGAAGTATGCAGTGCCGAGCAACGAGATTGCAAGGGCCACTGCTGGTGTGCTCTTGACAGAGGCTGCGCTGTTGCCCTTCTTGTCAGAGGAAGAAGAGCTGCTGCTGCTGCTGCTGCTGCTGCTGCTGCCACCACTGGAGGCTCCACTGCTGCTCACGTTGCCATTGCTGTCGCTTGTGCTACTGCTGCCGCCAGAGTTGTTGATGATGGCATCATTACCATCCACGCTCTGGTAGCACTTTTGATTCACGATGCTGTAGCCAGAGGGGCAGCACACCGTGTCGTTGTTGACGGTGCTGCAAGTAGCATTGTTTGGCTTTGAAATGTTCGTACCAGATGCGATGGGCGCTGTGGTGGATCGCGTCGTGAGCGCCGCCTCTTGACTGGATGCCGACGCTTGAGCTCCCGCTGCGATGGAGGATGCGGACGCCTGCGCTGCCGATGCGATGGAACCTGCATCTGGAATAGAAATGCCGTTCTGGAAAATGTCACTGTTGACGAATCCGGTCATGCCGCCGTCTGCAAGGAGAGCGTACGAATGTCACTAGTCGGTCAATGGAGTGCGCACGAAGGACAAGATTGCAAGGGCTTGACTTCTCACCTTGCCTTTTGAAGAGAAGCTTGGCGGGAGCTGGAGTGGCAGCAGGTGCCGGCGCAGCTGCTGCGCTGCCAATCAGAGCCAAGGCGCACATGGTAGATGCGGATGCTGTGGTGAACTTCATGGTGATGGGCTTTGATTTGTCGAGATATCACGTGCCTTGAGCAAGGGCCTGTCGACTGCTGGCGAAAGCTAATGTCGTGGGAATGGTCTGATAGAGGGTTGTGCGGTTGGACAAGTTGGGAAGCTGGATATGCTCTCCCTTTATATGGACCACTCGACGTCATGCGAGGTCCGTATGGAGCCACGCGAACGGCCTGCTTCACCTACTGAGCATCCTCCGCATTCTTGTGAAGTTTGCAAAAGCATGCTGGGCGACTCAAGGTGTCTTCAGAGCGCTGTGTAGCCTTGCTTTCTATGGTCAAGAGCGACCACATGGTCTTGCTGCAAGGCTATGTGGAGCTGCGAGCACCGCATTTTGATGAGGTGTCTTGCACATGCGCAGTACTCGCGCGGCGTGCCGCTGTGCTGGTGGCCCTGCAGCGTACGTAGCTGCATGCCGCCCCGAGACACGAAAACCAATCGTGAATGGCGTTGCGGCTGAGTCCTTAGCGTCGAACGCCAAACGGCGAAACCTGCCGCTCCTTCTCGCCAACTCTGAGCCAGTGCCCTCAATGATCCACAACTCATCAAATCTGCTTTTCTGTCCTGTGACGCCTGCATGACGTGAGTGCGGGCATCGGAAGATTGTTTTCGTGCCGCGTCCGACCCGGCGGACTCAACAAAGCGCATCTTCTGGTGCAACTTCTTTTGCGAGATGCTCGCGCTTGACTCGAAGCAACAGATTTCGGTCGCGCATCACCTGCCTCCGAATCATGATTCTTGGGTCCCTATGAGACGCAAACGCGAACGACCCCACAGAGGGTGGCGTCGATCCATGCTGCCTTCGAAACTGAGCATGCAGCTCCCTTGAGCACCACGCGGTCCTTGCATTTGCAAAGACAATACCTGTACAACCGCATTCACAGTCGGGATTCTTCTTGTCAACATAGATGCTGAGGTGGTCCACCGTCTCTGCGCCCAGCGCCATAGCCGAGGCCTGCACAGTGACGGCGAGTCCGGCTATGCCGGCTCGACACGCTGATGGGCATCTCAGCGGGATCGGGGGAGTGGTCATCTCAAGAGACACTCTCTGGCATGCGTGCTCATGAGACACTCTCCTTCCTAAAGAAGGGTCGCAAGCAGTCAAATCATGATAGCATTGCTGCTGTGTGGCCGAGCCCATCCTCGACAAGCGTAGGTTGGGCCGGTACTTCAAGGAAGTAGAAAAAGTCGAATGCAATGAGGATGCATATGTGGAAGTGGCCCCCGTCTAGCCGCTCTGCGCATGGCCCGCGGTCCCCAACACCCACGGCAGGAAATTCTGCGAGCAAAGCGGGCACCAGACCCTAACCAAGCACCATGAAAGGGTGGTGACGTTTGTCAGCCACCTCTCACATGTCCGTGTTGCACGGCTCCCGAAGGCGGCAAGGCTGCTCAAGCACGATTCCTATCCGAGCCGTGGAAGCACCGCTGAGCTTGCCCGTGAGCGTCCCGCCTCGTGCAGAACTAATTACACGTATGCGCCGTGTCCTCTGCGCCGCTGCTGTTGTTCCCCTCGGCTCACTGTCTCTCTTGACGTTCCCTTGCCATCGAGCACTGCCATCACTTACCCTTGATCGCACGTTCCCGAACTCAGCTCGAACATAGCTTGATGCCGCACCGGAACTCTTTTTTGATGGGTGCTTTGTTTTAGAGACCGCTTGGCGAAACCAAACGGCTCGAGGCTCTACTGTTCTTCCGTCCTCCGACGTGCGAAGTGTCGGACTGAGCAGCTGCACGGTTCTTCGGGAATAGAAAGAGCTCCCACAGAAACGATACTGACCAAGGCGACGACCGTTGGAAGCTTCTGCTCCAAAGCCCGATCGTGCGCCTTCCAACGAGCCGAGTGGAGCAGGTGCTGATGAAGGTGTTCCAATGCAAAGCATCGCTCTTCCGAGCAAGGATCTTAAGATAGGCTTACGATTTAAGGTTTGGGCGCAAGTCGCACGGTGAGCAGCTGAGCGGGCAGCACTCGCAAGTTGCGCCGGTCGGCGGGTCTCTCCTCGAGGAAAAGCGGTTCAGCTTCGACTGGCAGGCATGACAAAGCCAAAACTTGCCTAGAAGATTAACCGAGCAAGGCTGTCGTCCTCACATGGGAAGCCCCGCGAAGAGGTAACTTTGCAAGAAGACGGGACCAAGGCAGCGACGATCCTGGTGCGCCAAGCATGCAGAGGATGCTAGGTACTCGCTGCATCCTCGTCATCTGCCATGTCAGGCTTCCTATGCTCCTCCAGCCATGTTGCAGTGCGCTCAGCATCACGCCGGACGCTCCACGACCGCACTCTCCCTCCAACGAGAGATCCTTGGCGGCAAAGCCTCCTCTTGAAACGCAGACATTCCAAGCGAAAGCGTTCCAATCGGAGGCAGTCGTCCTCCAATGTGCCATCAGACATGACCTCAAAGGCCGAGCCCGAAAGCGATACCGACTAACAATAACTTAGGGTTAGGATCGTCCAATACTCTCGTCGGTGCAACACGCTGGATCACAGCATTCACGGGGGCTCTCGAAGAGAACCCATACGCGCAAACGCCATCGCACCAGGTGCAGCACCATCTGTGCGAGAGCGGATCGATGAAACATGGCGCCAGGACACATTCGACCATGAAAGAGCGGAGAGCGAGAGCAGCGAGCGCGAGAAGCTTTGGCAGTGCAAGGATGGCCGCGATGTCCAAGTGGGCCCCTTCCAGGGTGCGTCGAGAGGTGCCGCGAGAGTCGCAACAAGAGCATGAGACAGCAGCAGCAGAACAGGATCATCCTCGGTGCACAGAGTGACAGCGTCTCAAGAGCAGGAGACGTCGCCGAAGATCGAGAGGGATGGTGGAAGAATAGAGGTGGATGGACTCCGTCTCAGAACGGAATTTGAATGCTCAAGGCGCCGCGCGTGGTGGCACTGCGCGACTAGCCAAGTCTGACCCGCGACGCGGCGCGTCGCGCACTCAGTCACGTGTCGTGCCTTTGCACGGACGTTGCCGATTTGGCCGAATCCAACGTCCATCCAACGGGCGAGACAAGTCATTCTAAATTGCCCTGCCTTCGCGCCCTCGCATCTTCGTTCCTGAGTCCATCCAACGGATCATGGAATCGCCCGCGACCGTGACACATCTGTTCAAAGAGGCAAGAAGGAGATTCCCAGACGTGCATCTCCCAGGCTCGAACAAGGCGAGGACAGAGCAGATGACGAGCGCCGAGGAGGAAGAAGCACCTTGATCCAAATGGAGTAAGCAACATCCACGTCAACTCGAGTCTAGAACTGCGCCACTTATCGCGACCAGCTTCGAGAGCTTCACCGACCACGCTGACGATGTGCTGGATGTGAGCGCAGCACCCTTCCGGGCAAGTCTTGCGCGAAGTGACACAGTGGCGGAGTCGCCGGAGCTGCCGGCACAATGTCGATGTTGAGTCTGTGGGCTAGGGAGCTGAGCTCTGGGCCTCACAGTTGCTGCCGCACTTCCGCCAAGCCGAGCTATTGAGAAACGTTGGCCGTAAAGAAGCCGGCTTGGCTGAGAATTCTGGGTCCTGCTTGGGTCTCATAAGATGCCGCCTGCCATCGTGTGGCGACTTTTCTACCCCCACCAAACTCCCCTCCATTACCTTTCCCCTTCTCCCACGGTCGATTCTTTCTTCTCGCACAGGCTCTGGTAGCCTCTATTACGTCTCACTGCTACCTCAGCTGTTTGCACGCTCTTCTTTCTCTCCCAGCGCCGCTGTGCGGTCGTCTCTCTTCCCTCCACAACCGTTGCCCGAAGATGTCCAAAGGCGTCGCATCTCGTCGCTCTGGCGAGCACCGCAGAACAGCTCTCACCTCCGGCCATGTCTTGACGGCGTTGCTGATGGTGGGCGCTACTCTTCCGGCGTCTGATGCTCGTCCATTGACCACCAAAAGTCTGACACCTCAAGAGATCTATAGCCAAGCGATTCCTCAGCCCGGAGCGTGGTACTTGTCTCAGAGCTCACTTCAAGCAGCATCATCCTCCTCAGCAGCCGCTCTGGCTGCAGCCACAAATGCTCCTGCAGTCTCTGTTACTCCTGTCGACGCAGCTGTAGCAGCGCCCACGACAGCGAGCGCGCTTTTGCCAGGGCAAATTTACTCGGCTGCGATTCCCGGCCCCGGCGCCTGGTACCTCTCTCAACTCGCGTCCATGTCCTCTGCTTCACTCGCTGCCGCATCCGCACCTGCGCCGGCTGCGGCTGCCGTCAGCACCGCCGCCCCTATTGCAGCGCCCCTGCCAATCGACTCCGCCGTTTCGAGCGTGCAAGTCCCCTCTGAACAAGCACAATGGCAAGCAGCTGCCGGGATTGAGGTCCAACGCAAGATGTTTGCCAGCATCCTTGGTGTGGGCGCACAACAGCGAAGAGATCTTGATCCCGTCGCCGTGGCAACCGAACAGTCCGGCGCGGAGCCAAGTACTGCCGTCGATGAAGGTGTCCCAGCCACCGACAGTTCCTCTGGAACTTCCAGCGTCGCGTCAACCACGAGCAGCGCTTCGACTGTCCCTGATGCAGCTCTCGCTACTCCAGAGGAGGACACGTCGGACCAAGCCGACCCTCCCACGGCGTCTGCCTCTCCAAGCGATGCAAGCGAGAGTGCAGCGGTGCCAGCAGCGACAGATTCGGCGAATGCTAGCATTGCAGAGCCCGAGGCTCCAACTCAAGATGCCGAGGACGCAAGTGTGGTCTCCGACATAGATAGCATGTCTGCTGTGTCCGTCGCTGCGAGCAGCACGTCCGACGCGCCGGCATCAAGCGTTGCAGCTCCAACATCGGCTGCTCTGGCTGCGAGCCAGGATAGCGTACCCACCTTGTTGCCTGCGGTCTCAAACGCTGCATCCACTCCACTAGACGCTGTCGCGACCTCTTCCGCTCCTGCTTCTGCCTCTGCAGCAGTCAGTAAGACCGTCTCAGCCGCAGCAGGTGCAACCTTGTCAGCTTCAGCAGCCTCTTTGCTTGCTTCCTCTTCGGAGCTGCCTTCAAGCTCGTCCCCCGTCAGCTCCTCAGTCTTGGCCTCGAGCTCTGCTGCAGCTCCCATCTCTAGCGCAGCACTGCCGAGCAGCAGCAGCAGCGCGATTGTCGAAGCTGTCTCGTCCAGCTCCACTGTCTCAGCAAGCAGCCAGTCAGTTTCTATCGTTACCAGTGCGGCATCCTCCAGTGCCAACAACGCTACTCGCAGTGCCGTCGCACAGGCTGAAGAGACAGTGACTGTGACGGTCACCGTTGACGAATCCGCAGCCTCAAGCCCTACTGCGACGCAATCGCGCGTGCAAATTCCTGATGACGATGACAACGCAACGATCAGCGGCTCTTACAGCTTTACCGTCACGGTCACCAGCACCGCGAACGCAAAGGTTTCACCAATTTCGTTCATTCCAACCTCAACCGCTGCCACATCAACAGCTACTATCACTCAGAACCCCCAGCGCTCGGCCGAGCCTTTCAACACCGTCGACATGGTCTTGTCCACTGTATCTGCGCCTAGCAGCAGCTCGCAGCCCACGAACAGCGGCAAAGCGCTCGCAGCCAGCGAGACAGACGTGCCAGGTGCTGAGTGGAAGACCATCGTCGTCTTGATGCCTGGAGAAGAAGACACTGCCGCATCTGCTGCATCTCCCAGCGCCACGGATCGGGCATCAGCTCTCCAGATGTCCGGTGAGCGACGCTCGAGCGCCGAGTCTGGCGCTGAGATGACGGCTCGCATCGCGGCGCAGGCTTACACTCAGCTGAAAGCCGCCGCTTCATCCGCGAGTGCAGCAGCTTTTGGCGACAACGACTTTCCAACTGTAGCCGCCGTCTCTTCGTCGGCGAAGCCGAGTCAGACTAGCGATATCAGCACTGGAGTGCGTAAGCTAGCTGCGGCAACCGACGATCTCGGAGCTGGCCATCCTCCCCTCATTTCTGCCAGCTCTACCTCCGCCAAGGCTACTTCCACGGCTGCCAACAAGACTTCCACCAGTGCTTCTTCCGGACCTACTCCTGCGCCGACTAACGACGCTTCAAAGGATGACGAGGATTGCGATGAGGACGATGAGGATGACGACGACGATGAGAGCGTCACTTCGTCCATCAAGACATCTCTGCAAGCCGCGCCCACCACATCTGTGCCCGTAAAGAGCACCGCTGCCACGTTCGTTCCCAGCGCCAAGCCGACCAGTACAGCCTCTGCGCCCACGTCCACCAAGGCCTCGGCCTCGACTACAGGAGGCAACAAGAGCTCCACAGCTGCTTCGCCCACATCTACCAGCACCGCTCCAAACACCACGCCAGCTACTCCCAGCACCTGGGGAGCTTGGGTTGACAATCTCTTGACCAAGATGGGTCTCAGCAACCTGTTTGGTGGAACTTTCACCTTTACACCTACCGCTTCTCGCCGTGACGTCGCAGCGGCGGAGGAGGATCACATCCTGCCGCCTCTCCTGCGCACCAAAGCAGCTCGCAGCGTGCGTGGCTGGTCGCGCGACGTCTGAATAGGCATAGGTGTCCTCTTTGCACTAGCGCCGCCATGTAGTCACTCCGAGCAAAGCGTTCACAATGGAATATATTCAGGTGTACCACATTTGGTACTTACGTTTGGCCTCTTCATCTCCGACGAAAGTCCATTGCGCGTGATGAATCTCTCCCTCGCTTTCGTGCGGCTTTTCCAAGTTCTTGAAATATGAGTTGAAAGCGATGGCTGGGATGCGCTCCCTCTTCTCATCCGGCATCGCATGTGCTCTCACGAGATTATTGTGTTCCAGATGGTGCCTGGGCAGATCGAAGAGGATCATGCGCACGCGTGCTGATGCATAGAGCGACATCTTCTTGTACTCTTCTCGCGTAGCCCTCTTGGGATTCGTATTGTCAATGACGACGCTTTGTCCTTTTTGTAGTGCAGATTCTGCAGCCTTGATGCACTTGTCTCTCGTCTTGAGAGTATCTTGGTTGACGTGCACGTATCCACGAGGCGCAAAATGACGACGATAGTACGAAGTCTTCCCGGAAGCCGGTGGCCCGACGAAAAAGACTAGCTCGAGCTTGCCGTCATCGTGAAAGGGAGGTGCATCGTCCGAAACTTCGGCCAGATGCTCCTGAGACGGTCTCCATCCACTCAATTCGTACGACTCGGGCTGTATGAAACACAGCGAGGTGCATGCGGGTCAGAAGTTGACTCCCCGTCGCAAGACTTGTAATCGCGTACCTGACTGGCCAAGAACCACTCCTCTGGCGTATAAAACGGCAGCCCTGCATTCAGCGCCCACTTCCGGTCCGTATCGTTGTGGTCGGCCTCACGACCCTTTCCTTTTGATCTCCCTGCTGCATCTCCAACATAGAAAGAGCTCCTTGTAGATCCAGCTTCAATGCAGATCCAATCCCTCATTCCACCACTCGCTTCCAACTCCGCTAGAGTCGCTTCCCACATTCCAAGGGCAGGCTTGCGGTAGTAGTCATCGGCTAGAGCCGCGAAGACGAGCATTGGCGCTCCGATTGCTTCCGCTATGTGACCCAACTTCTTTTGCCACGTTACCACCTTCTTGGGAGGAGCTGCAGGGTCAAATTTCCCGCCTGTCTGTTTCTGATTAGAGATGACCACAATGACCGCTCTGGGCCCCGTAGAAGCCTTTGTGCCTAAGCTTTTGCGGGGGATTGTTACTCAATGGAGCTGCCTCGGGACTCACCCGGCGTCGTGCTCGGCCTTTACTTTCTTGCAGACGCTTGGGAAGACAAACTTGTAGTCGAATTCATCCGTCGCCGACGGCCAGGTCTACCAAAGGGAAGCGAGAAGGAGCGTTCCTCAGATCTGCCCAGGTCTGCCAAATGATGGGATTAGAGGCACTCACACCTTGCTTTGGTGTGACGAGGGTGCCATCCAGGTCGAAAGCTGCGATCTTAAGCGAGCCTCTACGTTCAGTGTCGCTCTGAAGTGCTCGAGCACGAGCAATGGCAGCTGAGAAGGGATCTCCGTAAGCTCCAACGAGACAAGAAGGCCGATTCAAGTGCTTCAAAGGCGAGCGCCAGGCCAGCCTCATCGTCCCTCCTGATCTGTTGGATGCCCGTGACTGCGGGAGATTCTGGGTTTTGCGCGCGAAGATGGGTGCCACTGAGACGCGCACGGAGACATGAACGTCAATCTGCGATGAATATTCGAAGCTATCACTCGCAATCGAGTGTAGCTCACATGTTTCAGGCTGCTTCTTCGCACTGCTGCTCGTCTTGGCCCCGCCAATGTCGCTTTGAGACACCCCAGCGGAAGAGGGGTTTGGGTTAGGCTTAGCACGCTTGAACGACGTGAGCACGATTCGCTGGTCGTTGTCACTGCTGCTTGAGTCGTCTTGTTTTCGTCGTGATGTAGCCGAGCTGGTCGAGTGGGCTTCGTTGTCGCGCGGCATCCCCACCTGCGTTGTGAGATCTGAAGGCTGGCTGCCCCTGCTCCTTTGAGCTCCGTTCGAACGCGGACCGAGACCGCTTGCCCACGAGGCGCGCTCCCGCGCGCTATCGGAGGTAAATGGACACGGCTCGCAGGCTAGAAGCACTTTCGGTGCGGTGCAGTCTCGCTATAGAGCTTCGCTGTGTGCAAGTAGCAGTCTCTCTGGCGAATCGCATGCGTGGTGCTGAACGGTCATGGTGGGATGCTGGTGAGCCGGTGCCAACAGCCCTCCCTCCACACGCGCGCCCCGCATTAGAAAGGCCAGTCGCAATCACGAATTAAGCATCAATGCATCACAATCAAGCGCGCGCTTCTTTGCGCGTTGGCGGCTCGCGCTCTGATTTTACATCTGGTTCTCGCGACCACCGAGCTCGAAGCCTCGCATATTCTTCCCAAACACAAGTCCATGAGTGCAGAATCGACGTCCAAATATGCGCACCTAAGAATTATCGACTAGGGACAACACTCAGTCTCACGATCGCGTGGTCGTCGCATCTTGCCAGCTATTCGGGAGCCGCACTGGGCGCGCTGCCCGTCGAATACCCAACCTCACTGCACATCCACTGAACGCAGCGTCTACCATGTCCGCACCACCTGGCCCTCCTCCAGGCCCGCCCCCTGGCCCGCCTCCTGGTGCGCCGCCCGTGCAACCTCCAATCGCGGACACAAGCACACGTACTTCTGGAGACCCCGGCTCATCCGCTGGTCCTTCGAAGGCCAAGTCGACGACAACCACCGCCACAACGGCGCCATCACCTTCGCCTGTAGCCGGCCCTTCTACGCTGCAGAACGATGTTCCGGCAGCTGATCCGCCTGCGCTGCCGCAAAGATCCATCCAGCAAGAGTCTACGTCCTTCTTTCAGGAATTAGAGATGGATCGGATATTGACTTCTTTCAAGCTCAACCCTTACGACGTGCTGGAGGCGCCTTTCGAAGCTGATCTGAAGGAGATCACAAAGATTTACAGGAAGAAAAGCTTGCTGATACATCCTGACAAGGTCAAAGATCGTGAGCACCCAAGACTCGATAGCAAGTCGGCCATGCGCAGGCAAGATGCATCGACTGAGCAATCTGCCCTTCTCGCCCCTCTGTCTCGCAACAGCTCGCGCTGTTACTGCTTTCGACATGCTAAAGAAAGCAGCAACGGTGCTACAGGACGAGGAGCAGCGATCAAAGTTGGACGAGGTGGTCATCGATGCCAAAGTCATGGTCCTTCAGGACTTGAAGTTTCCACGAGATCTCTCCGCGGACGATGCTCGATTAGCCGACTTGGTCCCTTCGTTTGAAGAAAGGGTGCGCAAGCAGACCAAGGAATTGATGATAGATGATGAGCTCAGAAAGAGAAAGTGAGTAGCTCGTCCTGTTACAGGAGTGCTGTCAGTGCAACCCGTGGGACTGATTGTGATTGGGCTGTGCTCTTGATCAGGGCAATCAAACTTCAGCATGAGACCGAAGGGGAAGAGCAGCGCAAGAAGGAAGCTGCTGCTGCGGAACGGAAGCGCAAAGCAGATGAAAAGGATCAGTGGGAGAATGGTAGAGAGCATCGGGTGCAAGGTGAGTCGATCGTCTGTGCTTGTGTGCACCAAGGCAAGCTGATCTCATAAGCTCGTTACCGTTCACCACTACGGTGCACCAGGATGGCGATCATTCCAAAAAGGTACAAAGAAGAAACGCAAGGACGAAAATGTGCTTGGTTGAGCCCTGAACCTGCCGGTGTCTTCGTCCTCTCTCTATCGTACGACTCGCCGTCAGCAAAGCAAGGGGCGCGATCAAGGACGTGTCAGTCTCGAAGAGTATGATTAGAAGAATGCACGATGCAGAACTTAGAGGAATGGCATCTTGGCTCGTGCTGGTAGAGGATGTGTCGCTGATCATTGAAAGCACTCGCGAGCATGATAGCACTCAAACTTGCATCCAACGCTTTGTTGCAATCACGTGGGCTGTTAATTGTAAAGCTGTGACGAGTGTGCTAAATTCGTCGGATACGTAGGCTGCCAAGGAGGAAGTAGCTGGCAAAATCAACGAGCGCTAGCGCTGGGCTTTGCGAGCGCCCTTTGCATAGAAGTTTGCCTCTTCTTTCGTCCGTTCTAGCCCGAGACTGTGAACCCTAGCAGCAGCTTTCCGACATTCGTTGCCCAAGCCTGTGAAGTTCCGCAATGAGCGCACAAAAGCACACGAGAGGATGCGCCTTTTGTCGAAAGCTTGGCGCGGGCAGCTGATTGCCAAGCTGCTGTGGTAGCTGTGCTGGCCGCGCAGCAGGTGGCGCCTTGTTGAGGGTGGGCTTGGCACATGTATAGCTTGGCACGCCGTCCTCTCTCGGTGGCTTGCTGTCAACATTCAGCAATTCGCACAACTGGGTTGTCCCTTCTTCATCACGCGCGCCCTGCCCCGCATTCGGGGCCAGATGGTCATGCCCCTGCCAGGCAAGCTTGCTCATTCGCGGTGCTCGCCGCTTACCACGAAGCACACAGGTGCGCGAAGAAGGGCATTTCCTTGGCTCCGAGCTTTAGGGTCTCGTCCCTGACACGCTGCTTGTGCTTGGTCAGAGCCACAGCTGGTAGGAGGCCTTGGCGAAGTACACTTCGCGTAGTCCGCGCTGGGCTTCCCCACTAAAGTCACTTCATCAGGCTCTGTTTGGGAAAGTCATGGCCTGATGTGCTTGGGATCAGACAAAGGAGGCTCCTTTGAGTGACGGCACGCCTCGGCCCGTAGACATTGCTCACACGTGAGTCGTAAGTGCGTGCTTGCAAGTCGTTCGGTGAAGGGCATACAGCGGGCTTGTGATCGAAAGCCCCGCTCACTGTATGTGCCGCTACACGCTTCAAAGAGGCGCGCACTTTCCACACCAGGCAGCGTCCATTCAGCCTTCGATCTATCGGTAGGTACAGCCGAGTCAAAGTCTGGAGAGTAGTCCTGCGCGGACCGACGTCTTGGCACTCGCAACTCACGAGTCCGCTTGTGACTACACGCGCCAACGTCCTGAATCGCAGCAGCGACAGCATCGTCCGGCATGCACCGTGCGGTGCAGCAAGAGAGCTGTGTACAGTACAGTAGATAGTCGACAACGTTGGCGGGGAGCGGAAGCTGAGGTCAGCAAGCAGAACGTCGGCTACGAGGTCTGTTTGAGCTGCGCGAATGCCAAGAGCATCGCGATCCGCGCATGATGAGTCGATGACTCTTCGTCTCAACACCGGCGATCCCTTTGGACGTGGCTGAGTTCGGATCTCAATCAAATTCACGCTTTCGATCAACAATCACGAATCGTGAAAGGATGCACGACTTGCGCGACTGGGTTCTCCATCAAGACATCAATCTCGAGGGCCTCCTGCTGCCTCTCTGATGCGGATAGCGTGGAAGTGTCTCGCCTGTGCCTGTGTGTGATGGAGACCAGATATATGATGTGGAAGCACGGCAATTGACCAGCACTTGTGCGCCTCTCGACCGATCGATGCGATTACTATTCGCTGCTGCATGGTGCGGTGGATGCGGTCGGGCCAAACCGATCGATCTACCGCATTCAGAGAGGCGAACTGCCACGTCTTGCGTGCCTGGAATCAAGTTGTTGGCACCGTGGCGGATTGTAAGAGCTCGCCTGACTGAAGCGCAATTTGATGTTGGACTACGATCATTCGATCGAAACTCATCAAGTCCGCGATGCAACTCACAACTCCACAAATGCTTGCACAACAGTAATTCCGAGACCCTGGACAGCCATGCAAGTCACAACAAGCGCTGCATGTGTGCACGGCTGCGTCTGATTCTCGCGAGCTCCGCGACTTGGTTCACTGCCCACTGCCCTCGTGCACGCTCGCCAGCCCAAACCTTGCGATCACTATATATAAAGTCCGCTCGCCGAGAATGGCAAGGTAGAAGAGAAAATGAACTTCCACGACAAACGCGCCGTCAACGCACAACGGTGCGGAGTCCCGCGCTTCCGCGCTGATTACTCAGTGACTACCGTCTCTTGTGTGTGTGCTACGTACGACTTCTGGCTAATCCGCTTCGTCGATGGAGAGACGCGAGTCTTTCGGATCAACGGAACCTCGTGAGCGCTTTGGTCACGACAGAGCCCCGTCATTGGAGATCCGTGCGGGAACAGGGGATACGAGGTTTGCGGTTGAAGAAAAAAGAGTCATCAGAGCGCAAGCCTCACTTTTCATGGCCGCGGACGCATAAGCCTAACCCCGGGCCGAGCACGTCGCAATTAAGGCGGTGCAGCGCACTGCTCGCCATCCATGCAGCACTTTGCCGGTCGTGCTGATGCTGCTGCTTCTACGATTTTGCTGCTGATGTGTGATGCACGCGCTTGTTGCGGCCGGGATCAGATCCAATTTCCGACTTCACAATCAAGGCAATTAAACCGTGAATGTCGGCCGCGGTGGTACAGTCACGAGATCAGTCAGAAGAGAGTGAGTACGGTGCGCAATTGAGGTCCAGCAGCTACAGTGGGAGACTAGAAGCGTTCAGCTCGTGATCGCGTGCCGAACCTCGCCTAGCTGATGTGATGCATGCTGCTCTGGAGGCTGCTGCCACGTATAATCAGCGGCTGCATGCGTGTGCGGCGCGTACGACACAAATCAGGATGGAGCAGGGAGCAGCAGCCTCCAGAGCAGCATGCATCACATCAGCGGCGGACGCGCGAGAGCGCACATACAGCACGAACCAGCAGGCGGGGGCGTCGCTCGATCCCACGTACGTACACAGCAGGAGCAGCAGCAGCAGCAGCAGCAGCAGCAGCAGAAGTAGGTGAGACTGTGGCGCAGGTGCCCTGACAGAATCAAGAAATCGGCATCTCCATATCATGCAGCAGCCACGTATATAGGCGCCTGCTCCGCTCGTCTCTTCCCGCATCACGGCTCGACGGAATCGCCGCGCAGATTCTTTGCCGTTGGCCAGACTTTTTTGTGTCTAAGAATCTTGAATGCGTTTTAGGGGCAGCCGAGGTCATCAGCGAGGGGTATGACCCCTGCGCCTGGTGGCTATAGTCGATGGATGGTGCGGTCGACGTAACAGTCATGGAGTGAGAAGCGCAAATGTTGAATCAGGAATCGATAATCGTGAATATGAACGGTGAATCACGACGTCGTTCGTTATTCTCTGCTGCTGCTGCGCGCGCTCCCAACGGCTCCGTCCAACCGGCAGGACATCCCGTCTCTGACGCTGCAGCACAGGTGCATGAATCCATGCACGCGGAAACAAGCGGTCATTCAGCCAAGCACCCTGATGCGTGCCTGCTGACTTTCCTCCGATGCACGTTGCCGGCCAAAAGTGATCGACGCGCATGAACTGACGACTCTCCTGTTGTGTGTACGGATACCCGGCAGCTGAACGGACTGGTCCGTTCAGAAGCTGATGAGGACACTTCGTGATTATAACCGATGCTTGGCCCGGCCGTGCGACCTGACTGCTTCTATAACTGTCGCTACACTGTAAGAAGGCGCTGACTGTGCGTGCAGTACCGTTACGCAACGGTGATGAAATAGAGCAGATGGGCAGTGTAGCTAGACAGGCACACCTGCTGCGCGTTGAGCTGACTCCAGAGGACCCTCCCCACACTGCACGCGCGGAGGGTTCACAGGAAAGGCAGGAGCAAGACAATACTGTAGTCACGAGAACATCGTACAATTTAATGGGGACCGTCTGCAGGCAAGCAAGCGCGTGAAGCAAAGCCTGGAAATTACGAATTGCGAATTGCATATACAGTACATGCGATGCGTGCAGCGCGGTGCAGCGCAGCGCATTGACGGCATGAAAGCGGAGGATTATGATTGAGCCCGGCCGCGCATTCACGATTATACCATACATACCCAGTCACGAGTCTGCCCTGCGTATTCGTGATTGCACATCGCGATCCAGGATCACTTGGCGCGCAAAGTCGTGATCCTAAAGCATCCTCATCCTCCCCTTCATCTCTCGATTCCCTCAATCGTGCTCCATTCGGGTCAACTCGTCCGTCAATACCTCACACCCACCTTGAATTCTTTCCTTCCCGTTCAGCGACGGCACGGCTGTCCTATTTCGTAAGCTCCGCCACCTGTCCCGCGGAAACTTTGCTTCTCCTGCTCGTGCGGACACCCGGATCACTGCCACTTTGGATTTCGAAGGGCGGCATAGTCGACTATCATCACGCCTCGACGAGCGCTCGCTCTTTTTGTTCAGTCGACTCTTTCCCTCGTGATCGGCACAGACATTGCCTCAAGTCCAGGGTCTAGTCAGCGCGAGGACTGGAGTCTAATCTCGAGAGCTGGTGCGTGCTCAACAAAATCTACAGCTCTGCAAATTGTACTTGGCTTCCCGTCACTCGCGCATCCGAGCCGGTCTAGCAACGCAGCCTACACGCATCATGATTGTGAGTAGCTCAGCGACGCGGTACAGATGCGGATCGGATGGGCAGCGTGCAAGGCGTTCGGAAGCGGGAGCAGACAATCGAAATTCTCCGAAGTCATCCATCTATCTTGATTCGCCTCACGCCAGCAAGACGCGCCACCCCGCGCGCTCAATCTTGCGCCTCATCCTTGTTCGCCGAGCGCCCGACGAGAGTCTAACATAGTTCGCGCATCTCCATCCCTCACAGATCTCTCCACTGCGACCAGCAGCCGCGCTGGCCTCAGCTCTGGCACTAGCTTCCACGGCTCTTGCTGCCGACCTCACCATCAGCGCACCCACCAATGCTCAAGATGCTGGCTCATTGTCCGTCATCTTGGCCCCGTCTTACGCAGGAATGGGCATCGAGCCCTCAAATCTTCTTTCATTCACTGGTACGACGAGTCGCAACGAGTTGACCTACCAACTCCTTGCTAATCTCGGGAACTATACGGGCAAGCCTTCGCATATTCGGCTGGGCGGTAATTCGGGCGACAACATGCTCTACAACGCAAATGTCAACAGCTATACCCTGATAGACAATCCAAACAGCTCCGGGCAAGGTGGTGTGGCCACGGATGCGTACTATTATGGTCCCAATTACTACAAAGCGTTGGACATGCTGCCAAAAGGCACACCCATCACCTATGGGCTGAATCTGGCATATACGGGGTCGGACGCTTTCGACCGGATTGTAGAGCAAGCCAAGATCACGTTTTCGAGTCTTCAGAATGTTGAGATCGTGGGACTTGAAATAGGAAATGAGCCAGACCTGTTCTTCGTCAACGGATACCGACCTCAATCTTGGACATCCGCCGATTACGGAGTCGAGTGGTCTCAACGTGCGGCTGCCATCTACAACGAGGTACTCAAGCCTCTCAACTTGCCTTCCAACTTCTTTGAGCCTGCTGCTACCGCCACCACTGCAACGGACCATGGGCACCAATTCCGCATCTCCAACTTGGTTGATACCGAAGTCGCTACCGGCAATGGTATCTACGTCGCCGGGTGGAACCAGCACGACTATTACTATTACGTCAACGTCAGCACCTACACTCTCACAGCGGACTTGCTGCTGGACTTCAGTACCACCAGGTCTCAGCTCAGCGAATGGTCCAGACAAGCTCAACAAGCGGCGGTCACGGGCAAGCCTTACTACCTGCGTGAAATGGGAAGCGTCGGCCCTGGCGGTCTACCTGGCATCAGCGAGACTTTTGCGAACACGCTGTGGACCTTCAACTTCTTCTTGTACGCCGCGACGCAACAAATGTCATCCGTCCAGATGCATTTGACCGACGTATCGCTCGGATCACCTTGGCAACCCATTACTGTCGATGGTGTAGCTCCACACGTGCGCTCATCGTACTACGCGTACGCCGCCATGGCGCAGATCATCGGTGCCAAGTGCAACACGCGCATTGCTAGCATTGATGTGTCTGGACCCTCCAGCTACAACAATCGTCTGACCGCTTATGGATCATACCAGAACAACAGACTGAATGCGATAGTCCTCATCAACTCGCAGACCACCCAGTCCACCAGCAGCAACAAGCCGTCTCTCGCTGTCGACTTCCAAGTTCCCGGCTTCACCGGGACCGCGTACGTATCGACGCTGATCGCATCGGGAACGGACTCCACCAGGGGCACTACGTGGAATGGCATGTCGTACGAGCAGTCTAGCAACGGGGCTGCCACAAGATCCGGACCAGCGGTGCAACAGGTGCAGATCAATAACGGGGTCGTCTCGGTGAACATCAGAGACGGATCAGCAATCGTAGTCGCCTTTGGATCGGCGTTGGGTTCTGACACGACAGTCGATGACAAAGCATGCAACGCTCTCGCTGCAACATCTTCAGAAGGTGGTGCCACATCTACTGATGGCACTACTGGTGCTGCGCCCACCTTCAAGGCCACGAACGGGTTCCGAAGCGATCAAGTACTCACGAAGGAGCAGATCATCGGCGTTGCAGCAGGCGGCGGTGCATTCATCATCATTGCTCTCATCTCGATCATCGCACTTTGCGTCGTCTGCTGCCGCCGGCGGTCAAGGAGAAGACAAGCGCTCGCAGCAGGTGCAGCAGCCAGCTACGAGCCAAAGGGCGCGAATGGCGATGAGGGATACACATACGGTAACTTGGGAGGCTACAAGTCGGGCTATGCGCGTCCATACGACTCGCCCAAGCCTTACCGCGAGTCGGGAGGTTTTGACTCACCGCGCACCTATGCTGGATCCGGATACGACAGCCCACGAAGGAAGGATTACCCCATCGAGATGGAGGCCCCTTCGCCTCGTTTCGCCAATGCGGCACGCCATCAGTCTGATAACGCCAGCGCGGGCAGCAGACGGCCCCTGATCGCCTAATCAAGATCTCCACTCGTTCGCTCCGCTGCTGCCGGGCGCTTACTCGAGCATCAAAGGACGCAGCTTGCACTTCCTCCGACGTCTCCAAGGCCGCTTCAAGCTGCCCCAACGCAAGTCACTCGGTAGCGCAGCTCTCTGTGTCTCTACCTATGCATTCGTTCTTCCGCACTTGTATTCTCGGTCTCTGTTCATACATTCTCATTGGAGCTCAATCACACATTCTGGAGAGCGCGTACCATAATCTTTCTGATGTCGCATCATCAGCGCAACAACATTCTTGCCCCAATTCCCTCTGATATTCCGGTCTCCCCAAGTCATCGCCCCCCTTTCCGCTCTCATTGCTGCCTTCTGCTCCCACCCTCACCCATTCAGCTCGCACTGGAAAGCGAGCAAAGCATTCGAGCGCATTTCTGGCGGATCCGTTCAGCTTCTCCGCTCGTCTCCCATCCTCATGCCCTCACAACGTGCGCTTACAAGGACAATCCATGCATTAGATTCCGTATGATGTCAAACTTGACCGAAACGGCAGGGGATGATAGCGGTGTGAAATCAAGTCACGAGTACGGCAAATAGAGTCTGCGAAGGATTGGGATAATCTAGAGAGTATCTTTGTGCGCTGTAAGCTCTTGTTGAGATCCATGATGGACTGATTAGTAGGCCAAAGCGCCGGTGTAATGATCCGGGTCCAGCAGCTCAAAGCCATTTAGCCTGAGACGATCAGCATCCCTTCCGTTGATGAGGCGCAAAGAGGGGCAAGCGCGGACAAAGTCGGGAAAGGAAGGCGAGGTGTGTTGTTGAGGAAATGGATCGACTTGCAGTACTTGCAGTGCTGGCAAACCTTCGTCGTCGTCTTCGTGTGGATGATCGTGCTTGTGCTTGTGCTTGTGCTTGTGCTTGTGCTCGTGCTCGTGCGCATGCTTGCCATCCTCCGAATCACGAATGGCCTCCTGACGTTTGGTCAAGTCTCTCCACAATCGATCGTAATTGCCGAATGCTCCATTGATGTCGAGCGTTAGCCGCAGATGCTTGAGCGTCTTTCTAGCGCTCCTCAGAGCTTCGGCCAAGGGCGGTTCGGGCGTCACAGCGTAGACGTCCAGCGATTCCAATCCTCGCCATACGCCCAAGTCTATCAGCTCCCTGACGTGCAGAACCGCAGTCTTGCTCGTGCTCATGCTGAGACTCTTGAGAGGCTTGGTCAATGCCAAGAGCATGGCGGGAAGATGCTGAGGCAAGAGGTGCGCTTCGTACGATGTGAGACGCAGATGCTGTATGTTCCTGAACGAAGACATCAAAGCGTGACCAGGCCAAAAGATGGAGCACGACATGCTGAGCGCTGTCAAGCCGTACGTCGGCGACGAGTCGTCCTCCTCCTCCTCCGATCCAACCGTCTTCACCGAGCCATCGGAGATTGTCTCTCCATTTTCAAATGCCGATGTGGATTCGGACTTGACCGAAGTGACCGCGAGGGCGGGATATGCGCCCGGTCGAGCTTCTCTTTCCCACTGTCTAACCTCGTCGCTCATCTCGCTCCTGACTCTGATCTGCCTCAGACCTGTCGGGCCAAAAGTCGTAGTGATACCGGATTTGTTTCCTTCAGAGGTGCTGCGCAACCTCTCGGCGGCGATCTTCTGCGCCTTGACCCGCTTGTCAGCTTTCGCCCTTTGAGAGGTGGGCAGCAGCGCGCGCAGAAGGCTGCCGCTTGGAGGCTCTCCAGCTTCGAAGATGAATTCTCGAAGCAGATCGGAGCGCACTCCTCCGTTCAAGAGTGAGAGCAGACTTTCTTGATCCACGCTCGAGTACCTACTGGGGAGTGAGAGATGCATTCGTCGCACATGCGTCAAGGGCGAGACCAGTCGATCGTGACTCTTGGAGGATTGGGCGTGCGAGTAGTAGCTCAAGAGCGCGTGGAGAGATGGTAATCGCGACGGGTAGCTGATGTCGATCCTTTCCCAAACGAGGGGCGAGATGAGTCTGCGCAGTCCCGTGGAGAGCGCTGACAAGCCTATGAGCGTCCTGAGCACTCTTCGAGCGCTTGGAGCCATTGATTCACCAGCCTGACCTGCTGACACGACAGCTGTACCATCGCTGTTCGTCCATGCGGCTGCTGGCCAAACAGCCAGGTGCCATGATGGCGTTGACGGGGCGCACTCGCTGGACAAGAGCAGAGCGATGTGAAAGATGAGCTCGGGCGGGAGCTTGGCCGGCCCGACGATTGGCGAGCCTGAGCGAGTGGGTCGCTCTTTCGCAGCTGAGCGCTTGAACGATCTGTCTCCGGCGATGCTCCAGCTATTGACCGACTTGCCGGCTCGCTCTATAGCGCACTGATCTGCGCGCCGCTGATCGGTGGCAGTGAAAGCCGAGTCATCGGCAGCGTTTGAGCGCTGGCTGCTGCTGCTGCTGACTTTCTCCGAGTACAGATGGGCAAGCGCCGCCTCGAAGTCGTCCAAAGGAATCAAACCGTTCATGCTCGTCGACTCGAGTGCGTAGAAGAGCCTTGGCCAAGCTCATGACAGCGTTGTGCAAGAAAAGGCGCTTGACGGTGACGAAAGGACTCGAAGATGATTGAGCCGCGGTTGGGAAAAGTGACGGCGAGATACCTCTACATAGGTGGGGCTGCTCTGACCTTCGGCTTGAACATCGTACCGGTGAATACGTCCTGATAATGCTGCGGCCAACAGAGCGCACGGGCACAGCCTCGCGCGTCGCTAGCAACGTCGGCAAGCGATCCTGTCTGCGTTGCCGACGTTCGACGTGAGCAGGGAGCGGCGTCAAAGGACGAGTAGTTGGGTGCCTAATCGATGGCTCGGGCCTCTTCCCTGTGGTGGTCCGTTGCCATGTCAAAGATGACTAGGCAGAGGTGGAGGGGAGGGAGAGTGCGATGCAAGAAGAATCCATCACATCGACCGCGGCATCGGTCCTCCGACTGTGTGACTGCCATCGTGGCGGCGGCGGCATCAGGCGGCAGGCGGCGGCAGGCACAGGAGGATGGGGCCGGCCTGCTGCTGCATGATGTGCGCTTGGACCACGCAAACGTTGTGATAGATGCGGTGACAGTAAACCACAATCACGAGTCGGTGAGTCTCGAGGTAATGAAGCGGTGCTCATCCTGCAGGGCCATGCGCCTCTACGCGCGCCTCGTCGTTACCAAGTGTGTGGTGCTCATTGCTCGACGCCTCATATCCGACCTGACTGTACACCTACCCATGGCTCTCCCTGTGAGCTGCACAACATACAAGTACTGGCCTTGCCAAGAAATCATCGATCATAATTATCGCAGCAGCTCTTTCAGCTTCTAGGCTACTGCGCGATCATTCGCATTCGGCGTCTCGCCAAAGGGAAAGCAGCATCGAATCATTAACAAGCGACTTCATCTCTCTGGTAGCGCCCTCTTCTGTGCGTCTACAACCAGCTCCCTTGTCGCTGAGAGGCATAACTTGCCTTTCTCAAGTCACGTCTACTGCTCGAGCTATCGTACTCTCAATCACTCTCAGCATGTCGGGCGCCAGCCAAGGTCCTCGGCCTTACCCTGAGCTGTCCATCGCTTCCGAGCGCCCTGTCCACGGCATCGACATCCGCTCCGTCCAGGAGAGGAGGCTGGAAGAGTTCCATGGCGGCCAGTAGTGAGTCGCTGCGCGGTTCGTTAAGGCTGCTGTCACGTCTTGGAGAGTAACCGAAACGATTCGCTGACTGGCTCTCGCACCTGCGCGCCGGGTGCAGCTCTCGATGGAATTTGGCTTCGGTGCTCTTTGAGAGCAGCCGCGATGATGAGGGCGTCATCAGGATTTGGCGTTGGGATCCCAAACCTGGCGACAAGCCAAGCTTCGATGAGGCCATCAAGCAGACTTTCAGGCCTTCATCGACCCATGAAAACTTCTCTCCAAGCTGGTCAAACCACTGGCTTCGTCTGGAGATCCAAGTGCCTAAGCAGTGGCAGAAGAAGGAATGGGTCGAGCTGCAACTTGATCCTGGTTGCGAAGCAATGATCTTTTCATCGGATGGCATGTCTCTGCAAGGTATCACGGGCTCTTATGGTGCTGATCGTAGAGTCGACTTTCCTCTCACGCCAGAGATGAGAGAGGGAACACTGGAGCTCTACGTCGAAGTGTCTTGCAATGGAATGTTCGGTGTGCCCAACGGTCAAGAAGGCGACCCGGACCCAAATCGAACGTTCAGCTTCGACTCTTGTGCCATCGTAGTCAAGCGTCCACAAGCTTGGAAGCTGCTTTGGGACTTTGAGATGTTGGAAGGATGCGTCAAGAACATGCCAAGGGACGGGCCTCTGCAGAATAAGGCGCTGTGGGCAGCCAATAAGATCCAGGACACTTTTAGGCGCGACGATCTGAGCACCATTGACGCTTGCAGGAAGATTGCGCAAGAGGTGCTCGGCAAAGACTGGGAAGACCTCGAGGAAGGCTTGTACGATGTCGGCAACAGAAAAGATCGCGAGGACGTCGCACTTTGGGCCATCGGTCACACGCACATCGACACTGCATGGCTCTGGTGAGCAAGAGGACAAAAGCCTTCATGGGGCTTTGTAATCGCCTCTGACCATGATGCTTTCCCTCTCTAGGCCATACTCCGCCACCCAGCAGAAAGTCGCGAGGTCTTGGAGCACCCAAATCGCACTCATGGAGCGCTATCCGGAGTATCGCTTCACTGCTTCCACAGCCCAGCAGTATATCTGGCTAGAGCAGCGTGCGTGGTCGCGGCCAGCCACCAGCGATGTTCGCTTGCAGCTGACATCCTAAATTGCTTCGCCAGTGTACCCAAAGCTCTTCGCGCGCCTCATCAAAGCAGCAAAACGGGGCACGTTCCAGCCAATTGGAGCTACATGGGTGGAGTGTGACGGCAACGTGAGTCGCGGTATCACCGGCTGCTGCACGTATCACTCCGAGTCTCACGAGGAGCCACCTGCTTCAGTTGCCCTCCGGCGAGTCTTTTGCAAGGCAATTTCTGTACGGTCAGCGCTACTTCGAATCTCGCTTCGGCAAGCGATGCAACGTGTTTTGGTTGCCCGATTCCTTCGGATACAATGCGCAGCTGCCGCAGATCGCACGTTCAAGCGGATGCGATTACTTCTTCACTCAAAAGCTGAGCTGGTCAAATGTCAACAGATTCCCCCACAACACAATGATGTGGGTCGGCTTGGATGGCACGCAGATCATCACCCACTTGACGCCCGTCGTGAGTACACCAGTAGCAGCACTCAGGATGCGACTTGGCCCTGACCAGGCTGCGATATGTGGCGCAGAATAACTACGACAGCATGTGCGGCGTCGACGATCTCGTTCGTGGGGTGAAGAACAACCAGAACCTGAATGTGCAGCGTGAGTACACACGCCCTTCGCACGCAACCTCTCCATTGCTGATTGACGTGACCTCGCCGCCATTCCAAGCCACTGCACTTCTGCTCTTTGGTTTCGGTGACGGAGGTGGTGGTCCTACAACCCCTCATCTCGAGCGTCTTCGCCGTGCGCGGGCCACCTGGAACAATGGCCACACCGAAATGCCTAAAGTAGGTGTCGGACGTTCAGTGCAGGACTTCTTTAAGAATGTGCTCGACATAACCGAAGGCGGCGATCGGTTGCCTCGTTGGGTAGGGGATGTGTACCTCGAATTCCATCGAGGTGTACAGACGAGTCACGGCAGCATCAAGAAGCACAATCGGCAGCTCGAGTCTGCCATGCAGCGCTTGGAATGGCTCGCCACACACGCGAGTCTTTTGGGTTTGCAGCACGGCTCCGCAACAGGGAATTACAAATATCCGAAGGATGAGATTGATAGCATCTGGGAGCCTCTGCTGACGAATCAGGTACGTAGTCGAGCGCACGCCGTTCTGCTTCACTTCCGCGTTCCGGCTGAATGGTCCCTTTCCTGTCTGCATCTCAAAGTTCCACGACGTGCTGTGAGTCAAAGCTACTGCACGCTGCAGGCTTTGTGCTGAATGATATGATCATCGCTCCTACCAGGCCGGGAAGCTCTATTCGATTGGTTTATGACGACGCGGAGCGGATTTACGCTGACCTGCACAAGAGGGTAGCAAAGGCCACCGCGGAGGCCGAGAAGGTCCTCAAGGGTCTTGCCGCCTTAGAGGATGGTACCGGCTTCGCAAAGGCGTACAACACTCTTAGCATCCCTCGCAAGCACCTTGTCAGAGCTGACCCGAGCTGGGAATCTGCTGAGCGCGACGGGACTAACAGTGATGGCTCTGAGTATGTGTTCTTGGAGGACAAGCAGGGGAGCAACATCGTGGAGGAGCGGACCGCGGTGGTTGCGGCACGTGAAGCTGTCTACGGTAAGGAACATTGTCCGAAAGTTCGATCGTACGCTGCAGCTTCCTCTGATCAGCCTTGATTCCACACACGTGCAACGCAGTCATCCAAGACAACTCCAACTTCACTTTGCGGAATGCGAACGTTTCCCTGACTGTCGCGAGTGGCTTCATTACTAGCATTCGCACTTTGCAGAAGCGTACTTGGGTCGAGCTCATTCCACCAGGCAGGCGTGCTGGCCTGACAATCGCCGAGGACTACCCGCCACAATTTGACGCTTGGGAGACAGAGGGTGAGCCTGCGGACAGACACACGCGAATTTTAGACTGTCTGACACGCGTGGTCTTGACTTCCCTTGCAGTCTACTCTCTAAATACCGCCGAAGACATCCCCTTCCATGAAGTGCGCATCTCGGAGGTGGGGCCGTTCCGCGCCGCCTTACGCCTTCAGGCGCAGTGGGGCCAGAGCTCAGCTGTGGTCAAGATCTCGCTTGACGCGATAGGCACTTCTATTGCAAGCTGCCAACACAGCACGAGCGGCCTGCACTTCCACGTCGAGATCGACTGGCAGGAGAAACATCGGTTCTTGCGCTTTGAGCTGCCCACCATCCTCAATGCAGACAATGCTTCTTTCGAGACTCCTTTCGGTGTCACGAAGCGACCTACTACTCGCAACACGACGTGGGAGGCGGCCAAGTTCGAAGTTGCAAGCCACAAATTCTTCGATCTTAGCGAGTCTTCATTTGGCGTGTCAATCCTCAACGATTGCAAGTACGGAGCCAGCGTCGAGGGAGGGCGTATGCGACTTTCACTGCTCAAAGCGCCAACGTATCCCGATGCTCATACGGATGAAGGCAAGCACTCTCTAAACTTTGTCATCCTGCCTCACTCCGGTCCGCTGTCGATGCTGACGGTCAATGCAGCTAGAGAGCTCAACTCTCCGTTGACGCGAGCAGCAACGACGCGTCCAAGCAAGGCGTTCAGCTCCCCTTTCCGTCTGCATCAAGATGTCGAGTCCTCCATCGTTCTCGATACGATCAAGCGTGGAGAAGCTGACTTTGACTATCACGGCAAGACCGGCTCGGGCACCAGTGTCATCCTCCGTTTCTACGAAGCATTGGGTGCGCATGCTGGGGCGAGCCTGGATATCGTTGGACTGAACGTCCAATCCGTTGTGCTAGCCAATCTGTTGGAAGATACGATTGGCAAAGCCTCGGACTACCACGTTGATCTCACGACCCCTGCAGATGAGGGTTGGACCGAAGTTGAAACCGACTTCTCTCGTGAGGCTAAGACGCTGCAGTACCAGAGTGGTCCTGATGGAGAGCACACTAGGGTCCGACTGCACCTCAGGCCCTTCCAGGTCATTACACTCAAGGTTCAGCTGGCTGCCTAAGCACCAACATCACGACACATCGTACAGACTTTGCTTTCTCAAGTTACGCCTTTCACGCCGCTCGCATGACACGAATGCATTCCATTGATGAGATCTGATAGACTGCGGAGGTTGCAAGGAGCCAGTATAGCAGGAGAATGGAGATGTAGACCCGGTGGAACGCTTGGCGAAGCAAATGGTACGGCAGTGTGACAAAGGCACAGCGTCAATGAGCTGCGGGAGCTCACTGGCTCGACCACTTGGCGTAGGAGCGGCGCTAGTGCGTGGGATCGGCAAGGCGATGGATGATCGCGAGGGAAGTTGAATGATGATAGGGGCTGATCATAAGCCCATACCTGATCTAGCAGCACTCATGAGTGCCCAATTCGAGGTATCGCCATCCACGCTCCACATGTTTACGCCTGCAATGCCCGCCTGTTTGGCGAAAGATCCCTTGTCGTAGAGGGAATAGGTATCGTCGTACGTGACGACCCTGTTACCGTTGGATAGAAAGGGAGTGTCGGAACAATCGTCCCAGTACATTGTCCAGCCCGATCCTGCCCCGTATGTACCATCCGACTTGACCTTTAGAGCTCCTTGATCGACCAATTGTCTGAAATTGACCTGACCGTCGGAGCTCGAGCCGTCCAGACCGACCAATTGTGCCCTCTTGGCAAAGGGTACTGCGCGATATCGAGGGTCGCGTTGAGGCTCTGGACGAACGGGCCAAGAAGCGTTCAAATCGTCCGTCTCCCTGCTTGTTGCTTCGCCGCGCTGCCTCAGAGTCTTTTTGGAGCTCGTGTTGATGTAGCCGTAGCCCGCAATGCCCAGGATGATCTTGGATCTGGGCATTCCTGCTGCAGCCCACTGCTTCACTCCTGCGGCAGCCGAGGCGGCAGGCTGGGTAGAGTTGCCGCACAGATTGGCGAGCGGGGCATTGGGACCGGGATTGGAAGAGGATCCCCAGACATCGTAGTTCATCAAGGTGATGTAGTCCAATGCACTGGCTGCTCTGCTGACATTGTTGACAGGGCTTCCCGAAGCTGCTAACCACGGCAAGTGAGGCACCGCAGCTGCCAAGATGGGCTTGGAGCCTAGAGCCTGACGCAAATCCACCAAGAATGTCTGGAAATTCTTCGTGTCGGACGGGTCGGTCGGTCCTCCTTGAACATTGTTTGGGTACTCCCAATCAAAGTCGAAGCCGTCGAGACCGTATTTGGATTGCAGAGACTGCACATTCTTGATGAATGTGGATCTCAAGCTTTGCGAAGAGACTGCTCCGCTGAATCCATTCGAGTTTCCCCAGCCTCCGAGGGAGAGGACAACCTTCTTGCCGTTTGCATGGGCAGAGCTGATCAGCCGCTTGAGCAGGGCAGTAGACCTGTCCCCATCCGAAAATTTGATGGATGCGTCTGATTGCGGAGTGGCAAAGGCAAAATTGATGAAATCAAACTTGGTCCAATCGATCTTTTCGGGCGCCAGCGTGCCAGCAGTCCAATCAGCCCAGTAGCCCGCCGAGACCATCTTGTTCTTGGTCGAGTTCGAGTTGGTCGTTGATGCAGGTTTTGCAGATGACGACGTCGACGTGGCCTTGCTGGATGAAGCGGATGACTTTGTGGAGGTGGACTTGGGAACCGAGGAAGAAGATGATGCAGCGTTGCTCTTCTTGGTGCCGCAAGTACCCCGTCTCCTTTGCCTCTTGGACCCGTCTGCCTGAGCTCGCCTCCGTCTTTGTCTGCCGTCTCTGATTTGCTGCGTGACCTGCGCTGCGTAGCTCGACCTGCTCCGGTCTCGCCTTTGAAGGCCTCCCTGAACTGACTCGCCTCGCAAATTCCCTCGAGTCTCGAGCAATCCTAACAATCGTGTGCCTAGCGCCACAGCGCTGCGCGCATCAAGCACCGGCAAGGGCGGCGGAGCTCGTTCGTCATGGAGCGCAGCGCCAAAAGCCTCGGCTTGCGACGCCTCGAGAGGTGCTGCACTCGTCCTCGTCGTTGCGGCTGCAGCGATGATGAGGGCGCAAAGAGCTGCGAGTCTTTGCAGCTTCATGTCGATCTTGAAATGTAGCAGTATCGACTCCTGGAATACAATGCGCGTTCAGGAGTTCCAGACTCCAGGCTGTGCTTCCTCGAAAATGCGAAAGAGGTGCCAGAGCGTCCGGCGCTTGTGAGTTGAAGAATGAGAGTGGGATGAAGGAATGAGTGTGAAGAATGAAGTTGGGTGCCTGACCCGAGGAACCGCTAGGGTCGCAAGAAGGAAAGAATGTGGAAAGGAATTTTTTTTTTGAAAGGTGAGCCAAAGGGCCTGTCCTGATGGTGGTGGGAGGGGGAAGAAGAAAAGAAGGCAGTGGGCTGAGCTCAGCCTTTGAGCGAAACGTTGAGCACCGCAAGGCGGGCCAAGCACAAAGGGAAAGTCGGGCATCGATGGCCGTCAACTCAGCAGAACGCAACGCAACGCGCATACAGGGTGCGGTTCACCATGCTGCACGCCTCTGCACCTCAGCCCCCAGCGCAACGCTCTCCCAACGAACACCGAACATAAGCTGCCATACGTACCCCGACGTGCTCGATGACGTTCCTGCGGTCTCGCACGTCTTCATCCTTCGCGGCGATCTGAATATCTCTCGATCACTCTGGTATCGCACAGGTACATGCGCTGTCCTGACATCCCCCTCCTAGCTCGCTGCGCAAAATAGCAATGGCATAAACGGTGGCATTCCTAATCCAGCTTGCGATTCTGCCACAGCAGCGCCGAGAAGTGCCGAGCGATGCAGCATCCGGTGCTGGCAGTAACATTGGCCCTGTACGAAATACGCAATGGACAGGTACAGTATCGCGGCGACGCAAGAGGTGCCAGCAGCGTTGGAGCTTAGTTGTCCCAATTGTGACATCTCTGAAGCCGACCAGCCACATCTTTGTTGCAAGGCGGTGCGAGTGGGATTCGCGCAAGACGTGCGGTTGACACGATGACCGCTTCGTGAGCGGATGCCGAGGCAGGTGTGAAATGAAGGGTAGTAGCGCCCGCACCTGACCACCCAGGTCGTGGGTCGGAGCAACGAGGAGGAGGCGCGTAGAAGCTCGGTCAACGGGTCCCAACGGACGAGCAACGTCGGATCAACGCTGCAGTGCTCTGGCTCTGTTGCATCGGCCCGTGTTCGGGTTGCGCGGTAGGACTGCCGAAGAAGTTCAACACAGAGCGCGCGGTTGCGACAGCCACTGAGCATCTACTCGTGACTGTACATCTGCATTTGGTCATAGCAATTGCATGGTCGCTGCCATTTGTAGAAGCGACGTCAGATGCCGATGTGCAAAAATAAGCTGTGAGATGAAGTGTTGGAGGCGCAATGTGAATGTGAATGGCGGAGGAAGAAAGGAGGGAAGGAGTTGCGCGCGCGCGCGCGCCTGCACGCTGTGCTTCCTTTCTCGTCAAACCGAATCACGAACATCGAGCCAAGTCAATTAACTCACGCGACTATGACTCACGACTCGCTTCACGCGCAACGCCCGCCGCGCAGAGAGACGGCGCCCATTTTTGTGAGAGAATTCACGCGATTTGTGTGTTGGTGGCGCGCACCACCGCGTGCAGCATGAACTCGCATACTCGCACACTCGCACACTCATGACTGATGAGCATGCTCATCCACGTGCATCGAATTCAACCGCTCAACGCAGCGAGCCTCCACGACGATCATCATCTTTCACGCATCTCCTCCCCCCTCCTGTGACTCACACTGTGGCTGCTTCGAGTTAGCATTGTGATTGCAAGCAGCTTGCTGGTCCGCAGACGGAAGACCTGTCTGACTCAAGATTGCACTTTGATGGCACACGTACGTAGCAGCCTTGACTGCCTGCTGCTCCTGCTGCTGCAGCGCTTGCACCCGCCGAAATTGCCGAAGTCCAAGCTCCATGTTGCGTGATGTACCGGTACAGCAGCGGCGAAAGTCCTTTGAGTCGTAAGTCTCCACACTCGTGACTCGCGACTCGCGCTAAGAAGTTGTTGTACTTGGTCGACCTTATGCGTGCGGGGCAAGGGCCAGGAGACGCGAGCCAGCACACTACGGCATTCGACACCCTGAAGTCAAGAGATGCTGTCTCATTAGATTCAAGATTGGCTTTCATACAGTGCTGGACGTAGCTTCATGAGAGATGCGCGCTACGAGAGGATCAAGCGCTCGGGCTTGTGACATTTGTCGACCGACATGCACTGGAGCGGCGGCAATGAAGAAGATTAGACAGCAAGTGCTTGTCCTCCTCCTCATGGGGAAGCGGAGCAGTACAGCAGCATAGTCTGGCGATCATGGAATCGATGTTAGCCGATCGGCTCAACTAGCCTCGCATGATTCGCACCATCTCCATCATGGCACCTGTTCATATGAGCAGAGTATCCATCCCGACTTGCAAGCTCGGCCTTCAATTGAGCATGTCACGGAGCGAGGAGCGAGGAGCCTGAAAGGAGATTTCCCTGCCCCGCGCGGAAATGCCGTTGCTATTGAATATCAAACCAAAAACACAATCACAGAGCCACAGCGGAACGACCCCTCTTGGGAGAAGTAGCTGCCATGCAGTAAGCGGCTCGGCATCCTTTTTTTCCCCACACCGATACGGGGCCAGAGATGTCTGTCTGTCTGCGCTGATTGACACTTACCGATTGAAGCATGCTCGTCTGGCTCATCGCGGGTCCCTCGGCCTTCCGGACCGAGTTCATCTTACGTGACCTTCGACTTGCAGTCAAGAGTGCCGATGCAGCATTCTTTGTTTGACTCGACGCCCTTCACTTGGCCTTTGTGAGCGGTCAACCTTGCCGACTCGCTTTTGACCGTCACCTCGAACAGAAGCCCGCGCGTATCGAGGTGAAGCAGAAATTTGACTGACCTGAATGCGGGCCAAGACAAGAAGGATGCGCACATCTCGCGGTCTCTCGTTGAGCGTGCTGCCATTGGTGGTGGGGCTGCTCACCTTATTGTTGTCCGTAGGAGTGCAGGGCATCATCCCTCCGCAGATCGTCTTGCAGAAGCGCATCGCTTCTCAAGCAGGTGCTGTTGGCTTTGAACAGACTCAAGCGCAAGAGCAGCAAGTTGGCAATGGTACGTTTTACAATGGAGCAATGCATCCAGGAGCGGATCCCTTTACACTTTGGGACGAGCGCAGCGGCTCGTACTACGCCTACTCGACATCGGGGGCGGAGGGTAGCGGATATCTGTTCGCAATATACAAGTCTCCCGATCTCTCCACCTGGACAAAGATGGATGGAGGCGCGATGAAGCAATGCTCGGGTCGAGGAACGCCTCGAGAATCGGGTCAAGCTTGCTGGGCACAAGATTGGCACTGGGCTCCCGAAGTCTACCACAACAACCAAACCGGCTGGTACTTTTTCTTCTTTGCCGGTCGATTGCAAAAAGACTTGACAAAGCACTACTTCAGATATTCCAAATTCGAAGAGGGCTCAAAAATTGGCGTCGCAGTCTCCAGAGAACCATACGGTCCGTTTGAGGAGATCCAGCATCGGCCCATTCAATACTTTCCATTCGATCCCGATTACTATGACGTCAATCTCATCATGGACGAAGAACAGTTGCTGCCTCCCAAAACGCAGCAGGAAGGCAGGCAAGCACCGATGGGCACATTTATCCCAATGATCGACGCCAACGTCTTCTTCGACGAGGATGGCAAAATTTATTTGTACGGGAGTAGAAATGCGTACAGAAATTGGGTTTGGGATGATCAGCTCAGCAAGTACATTGAGTAAGTAAGCTGCCCAGCATCAAACTTCCGTTGGTGCCTCGATGTCAGTGCTGACGGCTTGTGCGTGCGTCCAAACGAATCAGAGAGTCGAACGTCATTGGCGTGCAATTGACTAGAGACTGGTGGGAGGATCCAAATGCGGAAACGATGCCAGAGATCATCAGTCGCGAAAAGGACAAGACCGCTCCAGATGCTCCTGATTTGCCTCGCAACATCACCTCGTACAATGGTACCGGAGAAATTGGAAATCCACCGAGGAAAGAGTAAGCGCTTATGTTCTCCACTCACGGGTGCCGACTGAAAACAGTCTGCTGATGTTTGTCGCCAAATGCGGCTCGATTTTTTTAGCGGATTCTATACGGTCATATCTTACCACGCCGATCCGCAATCCTGGTGAGTCGCAGTACTAGCTGCTTTCTGATTCAAGTTCGCCGCGTCCTTAAATAAGAGCCCGAACATCATTGCCATGGTCAGGGAAAATGCGCACGTCGATGACTACCAAAAGACCAACGGCACTAACAAGGATCGAAGGTGGTCGGAGGGGTCAACGCTGATCTCCCGCAAGCTTCGCGCATCCAACTCCTCAATTACGACCTACCTCATCACCTACAGTGCCAACAACTTCCAATCTCCCGACTGTACGTCTTTCTCGCGAATTCCCCTTTTCGCGAGCGACCTTGCTAAGACTCTTCGCTTCCATTCGTCGCTCAGATGGGGTCGGCTTTGCGTACAGTCATGACTCTCCTCTCGGTCCGTTCCGCAAGTCGGCGAAGAATCCCATCCTGAGTTCCAAGCCCAACTTCGACCCGCCAATCTACTCCGTGGGACACGGGAGCATCATAGCGACTCCATCGCCCAACACGCTCTGGCTGGGTGCTCAAGACGTCACTCACGAGACACCGAGCGGCTCTGAATTGTTCTACGTTGTGAGTAGTCTAAAGCACGAAGGCTCGAAATGCTGGGAACTGAAGCGGCGTTCCATTGCATCGCGGATGCGAACCGTCCAGCACCATGGTCGCAATTCCACAATGTCAGATCGATTCTTGTACACGACGCGGATGAAGATAGACGAGGAGAGCGCAGCAGAACAGGGTCTGGACTCGACGATCTCCATGTCCTTGACGAGTCAAGATCAGCCTTTGCCACTCGAGGTCGAGCCCATCACGTTTGGCCAGCTATCGTGCGTCTTCTCAGAGACGCGCACGAGTCTGCTCATTTCGGTCACTTCGCACCGAAATGGCACCTTTGACATTAGGGAAGGCACCAATCGCGTCGTGGTGGTGGATGCGGACGGAAGACCTCTGCTCGGTGAACCCCGACCTGTCAAGGGCAAACACGGCCTGTTCGTGCTAAGCTACGTCAAGCTCAAACCGGGATCGGACAGCGTTAGGTATGATCGTCTCAACCGCGCAGGCGAATGGAAGACCGTCGTGACCGCCGAAGTACCAAACACGTGCGCCAGGTGCGTTTTACTGAGACTGGCCTCGAGCCAGTTCCATAGCGCTGAATCCTTGCCGCGCCTCGCGCTGATCTCTGCACACAGTAGCCTAGGTACCAATGCGATGCAAACTCAGTCCAGCACATCTACTCGATCCCGCGAAGGACAGCAATGGTCGGTCAGCGCGGCAGAAGCGGCGGGAGCGGCGCATGCTGCGACTGGCAGGGCATAGCTTGCTCTCAACCACAGCCACTTTGCCAAATGTTCTCCTGTCCCCTCGCCCTTGATGTCTTGTCTGGCCGGCGCAGCTTGCGCATTGAACCATGTAGTAGCAACCATCGAGCGCGCGCACCTACCACGAGAGCATTCGCAGGCCTGTTCAAGAGTTCTGAGTCAAATCGAGATGTTATTCTTGTGCCTGGACAGACCTTCCATAAGGGAACAAAGCCCATTAGCAGCTTCGATGCAGCGTGTCTGGTCCTGCTCGCTATGTGACCCGAAGCGCCTAGATAGCCTTGCTCTTGACAAGACCTAGTAGTAAGCGGTCCAAGACATTCTGTTAGCAATTCAAAATCCGTGGCTTACATCTGCTCGGCATGTGAGACTCACGCTCGATCTCGGAGACGGCATCGTCCAGGATCGACTTCTGGAGCTTCTCGTCGCGCAGGCTGGCAGTAACCTTCTCGATGACGGATCGCGCGAGCTGCTTCTGCTCAGCCTCACGCTCTTGAGCCTCGTAGCGCACCCAAGAGTCAAGAACGGACTTGACCTCGGCAGCCAATTCGGTCTTCTGGCGAAGCTCGAATGCGGCTTGTTCGGTTTGCGCAGTCTCCTGTACGCGGTCAAGGCGGGAATGAAGGGTGGCACGATCAGTGCCTTGCTCAGGAGGACACACGTATTCCACAACAAGATACGCACCTTTGCGAGAGTAAAGAGAGACTTGGTGATGTTGACAACGTCTTGTTGTTGGGACACGTTGTCAATGCGGCTCTGGACTGCCTTGGTGTGTTCGGCACGAGCTCCGTTCAGGATGTTCGTGAATTTCTGTGAGAGGCAAGACACACGTCAGCCGAGCGCACGCAGCTCCCATTGACCAGCATGATTCGATGCGCTCTCGACCTGAAGCGTTACGGAAGTCCACCCTCGTGACGAAGCCGGTCAGGCCGGCCCTACGCGACGTCCCCAGTGGATCGCAAAGTAGGCTCGTATTACTGCAATCGGCCCGCTCTGGTCCAGCTCTACGCCATTTCCATCCATGATGCTCACGTCAACTTGGCCCTGGGCCCACTCCTGGTAGGGACCGGAAAGGGTTCTTCCGATGAGGGTAGCGAAGATGACGAAGCCGGCGAGGATGACGGTCTCATCGTTGGCAACGTAGAGTTCGTTGGAGATGGCCAAAGCCCCGATGCCAGTTCCAGCTGTGACCCATCCAGTCTTGCTGACAATGGAGTTGCCGGGCAGGAGATCGAGGAGGGCGGTAGCGCGCTTCTCTGGTGCTGGCTTGTCGGCGTATCCGCGAGAAGCGCTGGGGATGGTGACGGCTTGGGCCATGGCGGCCGAGGGGCGCGCAGCGGTGCGCAGCGCACCAGCACGGGGCAGAGCAGCTCGAAGACTCATCTTGACTCGAGTCTCACTAGAGGTAAGGGTCTGATGTCTATGGCGGTGTGTGTGCAAGAATGATCGCCGACTTTGGACCACTTCGTCTTCCGCCAGGCTTGCGCTCCGACGTCGAACATCAGCGTGACGCCCATACGATTCTGGCGGCTGGCAACCGTGCAGGTAGGCAAGACCCATGCGCGCGGCTCGAGCCGAGGGTGATTATCTGTGATGGACGACCACGTGGCTTGACCGTCGATCTTGGGAAGGTGTGCATACGATCGAGAATATTCGGCTCAACAAGCACGCGCCCCCTCGCCCCCTCTTCTGCTTGCATCATATATGACGTTCACATTCGTGATTCACGATTGAATGAGAATTCACATTTTGACACGAGCCTGATCACCACAAAGAGCGTTGATGTGTCATGCGACTTCTCAACTCTTAGAGTAACATCGCACAACGATGCCTTCGTTCGGCGTGGCGTTGATTGCGATGACGAGTCACACTGATGCTCGCCGTGTCTCGATACCGCTTCGGGCGGTGAAGAAGAGAGCGGGAGAAGTTCTCGGCTTGGTAGCGGTTATGATCGCCTTGCTGCGTTTCGCGATAAGAGTTGGCACTTTCCGTGTAATATCTTCTTGGTCTATCAGATCGCGCTTGAGACCAGAGTCAGAGTAGCTGCTGTGAGGCAGCATTGAGCTCACAAGCTGCCTGAGCGTAGTGACTGCTTTCCGATTGCTTGACAAGGGCTTGCAGGCCAGAGTGTCGCCGAGGCAGGCAGAGACGCCTTTGCGTTCGCCTTAGAAGTCACACTAGCCCAACACACCTCAGCCTTCGAACGTCGCGGCTTCCCTTGACAAGACAGGGGGCACATGTGAATGGCGACCGTTGACAACGGGAAGCCACCGTAAGGTTAGCGTACCCGACGGTATTCACAGCCGAAGAGCTAAAGTTTGAGTGTCTCCTCTGCGAGCTTTGCATTTCCTTCCGAAGTGGGAGCACACTAGTAGGAATACGTTACGCGAGTACGCCTACTCGCATGACACTTTCTCTAGCGCAGCAACGGCCGAGGCCGACCGGGATACTGATACTGCCATTGTACTTGTACATTCCCAATTGCACTCACAAGTCGCAGCTGCGACAATCAAGGGCAACCCGATCTCCGCGTTCGCCCACAGTGCTCAGGGGAAATGGCAGCCACAAGTACTGTATCCTTGCCCCTGCAGATGACGCCTCTCTAGCAGCAAATCGTGAATCGTGAATGCAGCAAAGTCGTGCATGGATGCTCTCACACTCCAAGTGAGACATGGGCAAAGTTTGAAGGGCCACAAGCTTGAACACCGGGCGGCCTGTCCGGCGCCAAATGGACATTGCCAAAGAAGACTCCTGAGTGAAGTGTGCGTCGATCCAGGCAACAGAGAATCAGGTGAGGTTTCCAAAGCGCGGGCGGATCATCGTCTACGCGCGACGACCGTCGCTTCTAAACTCGCTACACGCGATTTTGGAATTGCGCTTTCCGACACGGTCCGCCTATTGCGGAGATCAGTATGAGTGGCTGTCACCGGCTTGAGAGACCGTTGTCGATCCAATGAAGCTTGAGGAGCTTCGCGCACGTACTCCCGCGTGCAGGACTGGTCCTCGTGTGGCTGACAAGTGCAGACGAGATTACAGAAGACGTCGATGGCTTACGCGTGCACAGAGCCCTTTCGATCGGTCGGGCTTTTGTTCCTGGTAGCGCGCGAAAGCTGTTGTGCTGCAGCTCCGGGTTCACATGAGGCCCAAACGTCGAAGACCACAGAGGAGAACATCGCCATTCACATCCGCTAGACGATTCGCGTGTCCGGCACCCGACACGACACGCTAGCCGGGACAATGGGCCTCGAATCGGCGTTCGACCTTTGGGCTAGGGCAACGGAGTGACACAACAACAGTCATTCATTGGTACATCGGCGCGGAGATGCAATCACGAAGTGAAGCACAAACGGTAGCAGCCTTCAGATTCACGACTCTTCTTTCGAGAAAAAGGCCAAGAATGTCTGAGCGTGCGAAAGCTCGCGTTCACAACAGGCTCGATCGAGCTGACCGGTCTTGTGACTTGCTTCGGCAATGTCACTACTCAAAGTCTTCCTGACCTTTGTCTCTGCATGCCAATCGAGGTCGGAACCGGGCGGGCCTGTCACATTACAGCCAGCGCTACTCGGCATGAAAGCAGCCTCGGAGTCGTTTCGAAGCGGCTGTACCAGAGCAAAGTAGTAGCGTCTTGCGGCCAGCAGGAGGTCCCATTGTTTCGGGTGGAGCGCCAGCTCAGCGAGCTCAGTCGTGCGAGCCGAGCTTCGGAGATGATTGAACATGGATGTGCTGCCCGCCTTACTCTCCCACCGAGCCGTTGTGCAGCAAGCTCACGAAAGAAGGAGGCAACAGCGGAGCTCAAGATTGTAAACACAGTCGGCCGCACGTACTGCACGCAGATGTACGTGCTGTACAGCAAAATGCGCGGGACAACTTTCAGGCGCGGCCATATGCCATGAAGGATTGTCTCTGCTGATGAGCTAGCTGCTAACCGTGCGCGAAAGTGCCCGCGGACGCTCACTGAAAGATTGACGATGGAGCGGATAGGGCCAAAACAAACCAAACAAACACACATGCTGCCATGCGGTCACAATTTCAGATTTGCGCTTCAGCTCACGCGCTTTGCATTGCGTTTGGGAAATTGCAGAACGATCTCCACAAGCCGCCGTCACCTCGACCTCTGAGCTTGGCAAAGTGCCTCAATCCTCTTGCGAAGCGAAAGACGACCAAGAAGTCTATCTAGACCAGCGCTCCCACTATCCTTGTCGAGGGCAAAAGAAAGGTCTTCTCCGCGAGTTTCACAGTCTGAGGGCAACTCGCTAATCAATCGCTTGCTGGAGCTTTGCAGCGGCTACGGCCTAGCCGCGCCGCTTCATGTGAGGCAGCGTATGCAGGAAGAGAACGCATTGAAAAGTGTTCTTCGTTGCGGCCAAGTAGCGCGGGTAAGAGGCTGGACACCATAACAGAGGCACGGGTACTTGATGTGGCTTGTACTTGTACTTGCTGCCCGGCCTAGGCGCACAAACCTTTTCTCACGCAAAGGAGCCCTTCGCATGGATTGCACTTCATGACAGGGCACAGAGAATGCTCACGGAGAGGGAGTTCCGGGGCGAACAGGATGACGAAGGCTTGACGGCCTTGTAGATACGACGGTGCCGTTCTTCTATCTTCGCAACAGGAAGTCCTTCATTGCGCGAGCCTTGTGTCGAGCTGATGATGACTGCAGGCTCGGCCTTTGACGCAGCTCTCGCCTTTCTCGCATGCATCAACCCGCCTGCGAACTTGGCCCCTAGCTCCATCTCTGCTGCAAGCCGACCCGCTCCCTCGACCATATGCAGCGAGCGCATGGGACCGATTCCCACATGCACTGATGACCTGCAAAGTGTTGCTCTTTCTGCGATGCGTGACCAGCATGCGAGCATGCGAGCATGCGAATTTCTTCTTGCTGACGTCGTCGAGCTCAGGCAGGCTGCCTCCAGCGTCCCTCGTTACGCAGCCTTTTCGCCAGATGCCAGAACTTGCGAAGAAGTGTCGGTGCACCGCTTCGCTCCATGCAAGAAGGGTCGCGGGTGGAGAGGCGCCTTGACCATGCTGTTCCTGCCTTCGGAACATCGAACGAGGACTTGGCCCGTCGCATTCGCATTCGCGTTCCAGTCGGATTCACGATTAGGTGGATGGTACTCGCAGTCAAACTCAGCAAGGCACACCACGATTGATCAAGGACACCACGGTTGATGATTCCATCACGCATGCACCACCCGCGAGGGACCTACTACCAATAGCAGAAAGCACCTCTTTGCATTCCCGCTTGCTTCTTACCCCTCGTACAACCCATCTTCCTTGCCCTCATTCAGCTTCACCTTTCATCTCTCCGGATCTTGACACCACTGGCCTTCGCTGTACAGGGCTGTCAAATGCTCTGAGGACGGTATATACCCTTCCAGGAAACCGCAGCCTGCGCGTCGGTGTCGCCCAAGTACTGCGCCCCGCCGACAGTCTCGATACAGTAATTTGCACCACGGCGGGCGAACACAAACAGGGGCGCTTTGCGCGCCACGAATGTTTGATGCAACAACAATAGCTCATGGAGGCCGTCCAGACCCCGTGTCTCACTTGCGTCTTCCCTTTCGCTTCTGGCCCATCCATCTCGTTCTGATAGTCAGTGAGTAGTTGTTGCCGTCTATAGATGATGGAGTGGCTGTTCGAGCACGCTACCTTCGAAGTGGGCAGTTCGCCGTTCATGCATGCATTTGATTTCGTGACGCGCTACTTGAACCTTATTCATGTGGCTGCGGCTTGAGCCCGAACCGGAAGAACGGATGGATCATTGTTGTAGAGGCGAAGGACACCGGTTGAAGCGCTACGGCGCTGTCCACGCTACGCTCTGAAGCTGACATGACGTTTGGGACCGACCTTTGCAGGTTTACGTAGGCGACGGTAGCGGCAGCCCGCGCGGCGGCCGGCACGGTCGCACCATCTCGTCGTCATTTCGTCCCAACGCTCTCTTGGCTACAGGCGCACGCCGTCTTGGTCCACATCGGCGTCGCCAAGGCCGGAGTCAGCTGCTTCGTACGACAGCGCAGGAAATTTTCAGACGAGCTCCTCTCCAACGTCTCGCCCTTCCTCTTGGATTGTAAGGCAGCTGCAGCAACATGATGCCGCGGGAGCCGGGACCCTATCATCAAGTGCTGGAGAACAGACCTCCGCGCTAGAAGAGACCGTGCAAAGAGACTCCATCAGTAGCGCAGGTCGCGATCACCAGCGTCTCAGAAGCTCCCAAAGCTTCGGGTTGCTGCCACGATCTCCGCGCTCTCCTGGTGGACTCTCCGGTAGTGGGTTCGCCTACAATCCTCCGTCAACTGCGAGTGCCGTTGGCGGTCTCGATCGCTCAACTGCTTCACCTCCGCCGACTTCGTATCGTGCAAGTCGTGCCAAGAGTCACGATCCGTTGGACCCGCCTTCTGGCCACTCCTCACGAGATGGTTCCCGTTCGGAGCCCCTGCCAACCGTAGCACAAGAGCATGACCGAGTCGAGGCCAGTCGGGAGACACAGAGCGAGTCCTTGCAAGAAGAGGTCAAGGTACCTCGCTCACGAGATGATTCAGCAGAAGCATGGCGCTCTACCGCTCGACCTGCGCCACGGTATCGCCGACCACCGCCCATCACTTTGTCAACGAACTTCACTGCCTCCACCTCTCATCAGCCTCCATCTGCGGGCACGTTCGGCGTTCGATCCCCGGACGCAGACCGAGGGCGAGGGCGGGGGGAAGCACCCTTGGTCCAAGATGAGAAGAGCGGCTCAGTGCGCGGCAGCAAAGGGCCCTCCCCACAACGTTCCACCGCGGGCGAAGCAAGAGGTGGAGAACAGCGAGACGGAGGCCTGCTCCCAGCGTCGATGTCGAATGTTGGCCTGGGGATCACCACAAGCAGCTCCACGTCGAACGCCGCGATGTCTAGAAGCGACTCCGGCGCCGCTCTAAGTGTTGGGTCATCAGGCCACACGCCCGCTTTCATGACCCCTGACTTGATCCCTCAAACCCCCGCCACCGAGCAGCAAGCTTTCCAGCTGGATTTGCTGCCGGCAACTAGTGCCGTCGGCGCGGACGAGAACCAAGATCGTCGACCTGACCCTTCGTCGTCTGCTGGCCCGGCTTGGAACGCCGAGCCTGAATCCTCCGGAATGGCCTTGCTCGGCTCCGCTTTGCGGTCTCAGTTCGCTCTCTATTTCTCGAGCAACACAAGTCTGCCTCTTTCGAGCGGCTCTGCCCAAGGTACCGGGGGGCACTCGGCCTCACACGATGCTGAACCAAATTCTTCGAATCCGCAGCTTGCCAGATTGCGTTTGAAGCAGAGCAAGTCATCACTGTGGTCGCGAATGCGATCCCGCGAGGCACTGCGGCCTAGCACAGCTCACAGCGAGATGGGTTCGAAAGCGGCGACGGTGGGACGTCCCAGCTCAGAGTTGGAATACACTGGCGTCCAATTCTGGGATCGACGAGGAAGTGCTGCAGATTCCGGTGCGCACGGTGCGCCATCGTCTTACGTACTTCAAGATCCTCGAACAGCCGATGCTGAGCCCCCCCTCACCCCGCTGAAGGCCAGAGCAGTGCGCTCGCCGGCATCAAGCGCTTCGAACGCTCCTCAGAGAAGCATCTCGATCCGCTCTGGGCCACCTCTCGTCGGGCTTGGCATTGCACAGACGCCTGAAAGACCCGTGTCTATCCTGCGCCGCGGTTCTGCCCACGACGCAATCTCAGCTCTGAATGATGCCACTCGTGAAAGGCTCGGTGCCTCCGTGGACATTGGGCCTAGTGCCCCGCGAGACTCCTCCGCATCGGCTGGTAGCAGCAGCGGACCACGTTGGAGCGGAAGCGGGGGGCATCATAGCATTGGGAACCTCTCTGGGAACTTTTCCCACCTGAGCTTTGTCCAAGGGCCTGCAGGAGGAAGACGCATGAGCCGGGCCAGCGACGACATGCCAGAAGCTGCCGCAATTCCTGCATATGCTTTGTCAGCCAGACACGCTAGGATGCAGCGTCTGAGCATGATCGAAAGTCATGGAGGGGAGGTCTCATCTGTAGATCCAGCCTCGCAAAGCTCTGCCGTGGAAGAGCACGACCGTCGCCGCTCGACCCGGCGTCCCACGAGTCTGGTGGCTTCCGAGCGCCCACCACGTAGCTTGGATGCGAATAGCAGCCTCAGCAGACGTTCTGTTGATGCGCGAAGCTCCGAAGCAGAAGGCTTCGCCTACATGGCCAATCGCGGTCCGATCCTTCCGAACGCATTTCAGCACGTCGACCATCAAGTACTGAGCGCCGAAGACTTCCGTGCGATGATTGCATCCATCCCACATGCAGCAGTTGCTGGATCGTATGCTTCGAAGCGAAAGGCAGGCGGATCCACGTGGGGCAAGACGCACGCACGGATGCTTTGCTTTTCCCTGTTTCAAGTGACCTTTGCTGCTCTTTGGGGCGTCTTTGAGGCCCCTTACCTCGCTCAAGCCATTCATCCCTCCGTGGTCGCGGTGCAGGGGTACCTGTTCCTTGGCATGATGGTCAACTTTGTTGTAGCGGTCTTTAGAGAACCAGGCGCCTTGCCCAAGGGCCTTGACAGGGATCCTCCTTATGGCGCTAACCGTGCGTTTGCATCGCCCGTTCCCGGCGCTGATCAGGACGGTCGGACAACGCCAGCGCCCCAAAATTCGGATGCGGTGGTACTTGATCTGGACGAAGATTCGCCGAGAAGACGTCTTGCCATTGCAAAGCTGCGACAACAGCTGCGCGGCGCAGCGGCGTCCGCCTTGCCCCGGGCTGTGGCTGGCGATACGCAAGCGCGGGGCTCGGGTCTACAGCTCCGAGTAGGGGGAACCACGAGCGAAAATGTTGCGAAGCGCGAGGCGCAAAGCGCAGAATTCAAAATCAGACCACCAAAGGGCGAGCAAGCTGCGGACCAAGTCCAAAGCGGAACGAAGCGCGGGCGGCGAAGGGCTTCAACGACTTCTCAAGCTAGACGAGCGACCACTCTCATGCCGCTGCAGGTGGAGACCTCTGTTCGCGCAATCCCCTTCGTCGATCGTGAAGGTCAGAAGACGTGGCTGATATACGAAGGCGATGAAGCAGACCGCTTCACGAGGCGGCATCGAATTTTCAGGCCACTTCGACTCTCCGGTAAACACCTCGTCAAAGTCGTTCGTGGGCAAAGGTTGGCCGGTCACTCTTTGCCACCGTTGGACATCGAGAAGGAGCCTTTGCCCAAGAGCGTGATGGTGCGCGGTGGCGCAGTCATGCGTACTCGATGGTGTGCCGCCTGCAGGCTGTACCCTCCGCCTGGCACACATCATTGCGTGACTTGCGATCGCTGCGTGCAGAACCTGTCCTACCACACCGACTGGCTGGGCAGCGATGTCGGCACACGTAATCTGGCCGCTTTCATTGGCTTTCTGCTTTTCGCCTTTCTCGCGCTCAGCTACACGGTCGTATTTGCAGCACTGCATCTGGCTCACGTTGCACATTTGAACGCTACGGAACCCAGACCTCCCGGTCTTGCCGTCTTTCCCGACGAGCGAGGTTCACTCGCTCGAGCTCTGCGCGCGTCTCCAATCAGCGGCCTGCTCTTCGCTTCCGGCCTTTGCTTCATCTTCCTAGCGCTCCTTCCTCGCATCTATCTCCACCTGCAATGCGCCCTCTCAGGCGAGACGCTCATTTCGCACAAGTTCAGAAAGAGCATAGGCAAGCGGTGGAAGGTGAAACCGCCTCCACCACCCATGGCAGCTAGCTCGAGGTTGAAGAACGCCTTGCAAAGCTTGTGTCTGCCCATCATCAGCCTTGGGCGCACAGCCGACCAATCGTCGATCCCGGCCAAGTAAGGAGCAAAATGCAACCAGAGCGACTTGTAGATCCGGCATTGCCACCGCTGCACTCGCACCACCGCCATGCACCACTTGAGACATCATCCGAAAAAGTCCACGTATGCACCTTTGCTTGCTTGCTCATCTTGACTTTCGCTAGGCAGACACACTCCTTTTCCCTCATACCTCGATGTAAACACTCACACTTCGCCTCACGTTCCTTTCACCGTCCTCACAGCACTTGCACTTGTACTCTAGCTAATCAATGTTCGTTGCTATCTCTTGCCTCGAGCCCTTTAAGCGTGTCTGCAAATGTCCACGATAGGGCGAGCTGGTGCGCCGAGTGCACAGCAGTCACTGAGATCTTGCGATTCCATGCATTTACTGGGTACCTGTGTGAAGGTATAGAAAGGCCCTGTGCAATGGCACTACAACAGTCGATACTCGAAAATTGGAGAGTGTACCTGGAAGGGGGAGGGGGCGAGAGGGACTGACATCCGCTGTAATTGTATGGCATGCAAAAGATCCACCAGGGATTCTTGCGCGGACTTGGAAGGAACAAGAGGTAGGCAATCTAAAGGAGCAAGAATCGGAGCTTTTGCGCCGATGGCTGCTTCGTTGAGCACCAGCTAGACTGTGTCCTGCTGTCGCTCTTGGGCGCATGCAAAGGGGAGGGGGTGACAAAATTCACGCAGTGGAGCAGCCTGGTCACTGCTCCCAAAACCTTGAATGTAATGACTATGAGACCGATCGGACGAAACCGTTCAGAATAAGAGGCGAAAGCGGGACGATGCGGGTTGGACCAACAGCGTCCATGCTGATCACTGCCGCTCTAGAGCTCGCGCTCCAGCTTAGTAGCAGCCGCCATAAGCATCGCTTGGGTCTTCAGTGGCGGTGCTGATGGGTCGCTGTTGTTGCTGAGGGTGGCCTGGCAAGAGGTTTCTCACTTGCAATGGCTGCTGAGGCGGGCTGTCGAGGGCGTTGAAGGGAGACGCGGCTCTAGCAGAAGGCTCAGGACTGGTCTGGTAGTGACGTTGGTCGCCATTGATAGTGTCCGTCGGAGCGTAGTGATTCTGAGGGTTGTCCAAGTCAGGGGTGCCGCTGCGTCCTTCAGCAGTGCCAGGTCGACCAGCGGTGTCGTATGCGTGGTCATCCTCAAACTGCTGGCCCACACCATGGTGTGCAAAAGTTTCGTGGGGATTCGTGAAGGGCGAGATCAGATCGCGGCCATTCTGAGTAGCAGCGTCGAGGGCCTGTCCTTGGCTAAAGTCGCTACCGTTGGAACCGGCGCGGTCCAAGTCCGTCTCTCTCTGCGAGCCCTGTGCTCCAAAGGCGAGCTGACCAGGCTGGAAGTTGGGCTGATAGCCACGGTCAGAGCCCAATGAGCGGTTGCGATCCAAGTGGGCGTAAGGGTTGACAGAGTTGTTGAAGTTCTCGTGGTCACGGTTTCCAACTCCAGCAAGCGTGTAAGGATCGCTGCCTCCGAACGCCATGGGTGGAAGGGAGGGTGCTGGGCCTTGATTAAATACGGCACCGACCTGAGGGACGGGAGGCGCGGTGGCATCATCGAAGGCATACTGAGCGCCAGGGCCTGCCATGTGCCGTTCAAACATGGTGGGGGGACGAGGACCGCCAGAGGCGTTGTGAGAAGACTGCGAGGCACCAGCGTAAGCCATGCCGCCAGCAGCAGCAGCAGCGCCATAGCCAGCAGCAGCAAGGTTGTTATGCTGATGCTCGGACATGCTAGGGGCGCCATCTTCATCGTCAAAGTTCTCCGGCAACATAGCGCTCTGACGGCGGAAATCGTCACGGTCGAAGGGGTTGGACTCGTATGGATCCTCCTTGCTCCTCACCTTCTTGACGACGAAGCCAATGATGGCAGCAAGTAGAGCTACTCCTGCGAGGGCACCAGCGACAATACCGATGATGGGACCGGCACCGGGACCGTCACTTTGAGGTTCGGGAGTCGCGGTTGGCGTGACGGTGTTCAACGAGGACGTGACGTAAGCCACGGCTGTCGCGGTGGATGGCGTAGGAGTGGTCAATGTCGGCAAGGGCTCCTACAGGCAGAGAAAGGAGGAGCGTCAGCATTGAGCTCGGAAAGCTACGGCGAGGAGAGGGGAGATCGGAGGGAGGAGCAAGTACGATCTAAAAAGGGGCTCGCTTGTGACATCGAGGCAGGCATAGCGATCATGCGATGCAGCTTCGATGCAAAGGAGCCCACTCTTCGACGTCGTTGGCGCAGGCCCAAACCAGTCGGGAAAGGGGGCAGGAAGGTAGAAAGGGGACGAAAACTATAACCAACCGTAGAAGATGTCGTATGCCTCACTGTGGATGAGCTGGTCGTTCGCGTGCTGCTCGACGTGGTGCGTGTGGATGAGCTCGTAGACGATGAGGTAGTGCTGGTGCTACTACTGCTCGTCGTGGTGCGCGAGCCTGAAGATGTCCGTTCAAAGTGATGAGACCGTGAGTCAATCACATTGCCCACAACATGGCAGGTCGGTGACGATGTCATCACACGCTTGTCATGCAAGACTATAACTCACGAGTGATCGGATCGAGCACTGTATCCAGCAAGCCCCTGTCACTCGAGGACGTCGTTGTCCTAGAAGCGCTTGTAGTTGGTCGAGTTTGACCACGCGTGTTGGTTGGAGTGGTATCGTCATCGCCTCCTGCACCACCTTGATCGTTAGCGGGAGAGCCTCCATCGTCATCATCATTGTGGCCAAACGGGTCGAAGAAGTCAGGACCCAATCGACGGTCGATTTGAGGAGAATGCGCCTCGTCGTGAGCACGCTCGACTGCTGCTCGAACATCTTTGATGAAGTCCCGAGTCTCCAATGGCAAATCATGAGGTGCAAGGGATCGAGAACGATGACGTTCCATGCGTCGATGAGCATTGAGCCCCTGTGCAGTGTCGTGAACCATGATGCGCTGGATCAAAGGCTGGATGCTGGATGCTACTCAAGGCGCCTGTGCGATCGCTGGGCCTGCCCAAGAATGTCTCGCAAGAGATTGCTCGCCTTTGTCGTTGTCTATGATGCAAGCTTTACGCTCAGATGCCTGGATGACGGACCGATCCGGCGCAATGAAGCAAGAAGCGAGAAAGGCGAGTATGCCTTGAAGTAAAGAGAGTGTGAGAAGGAGAGGAACCGATTGAGAGGTCCGTGGTGGAGAGCGTGTCGATTTCCCTCGTATTCGCGCTGTCCTCTAGATAGCGCGCGCGAGGCGTCTCGTATGGTTGAGAGTGTGAGTGGGAAACGCTCTGTTGGAAAGAATGGGGGAGATCAGACCGGAGAGTAGAGCGGGACAAGAGAGTGAAGGTTGTGGAACGATGGAGAGAGATTGGCTTGCCAAGCGCAATCTTCAAAATCAGGATCATCGCTTTGGTCTGGCGGCGCGCGGGCGGGCGAGGGGATCGCGCTTATTTGCTCCCTCTCTCCCGCCGAGGAATGTGCGGAACGCCGCGCAACGTGTGCGGCAGGGGCAGAGCGGGCAGTCAGGCGCGGCAGCCGTGCACACAGGTGCAGCAGCAAACAGCGCCGATGTGCGCCGAGCGACTAGCAGCGAAAGCTAGGTTGACATCGCTTGAGCACATCATCACTCACGACTCTTGCAAGGCTCTCGCTGCGGGCGCAATAGTCGCTTGCAGCAGCTGTATGCAGGCGAGTATGAGTGGCAGAGTGCACTACACCCGCCACGCGAACGGCTGCACAGGCGAAGGAAGCTCTTGAACGTGCAAGCCCCCGCTGCTGGTGGCCGGCCGTTGCGCTGGTGCATGTACCGTCAAGCGGGCGACATATGGGATCGAGCAATTTTGCTCGGCACAGCTGTCTCAGAGCGGGCGTGTGCGCCTGCGGCATCTCTTCCGTTGCAGATCGGCCGCTGAAGGTGCAGAGACTCGCAGCGTGGCAGCTTTCCACCCTCAGGGGACAGTGACATGACGCGGGTCACGCAACTTGGTGCATCAAGGGCTGCTGCTGACGGTGCACAATCTCGCCCAGTCAGACTCACTCGTAAGCGGGCTCAGGCCTTGTCCACTTTTGCGCCTGCAAGCTACGCCGCGATCGAAACAACGATCGCTGCAACCTTCAACGGTGCTGCAGCAGAAGAGCCTTGGAGAGAAAACATCCGCTTCTGGTGTCTTGTTCCAAACGTCTCGTGCGGCGACTTAACGTCAAAGGGGGCGACGCCTGCCATTGTTGTTGCTACTCTTGTCGCTGCTGATCCTGTCTTCCATGGCTGAATGACCCCAGCAGCAGGCCGCTTTGAGTTGCGTGCCAATTTAGGAGCCGCACCTCCTTTCGCCCCCTGGCACGTATACGTATCTACGTCATGCCTCATCATTCTCCAAGCATGGACCTATGAAACATGAGGGGCCGCTTTGACCATCATATCTCACGCCTCGCTGTGCCACTCACCCCTATAGCTATAGTAGTGGTGCTGCTGGAACGACCTGCTCAGATAAGGTGGCTTCCTGTGCTGCCTGCGCCTTGCGGTCCGAAGAAAGGTCGTATTCTCGTCTTCTCCTGCAGCTTGCGTCCCTTATTGTATCACCTGCCGCTTAAGTGCCCATTGTGATTGTCACTGCGGAGCTGTCCGTGAAATGGACCCATGCATGGTGATCGACTCTGCCACTCGAGCGGCCAACGGAGACAGCGCTGTCCTGCGGCAGTTTTCTTTGCGTGCATGTGGCCTCTTAGCGCTGGGTCAGAGGCGATGCCCGTCAGACCAACGGTCAGCTTTATTGGGCCGCTAAGCTGTGCGGTACAGTAGTACGACCAGCATGCCCGGCGTTCAACCCATCGGACCCATGCTAGAGCGCCACCAAAGATCGCGCGGAGTGTCGACATTTGACCTCGCATGGCATCATGATGAGCGTCTACTTCGTTCAGGGGTTCAAATCACTTCGGACTTGCTTGGGCCATTGGAGTTAGTCGCAGTAACCGTCGACGTTGCCTATACTGTCCGCTGGCAAAAGCCGCAAGGCTACAATCCTTGTCTCGCCACGTTGGAGGGTCGCTTGATTTGTGTCGTTAAGGTGCAACGATTCTCAAGAGCGAGGTACAGCGCAGCATGCGGAAGGATCATGCCCGCGCGAACGCGCGCCAAGGCCAACCATCTCGACCACCCGAATGTTCTCTGCTTCGCAGCGCGTGGTCTAGCGCGCCAGCGACGCCGAAGGGTGGGCTCGGAGCCGTCGGGCGTACCGCGCCAGAATACTCTCGACTCAAGATTTCGAGCAGAGGCTTCCCTCGTCATCACGTGGAATCCAACAGAGCATCTTCTAGCATGTCCGTGCACGCAGCGTAAATGATACGCCCATGCAGCACACTCGATTCTCTTGCACGGTTGCACGGCTCTCCATGCAATCGTGAGTTCAAGTCGTGAGGGTGAATCTTCCTTCGCGTGCGATGCCCGAGGTATGGCGCCAACTCTTGATTTGCCTCGTGCCCATTCACGTGATTCTTGATTTCCGGAAGGCTTGCAATCCGACACTTGTACGAGTGCACAGACTATCGCGCAGGCTGTCATAAGCACTCATCACTTCTCACCCTCAAGCACTCACGAGCAGTAGTCGAGATCGTCCGTTCTTTCGAGCCTCTACACACCAACGACCCACTCTTTGACAAGTAGTCTCTGGAGACTGCAACGCAATATACACACCCTTGCATCCTCTTCGACCGCGTCATGGCTGCCCACCTCGTTTCCGGTGCAGCTCCAAAAGGCATCAACGTCGCCATCATCGGTCAGTGCCGCTGCTATCGAAGTTCCCTTGTCGCAGATCAGGCGTACGCTCAAGGGTTTGAAGCTCACACTCAAATTTGTGGACTCCACCACTCTTCGCAGGCGTCGGCCTGGTGGGCTCAGCTGTGATCTCTCAGCTGGCCGCTTTGCCGATCTTGAACATCATCTCTCTGCAAAACAGCAGGAAGATCCTTCTCTCGCCGAGCTCAGCAGCCCTCAAGGACTGGAAGTCCTCCTTGGATGGCTCCACAGACTCTGTGCCAGCTCTTCCGGAGCTGGTCGCCACCTTGCAAAAGCTTACCCGAGAGACTGGCAGACACACTGCGGTGGTCGACAACACGTCCAACGACTCGGTCGCCAGCTTCTACCCAGAGTTCCTCAAAGCCGGCTTCAGCGTCGTGACTCCCAATAAGAAGGGCGTGTCCGGTTCTTTGGAGCTGTACTCTCAGATCCTCAAGCTTACCAACCCGGCCCAAGCAGGCGCACCGCTATTCTACGGCGAGTCGACTGTCGGCGCAGGTCTGCCCATCCTTGGCACTCTCAAGGACCTGGTCAGCACTGGAGATGAGGTGACCAAAATCGAAGGAGTCTTGTCCGGCACTCTGAGCTACATATTCAATGAGTTCTCCACGCCAGCAGGCGCTACAGTCAAATTCTCCGAGGTGGTCAAGGTGGCGAAGGACAATGGATACACTGTAAGTCTGCGAATGTCTGCTGCGAGGGAATTTGCTGGCTCACGTCGTAAATCTTTCGCCCAGGAACCGCATCCCGACGCTGATCTGTCGGGCTCGGACGTGTCGAGGAAGCTCACCATTCTGTCTCGCCTCATCCCTTCGCTCGTCAACCTGCTTCCGCAAGGCTTCGAATCGGTGCCTACTTCGTCGTTGACGCCGGAAGGGCTCAAGGGAGAGCAGGACGGAGAAGTGTACACGCAAAGGTTGAAAGAGTTTGATGGAGAATTTGACGCGCTGAGATCGAAAGCTGCCAGCGAAGGAAAGGTACTGAGATACGTAGGAACCATCGATGTTGCCAAGAAGGAGATCAAGGCGAGCTTGGAAAGGTGAGTGTTGTAGCTTGAATGCTGGAATTTGGGCCACCTGGGAGTGCGCACCACGATACGCCACACGAGTGGCTGGCCACCACACGCCTGCTCTTGGCCAGCCAGTCCACCAAAGGCGCATGTAAGCTGGCTGTGCTGACACCAGACTGCGCAACTTTCAATTACAGCTACCCAGCCACGCACCCGTTTGCCACCTCTCTGTCTGGCAGCGACAACATCATCGCCTTCCACACCAAGCGATACTCGGCTAGGCCTCTGCTTGTGCAGGGAGCAGGCGCCGGTGCAGATGTCACCGCTAGCGGCGTTACTGCAGATCTTCTCAGAGTGGCGGAAAGGAGAGGATAAGCGCCGCTCCCTGAGGTTGCGCATCGCGGAAATGCAAATGGAGCTGAGAAGAACATGTCGATGGTTTGTGTGTGATGTCTCGCAATCGTTGGCAGCCGTTCGATAGGTGTCTGGGTGATGAGATTGATGTGCGGAAGGGAGGGACGGACAGCCATCTGGGCTGCCCCTTTCGTCACCCGCCGACGTCAACCGTGGAGCTTTGTCAGTCTAAAAGTGAAGAGTCACGTATCAAGAATCTGTACGCACGCACCACCTTGATGGGTGTGCTCGAACCTGCGTCACGTGTCCAATGTGGGAGGCGACGCCCCCGTACTCGACACTCAGTGACTCAAGACTTCTGACTCTGTGTCGGCGTTTCCGGCCCACAAATGCCGAGAGCAAGAGTCGAGATGAGGAACATTGGTCGGAGGACTATACCAAAGCAGGGCCAAAGAAAGACAAACAAACGCTTGAATCCAGCCAGATTTGATTCTTGATTCACTCACGACTCACGACTTCTAGCTGAGCAACAGCTCCACCGCGGGCCCCCCAAAACGCGCTAGTGCGGGTCAGCGCGCGACGCGCGACGACGCGCTCCATCTGCATGACTGGCGATTTTGATGAGAAGCTCATCGATCAGAATCATTTTCTGATTTGCTCCAATCGTCACACCATCACGATTCGCTCGCTGTAGAGAGAGCACAGGGCGGAGGTGGATACGCCCGCGATGCCCTGCTCACACCTCGCTTAGCCCTCCATCAGGCTCTGTGGAAGGGACTAGCGTTTGTTGTAAAAGGATGCCAAGCTGACCTTTCATCACCACATCACCTCCGTCGAAATGCGGACCTGACCGAAGGACCAAAGCGCGTACGTGCAGCGAGTCAGACAGACCTGTCTCACTACACCATGCAGCATTCACGCGGGCTCGAATCTGAATCGTGAATCCAAATGTGAGACCGCGTACGTGCGTGTGGGGGATCTGATCTGGCATTCGACGCTGAGCTTTGCGATTCAAGCGACCACAAAACTCTCAGCACTTGCAATCTGAGTAGTCAATGAAGCCCTTCGACAGAGCGAGCCCCACGTTCGTCAAGTCTTTTGCTCCTTCAAATGCGCTCGCTTAGAGAAAGATGAATGGCGAATCGGCTGCGAGGCGCTGGTCGGCACTTTGAAGGGAGCAGCAGCATGCAGCAGCTGGCACACAACGGCGGGATCTTTCAGGGAATTGTGAAGCACCCGCGTCTCGCTCCTTGCTGGACTGCTGGACTCGCCGCTTGATCGAGCATAGCAGCGGCCATATAGCATGTTTGTTAGGTACGACGTTCCCTCGGTCATGCACCGTTGATCACAGCTGCACCTTTCCACGAATGGAGCACGCGCGCACGCAAGCCTGATTTGAGTGACGAGCGACAACAGGGCCGCGTGCGCAGTGGTGTCTGCAGTCGTGAGTGTGAGTAGGGGAAGGGCCTCGGCATGCATGCACGCAGCAGCAGCACGCAGACACGCGGCGCCAATTTTGGATCCATATATGTCATCTTTTGGGCCATCCAACTGAAACATCCAACATCTCGTCATCCCGCAAGCGAGCCGCGCGCTTCTTTGGTGCCTCTTGATTATTCTAGCGCAAAACTTGTCTTGCCGAGCGAGCCAGCTAGGTCCCAGATGCGATACAGTAGGACGCTGGTTCGTGCATGGCAATGTGCCCGCTCTCGATCGACGCTTTGAGAAGATGTCTGATGGTGCACAGGTCGGGAAAAAGGGAGGAAAGAGAGACGCGCTACGGAGATATCAATGGCGGCTTGGGCAGTAGTCGTCTCTTGGACAACTCTACCTGCTCCAAGACTTGTCCTCTCCCACAGCGATGGATGGACAGCACCCACCATTGGAGCAGAGCAACGGATGTTTCAGCTAGCTGATGTCTGATTGAGAGGATTGCAAAACTCGTTCGATTTTGAAGTCTCGTCTGTCTTGGCTCAATGCGAATAGCAGTCATGTATAAGATGGGATGTCACGCTTCGCCCACATCCAACGATGCTCTCCCATCCTCTCGCCTAGACATAAGGTTCTTACAGCCTGCCTTTCCGCATACGCTACCTTCCACGCAGCACTCGCCAACTTGGAACCCAATCGCTCACACAAAACACCTCCTCCTTTAGCTCTCTTTCCTTTGCTTTCCTTGAAGATGAAGGCAGCCAACAGCCTCGTCGCTCTAGCAGGCGTGGTCTCCATCGCAGCTTGCGCTCAAGCGTTCGTCATTCCATCCCGCCAGTCCCACTCCTTGCAGAACAGGGACGACAGCCGCGACCAGAACGACGATTCCAATCACTCGCACACCAATCATCAATCTGGCAGCAGCAGCAGCAGCAGCAGCAGCAGCTCGAGTGCTACGTCAAGTTCAAGCTCCCAAAGCTCCATTTGGACCTTATACGACTCTCACCGCGGCGAAAACTTTTTCGACGGATTCGAATTTTGGTCCCTTCCAGACCCGACCCATGGCCAAGTCTCCTTTCAAACTCAATCCGACGCGGAGAAGTTGGGATTGATCAGCGCTTCCAACCGCACCGCAGCGCGCATGAAGGTCTCTTCGGAAGATCTGTCCCTTGGTGAAGATCGACCAAGCGTCAGGTTTCAAGGCAACAGGACGTACGACGAAGGATTGATCGTGTTCGACGTTGTCAAGATGCCCGTTGGTTGCGGGACTTGGCCTGCGCTGTGGACCGTCGGCGACGATTGGCCTTTGAACAGCGAGATAGACGTGCTAGAATCCGTTGGCGACGACGATTCCAATCAAATGACGGTGCACACCAAGCCTGGATGCACCATCGCACCTTCGACGACCGTAGCTGGAACAGGCAACACGCGATTAGCCACTGATTATTCGGGCAGGATATTGGCCGGCGCTGCCGACTGCGATGCGTTCGCCAATGGCAACGCGGGTTGCGCAATCAAGGACACCAACGAGCGGGGACCCAGCTTCGGAAGCAAGTTCAACGAAAATGGAGGCGGCGTCTTTGCCATGAGCTTCACGCCGGAAGATGGCGTATCCATCTGGTTCTGGGGCCGCAACTCGACCGAACTTCCCAAAGAGTTCAGGGGCCCAAATTCCACGGAGCCTTACACCGATGCGACAGCTTCTGTCGACGCGTCTATCCCTGCCAGCATCGAGACCGACGAGCCGATCGTCTCGACGAGCGCTGCATCCTCATCCGCTGCTTCTTCCTCCCCGGAAGAACAAGGCTCCGCGTACGGAGTCAATGGCAATCCTTTTAGCGGCAGCCACTCTATCCGGGACAGAGACGTCGAGATCGGCCTCGAACTCTCCTCAGCTTCCCAATCTTCTCCCTACGCTTCCGATATTTCCCTGCCATCCTCAGCCGCTCGTCTTCGGGATGTGTCGAGCCAAACGTTGGATCCATCCACTTGGGGCATCCCGACTGCCAGATTCGCCAATTCCAACGCCTGCGACTTTGGCAAGATGATCGGTCCGCAACGCATCGTCATGGACATCACGCTCTTTGGCAAATGGGCGGGAAATGTGCCCATGCAAGAGAGCTGCGGCACGGACCAGAGCAAAGCTCTTGCCAGCGGCGAAAATTACAAAGACGCCGAGTTCGTCATCAACTCCATCGACATCTATCAACGCAACAAGGCGACCGCTGATCTCTCCTCCAGAGGTTTGCGGAGCAGATGAGCGGAGCCGCTCACGAAGCATTTAGAGATTTCGCGCTACTCTCCCACTCTCGCCTCCCCATGACAATATTTCCCGCTTTCACACGTCACCTCCATTCGCATTGCATCTCTCTCGTCCAGACTCTCAATGTCATGACCTTTTGCATCGATTGCCCGCCAGAGATTCTGCCCTACCGCTTATTAGTATCCGTCCCGTGACGTGACCAAACTGGCAGCGAGGCTGCACCTCCGATTGCGCTTGGTTCATGACATGACCTCACTGAACTAGCGCACCCAGACTGCGAACGCTCAAGAACGTAGAGCCGCTGCTAAGTCCTGTGTGTTCTGTTGTCGCATCTATTTCGCCTTGTAGATTTGCCCCAATATCCAAATGCTTCATTTACACGCTCAGATACTTCCAAAGCCGGGAGGCAAGAGGGGAATGCCGGCCTTTTCCTGGGAATATCCATGGTCGTGTGGAACACATCGAGTGAGTCAAGCTCGAGGACAAGTTGCGACGCGGGCGGTGCAAAAGGCGCCACGCTTCCCTGCAGTTCCGCAGAGCTGCTGGCCCATGGCGCACAGCCACGCAAGCAAGTGCTCACCTTATCCTCCTTCTCCTTCTTTTCCCTCTCTGCACTCTCATCGCTGGCCTTCTTCTCCTCTGCAGCCCCAATCACGGGCGCCCCATCCGGAATCGGCTTGGCATCCTTTTTGGCACTCTCGGCTTCCTGTTCGTGGCCCAGATCGCCTGCGTGCGTAGCTACTAGTGTGGGTCTAAAGGATTTGAAAACGGGGATCAATGTCGGAGCGAATTTGGAACGAAGCTCGGTGTAGAGTGACGAGGCGCTGTTACCGCCTGTCGTGAGCTCCGTCTCGAACTGCGTCAGAAGCGATGTAGCATGTCAGCAGAGGTTCACGTCGCAAGTGGACAGCAAGCTCCGCGTATCGCTTGCCGCATGGTCTTGATTGTTTTGGAGCGACTCCGAGCGATCGGCTCGGAAGGGGAAGAAGCACTTACCCTGTACTCCTCATCATTGTCTTCAATCTCGTGGCTCACTTCCGGCCACCTAATCACACCGGCTACTTCAGACCCATCGGATGCTTGACCGCTCCAATTAAGAGCGAAAGAGCAATCGTAGATGGTGATCAACTTGTTCTTCCTGTTGCCCAGCTCCACATCTGTGGCACGTTTGTGGACGTGTTATGCGACAGTGAGGAGTTCAGCTGGCTCGATCGGACCTCCACAGCAATGAAAGCGCAGCCGAGTGCGAAGCAAGAAAGTCTTGCACTCACCACCCTCCCAATCCTTGATCTCGGTGGTCTTGATGCTTCCACCAGCTAGCTGCGCTTCCAGGCCTACCAAGTGAGCGTTGAAATAGCTCTTTGCCCAAGCCGTGGTTCCCTTGGTCCTCCAGTGATACTGCTTGTTCCAAGAGTCCGACATCTTTCAATTTCTGCCGATGCAATACTGACGAGCGCGAATCCTGCGCGCTGAGGGACGTGGCTAGTGCAGTGGATAAGCGATGCGAGCACAGTTGTGATGGGTAAAGCGAGGTGGAGCCAGACATACTGAAGCGCTTGGGAGCAACAGTGAGTCACTTAGCTACAACAGCTGCTGCACGCGCCTTTGGAGCCTTCTCGAAACGTCACAATCAGGTGCCTTCTTCTCGGCCGATAAGACTCACAGAGGGCCGTGCGAGAGCCCGCCCGAGCACGTGACTCGCAACGCACAACCACGCAGCGGCTGTTCTCTTGTCCCTAAGCTCGAACCACGGCAGGCTCATCCGTCGCTATATACCATGAGCGGGGCCGCTGTGGCAAAGCTCTTCGGCATCAGTCACGAAGCACTCTGACTGATGGGTGTTTGTTTATTCACGTCGCCTGCGAGCGTGCTCCGCATCTGCCAGCTGTGAGCGTTGGGCAAAACCAAGACTGATCTTCGCAGACTGCACGAGGGCATCGATTTGGAGCTCAAAGTCCCACTCGTGACTACTGATGAAGAGAAGTCGCCTTACAGGTCGACGGGGCACCAATCGTGGAGGGGACATTAAGCTGGTGATTCGAAACTCACTCGACCTTCGTCTTGCAATTAAGCTGCGAAGAGGTGGGCGTCGGGACGATCACTCGATCAAATCCGCTGTGAATCACGAATGTATCGCTATAGGCCGGACGAATTGCCAAGAAGTGCATGAAACTTAAAAGCGCACTGCGACATCATCGTCTCGGTTCCGCAACAAAGGAAAAAGGCAAAAAGCTCTGAGCTAGCTGCGCTCCGGCAAGCTTCACCCGCCAAGATGCTCCCCCGGTGTCTCGGCGATGACTTTCCATATCATCCCCACACAGTACAGTACCGGTACAGAAGGTCGCACGCTTGCCTCGACTCTTGCGTGCTGTAGTTGATCCCGTCGAGTCGCCTCGGCGTCTGAAGCTGGCTGAAGTATCACCACGATCCTTGATTTGACTGGCCATCGTGAATGACACGGTGCGCAACTATGCTTTTCGTCGTACACAACACGAGTGGAGGCTCGCGAGCCCTTCCCTTTCAAACTCACTTGTGATTAAAGGACGCGCGCCTTCGTGGATGCCCCGGAAGACGCCGCCCGAGGGTGAGGATCAGCCTGGAAGCTTGCGTGCGAACCTTCACGGTCGTCACTGGACTGCCTTGACCGTGCGCTCGCTCCCAGCTCGACTCCTCATCATCGTTGGAAGCATTAAAGGCCAGAAGCGGGAAATTTCGTTGGGCTGTTTGGCAGTTTTCATTCGCGATTTGATTCGTGATTCAGTTGATTGTCAGCTGATGATGCTTCATGCTCCGCGTCATGTGACGTGCCGCTGCTGCTCAATATGCAAGGCCCATCATCAAGACCCGCGGGCACTCGCACTCGCACAGTCGTGAGTACTCGATCGCGACTTTTCGGTTGATGTGACGTTTCCCTTTCCTGCATGCACGTCATCCATGCATGTCCTATTTCCAGAGTCTGATGAGTTCGACCTATAATAAGCTGCGCGCGAGCCTAGGGAACGCCGGCTCACGACTGTTCGAGCAAATCGTTGCATCTTGCTTGCTTGCTTGCTTGCAGGCCGCAGGTAGGTGCTCAGGGCTCTCTATACATGTCTATGAATGGGCTGCGATGCATCGTATGTGGCTTCGTGAGATGAGTGCTTGGCAGCTTCACGATCGAGTGGCGGACGTTGCGATGCCGTAGGTGGCACAACGAATACGAACTTCGCACAAGAGTCGTGAGTCTGTTGTGACTGATCATGAGTGAGCGATCGACCAGCATGCATTCGACCAGTCACGCTTGTAGAAGCGAACTTGCCCGGCCGAGTCAGTCAGAATTTGATGAGTCTGGTTGCCATTTCGGATGCCCGGGCCTTTCATGGAGGATGCGCGCATTGCGCCCGAAGGTCTGGCGCTGCCTGCATAGACACCAGTCACGGTACAAGTCACGCTTCGACGGAATTCCGCCGGGGCGAGTCACCGTGCAGCAATCAAGAATTACTGTAGGATGTGTGTCGTCTCATGAGTCCAATTCCGCCATCCTCTGACTCGTTTTTTTGATTCAAGATTGACCTTCTTGATTCGAGATTGGCGATCAAGTGTGCTGTGGACAACCCAATAAGACGCCTTTGGCGTAGACTCGGCTGGCGCCAGCACTTTGGTAGCAATATCACGTCACGAGAGTGTGTCTCGATCAGTCATCAGTCAGTTTGAGTGATGAGTCTCGAGTATAGTTGTACGCGGCCAGGGGTGGGAAAAAGCGTGTGTGTGACTCGTCCCTCGACTCTTCATGTTGCCACGCCTCCTGCAGGTGTGTTGAGCTAAGGTGCAAGAAGCGCGGTTTTATCAACAAAATCGGGTCCAAATTAGAGCGCACGGATGCTGCCCTTTACAAATCGCTGAAAGCATTCATTCAAGATTCAAACTCGAGGCTACGGTCGAAGCAAAACAAAAGTCCAACACGCGCGGAAAGAATCAAATGATTGATGTGGAACGATGAGGTGCGGGCACGGGAGCAGACTCGCGGAACCAAGACCCACGACTCGTACAACGCAGCTCACGACTCTCGGATATGAGACCCGCCCGCTCGGCCGGCCTTTTCGGACGGGTTACTACGCTCGTATATAGTTTGTATGTATCGCGGCCCTCAGTGATTGCACGCGGAAGAATAACCGGAAGAAGACGCGATTCAACATGTCCTATCCCAGCCAGCACAGCAGGCTGCTGCTGCGCCTCGCTTGGGATTGACGAGGTGTCATCGTCAGCAGCCGACGCTCGCGCCAAGGCATGCGATCTGTGAACATCTTTCAGCATTTCATTATTTTATTGGTAGTCTATAGGTACATTAGACCGCACGTACCCCTGCAGCAAGCGACATCAGCTCACTCCGCCGAGGCCGACAGATGGGAAAATGTTGCTTGTACGAACGCCTCTCCGGTATCCTACGCGTGATGCACCTGATTAGAGTTTTTGTCACCAGCAGTAGTAAATCTTCCAAATGACACTCGTGTCTACTCTGACTCACTTGACTCGATTGGGGAGTGATGCGAGATGACACATCGTGTCGCACAAGTACGCAGCCATGAGTCACAGGGAGCTTCGATGCCCACATCCGCGCTGCTTTCTTCAGCTTTTCGACTCAAGCAAAGCATGAGCTACCGTACAGGCGCAGGAGCAAGCTTGCAACAGCTCTCGATCCAGATCTGCTCATGTTTCGGGCTTTGCCCGCGCGTCATGCACGAAGAGTCATCCATGAGAGGCGCGCCCGCATTGAGCAGCGCCAATCTTGAATCTGTGCTGCCTCGATGACTCTACTCATCGCAGCAGCAGCAGCAGCAGCATCTGATGCATGCAGCCTTCTCCGCATGCATGACTCTTCTGGCTTTCTCGCAGTAAAGCTCCTTGGCCGAGCAGCTCAACGCAGCTCACGCATTATGCTCGGTGAGCTCCGGCGCCCAACATCCGCAAGGCACAATTTGAGCCCGCCATTGGTGATTGGACCGCGCGTTCTCTCCCTGCACCTGCATCATGGGTGCTGCTGCTGACACGGATCCTTCGTCCCGTGGATGCACGACAAAACGCTGAAATCGGGATGTCCAAAGCCGAGCACAAAGCCGAGCACCCTGGCATGACTTCGGCTCACTTTCGATCAAAGCTAAGATTTGTATGTGGTCACACCGCCACCGCGCGAGGTGCAACTCGTGACTCTTGGAGTTGGAGTTGGGACTAACAGTCTATATAAAGCACGCTCTCGGTCGCTGCATTGATCTCTCCGCTTTCCCCCAAGTGAGCAACCGTGGCTTACGGCGAAGTCGGGATACACTCGCCCCTCCTTCCGCAGGTATAGAGCGCTTATCAATCACCAACGCCAGGTAGACGAATCAGTCACCATCTACCTCCTGACTGCGCACTCCCCACTTTCAAACCTCTCCGCCATCCAAGACACAACCTCCTCATCCGCATTCGACTCACACATCATGTCTTCTTTGCCAGCTGGCGAGGGCGGTGTCGGTGGTCCCGTTAGCCACTCTGCCCCCTTGACGGCTGCTGGTGAGCGCAATGAAGCGCACAGCTCTTCGCCCACCGATGTCGAATCGTCCAGCATCGAAGAGTCACTGGAGAATCACGGCGAAGGCGTCAATGTGGAGCGCGCCAAGGAGGAATTTGCCAACCTCGGCCGCACTCTCAGCACTGAAGCTCGCGCCGCTGAGAAGGAAAAGGACATCGAGGGCGCTAGCGACGACGACGAATTCAGTCTTCTCGACTACCTCCAGAGCAACACATCTGCCTCCAGCCAGGCTGGCATCAAGCGCAAGCGTGTCGGCGTCGTCTGGGAAAACCTGGAAGTCCTCGGCATGGGCTCTCTGACTTTGGGCGTCCGAACTTTCCCCGACGCGCTCGTGCAGAACTTTGGTGCACCCCTTTTCATGATACTCCAATTGCTCAAGGTGGATCTGCTCAAGCTGGGACAGCGCAAACTGCTTCAAAACTTCAATGGTTCAATGCGTCCAGGCGAGATGACCCTCGTGCTCGGTCGACCAGGCTCAGGTTGCTCCACCTTCCTCAAGACTATAGCCAACGAACGCGGTGGATACATTGGCGTCAACGGCGAGGTCACTTACGGGGGCATGCCCGCCAAGCTCTTCACCAACAGGTACCCGGGAGAAATCGTCTACAATGAAGAAGATGACAGGCATTTCCCCACTCTCACCGTCGGCGAGACTCTCGAGACTGCACTCAGACTCAAGTCTCCCGGTCGCTTGCTCCCAGGCGAGTCGAAGAAGGAATTCAGGGAAAAGGTCGTCAACATGCTCCTCAGCATGCTCAACATCAGGCATACACGCGACACCAAAGTCGGTGACGCCTACGTACGGGGTGTGTCTGGCGGTGAACGCAAGCGCGTCTCGGTCGCTGAGATGCTCTGCACGCGTGCTGCCGTCTTGTCTTGGGACGGGCCTAGCCGCGGTCTCGACGCCAGTAGTGCTCTGGACCTCGCCAAGAGTCTTCGCATCCTCACGGACGTTCTTGGCCTTTCCACTTTCGTCTCTCTCTACCAAGCGGGCGAGGGTATCTATGAGCAGTTCAACAACGTGATGGTCATCACTGAAGGTCGCTGCGTCTACTACGGACCCAGGGAGCAATGCAGACCGTACTTCTGGAGCCTGGGCTACAAGGACCTCCCCCGCCAAACCAGTGCTGATTACGTCGCTGGCTGCACTGACAAGTACGTTCGTGTCTTTGCCGACGGCCGCGACGCGTCCAATGTCCCCTCCACGCCCGAGGCCCTTGAGGCGGCTTACCAAGCAAGCGACATCTACCGGAAGGTCATCGCGGACAAGGATACGTACAAGTCTGAGCTCGAGAAGGACTCTAGCGCAGCGGAGGAGTTCCGCCAAGCCGTGATGGAAGACAAGAACCATGGTGTCGGCAAGAAGAGTCGATACACTGTCAACTATTTGCAACAGGTCAAGGCCCTCTGGATCAGACAAGTCCTAATGATCCTCAATGATAGGAGGGATCTTGTCATTGCCTACATCACCTCACTCATTCTCGCATTGGTCATCGGTTCTCTATTCTACCAGATCGAGGTCAACGCAGCTGGCGCCTTCACTCGCGGTGGTGTCATCTTCATCACGCTGCTCTTCGGATCTCTCAGCGCCTTTGCGGAATTGCCAACTCAGATGGGAGGCCGCCCGATCCTTTTCAGACAAAGCCACGGATTCGCGTTCTATCGTCCCTCGGCTCTCACTATCGCCCATCTTGCCGCAGATTTCCCGACTGGTATTCCCAAGATCACAATGTTCGTCATCATCATCTACTTCATGGCTGGTTTGAGGTACACCGCAGGTGCCTTCTTCACCTTCTGGATCCACGTCATCCTAGCGAACTACACTTTCCGAGCGCTTTTCTCGCTGTTCGGAACTGTCTGCAGGTCTTACGACGTTGCGGCGCGTCTCGCCGCATCAGTCATGTCTGGTCTTGTGCTGTTTGCGGGCTACGTGCTTCCACGCGATGCCATGCCTCGATGGCTCTTCTGGTGAGTGGTCACTCCTGCTCGCTCGCTCACGTCTCATTACCCCATAGCTGAACCATCGCTTGACGCTACGCCCCTCTCAGGATTTCTTACTTGAACCCAATCTACTACTTCTTCGAAGCGTTGATGCTGAACGAGTTCCGTGGTCTCGACCTCGCATGTGATGCCGCATCCGGTTATCTTGTGCCTTCGGGATTTCCCCAGTACAACAACATCCAGTACCAAACATGTACTCTGCAAGGAGCGGAGCTTGGGCAGACCTCAGTTCGAGGTATCGACTACCTGCGCGAGTCGTTTGGCTTCGAGCTCTGGCATCAATGGCTCAACCTCGGCATCGAATTCATCTTCTTCTTTGGCTTCACTGCTCTCACCGCATTCTTTGTTGAGACAATGGAGCAAGGATCGTACTCTTCGGCCATCGTTTTCAAGAAGAAGCCCAATGCAGAAGAGCAGAAGCTCAACGCCCGTCTCTCTGAGCGTCGTGAGCTGGTCCTCGAAGGCAAGACGGACGAAGTCGAACTCAAGGCAGAAGGACGTGCGTTCACCTGGGAGAATCTTTCGTACACCGTACCTGTCAAGGGCGGGCAAAGACAATTGCTTGACAACATCAACGGCTACTGCGTACCCGGATCTCTGACCGCTCTCATGGGCGCCAGTGGTGCAGGAAAGACTACTCTTCTTGACGTCCTTGCTGATCGCAAGAGCGTCGGCAAAATCGAAGGCGACCGTCTGGTCGAAGGACGTCCAGTCGACACGGAATTCCAACGCGCTTGCGGATATGCTGAGCAGCAAGATCTGCACGAGCCTACTGCCACGGTCCGAGAAGCCCTTCGATTCAGTGCATACCTGCGTCAAGACTACCACACGAGCGAGGAGGAGAAGAATCAGTACGTCGAAGACATTATCGAGCTCATGGAGATGCAAGACATTGCCGATGCTATGATTGGATGGACCGTCGCTGGTCTTAGCGTCGCGGATCGCAAACGTGTCACCATCGGTGTCGAGCTGGCAGCCAAGCCCAACCAGCTGCTCTTCCTCGACGAACCCACCAGTGGTCTCGATGGTGCATCTTCCATGACCATCGTCCGTCTTTTGCGCAAGTTGACCCACGCAGGTATGACTATCCTCTGCACAATCCACCAGCCTAGCAGTCTTCTGTTCGAGCACTTCGATCGCCTTCTGCTGCTGGAGCGTGGTATCATCAACAGCGATGGTACCAGCACTGGCGGGCGCACGGTCTACTTTGGCGACATCGGAACTGGCTCCCAGCACCTCATCGACTACTTTGAAGCCAATGGCGCCAAGATGCCTGCCGACGTCAACCCTGCGGAAGCAATGCTCGATATCATTGGAGCTGGATCTCAAAAGCGTGTTGGCCCTCGTGACTGGGCAGATATTTACAACGAATCAGAGCTCAACCGCGTTAATTTGGAGAAGATCCAGGAGATCAAGCGAGACTGCCTCGAAAAGCCCTCGCAGCGAGGTCATATTTCCGAATATGCCACCCCGTTCATGTACCAGATCAAGACTGTCGCCAACCGCACATTCTTGGTCAGCTGGCGCACTCCCGACTACCAATTTACTCGACTGTTCCAGCACGGCGCTTTTGCTCTTTTCACTGGTCTCGTCTTCCTCCAGCTCGGCAACAACGTCGCAAGCATCCAATTCCGCATCTTCGGTATCTTCATGACCGCGGTCTTGCCGGCTATCATCTTGGCATCCATTGGTCCTATGTACATCATCGCACGTTCCACCTTCTTGCGAGAGAATTCTTCCAAGATGTACACGCCAGTCGTTTTCGCTCTCACGCAAATGATGGCCGAGATTCCATACGGAATCTTGTGCGCTGTCGTCTACTTCTTGCTCTTCTACTTCGTCACAGGTTTCCAATCGGACTCCAACCGCGCCGGCTATTTCTTTGCCCTTCTTTTGGTCTTGGAATTCTTCTCCATCGGCCTTGGTCAAGCGATGGCTGCGCTTACTCCTTCAATCTACGTCTGCACGCTTTTCATTCCGTTCATCGTCCTAACCTTCAGTCTGTTCTGCGGCGTCACCATCGTCTACGCCACCATGACGCCATTCTGGCGCGCCTGGCTGTACTGGCTGAACCCGCTTACACACACTGTTGGAGGATTCATTGCAAACGAGCTGCAAGATCTCAGGATTCGATGCGACCTCAACGAATTCGCCATCTTCGACCCACCAAGCGACCAAACTTGTCAAGCGTATGCAGCAGACTTCTTGCGCACTGCCACCGGCTACTTGGACAATCCAGGAGACTCTGAAGCTTGCCGATACTGTCAATACGAGTTCGGCCAGGAATTCTTCGCACCGATCAATGTCAGCTTCGCAAATCGTGGTCGCTCGATCGGTATCATGATTGCCTTTGCGGCATCAAATTGGATCATCACGGTTCTTGCCGCCAAGTATACTCGATTCGCAAACAGATGAACAAAATTGCGTCGTTGCCTCATCGTCGGTTCGTTGGGTGCAACCCATCGACCGCGTACATACTGCTTCCACACATAGATTGATACGCCACTTTAGTGCTTCCGATCGGCGCAAGCAGCTCCCGCTAGTTTCTTCCTACCAATACGATTTCCACGCTACCATGTAAGATCTCAATAGACTACGCGCGAGTCAGACCAGAGCAGCAATCAATACCCGTAAATGTGATGAAGAGCGGACGGTAGTGTGCGAAGCGCATCGGCTTCCTTTGTGAAGAAGTGGCGCGAATGACCCTGCCAAAGCACTGAGACCTAAGGGGACCGCAGCGGCGCAGCCAGCGCACATGTTCCACACAATTAGTACACACACAAGTCTCTAGCGCAGCTGACTTGGGAGCGAAGAAGCGCCCCTGCAAATGTCGATGCTGGACGACACCACGGAATGTTGACGTTCAGTGAGTTGTGGCCAGCAGGCTGGTTTGGCACGTGTGACGATGTATGATGTACGTAGAGATGAAGGGGCGCGGGTACGGATACAAGGTGTGACGCGTTTGAAGCGGGGAGGCGAAACGAGAAGCGCCGGAATAGGTCTTGCAGTGGCGCGAGGGATTGCTTTGCGCATTTTCTACGTGGTGACACTCGTCGTGCTTAGTCAATCAGATGAGTTGTAAGACCAAGACGAGGAGATGTCCAGCTCTGCCATGCCTTTAGCCAAATCTTGTGACCGCCAATTCTAAGCGAGGTACGCGACAAAGGGCCCACCTCAGTCGTCGCGCATGAATCGGGAGCAGGCGCGCAGAAGGTGTCCTTCTCACTCACCGCTCCTTCGGACTCGATGTAACTGAAGATCATTGGCACACTTTCCGACATGCATCTCTCCTCAGCCTCGGTGAGAGGCATTTCGGGCACTTTCGCCAGGCGACTGTCTATTTCACTAAGAGGTAGATCGTTACGCCCCTGCAGAATTTCCGCATCGTAGTATTCGGCCAAGGCTTGGCGTGTTTCGTCCTGAGCTTGCGAGATGACTTCGTGCAGGTCCTCGAGGGCTGTCCTTGAGATTTAGGGTCTTGAAGTACTTTTTGCAGAACTGCAATACGAAATTGGCAAATCAGTCATGCGCGCGATCCCTAGATCGAGAGAGTACGGAATAGTTGACTAACCACAGGAAATCCAACCGCGGACCAAGATGACTCTTTGCTGTGCTGATTCCTTAGATCTTCGCTGAGCTCTTCCAGTCTAGCTTCGTTAGCCACAAGCCATACCAGAATGTAGAATGATGATTCAAGGTCGTCACAATATCGATGAGTGAGCGAAAACAATTCTTTGTAGCTGTGCCTCCAAAGCAAGTCCTGCTTCACAGCTTTGGACTCATGATGGTTCCAGTGCCCTGAATGCCTTTCGCACGCGGCCTGATTTCGCCGAGCTTCCCTCACATGGGCAAGCGCATGCCCAAATTCGGAGCTTGCTGTCTTCGCCCTTTCCATGCCGGATGGGACAAAGAAGGAGTTGACCGACCGAGCGTCATCTTGGACAAGCTTGGGCAGAAAGCCGTCCGAGGATGACGCCTTGCCACGATGCACGCTGCCATATTTGCGGACATTGCCGTGATCAACAAGAAGGAGGACAGCTTCGCGCTGCTCATTGTACCTCATGAGGATATTTCCTGTGTTGAGATCTCTGTAGTGAAACCCAGCCTTGCATAGGCAAGGAGCTGCTCGGAAAGCTGTCTGAAGATCCGAGACATGTCTGAAATTTTCAGACTGCGAGGAATCTGGTCGCCTCGATGCTGAAGAAAGACCACAGCGTATGCGGCTACCCGGCCTTTTGAGGCAGGCTTTTTGCCCGCCGGAGGCTTCTGGTCGCTGATTGTGTAGGAAGTGGACGTGGTCCAGCCCAGCTCAAACGAGACGAGAGGCAGAGGCGCGCCGCTAGCGCCGCTGAGCTCGGTCAGAATTTGGTGCTCGTGGTCGGCAAGACGCTCTGGTAGCCAGCTACATTTGACGAAGACGAACTTGCCGCGGTGCTCATGCGAGCTGCCGGAGCAATCGTCGCTGATTTCAGCACCAAAGACAACCGTGCGAGAGCCGTTCAAAGCTGGTCGGACGTTCACGATGCGAGATCGAAGGATGTGGTCTGGGCTGAGACGTGCCTTTCTCGCGGCATCTTGAAGAATTTTTTGGCTTTTGACAGGCGTCCACCGTGGCAGAATGGTCTCTTCTCCTGAAAGCAGGAGATGCAGCAGTTTGCCAAGCTCATCGAGCTCCAGCTCAGAGCTCACAGATTTGTCGCCTACCTCCAAAGCTCGGGATAAGACCACGCCATTTGCGTTGAATTGCCAAAGCCTCACTTTCAATCCGGTCCATGATACGACGTGAACCCAACGCGCAAATGGATGCGCGATCAGGAGCTGGCGCTGCGATTCAAAATGGTGTGAAGGAAGGGTGGAAAGACCCCCCATCAGTGATAGACGGGTGGGCGAGGTCGATAGATGGACTTACCGCGTACCTCAGCATCTGGCCGACCATTTCGCTATCGAGGTCGCTCTTGGTCAGGCGCTTTACTTCGATCACACCGACGTACTGTAACCAAGGATGCATATGTGCTGGCATGTCGGGGAAAGACTTGTCTCCTATTACAGTGTCCTTGTCCAGGAGATTATCGCAGATGGAATTGAAGCGGGTGGCTTGCAGCCCAATGTCGGGTTTGTTGCGCTAACCGTTACTGCTCTGTGCATATCGAGTGCAGAATTTTTGTTGAAGTTAGCGAAGCAATGCTGCAGGCTGAGCTTTGCCTTCCCTTCAGCTCACCAGCGTGACATTTCCCTGCGAATGAGCCGTGACCTCGAGGCTTCCCAGCTCAAGAGCTGCTTTCTGGAGATCCGATGTCGCCTCTGGGCTCAGTGTCACTGCCTCGATTTGCTGTCCTGCGGTACGTTGAATGCCGGTCTGCCTGAGTTGCTTCAACTGCCTTGTGTATTCGTTGAGAACATCGATGATATTGCCAACCAGCACATCCTCAGTCTTGTTGCCGTCTACGCTTTGCCGCAAGGCTCGCAGCGCGCACTGCATGCTAGGAGACTGCATACATCCACGACTCCAGGCACACCGCGCCTGCGCTTCTGGTCCGCTCCACTCCAGCACAAGCTGTCTCCGATCTACCCGGCATCGCGAGTCCTTAAGCAGCTGATGACTAATTTCCTTGGCCGAAGGTGAGGATAATGACTTCGCTTTGCCAGGTGATGGGCGGAAGGCCGCAGAAGCTCGCCAATTTTGCCATCTCGAAGCTCGTTTCTCAACCTTCGGAGTCCACCCTCTCATGCTGTCTCTGCTTGATCTGTCATGATATTGCGGAGTTTCCCCATCCAAATCGGCGAAGCGCAATGAGAGGGACATCCTCGCAAAACCACCTGCCCCTACAGCGGCTGTGCGAGCGACGTGCACAGCAGGTGTGCGACCGTGGTCTGCTTTGCGCAGCGTTGACACATCGACTTCGGCGTCGAATGGAAGAGCAGGGGCCCAGGATGGTGGACATGGGTGCGTTGCGCGATGGACTGGCATGTGGCTCGACGCCCACCTGTGATTATTTTGACGCTCACACTCACCCACGCTGTCCTAGACGCGCAGACGCGCATCACAACGCGCCATCTCCCCAGTCACGTGCTCCTGCCAAATGGTCAAGAGGCGGATTCTTGATTGTGCACGAAGGCTCATCGTGCTCTTCTTTTGAGCCTACCACCATCATCAGTCACGAGTCCAAGAGAGTCTTGAGTCAGCGCCTGCTTCGTGCTATGCATCCCCCATTGTCTTCGAGTCAGTGGCTGCACCGTTGCACCGCTCATCGAGGCAGCATGTGACTGTCAAAGTCAACGTCAGCCTTGTCGCGCCACGAGAGGCGCAAGTCAAGGAGAGTGACAAGCTGACAAGCAGCACAGTCCCCAACGGCCAATCGTACGTGGCTACTGGCGGGGGCCGAGGGTGCAAAGGCATGTGCGCAGTCATGGGTGTCGAGCAGCGCCTTCATGATCGATCACATCTGCGTCTCACCTTCCGCTGAAGACTACCACTCCGCGTCGCAGTAGTACTTATAGGCATCCGGTATGGGTGCGCAAGTTTGCCGGAATCTGTAACAGTCACGAATTGATTGAGCCATGTCGGGAACCGGATCGAAATTGCATCAGCAAGGTGCAATCCAAGTTCAATGGTAATCAAATTCCTGATTGTTCACCGATCCACTCGAGGTTGAAATTAAATCAAACCGAAAACAAAGTCTTGGACCAGGCGGGGCTTGACTGGCCGGATCACGCAAAGCGCTATTCACGCGGTGGGGGGAGGTGAAGCTGGGCAACCTCTGCCACTCGATCTGCTCGCGACGCACGGTCAAGGTTCATACAGGCTCTCAAAGGCAGCTCTGGCCTAATTATAGAAGCCATACCCGGAGCCAAAAGTGGACCATTTGGAGAATCTCTGAATCGAGTCGGCCGGCGTGTGGCTGAGATTCCGCACACGCAGCATGCATCCAAGCCATGCACCGCCATACGAGCCGTGCTTGCATGCTGGGCGTTGCGCAAGTACACCCATCAGGATCGATCTCGTAAATACTCTCACGACTCGAGGGCGCGGATTCGCTAGGCGACTGCGCGCTGCATATATGGTATATGGAGCGTTGCACCTCGGACCCAGAGCGCTTCGATGAATCCCATGATTGTGGAACGCGCTACCTCGACACTTTGAGGGGCGCGGATCAAGGGGCGCCTTTATCCAAGCTGCTCAAGCCGGTTTCATATAACAAAGTTACTCTGGTTACTCGTCCCAAGCGCCGGCTTGTTGGCTTCAACCGTGGGCTAGAGACTAGGACAGACGCATACATGCTGCCGTGAGGCGGCAGCTGCGACAGTCAACTCGTGACTAATCCAGTCAAGCGTCTTGACTCAAAGACCCACGACTTTGACATCGACTACGTCGCCTTGCAGGCCCAACCAAGTCTTGGAAAGTGTCACACGATCGACCAACAAGTGAGCGGAAAAGATTCAGCGTAGCAACGTGTCGAAAGAGTCGCAATCAAGAATTGAGTTTGCGTTCCGACTCAAGAGTCGCGGTACCTGATTCACTCACCGTTCAAAGCCTCACCCCGGCCTTCCAAGCACGATCCAACCAGCATCCGGGACAGCAGAGCAGCACGACGGCAATCCAGTCAAAGTCGTAGTGCTGCTGCGAATAATCTAGCTGATTGCGCTTGTCCGCCATTACATTTCAGGGCGATATTTAGATTCGAGGTGTGCGCTATAATAGGCTACACATCAGCTGGGCGGCACAGACGACGACGCATCTGTGCATGCATGGCCATTCGTGATTCCATCAGCCAAAGTGGCTCTGGACGCCACACACAAAGTTCAATACAGCCTGCAAAGTGGTATGGCTACGCCCGTTGAAATCAAATGGACGCTCAACAAACTCCGGGTATGGTATGTATATTTCAGGCGGCCCATGCCATTCAACCATTTTGACTCACGACGTTGAACGCAGACGTCGGTCGTTGACGATGAGCCTCACGGAAGAAGATAGCTGCATAGGTGAGTATCAATCAAGTCTCACTCGAATGACACTAACGAATGTGACGGTGTGGCATCAGATGCGTGTTGGGGCATTCATTTGCTAGTCACGACTTTTTGACTGTCAAAGCGCCCCCTCTGACCTGGTCCACCTCGAACGCTTGACTTTACATTGACAGGCTGCTGCACATCGCCCCCGCCTCCTCTTAAGTCGAGCACATCCGTTCCCCTCACCTCCTTCCAGCCTTACCGTCACCTCTTCCTTCTCGACCAAATTTGCCCGCAAAGCGTGCAGCTCCGGCCGCTCCGCCTTTACAGCACACTTCAAAGACCACACTGCTCTTCCTGTCCACGCCCACGCTCGCGACAGCATGGCAGATGCCATGGATCCAGCAGCCGTTCCGGTGCCGCTGCTTGATGAGGAGCGAATCGAGTACATCGAAGCTTCTCGCCAAGAAATGGCGCTCAACTGCACCTTGACCGGCTTCCTCTTTGCCCTGCTCATCGTCTTTGTCCTCTTCAGCACCACCATCACCCGCAAGACTTTTCTCTTTTGGTGGCTCGTAGGATGCGCCATTGCGACCATTATCCAGGGCATCCTGATGGCTATTGTGAGCAATGCTGACAGCATGATCCGCCGTCAACGATCTCCAAAGTGTGTTGCAGTGGCTGACGGAAGACATTTCGACCGTCTTGTATAGGAAGCAAACGTCCTTTTCCTTGCCACTCAGTCGCAGGAGTCTTTGTCCCTTCAAATGTGAGTGTGGGCCTCGCCGAGATTTCTCATTGTGCTTGCTCTGAGAGCCAAACATGGTCGGCTTCGAATCGTCTGCAGCTCGACCATGATCCTCACCGATTGGCTACCGCTGTTCATCGACGCGAGTCTCATCGTGAGTCTTTGGCCTTTCAGACTTGGATCACGTTATACGCGATCAAGTCTAACAATCCGATCTCATCGCTCCAGTTCAAATTGCTTGCCTTCTACCCACGTTCGAGCGCCAGCAACAACAAGCGACTTGCCGTGGTGGCCTTTCCAGTCCTTGTCAAGATCCCACGTCTCATCTGCTTGATGTACGTCGTCATCACGTACTTCGCGAAACCCTCCATCTTCAAGTCTTATCTGTGAGTAGTCGGCAAAGGGGGGGGGGGGGGGGGGGGGGGGGGGGGGGGGGGGGGGGGGGGGAAACGTCGCGCCAGGATTTGACCGTCGAAGATCGCTTTGCGCCCTGCAGACTAGTCGTCGAGTGGAGTCTGCAGCTCGCAGACATCACCTACTGCTGCGCTTTCCTAATCTGGAAGCTGTCCAACCTTCGAGCTGCCTTCCACCGTCAGCATCCAAATTCGACAAACACAGCCGGTCTTCGCAACACTTCTCGCGTCAGGTCTCAGTTGCAATTCCTGATCGAGTCGATCTGCTGCGCTTTCATGCTGCCATGCCTCACCTGCGCTCTTCAGATTGGTCTGTACTACACGCATCCAGAAAGTTTCGGACCGATCGTCAATTGTCACGTCTACCTCTCGTGCATCGGTGCGCTGCTCGCCACCGTCTGGTCCTCGATTCGCGATCAGACGAGTCGTCGCACGCTCTTTCTCAACGGATCGAGCAACGCTTCTTCGGAAAAGGGCAGCGGAGGAGACCCTTTACGTTCGCCAGGTTACAGACGTCAAGCAGAATCGCCAAGCAGAAGCGAGACGACCAGAACGTTGTTGGATCAAATCTTTTCCGATCCCATGCACGACATTGAGACGCAGCAGACGGAACCCATGGAAATGCTCATGACCAACCCGTCCGTCAATGAAGAGGCCGCCAGCTCAACCATGAAGCTTAGAAACGTTAGAAGGAACAGCGCTACGCCCAATGGCGCACCCACTCAGCTCCGCAAGGTCGAGCCCTACGAATCATCAAAGACGCTCGCGGGAACGTCGAGATCCAATTCGGTCGAGCGCAGCTCTGACGAGTAGATGCAGAACAATCCGACCGCAAACACACCATGAGAGTGTTCTTTGACCCTGCCTTTCCGCCCTCGCCCAAGACCATTTGTAGAGAGTGGCCTCTTCTTCTAGAGATTCTCGAGCTCAAGACCTCGCATTCCTCGTTTCCCTTTACATGTTCGCGTCTCTTCAACGCGGCGCGCTCTTCTGTAAAGTCTCGCTGCCCATCACGTCACGACTCGCAACCGATCGAGCAATGCGATGATATTTGCTTGACAAAAGGTCTGAACAAATCATGCCCAGAATTCTTTCTGTTCTCCTAGACGAAAAGTATCTTCGGTTCTCCTCGACCTTTCGCAAATCAAGGACTAGGCCAGCGTCGAGAAGATCGAGCTCACTCGTGCAGCTCGACATAGTTGGCTGGGAAGAGACCTGCCTGTCCCGTAGCCGAGCTGGTACCGCTCCACCACTCTTCGCTCTCAAACACGATCCCAACAATCGTTTCTCCCTCCTGAAGCGTAAGCTCGTTCTCTTCGTCCGCTTCGTAGGCGTAAAGCGCCGTGGCTGTCGGACCAGCTGGCTCTTGAGCTGCCGCCGCTGGTGGAGCTGGGGGCGCGGGCGGTGCGGGCGGTGCGGGAGGCGCAGCAGGAATTGCAGCGACTGGCTCAGCTGCTGGTGGGGGTGGAGGAGGAGGAGGAGGGGGCGGTGGAGGCTTTGTATGATGGAGTGAGATGCGTTTCCATGTCAGAGATGCAACGAGCTGATAGAAATCAAGACGTCGATTGCGCTCACAGGTACCTCTTCCGCCGCCACAGGAGGGGCTGCAGGAGCCGCAGGCGGCTTCTCGCGAGGAGCAGACAAGTCCAGAGACGGTGTGAGCGAGACGTGCAAAGCCGTCACTTGCGAAATACCTTACTCACAGCAGGAGGCGCAGGAGGTGGTGGAGGAGGTGGTGGTGCAGCCTCTTCTCCTGCCGCGCCATCGATAGCAGACTCCCCTTCGATCACCTCGACGTACGTCGCCGGGAACAGACCCTCGCTTCCATCCGGAGCAACACCGCTCCACCAACCCTCGTCCGGCTGTTGAATCGAAGTGATAGTATCGCCTTCTCTGAACGAGATCTCATTCTCTTCTGTCGCGTCGTAGCTGACGAGTGAATGCGATGATCCGGGCGTCAGACAGCTCGACAAGGACGCGAAGAAAACAAGGCAAGCTAACACTCACTCGTAGACCGCGACAGCACGCAGACCAGCTGCTCCGCTCGCAGGTGCGGCAAGTGCCTCGGCAGTCTGCGGAGCCAACTTGGTGTCGTCTACTTGTTTCGCCAATTGAGCGACGTCGGGCTCGGCAGACGGTGGCGCAGGAGGGGCGGGAGGCTACATATGGTGGGCGTTGAGAATGTATGGTAAGCATCTAAAATAGTGGCTGGGACGGCTTTCATACTTACAGCTGCAGGTGCTGGAGGAGCAGCTGGAGCCGGGGGAGGCACCACAGTCGCAGCTGCTCCAGCCAAGCTTTTGACTCTAGCCTCTTCCTCCTCCCTCTCCTTCTTAGCAGCCTCTTGTCTCTGACTCCAGGTGAGTCCTCCGCTTGGCGCACGAGGTGCGGGTCCAGCAGCTGCGGCGGGGGCCGAAGGTGAGCTGCTAGCATTCGCGCTAGGGTTCCATCTGTTGGCTCCCAGCTTGCCGGGCTTTCCGATTCGGACCGGCTCGTAGGCCGTTCCCACGGGACCTATGCGATCTTCTGCTGCAGGCTTCGCAGGCGCTTCTGGCGCAGCAGAGCGCACAACAGTCGCGGCAGGCTGCTACGGTCAAAGCCGCCACGCGTATGGATTGTTTTAGCTTCTCGGAGCAATCGAAATGGAGAGCCAGGAGATCCGTCACTCACTTGGGAAGGAGCTGGTGGTACAGAACCGATAATTCCGCCAACCTTGGGAGCACCAAAGCCGCCAGTGGATGTCGCGGGAGCAGCAGGAGCTGGAGGTGCTGCAGGAGCAGCAGGAGTGTAAGGCTGAGTCACTGCGGGTCTGGGGGCAGGGGGCGGAGCTGATGCCGTAGCAGCTGCATTTGCGCGGATGTTGGCTAGATCGTCCTTGCGCGAGGTGTATGCCGTGCCCTGGCCAGGCGAAGGAAGGAGTGATGTGAAGGGTGCAGAAGATGGGTCTCAACTCAAGAAGCTTCGGACGATGCCAAGAAGCCAGTCGAAACTCACCACAGGCTCGATGCGCCCACCGCGCTGAGTGTTTGCAGCATCGCCAGCAGCCGAGTACTTGCTACCACCGCTGTCTGCCACCTTCTTCATGATGGCCTTTGCGTCCAGATCAGCTTCCGTCCTCGCATTGACACTGACATGATAGCCTCTCAAGAACTTGGCAACGTCCGCAGAATGGCTTGGAAAGAGACCTTTGCGATTCACGGGCACGCCTTCTCCGCACCAGTTGATCAGGACGTACTTTGGAAGATTGCTGTTGGGATCCACCACTCGTATGAAACCGTACATGATGGACCCGTCGCTAAAATCAAACAAGGCATCGTCTAGACTGCCAGAGGCAAGCGTATCCACTTTGATGTCGTTGGATCCTCGCTCGTAGGAGAGGATGAGGTAGTCCTTGGAGCCGGATAGTACGGCGTCGTAGGCTGACTTGATGCCCGGAGCGGACAGGTTGACGCCCAACGACATTTCGGATTGGGCGGGACCGATAGCGCTATTGACCGTTGAGCGTACTCCAATCGAAAGTGCTGAAATTTGTCTTGAGCGGTTGTTGCGACTGTGCTGGTTACGACTCGGTGGTGGTCGTCAGGTCGGACGCGCTGGATGGCAGCGAGTGGGAACCATGCAGGGAAGTTCAGGATCGACCGCGCGCCCAGCATGCGGCTTGCTGAGCAGCATGCAGCACGGACCATGCACCCGCGCCATCTTCGTGGCGGCCCGGACGAAGACGCTGCTGCCGTGCCCAGCAGCGCTTCGATTTGACAGCACAAACGAATCCTCGTCACCACCGCCTTGGCCTGCTGCAGCTGCATGGAGGAACGCCGTTCGGTGGCGGTGCAGGCAGACTACTGCGAGAATTGTACTTGTGTTCACTGAAATTCATTCTCATCATCTTCGGCTGACGCTCAGCTACGCTTTCGTAGACTTGCTTGGCGTGGCCATCTTATCATTGCTCTGCAAATATATCCCAGCGAATAGCGCAGCATCTGCGGCTCGACTGCGCACACGACCATGCCGATCAAAAAGCCACAAGGCGGCGCGGCGACGCCAGCAGCATCCCAAGCAGCGCTGATCTCACCACTAGGCAGCTCCATCTTCGGTCTACATCTCCTCTTCACCTTTCCTCTGGGTCTTTTGAGTCTCTTTTCGCCGCTTTCCATTCCTTTGCTAGAGCCGAGCAACTCTCTGCTCCTGCTCGTTCGTCTCTACGGCATCGCTCTCCTCTCGCTGGGTGTTCCCTTGCTTCTAGTCAGACCTCTGCCCGATCACCTGCCAGGCAAGAGGGCAGTCGTGCTGGGCATACTGGTCTACCATGGAGCGATCACTCCCATCGTTGCTCAAGCTCCTAGAGTAGTTCCCGTCTCCTTCGGAAAGCTAGCAGAAACGCTCTTGATCACTCCAGAGACCACTCTGGCCGCCATACATGGGCTCTTGGCCATCGGCTGCCTCGCTTGGTGAGTTAGCTGTCTCTTTGTCCCGATCCCAGACCATGAAGGCAACGTCTGAATGCACACCCTCACCCACACTCGGCACAAAGGTGGCAAACAACTCTTCCACAGACAGTCGCACAGGGCAGCGCACGCAAGAGAGCCGCACCAGGCTCCGAATGAGCAGAGGGCGCTCATGCCGAAGAGCGCTAGGCTAGAAGGCGCAAGCAAAATAGCAAAATAAGCCATGCGATATGAGCAAGAAGCAGCGCAAAGGCGAGCCGAAAGAATACAAAGCAATCGCTACACAGATGAGCCTGCTTGGGAGAAGAGGGGCTACTGGGTCGATGAGGACGAGAAGCGTGTCTGACGACACAGTAGTAGCAGCAGCAAGTATTCACTGCAGGATGGTGAGCGTAGAGCGGCCATTCCGCTTGTGGAAAGGGACTGTTGGACCAGAACGAGAACACAACAGCCGATATATGGCATGCATTCAGCGTTCAAGCAGCCTTGCCCTTGGCTACCTCCTTGCTGGCCTTCTTGTTGCCCTTTCGGAACTCCAGCACCAGCTTTCCAATGTCATTGTTGAGCTGCTTCTGCAACTGGGGTCTGTAGCCCAGGTGAAAGATGACCTCCAGCCAAACGAAGAATGGCGCAAGGACGACTGCTCCCAACAGATTGTCCAGCAGCTGCGATGGTGGATGCGAAAAGGTCAGCGCTGCATGTCACCTGAAATGCATCTGAAATGCATACATGCATGCTTGGTCCGCTACATCAAGATCTTGCTCCCCTGCCACTGCGTCTCCTTGCCCATGCGAGTGGATGGGCTAGCCGAAGGGTGGTGCCCCCCGTCGCGCCACCTTTCCCCCTAGCAAAGTTGGAGGATACTCACTGCTGGGGCCCTTCCCTCATGTACGCCATGACCATAGAACTGACTAATCCAACCGATTGCTGAAGCGATGGACCCAACCTTGACCAAATCGGCCGGATGATCCAAAGCAACGTACTGCACAGCAAAGTACAGACCAGCCCAGATAGGAAGCAGCAGTATCTGGAGGTCAGAGCAAAAGCGGTGTGATCAGCCAAGAGCGTCGGGCACGAGATGGGCTGAATGCTTACCGCTGCCACGTGATCCAGTAGAGTGTAGTACAGCCAGTACGAGACTGCAAAGAGTGCGGGCCAATTGAGCCTAGCATACTTCGAGACAATGTCTGGTGCGGCGTCGGAGAGAGAGTCGAGCATCGGCTTGGCCCATTCGGGTGCTTGCACTGGACCTATGGCAGCAAGCAAGCATTCTGTGCCGCTGTCGCGGAAGCATTCGGAAAGATCCTATCAGTACGTGTTTGATGCATTCACCTTGCTCCATCGTCATTGTAGCCCTTGAAAGCATCGCAGGGTGCTCTTGCTCACAAGATGATGGTCGGCACGCCAACGATGTGAATGGCAACATTGACTGGGTTGGTATGGTATGCTCCGCTGAGGAACAGGAGTAGAATGTCAGCTCGAGTGCCGCTTGACCAGACGTTTGGTGCACATGCGTAGACAGCCCAACGTGAGGACGACTTACTAGAACGCGAGCTGCTTGCGCAGGTTGACGAGGTCTTTGGGATTGCTGCTGAGTGCCATGCTGGGCGATAAGATCGACGCGTGGTTCAAGACTTGCTGTGTGATGGTGTGCGAGCTGTAGGATGTGGCAGTACGCTTGCAAGGATGGAGGTGAGGGAATGCGTTTGACTTTAAGTGATGTTGCTGCATACATACGAGCGACTGCATGGCGAGCAAGCAATCACAATGATCCTGAATGTCCTTTCCCCCGCATGCACGCCGACACGGCACAAGCATCCGCTTCAATGTTCTGCACACGCAGCAGCCGCACACGTCTCTCTATCGCTGCTGCGTGTGGCGCTGCTGCTCAGCTCGTCGGGCGGCCCTGTGGGCGTGCTTGTTCGTGAATGCAAGTAAGTGGTGCGTGCAGCAGCTCGTTGCGCAGCGCACCGCCCGACTTTTTGTGCGCTGGCTAGAGAACAGACGTAGGCGATGGGACTCAAATCGGCTCCTCTTCGCTTCGTCCCGGCCCTCCGCAAGCAGAGCTTGGGTTTGAAGCCTTAAATTGCATTCAATTGATTAGTCACACGTTTGCAATCAGAATCACAAGCTTGGTTTCGAAGCCTTGCGAGATTGCTGGGGAGAGCTTCTTCCTAGACTTACATGGAACTCGCTCTATTCGGCTCCTGAGCGAGCTCGACCAGCTCGCCACAAGCATTTTGGAGCCGAACATCACATCAACATCGTCCTCATTCGTGATTGCAGGTTCTACTCGGCGTGCGAAGAAGATTGCGAACCGGATTCGTGGTCGGGCTCGCATTCAAGATGCTTGGATCACGATTCGTCATTATTCGCCATTTCGTCGTTTCACCAGAGGTCGCAGAGGCCTCACGTGCCAATCACGAGCGTGAATGCATCGTGATCGCCTCAAGGTTGATATGCCAGGCGACAATCGTGCGAATCATAACAGCTGCTGAGAGAACACCACCTGGCACCACCATACTCTGGCTGCACATTGCCTCTGATTTGACTTTAATTGCGCCCAGAGACCCATCGCCAACGCTTTGAAAGGGACACAGTGCAGGACAATATCCATCTCACACTTTTTCATATAGAACTCGTGCATGGCTGTCAGCCAACATGCCCACAGCATATATGCTGTATGGGGAGGTGTGACTCGTCTGTGTGTTCGTCGCGTCGACGCGCGCGCGTGAGCGGGAAGTTAGTTGGCTGATGCAGATCGCGCTTGCGCTGCTGCTTTGCGTCGGCGCAAACGTGCGGCTGCTGTTGCGGCCATGCAGCACGCTCAGACCCTCGACCGTCGAAGCATCGAGCGTCGCGCAAGCGAGCATTGAGAATGTCGGACAAACAACAACAACAACAACACGACGCACCATTGACCTGGTCATCGCCTTCTCTCTCTTTGGCATCACACCATTCGACTCATCTCTTTCAGCTACCGCCCCACAAATTCTAATCGATTGTGTCGTCACCAGCGGTCGTGTGCGAACAAGTGCCACGTCGTCCTCCTACATCAGCATCAGACGTGACGTGACAGTAACAGTAACATTCGAGATCATCGGAAAGCCTCGGCTCTACGTCCAGACTAGAAGAATCAAAGAGAGCCGAACAGACGTCCTACAAAGAGCGACCTTCAATCAGCGTTAGAGCCTGCGATGGCGTCAAGCAGCGCGTTCGATGAGGAGGAGCATGCGGAGCGCATCGCTGAGAATTTGGCCATCTTGGACTCTTCAGCCAACGACGTGGACAAGCGAGCGACGGCACTATCTCTGCTCATCACGCGCCTTTTGACCGCCCCCGTGAGTCAGCAGCATTGCTTGCACCCAAGCGACGAGTCCGTCAGCTCATCGTCCAGTCGCCCTTGTGATGTGTCACCTCGACGCCGATGGACCGCAGGCTCCCGATCCTCTTGCCCTGATTGAGCCCTTGCAAAAGGCGCTCAGGCACAGTCATCCCGGCCTGTTCGTTCCCGCGCTCGCTTCAATATCAGGTCTCATCCAGTCCATTAAGGAAGCCTCGAACGCGACTTCGTTGTTGTGTCGAGTCGCAGACAAGTGGTTGACTGCTGTACTGGAGAGGATAGGCGATGGCAAGGAGAGGGTCAAATCTGTCGCAAGGGATGCACTAGATGCCATTGCAGAGGCTACGCTTGCATCGACGCAGCTCGGCGGCTCTAGCAGCAAAGAGACACCTGGTGCGGCGTTCATGAGAGTTTTGAAAGACAATGGACTGGCTGCCAAAAGTCCGAGGGTCAGAGAAGGTGTGAGTGGCAGGCGAGCATTGTGCTCGCTTGACGGAGGTGTCCGCTGCTCACGTATCGTCTCTGCCATTGTGCAGACAACGGCTCACTTGCCGATCCTCAGGCACCAAGTGAAGAATGCTCTGCAGCTCAAGCCGATCCTTCCTAACCTCGTCGACCTTCTGTCCGACGCCGATGGCCCCACTAGAGAAGCAGCTAGGCAATCCGTCGTCGCCCTCTTCGCGCCGGCACCTGCAGCGGCCAAGACTGATCTGAAAAAGGAGCTGGAGAGGAAGCAAGTGAGGAAGCAGACGGCAGATCCGCTCCTTGCTTCCGTTTTTGCGGAAGTCGTTGAGCCTCCCGCTGATCTCGCCGGCGCTGATGGGGACGCTGAGCTTCAGGCTGGTAGCGCTGCACGTTCAGGCCCCTCGCGTGCCGCACCAACAGGACCACAGGCAATGGCACGTGGTGAGCCAACCCCGTCTGCTCAGGACGATGTGCCAATGGTGTACGTTGCGTCGAGGGCAGACATTGAGCGCACGTTTGCGCCTATGCAGGCCATCTTTGAGGGCAAGGAGACGGAACACAATTGGGCGGCCAGGGAAGCGTCGATGATGAAGATCAGAGGCATCTTGCGCACGGGAACCGCGGAGAAATTAGGGCAGTCTTTGGCGAAGGAGATTCGAGGGCTAGGAGCGGGCATTTGCAAAGGTGTAAGCGATTGGTGAGATTGGCTTGAGGCAATTTCTTGCATGCTGACGAGCCATTTTTTCCTGCTGAACAGACGGCCAGCCTGCGCACCACTCTGGCTATGCACAGCATCAGTCTTGTCGGAGAAGCTGTTGTTGCGCTCGGAGATGAGTTGCACGAGTCCGTAGTCGATCTTTTCTTCACCAGTCTCTTTGGCATGGCAGGCTTCACCAAGAAGCTGGTTGCCAATGCTGCGCAGAGCGCAGTCGCTCTCATCTTGCAGAACGTCTCTTACCGAGCCACATTCTTAGAAGCGCTTTGGGGCGGCCTGCAAGAGAAAAACGTGGCTATAAGAAGTTTTGCTTGCGCGCATCTATGCATTGTTCTCGAGAGGAATGCGTTAACTCGCAAACATCAGCTCGAAGCGCACAGCGGACTTGAGACGTTTCAGAACTTTTTCAAGAAGGCTCTGCCCGATCCGAATCCGGATGTGCGCTCGAAAGCGAGGGAGGGGTTTGGGCGGTTTCAAGCTGTGTGGCCGGTTGAGGCTGAACGTCTTTTGGAATCGCTGGATCCAACGACTAGGAAGCAGATTGCTACTGCTGCTGCAACCTCGCAATCTGTTGCTGCAAATGCGACGACCGCTAAGGCACGTACAGTCTCGGCTGCACCGCCTCGCAGGCCAGGCGGGCCCTCGAGCGCTCTGCTGGCTGCCAAAAGAGCTGCATCCGAACGAATGGCTCAGCAGAGGAAAGAGCAAGCCGAGGCGCAGGATGCGGAAGAGGCGGATGGAGATTTAGACGCGCATACCCCGCCAACTGAGCGGGCGGGAGCGCAAGCAAGCAATTTGACCAAGCCCGCTGCACCCGGCAACGGACATTCCATTCCTAGCTCCGCGAGCTCGGGTAGCGCTTCGCGCTCCGTGAAGGACAGGATTGCTGCCTATCAAACATCAGCTTTAGCGCCTTCAAGGGCAAGCAAATCACCAGAGTCAACCACAGCTCGCCCTGTTGCTAGACCTGTGCGAGCTCAAAGAGCGCCTGCGGCAACGCCGGACCACGATGAGACTGTGCAATTGGCAGATCTGGGTGTTGCGGACGCGTCCGTCGACCTCATGGGAAGTGCTTCGCCTACTCCTCAGCGACCCACGAGACGGAGTTTGCTGCCCGCGCAGCGGAGTCATGCGCAAGCGCCTCCGGAATCGCCTGCCAAAAGCAGCGCGACGTCGAATGAAGATACCAAGAAAGAGCGACTGAACGGCTTGAGCGGCGACAGCGCGGCTGCTGAAGTGGCATTAGGTTCGCCGCGAGCCAAGGCATCTTCCTCAGGCACCTCCATTTCAATCCTGAGCAACAGGCCCGGCGTGCAAGAGTGGGTTACGAATCTCCATGCTGGAAATGCGGACCTCGACACGTTCAAAAGGCTTGGGGCGCTTTCGAGAGAATACAAGTTGCCTTTGCCGGTCAGCGCGACACCACTCGACATTGACGCTGCGACAAGAGGCGAAGCCCCTTTGCAAAGCGGAGGCGGTGCTCTTGGACTTCAACCTGATGCTGAGCAAGACTCTGAGAGAGTCGTTGCGGCGTGGAGGGAAGCGCAGATATTCGAGCGTCTGTGGGAAGCTATCATGCGGTATCTGAATTTGCCCAGTGCTGTGAGTGCATGCAGCATAGACGCTGTCATCCGAGCAGCCCATCCGTAGCATTGTCTGACATCTCGCTTTCTCTCACAGGATGTCAACCTCACCGGTGCCGCACTGGTCGTCTTGAGACGGATTCTGGAGAACCAGCTGCCCCTCATTTCTTCGACTGACAAGGAGACGCAATTTTTGAGCCTCGTCTTTCGTCGGAGACTTGAGAAAGAAAATGTCTCGAGGAACGCTTGCGAGTCCCTGATTGATGCTTGGAGCAGCGGAATTGAGCCGATTCTAGGGCTGGGCACGCTGATGTCCGCGTTGGAGCCAGCGCTGCGCGAGAGCGAAGCGTCGAGATCAGGACGGGAAAGAGTGCGCAAGCTGGGTCTGTATGCGTTGCGCAAGCTGCTGGCTCGACTGCCTGCCGAGCTGGTGGAGGAGGAATTGCCGAGGTTCAAAGCTTTTGTCAAAGACGCTTTTGCCGATCCCAACACGGACCTCAGGATCGCTGCTACGGACGTGATTAAAACGGCGAATAGCAGGCTCAAGGATCTTGACATTCTCTTTTCGATTCTCGCGCCTCTTGAACCCCATCACAAGGATCTGCTGAGCTACTATATCAGCAAGAACGCTTGAGCGCTCCGATGCGCGAGCGATGCGCCTGCCTGGTGTACGACCATCGACTTTGAAGTGATCAGACTTGTCACCCGATATGTATTTGCACCCTCCGAGTGTCTTCAATCGTGATGCGCTTGCACAGTCACAAGGAGTCTTCTCCCATCGGTACATTTGCGGAGCATCGAGGGAGCCATGCCAGTCTTAGTGGATTTACTCGACGCCGGAGCACGTGATTGCAAGCATGCGTGATCGTGTCCCATTCATAATAGATTGAAAGATCTGGGCGTGGAAACATTCAAGTCAAAGCTAGGCGAACGTGGAGGACCCTGCATGTGTGCGCGACCTTGCGCAGGGGGACGCCAGGATGCTGCACGGTGCAATCGTCGTGGCGCGTGTGGCTTGAAGGGCTTGCAGCTATGCGGAGCTATGTCATTCGACCCTGCTGCATGATCGAGAGGTGCAGAGTTCGCAACGCAAGGAGAGAGGCCGCGCTGAGACGGAATGGGGCAACTTGATTTCAAAGCAAACCCCCCTCGGCTCCTATGCAGCGCTCCACTAGGAAGCAACGTTTTGGTCAGCCTAAACTCTGGCCGAGGAGTCCATGTACCGGCACACAGTCCTCGAGCACTCGTGACGGGGCTGTTCATGAGGAGATTGGGTGCAGAGACTGCTCGTGATAGCCAAGGATTGCGTCATGGTTGGTGCATGCCATGGCCGGGCTACCAGCATCCACGATGTCCATGCCGTCGTCTCATTGACAAGTTGATTGCGCGTACGTCCCGTGCTTGCTATCGTGTCGCTACACCACCATTCAAGTCACCTCACCCCGTCTTGAGATCCAAATTCCTTTCCGCTTCAGTCGACCAATCTCTGCTCAAGTATCCAACGCCATGACGCCCGTCCAGACATCCTCAGCCCCCACGAAAGTGGAGAGCGTGCCACTCGCAAGTTCCAAACGCAAGCTGGACGAGGATCAATTCTTCAACAACAGCAATGTAAAGTGGCTGGGAGGCTCAGACAAGCCGCCGTACACAAAGGCGAGCACATACTCGGGCGCAGTTGCTGATAGGGAGCGTTTCTTGAGAGAGACAAACGGTTTGACTGCTCTTCAAAAGCATTGCGTGTACTTCGATGGGGACGCGGATGGCATCATCTGGCCTACCGACACCTTCTTGTGAGTGGCCTACCGTCATGGCCATAGCTGGCCTTTTCAGCGCTTCGCTAGCCATTCTGGCCTCAGCACACTTCGCTGAGCCCTACTTGCCTATCCCCTCGCGCTTCTTCAAATCAGCGGCTTTTACGCACTCGGTTTCGGACTGATCCTCTCCCTCCTAGCGGTCGGCATCATTCACGGGCCATTTTCGTACCCCACAATTCCCTACACCGGGGCAAGGTGGAGAGACTACCTTCCCGATCCCTTCTTTCGCATCTGGATCGCAAACATCCACCGCAACAAGCACGGTTCGGACAGCGAGTCCTACAACCGCAAGGGCGAACTGCAGAGGCAAAGATTCGACGACATTTTTGATCTCTACTCGACCGCCCCAAACAAGGATGGCTTGTCCTTCAACGACTTGGTCGTCATGATCACCACCCGAAGAAACCTCATGGATCCGTTTGGCTGGTTCGCCATGGCCTTTGAGTGGGGCAGCACTTACCTCCTGCTGTGGCCTTCGGACGGAATCGTCAAGAAGGATGACGTCCACGGCATCATCGATGGCAGCCTCTTCACCTCTATCGCAGCGCGCCGTCGTGAAGGTCTTGGTGCCTTTCATGCCAGAGAAAGGAAGCAAATCTAGCGCTTTGGGCATCCCAATTGTGCGGAAATTTTCGGGCGCTCGTTGCGCTTCGCCATAGATTGCGCCCTCTTCTGCACTCCACTGTTCTGACAATGCGCGCACTTTCGAGCCACGATCCACAATCTTGACTGCTCGCCATCCATAGACGCATACACGAAGTGAACGACCATTGCAACGCACACACGAGCCAGGTCGAAGACTCAATATTTTCATTCCTGATCATCGTTGGTGACGTGAAAAGGTGACGATCCCAAGCCGCTTTTCGATGGAAGGAAGGTTTCGAGCACAGTCGCGCCGAGGTACATGCTACAGGTGATTGAAATGTTGTGCACAAAGAGCGATCCTTCTTGACCAGCAAGAATGTGCGGACAGAATGACGCGCAGGTCAGCTGAAGACGCAACCGGCGCGCGGAGGTGACAGAGGTCACGGAAAGCGGAATCGAGGTTGAGAGTTGACGGCGACAAGACAAGTAACGGTGGGATTGAGCGGCCGATGCGCCTTCAGAAACCGCCATTTGCTAGGCTACCAAGTGTGGGAGGAGCGGTAATTGCAGCGCTGTATCCACTGTCACCCGAGTGCTGAGCACCGTTGGAGTTTGAGAAGCCACCGCCAGTGGTGGACGCGTCGAGCGCTCCCATGCCATTGGCGCGGCTGAGCTGTTGTGCCCACGCACCCCAAACATCCAAGCCATCCGGGAAGCCGTCGATGACCAGCGGCTCAAAACCGGCGGAGGCGTCTGCGCTGGTCGCGTTGCCAAGCGGAAACACGTTCTGGCCATCGAAGGTGTATGCATCGGCGGGAAAGCCCAAGCTGGCCAGAGTCGATGCCCAGGACGCATCGTTCAGATGCGGATTGACATTGCCGAGATTGCCAGCACTGAGCGATGGACGGTGCTGCAAGAGCGAGTTGCCATTGTCTGCGTTGAGACCAGCGTCGGACTGCCAGCCAGCGGCCGCAGAGTTTTCCGGAGGCGGGTTCGGCGCACTAGAGTCAGACTGTTGCTGCTGAAGCGCTGCCTGCTGTGCAGCTTGGAGAAGTTGAAGCTGATGCTGCTGTGGCATGCCTGGCTGACCTACTGGTATCATCGTGATCATGCGTGAGCCGCGTCTATCGACTGGGATACCCTCAGCGTCTTGGAACACAGTTCCGGCAATGTGAGTCAGATCGCTTGAAGGCTGGCCTTGTGGTGAAGCACTAGCCTTTCCATCTTGAGCAGCTGCAGTCTGGCGTGGGAATGCCTGCCAGCCGCCATTAGCTTCGTCCGAGGTCCGCACCAGTGCAGGGACGCGCCCAGCAGCAGTCTCGTGGAGCAGGATGGTGCCGGTCGGCAGATCATTGAGAAGCAGCTTTCTGTCGGCGACTACATACACCCCTCCCCCAGGCTTGGACTGATCTGCTTTGAAGACAATGCCCCTGACCGTGTCCGTCGTTCGACGATTAGTGACACCGGCAGTGGGGTTCAGAGCCCCTGAGCTCGGTTTGCCATCAACGGTATTGTACACCCCGGTTGCCGATTTGAAGAGCAAGGCGACCACTTCACCAGTCTTGGCACGGAGCGATAGGTCGTGGCGAGCGCCTTCCGGCTTGTGACGGGTCACGCACTCCTTGCACTTGCGTAGAGTCTCGAAAGCCTGTTGATCCCCTCGTCGCATCCATGCATGATACTGAATTGTGGCGCAGAACACCAGCGAGTAGCTTAGGAAATGGAGGGTGTCTAAATAGAATTCGTTCCTATCTACCCATTCGATGGCCTCCCGAGCGTTCTTGATCATCGCCGTCATTCTTTCAATGTTCAAGCTGAAACTGAGGTGCTGTGGGCAGCTGTACGAAATACGCATGAAGACGCGGAAGAAGAGATGCTGCAAGCAGGCGAAGCAGGTGTGCAAAATGCCAGCGGGTGCTTGGGCGTCGGGTCCATCATACCGCAGCTCAGCTGGCAGAGACTCTTTCCAACTGTCAATGTCAGCAAGCAAACTGACAATCTCCTCGTCGGTGGTCTTCATCAGACCCGTTGGGCTGTAGATCGTCTTGAGCGTTCGTCCAAAAAGGATGCTAAGCTTGAGCATCTCTGTGTTGAATGCGAACGGACGCTCTAAAGCTGGATTGGCGCGTAGGTCCGAGGGGTGGCGCAAAATTTCAAGCGGGGACGGCAGACGAACGTCACAATCCGTAAGGTCGATCGCAAGCGGGTGCCCGAGAGAGATCGAGGTGCACCTGTCCGCAGTGACGCAACAACCCCAAATTCGTCGCTTTTGCTCTAGGAAGAAAGCATCGCCATCTAAATCGTCGCGCCCAGAAGCATCGCGATGGATGCCGAGGTCCTGGGCCATTCGAATCGCTATGCCGGTCCTATTCCAGCACCGGGTTCCACTAGAAACGTTATTCAAGCCATGCAGGTCGCTGTGTAGACTCATGATAAGCAGCGCTTTCACTGTGTGGATGCTAGAATTGCTGAGCAGGTCGTTCTCCTTGAAAAAGGCAGCAAGAGTCATCTTGACTGCGCCCAAGACCTCTCTAGGCGTCTCCCGGCTCAACGCTGCCATGCCGCAGATGGCGTAGAGCAGCAAAGGTGGTGGCGGAGTCTGACTCAGGAACTCGCTCTTGGTGATGACGGGGAATAGGTATCCTATCCTCTCGAAGTACGTGTTGACCAGCTTCTCGGCAACATCGCCAGCAAGCCTGGAGCGTAAGGCGTCAGGCACAGCGAGAAGGTCATCAGAGTCATCTGCTTCTGATGAGATCGAGCCTTGATGCGACTGCCGTCGGGGAGGTTTGTGGAACTTGATGATGCCATCGCCAGAAGCACCCACTTCAAAAGTTTGATGGTGCTTCAAATCGTGTTCCTCGATCGCAGCACCAGGCACGAAAGCGGTCGAGTGCACTATGTAAGCAATGCTGGTCGGACCGAGCACTCTTGTATTCGGTGGTGGTGGCGACGTCTTTCCGCTGTCGGATGCACTACCCGAAGGTCGACTAAAATCGGTCCAAAGGCAAGCATGCATCAGTATGGCGAGCTGCAATCACGGTGTCAAGCCGCGACTCACGCGTGTGTGGGTGCCGACTTGGGGCTGACTGCTAATCTGGAGCTCGAACCCTCTGCGACAGAAGCACTCGAAGGGTTGCGAGGAGGCCATTCTTGTGTCGCACTGATATGTCTGGGCCCGGTCGCATCTAGTGCTGACATTGGCTGCGCAGCCGCATAAGAAGCGTATCGACCCGCTGCGATGCCGGACAGTGGGGCAGAAGGCAATGGTCCTGAGTGCAGAGGGAATGCTGCCGTTGGACCCGCTTGCGGAAGGCCAGCAGATGCGGCCATTCGATGGGCCATAACAGCGTGGGCAGCAGCAGCTTGGGCCTGGGCTTGCGCTGCTTCCTCCCTTTCACGCTCGTGCTTCTTCTTGAAGCGCGTCTCAGTGATCGGCAGGAAAAAAGTGCATTCTGCAGAGTGCGGCCGTTTGTCAGCAGCAGCTCCCACCCGTCCGACCACATCGCACCGCTTCCTTGGCCACTCACCAAAGCCGTATTGTCGACAGTGCGCGCATATCAAGCCTCCGTTGCCATTGTTAGGATCTCCTAGGGGGGCGGCGTCGTCCTCGATAACGTCGCACCGAATCTTTTTCCTGAGCAGACAAGCATCAGAGCGAGCAGCTGCGTCAGAGCGAGAAGCACACAAGACGATGCCATTCGTGACGCCGCTCACCTTCGACAGGAATCACACGCTCTGGCAGTCTTGATTCTCTTCGTGCCAGCTGCTGCCCCACCAGAAAGGTAGCCGTTGGACTGCGAGCCTCCATTCAGGTCACTAGAGCTACCTGCCCGACCAGGCGAAGCATCGTGAGAGTTTGGCGACCTTTTGCTGCCGTTGGGATGATCTGCTGGTGAGCCCTTGCGTTTCGACCCGCTAGACCCCGCGACCATTTGTTGAAAGCCAGCAGCATTCTGGTTGTTCTGGCTGTGCACGTATGGCTGATACGAGTCCTGACCGAGAATACTGGATGTGAAAGGATTGCGTTGGCCTTGCGGACCGGTGGGCGTGCTGTGATCCGAGTCTCCAGAGAAGGTTCGAGACGGCATTCCAGTAACGCCGCTGGCGCCTGCCAGCAGAGCGCCCCCGGCGGTGCGAGCGTCGCCTTGGTGCTGGCTATAAGGGCTTTGCATCTCGGAACCTGAAACTGCCCGCTGGGAGCGAAAGCCGGCTGCGCTGGTGAAGCTGCGTCGAGATGGACTCTCCTCAAACCTGACGGGCAACGGCGCCTGAGAAACAGAGAGACCAATGTCGCCCGGAGAGCCTATCGTCGATGGAGACGATGCGCTTGATGGCGGGCGATAGCGTGGATCTGGTCGGGGAAGGTTGGCTGCGCTGATCGATGGCAAGGAAGCTTGTGACTGCTGTTTCGGCACCCAATGGTGTTGTGAGCCCGATTGGTGCACCGGAGGCGGAGACCAAACGTGCTGAAACGTGAGATGACCCGCAGCGAATGGACGAGTGGGGAGGGCAGGGCAAAAGGATGGCCAATTGATGGGTCACGTATGGCGGTGATAGGGTTGAGAGCGAAGTTGCCAGAAGGTCGATGTGAGGACGAGTGAATAACATGTCAGCAATTCGCGCGTGCATACAGGGAAGCTTGAACCGCAAATCCCGAATGTGCGGAGGGGCGGAGAAATTGGGGCGTAGGGCCTATACATGCGAGCCGCGCGTGTGCTGCGTGGGTGGAGCAGCGCGCTGCAGGGCGGATTGCAAATTCTGGAAGTGAGACTTCGACGCAGCGGGACTCCTGATCCCAGCAGAGGTAACAGCACGAGCGTGGCCTGGCATCGCGCGAGATCCGATTCCATCGGAGCTGTTTCAAGGTAGACTGTGACTCTTGTACCTCTATTTGGCTCAACGATAACGGGCTCGTTGGTTCGAAGCTCGCCTTTCCAGAAGCGAGGGAGTCGTGAGTTGTGAGACTGCAGCGCAACAGACATAATCTGCACCCAGGTAGGCGGGCGCGCTGTGACTCGTACTGCACTAGGACAGCGCTCATCACAGACCACCGCTATGGTCTGCTACAAGAGAGCCAGCTGAACATGTCAATACCACTACTACTACTTGCACGAAGAACATCTCTGCTGAGGTGCGCATGGTAACAAGCCGATACAGCTACTGCTACTACTGCTGATCCCCATTTCCAGCAGAGATTCACGATTACCGTCATGCCCGCCCCTCGGACGGCGCTTCCCGCTCATGTCGCTTCTGTCTGTGATGAGCTGCTTGAACGCAAGGCTGTGCTTTGCTCTACGCATTAGACATCTCGCAACCAAATCAACAACATCTTGTGCAGAACGATCGAGCTCTATGACGATGCAGGAGCACAGAAGAGCCGCCGCTTAATGAAGCTGGCAAGGGGGCCACAGCCGAAGAAGGCCGAAAAGCGATTCTGCCGCCAGATCTGTCTGTACCTGGCTCTCCGGATATAGACGCTGCATTCCAAAGAGCTGTATACAGTCTCTGATATATGCGCCCCCAGTCCCATATATGCTTGAGAGCAAGGCTCACAGCAGCAAAGGAGGAGAACAGTTGGAAACACAGCCTCTTTGGTCCGTTGCGCATTTACCCATTCGTGTGGCTTGCGTAGCCTCTTTTCCTAGCGTGAAGCGAGTAAGGTGTGGAATCTTGAACTTCACGAGGAGCAGCAGCATGTGAACGCGAACAACACATTCACAGCAAGCGTGGGGGGGACTGCGATCGATGAGAGAGGAAGGGAAGCTTCCCCTCGCATGTAGCCTTGCAGCATCAAAGTCACCGAACTTTCAATCTGTCGTCGGAACACCTGCAAGAGCCAACGGAAGCCAGAAAGACAGAAGAAGACTCACCTCGTGGTCCGATGCGCTCAAGACGGGTCGTGGTGGATGGCCGCGTGTCGCTGCTGGGCTGGCCTGTTGCCGAGTGAGGATGCGGGCGTGAGAAGACTGATCCCTGCTGTGCGGCAGGGAAGTATCCGCAGCATCCGATGCGTCAGAGAGTCGAGTTGCAGTCATGTGTGTGTGTGCAAGTACGGGTCTGAGACCCAAGGTACCGTACAGGCCTACCGAAACGGTCAGGCCTGCTGACTGGTCCGCGTCGTGGGGCGGAAGGGCGGCAAACGGCGAGACAGGGCCAGGCCGGCTGTCACCAAATTTTGAATGCAAGAATCAGCTGAGCTTGAGCAATAAATCCGATGTTGATTGCGGCCGATCGATCGATGTGCTGAGCCGAGCCAAATCGCTTTTGTGTGATCGAGTCAATGGCGGGGCAGCTGAGCAGGTAGGGCGTCGAGAGGACTTTCAGGAGCTTGATGCGGTAGAAGTGAGAAGGACCGCGGACTGCAAAAGTGCGACGGCGGGCGCGAGGGCGCTGGCGCAGACCTCACGCGCCCGTCATCATCTGACACAGATGCGGCCGGGCCGCGGCTTCTGAGCACAGGCATGCATGCATCAGGCATGCATGCGCATGATCATCAGCATGCTGCAAGAGCTCACGCAGGCGCCATCACAACCCTCGATTCACGCGCGAAGAGGAATCACGCGACGCGGTTTCAAGGCTCGCAACACGCTGTCCATGCTGCCAGCTCGCTCGCTGCCTTCGCGACATCTCGACGCTCTTCTCTAGCTGCATCATATGCGTCGAGCTCACTTTACGCTCCGCTCAGATTGACTTTATCAGGACAGCCGGCGGCATTCGTGATTCGTGGTGGCTGCGCGGGCCCGCACCGAGCCCCTGTTGGACTCGGGTGGCCGTGGCCATGGTCATTTCGCAGAACTCCTGAATGTATCGTCGGCAAGTTTTCTACTTCTTCCTCCTCGACTGTCCACTTGAAATTGAAGTTGTTCTTCGTGACTGGTCGTCACCCAAAAACAAAATCCTGACCTGCGCCCTGCCAGGGCCCGGCAGCGTTGCGCGGGCTGTGCGAGCGCCGAATTTCATCATCAAGCCGATCGGGGCCCGAAAAGAAAAGCCTCTCGGCCGTTAGCGTAGTTTTGCGGCTGTGCCTGCAGCTGCAAAATGCCCCGAAACCTCCCAATCAAGCCGTGCAGGATTTCACTTTGTCGTGATCATGCAGTCATTCGTGATTGGCGACTTGACTTGCTGGACGAACACGTGACAGCTACGAAGTATGGTAGTTGGTACATCAGTCGTGAGCTGCGTGACAACCCAGAATCGACGTCGCGGTGTGAAATGATCAGCTCTTCGGCCTGTGACACCGGTTGCATCGGCGCCTGCATGAGCCTCGACAAATTGCGAGCCTCACTTGCTTTTGAGTCAGTCCCGATTGTGCCGGATGATGCGTGGAGACCATCAGGAGATTACCCGAAAGATTGCGCCTGCGGCTTACATTCACACGGAAACTTTCTACATGGTTGTTTGTGAAAGAAAGCTGAGGAAAGTGCCCAGCCCAGCCCAGCCCCGCATCGCTTGAGTGACAGAGAGAGGGAGGTGCATGAGCAGCGATGCATTCGGATTCGTGCCAGCAGTCTTGACTACAAATCGTGTTCTAGTGTCAAGCCCGGCGCTCATGCGGAAGAGTGCAGCCCGCGCGCCCAGGTCCCGTAAACATTCACGCCTTGAGATTGCTTCGCTTCAAAGCGCGACGGAAATTCCACCAAGTCATTCCGGTCATATTATTCAAGATTGCCGGCCTCGCTGCTGAGTTGCTTCGACTGCAAGATGGAAGCGCATGATATGCGTGCGCCTCGCGTACGCGGAAAGTCCATTTTGGGGTCCCTGCTGCAAAAGCCACTCGGCGTCTAAAACTTGTCCTAATCGTGAATGGGCCTCCTTCACGATGAACTGTGAATGCGTGATGAAGCGCCGCACTTAGTGGCCGATGCGTCCGACCTCCTCGACTCTGCTTGCATGCACAGTCACGAGTGGGTACGCATCAGCAGATACGACCAACACGCATGCTGCTTGCATGTGTGGGGGGAGGGGGCTGAACTTGCCCTTTGACTTGCGAGTCGGGAGTTGCGTGCTGCGGAGAACCTGATTCCGGAGGGATGCAAGCGTTCCAACTGCATCTCGGCGATTTGGGATGCAGCGTTCACGCGAACGCAAGCTCTTGGCGCGCGACGGGAAATCCAGAAGAAAAACTTGGCAGCAGCTGCAGCAGCTATACCAGATATGCAAAGCTCTCGACTCTGTCCTCAGCATCACACCTGAATGTTCGGTCGGCATAATCTCCCCGCGCTGAACACAAGCGACTAGACTCAATGTCAGCCGCTGGACATGCGGCGTCTAAAGCGCTAGGGCTCAAATTGGATGGGCAAGTCGCGCGATCGAGAGGAGATCATGTTATTCATTGGTAAAGTGCGGGAAATGACGCTGCGTACTCATTGCCAAGTGACGGACCAAGCACCATTCAGATCGATACCCAGACCAGTGATGTTGAGCGATTGGGTGTTGTTGTCGAAGATCAGGGCGCCCTGATCCAACTGTCTGTCACCGACAGTGACGTTCGATGGCGCAGCATCGAGACCAAAGAGCAAGATCTCGTCGAGCTTTTGCTCCAGACTGTAGTCGCCAGACGCCTGGCCCGACAAGCTTCCATTCTTGGCACTGAACTTGAGCTCCTTGGCGGGGTTTGGCAGTGGTGTCAGACCATCGTCGACATACGCATCGCCTGTCGCGCTGCCGTCGTCGCCCAGGTTAACATACAGGCCAAAAGGACCAGCGGCGGATTCTGTGGTGGTGTAAGCGGGTCTTGCGTGCGTGAGCAAAACGCTCGCAGGTCGCTGGTGGACATTGATGCTGGAAAGCGGCGCAGGAATGGTAATGTTCTTGTTGAAATCAGTAACGGCAGACTTGTCGAATACGTTGCGCCAAGCACCACCCGCAGCAGGGAAGAAGCCGTCGACAGTGGTGACGTTGGGTTGCAGCACGGGTGTGACGAGCAGGGGGCCAAACATGTACTGCGTGTCGGTCGCCTTCAGCTCGTTGAAGTGCTCAGGGAAGTCGACCCAGAGAGACTTCACAGCAGGTGTGCCCCGCTGCGAGTGACGGGCGATAGCGGTGTAGAGCGTCGGAAGGAGCTCGTAACGCTTATAGAAGCCTGTACGCGTTGCGTTGGCCACGCTCTCCCAGTCGTAAGGGAATTGCGAAATGGCGCCTTGTGTGTTGTGGCCACGAGCAAATGGTGTGAAGGCTGCAAGAGACATCCATCGGTTGCCTGGATGAAAGCGCCTCGATGAGCCACGTTGTCAGGCGCTTCTTCAAATTGACAAGCACTCACAGAGCTCTTCGTTCGAGTTGCGGTTGAAACCACAGGCGTCTGAGCCAGAGAAGAAGCCAAAGAGCTGAAATTGAAGCACACCCTGGATCGACTTGGCAAGGTATTGCCACGTCGAGTAGTTGTCACCAAGCCCTGCAATCGACGATGATCTAACGTCAACACCATCCAAGAAAACAGCGAGTACCGTCTTACTCACAGTGGTGCACACGACGTCCTGCACCCGGAGCGGTCGAACGAGCAATGATGAAGGGGCGCGACTCGGGATTGATGCGCTGCAAAGAGTCATGAATGTGTGCACCGGTCAAACTGCCTTCCAAATTGTGCACGTCGTGGGACACACCGCCCTTCGAGACAGCCTCCATGGAGATGGTCTTCTTGTTGAGGTTGTCAACCAATGGTCCAGGGCTCGATGTCCAGCCATTGTGGATGGCGTAAGGCGGATCCCAAAGGAAACGTTGCGTGGCATTCTGGTACACGTGATCGGCAGGCGAGTAGTGGAAGTCGCTGGCGTTGACAGCGCGGACGGACAGCTCGCTGCTAGGGAGCTCGGCACGGCGCTGCAGAGGTTCATCGCTGCCAGAGCCGACGCCCGCAAAGGTGAGCGTGCCATTCACGGTAATGTTGCCGGAGTTGCCGTAAGTAGTGTTCGAATAACCTTCGGGCCATCCAGCTACACTGGTCGCTGCTTGGTAAGCGGGTGTGTCGCTGAGGTTTTGGTTAGATCCGCAAGAACCAATGCAGAAGGAGGACTGCTCTTGCATGTCGAGCCACACGGCCAGGTTGGGCAGCGTCTGGGAAAGATTGGCAAGGCTTTGGTACCACCACTCGCTCGAGTTGGGGTGATGAGAATCGGGCCATTTCGTGTAGCCTGGCCATACCTGGCCCACGTAGTCGGTGCCATTCGCGTTCTTCCACCAGAGGTCCATCTCGTCGCCAGCAGTGCCCGGCAAGTAGACATCGGTGTCGTTTGTTGGGGCGGCGGGCATAGCACCATCAATGATCTGCATAAAGTGTTGGTTCTTCGTAGCCAGCTCCTCCACATAAGCTTTGAGCTCGTCAGCGGGCCAGCGGTTGGGATCTGGCGCGAAGTTGCGGTATGCTTGCAGCCAGTCAATGTCGGCCCAGGCGGTCTCGAGGGGAATGTCGGCCTGGCGCATGTTCTCAACCATTTCCCGACTGTCATTGACGGTGTTGAGTCCCCAGCGCAGCAAGTGCAGACCAAGGGCCCATCGAGGCACGAGAAGAGGTCCACCACCAAGATAAGTTGCGTACTGCTCAAAGGCCGTCGTGGGGTTGTTCAGGAGGCGAGACGCGTCGAAAACGTCGGAAGTCGTCGCATTGCTCGCCTCCTGTCTGCTGCCAATGTCAGCGCGGGAAGCAAGCGAGGACTCGACGGTGGCCTCGACTTGCTCGGCCTCGGCGTCAGCAGGTGGCGTCGCGGCTTCAGCGGAGCCGCTAAAGAAGCGGAAGTCTAGCGTGCCACCGATAGCGCGGTACTGGATCAAAGCGCCTTGGTCATTCTCACGGCGAAGGATGTCGAGACCGGCGGTCGATTGGAAAGCCACCACGTGGCTTTCGGTCTTGTTGTCAGCAGTCGCGCGAGTCTCGAGGTAGATGGGGTGGTAGCCGTACATGTTGGACTCCAAAGGATCGCCATCATCCAGCGTGAAGAACGGTTGAAGCATGTTGGTGGGGAGTCGCCAGCTGGAATCGCCAATGCCGCCACCGCTGTAGCGCTCGCCCAGTCCGTACAGGGAAGCGTCCTTTGGCAGAGCAGAGGAAAGCTGCAGATACTGATTCTCGAACACCATGGCGTTGCTGCGGATGGCCGTCGTGTTGCGCTGGCTGTCATTGAATTGAGAAAGGCCTTCATCGAATGTAGGAAGGTTCGATTGACGTGTGTCGAAGAGGGGTGCGCCATCAGAACCCTTTCGGGTGATCCACCACTCGAACAGCTGCGAAGAGTTGTCGGACATGTGGAACTCGAGGTGGGAAACGCCCTTGGTGGAGGCGTTGTCAACCTTGGCAGGATCGGAATCGGATCGATTGAAGAGCATGTCTATGGGCTGCTGGTATTGTTTGAGATCTGTGTCGTAGATGTGAACGTGCATCCGGTCCACCGTCTCGTACACCACCGAGAGCGTGAGGTTGTTGATGTCGTAGCCGTACGCGTGACACTCATCACCAGCGAGGGAGAGGGGAGCAGTGAAGCCGTGCTCGGACTCGTTGATGGGACCGTCGAGCTTGTAGCCTGGACACTTGGTGACATCGTACGAGGCCCGTACACCTTGCTCTTGCCTCACAGAGAGTCCCGCGGGTGCTGCTTGACTAGAGCTGACAGCTGCCAGCAGCGCCGCAGCACTGCCCAGCGTCGATGTGATGGTGGCTTTCATGCTGCTGAGCTTTGAGGGGGAAGGGCTAATGGTGAGAAGCCTGAGAAAAGGCGTCGAGAAATTTGCAGACTAGCCTTGCTTAAATACCTTTCGACGAGCTTGACAATAGGCGATGCTCAAGGCGCTCGGGCACTGTGAGCAGCGCTTGCTATGCTTCTCGTCTGAACGTTGCACATCCATCACAGCTACTCTGCACCGACGGCCACACAGGGCTCCAGCATTCTGGCAACTTTGAACCCCGTGGGGTCCGCAAAGCGATGCTCTGCCCAAGCGGCACCGCTCCTAAAGCGACGGCAAGATCCGTCGGCCTGGGCGGCCCGGGAGTGCTGAGCCAAGCATCGTCTAAAGCAGCTTTAGCTCCGATGCTCGGTGGAACTTTGGCGCTAACGTCAGAGAGATCAGAGGAGCCCCACGTTGCACGTTCGTGCTGTGTGAGTGCACGCATTGACTTTCTTGCAACGCATCGGTCAACCGCGCTGATGGTGCGGCTTGGTGAGAGAAGAGTTGTTCGAAGCGCGGCCGGGGAAGCCGCGCTGCCCCACACTGATGTGTGACTTTTCTGACTTGTTTCTTCGCGAGCGCGATTCCCTCACACGCACGCGCGCGCTAGAATCACAAATCCCATTTTAGCGCGGAATTGGAGACCGAAATGCGGCCGAGCGCGCATCGCGTTGTTTTGCTTCCTTCTCCACATCTTTGCTCGCCGCCTACAGCTAATTGCATTCATCATATGCATGCTATAGCGGTGCTGCGTTCCTGATTGCTGCCTACCTGCTGAGCTCCCGCATTTCGGGCTCGCCATACGTCTTCTTCTTGCTCATGATGACCGCATTCCTTCGCGCGTGGCGCGTCCACGATCTTGCAAAGTGACGTTGCGAGGCACAAGGAGAGATGCACCCTTCGGCATCTTAGAAGCCCGCTTACATCCGAGGCTACAGTATCACTCGCCGTCATTTTGCCAGTGCTGAATTCGCGGTCACTTCATGACTCAAAGCGGCCGACGAGGAGCACACGACAGCAAGAATGCTCGAGAAAGAGCAGACGAGTCAGAACACAATAATAAAAGCATTCTGGGCACATCGCATATAGATCGACAATCGACATAGAGCATCAGATATCAGATGTGACCTTGACAAGGTTAGGGGGAGTAGGGGGAAAGGGGGGGGGGGGGGGGGGGGGGGGGGGGGGGGGGGGGGGGGGGGGTGCTCGAACTTGGGCAAAAAGTCGATAGTGCCGGTCATTCTAAGCGTGCGCTTGCGGCGTGACCTCATGCTTCTTGCTCGGGTCAGCCTTTGCGTAGTTGGTGCCGAGGCTCGCGTCCCCTTTAGCGGCCTTGGCGAGCACTCGCTCGCTACGAAAGAAAATGATTGGAAGCATCAGACCATGTCCTATTGAAGGCAGTTGCAGAAACAGGCTCACAAGGCATCGAGACCTCTATCCAGCTCTTCGAGCTTGGGCCCGAAAGAGATCTGTGCAGTTAGACTTTGACATCAGCACAGCAGACAGGCCCTCTCGCTGCTTCCCTCCTCTCCACGCACTCTGATGTAGCTTTCGCAAGGTGAGTCCACAATATTGCGCCTGTGTCCCGGGTTGATGTCGAAGAAGATGCCCTGAAGCAGACAGAAAATCGACAGCTTGAAAGCATCAGCTTGGTCCAGCGAGTTCTGCGGCGGTCTCAGGACTTACGGGCGTCACAATCGCTTTCTCCTTGAGCACTGCAAAAGCGTGCGGGGCACGTAGCCAGAATCAGCGAACCATCGGACACGACCATCAAAGCTGGAGAGGCGCGCGCGACTCACGCTCTTCAGCAAAAACGAGGCCGCTATTGAGCGGAGGCGGCAACGGCTTGAGGTCGAGCCAGATGTAGAATGTCGCGACAGGCGGCACATTGACGGGCAGTCCCATCTTTGCGAGGCGTTTGAGCACATGGTCCCTCTTCATGCGGAAGTGCTTCTGCAAGGCGAGTCGGTCTTGCGCAATGCGATCGAGATCCAGCATCGGCAGGGCGAAGACCTGCACCAGACACGTCAGGAAGGGAATTTGAGCCTTCAGACGAAAAAGGCGGGAAAGTACACGACCCACCTGCATGGGATGGGAGGCCCCACCATCTAAATATGATCCCACGGCGCCAATGGCAGAAATAAGGTCGCGCGGACCCGAGACCCAGCATACACGCCAGCCTGAGATTGTACGGTAGACATTGGGGAGAGAGAATGAGAGAAGCAGCTTCATCACGAGACAAATGTCGAGAGCCGAGAAACACACCTGGTAAGCGCGCGTTCTTGGTCAGTCCATCGACTGGAGGGGGGCAAAGCGAGGAGTAGACATTTATTAGCACGTGGAACGCAAGAAAACAAATTTGAGGCGCAGAGGGGCGCTCCACGGAGAAGTCCATGCCTCAACCACGCACCGAGGACAACATTGCTCTCCTCTATGTCATCAATGTACTCCATGGCGCTCACAGAGCGCCCAAGTTCCCCTTCAAGAAGATAGTGGCTGTAGAATTCGTCCATGATGGTTGTGACATCGAGCCTGCTGGACATGTCAACCACGTCTTTCAATTCTTGGCCTTCAATAATCTGAAGGGGAAGAACGCGTCAGACTCGCTTTCGCTCTGGCTGACAATCAGAAGCATACTCACTTGACCGGTGGGGTTGCGAGGATTGGAGCTGAGAGTGACAGCAGTAGCAACAGCAACGGCCGCCTCTGAAGGGTGAGCTGGTTGTGTGCTGGTCACCTCGCATACAGAGAGACGGGCACCTCCAAACTCACAGCAGAAGGGTAGTCAGACCTCGTGCTTTGACCTCTGCTTCGAGGTCGGCAGCGGTTACCTTGAAGCGCTTCGACTCTTCTAGCTGCATGGGAACACCCTGAACCTGACTCATGCCAAGCAGAGGTTCATACGCTGCATAGTCTAGGTGACTATAGCCAAGCAGCACCGGTCCCAGTACGCTCATGATCCGTGCCAAGCCAGCTCTGCCTCCCGGCACGATGGCAATGTTGGCAGCTTCGATCTTCTTCGGCTTGTTCTGACGGAAAGTGTGGTTGTAATAATCTGCCACCTTTTGTCGTAGCTCCGTGATACCAGTGGTAGGTCCGTACTCGTGAATGTCGTCACCGAAAGCCGAGAGATCGAGGACTGTAGGTCTTGGACAGCCTCCCTCTAGGTCTGTCGTCTCGGGAGCACCTTGTCCAAAGTTGGCCCAGTCTTTGGCCCCGGCTTTGAAGCCATTGGCAGCAGCGCGCTCTGTCACGTACACCACACCGACAGATCCTGGCTGCTCTATGCCTGGAACGATGTGCTTGGCTGGTTGCTTGCTCGTCAAGTCTTGATGACCTGGCTGCTCACGGAAGAGGCGATGTGCTTCCGACTGCGACTCATGTCTGCGCAAAGTCGAGATTAGTGATGTTGCAAAGCTGAATAGCCGCTTAGCAGTAGATCGAGCTCACCTGATGTTCTCTAGGACTGCTTGCGCGACATCCTTGAAAGAATGCAAGCGCTGCACGCCATGCTTAGGAGCTTCGGACATGGCAAAGGCTGCGGTCGAATGATGGGATGAGAGCGACGAGGCTAGATGCGATGATGGAGAGAAAGAGCTCTCGTGCTCCAGACTGCGTGCGACGTGGTGACAGGTGAACGAGCAACCTCGTGCATGCGGTGCCGACCGGCGCGCAGTCAGCAGTTTCAGCAAGCGCACATCGTAAATCTGTTTTCGACGCCATCACCGCGCCTTTGCCAGCATGTGCGCTGGGACCCGGCCTGCACCGCGGATGCGGCACAAAAGCCTGCCCTTTGAGCGGTGCTTCAAGCTGAGCTAGCTGCATGCTCTAAACGCCAGTCAGTCTACACATTCTTGATTCACATTACCCGCATTTCGTAGATGTGACTGCACACACAAGGTCCACCACCGTGCCGAAGCGGAGAAGAGCGTTCAAGGTCCGTGCGCTCCGCCGGCACACGCGCATAATGCAGGCCTCAGCACGCGCTATGTAGCTCGAGCGATCGCCCTTATACCGGCGGTAAGGCGAGAGAGCGCGGCGCCAATATGCATGATGCATGGGACTGCGCCGTCCTGCGCCGCCGGTCCAAAGTCCCGACTGATCACCATCATCACCACATGCGAGGTGTCACCAAGAAGTGTCATCATTCGAGATTGAGCCAGGGTTGGAGCGAAGTGGGAAGAGGGGTCACATGATTGCGAGAGTCGAGACTGCTGATTGTATGAATGGCGGCCCACCGCGAACCGGATTTCGAATTTGTTTTGCGCACGAAAGAAAATCGCGTCGGTGGTGAAGATCACGTGATAAAGAGAGGTGCATCTCTGTGGGCTGTCTCGTACGATACACACGCTTCCGTGCCACGCGTGGCGCTCGACGCTCGGTCGTCCTCCACCTGATTGCGCCCTGCTTTTGTAGCACGCGCTAAGCCAAGGCGTTTTTGTGAGGCGTGCTTGCCGATGGCTTATGAATAAGCAACGCGAGTCAGAGAGAGTCGCGAGGAGCAACGCAATCACGAATGAGAAACACTCTTGACTGATCAAATCACGGATTGCTTCTAGAACCACTCACCGTCAGTCAAGAGCCCGATCGTGATCGACGCGATGAGCTTGAACAGGTGAAGGTGGAACCAGCCGACTCTCCTCCAATCTGCCTTGTGCTTGCGTAGAGGATCCTCGCTCAGTATCACTTCACCCAGACTCTCATCGAAAGCAGAACTTGTCCCAACCGGAGGCCGCGGTGCGTCGCAAGGAGCTAGAGTCCAGCCTCGATCCTTTTCGTCGCATCGCGCGCCTCCACAGTCTCGAGATCACAAGCTCTTTGGACTACCATCCACGTCGACACGCCCACTACCAGCGCCACAGCCACCTCGCATCGGTAGGAGAGGAGGTCATTAAAAGGAACGTGGGACAGGAGGGAGTACAGCACTTCCATTGTCCGCTGCCGCGTGACTCTGCTCAAGATGTCGGATCCTCGTACCCGACGTGTCAACAAGGAGATCGTGGACATTCAGTCAGATCCAGCTAGCGGAGTCTCCATTCAGCTGGTAGGCGGTGAGTCATAGTTCGGCGCACATACAAGCGTCGAAGGAGACCGGTGATCAGGCTCAGGCTGCTCCTCCTTACTGATGTCGACTCGGACTGCGTGACCATTACAACAGACTCACCTTTTCATTTGAAAGGGACGTTCAAAGGACCAGAAGGTAGTATCTATGAGAGCGGCACCTTCGACGTGGTGAGTTGCGAGCTGCTAGCGCAGTTGCATTGTCCCCCTCCTCGCTCCTTTGACGCAACACTCGAGGGCGCAAACGATCGAAGCTCCACGATGACCACTCGGTGTGGGCGACCACTACCACCAGCAGCCAGGAGGTGATCGTTGCCTCCGAGTATTTCGGCACGACAATACAAAGCGCGGCGTCGGATGTCTTGCTGCCCTGTAGAGCTACCCCTCAAGCTGTGCTCACCCCCCATCGCTTGTCCCGCTTCACCTACAAGGATGTGGTCATTCCCGAGCAGTACCCATTTCAGCCTATCCAGATGCGCTTCATCACCAAGGTCAGTCGTTGTGCTATTGGGCTGTTTGGGCTAGCTATGCGGGTTTTCCCGATCTCTGTTTTCTGACAGGCCAGCTTCGCATTTCCACAGATATATCATCCCAACGTCTCCTCGGCAACCGGATTCATTTGTCTGGATATTCTGAAGAATGCTTGGTCGCCCGTCCTCACTCTCAAATCAACCTTGATCTCTCTCCGATCGCTTTTGGTCTCTCCTGAGTATACAGACCCTCAGGATGCTGCCGTTGCACAACACTTCATGAAGGACAAGAAAGACGCGGAAAACACGGCCAGGTATTGGTGCGAGCTGTACGCGGGTGGACCTTCCGGCTCGTCGTCGAAAGCGAATGCCAACAAGAACAAGACCAAGGAAGTGGAGGTGGACGAGGTCAGAACGGCGGGGCTGGAGCCTCAGCATGTCAAGAATTTCGAGGACATGGTGAGTGCTCGGACGGGCTTCTAGGCGTCAGCCGCACCGGGCATCCTAACAAATTTGGCTTCCGTCTCTGCCTCCATACAGGGCTTCACAAGGAAACAAGTGATAGAAGTGCTCAAGAAGCTCAACTACAAGGGCGACAAGTGAGTCCAAGGGGCAGAAGGGGCAACGGGCGGTCCCGGGATGAGGGCGTGTCCTTGCACTTGACAGCATGCTAACTATAAATGATTCGTGTAACGCTCTATCGTCCACGTCCCTGTGGGTAGCGTCCGCAACGTGACGGATGAGCAAGTTCTCAATGCTCTCTTGAGCGCTTGAGCATCGCGCCTCCACATCGCGCTTGATTCCGGTGCATGCCTCCTAGCTGCAAGCAAAGCAGTCAAAGCGCCTCACGAAGCAGATAGCGAAGGCACCGCGTAGAAGTGTCCGTCTCAAACTTAGACTGGCACATCTGTGCAAGCAGCAAGCGTGGCAGACTGCTCCGCCATTCAAGGCCGCCATCGAGCATCAACCCTGCTAAGACTAGCCGACTGCTATACGCGGCCAAAGCGATCCATCCCCCCCATAATCGATTCCGCTCCCTGTTCTCCCTTGCAAACGCGAAGTCTCACCTTGCATCGCGCCATTGGGCGCAAGAAAGGCAAGGAATGTCATCCATTTCCCTAGCGCAAACGCCTCGCCTGCGCCATCTTTGAGCTGTTCATTTGCGTGACACAAGCGAACATGCAAGAAGTGCAAATGTTGCCAGAGACGAAAAGGCTAAGACTAACCAGCGGGCACCTATGATGAAGCAACAGAACATGGAGCGGTTATGTTCGATTCAATGCAGATCGAGAGGGCGCAGATGTGGTAGAGCAGAGGGAGCACGACAGGAGTGGTTGGACAGCAGAAAAGTGGCCAGGACGTTGCGGATGATGCTGATCCATTGACGTCTTGAGAACGATCTCCAGTCTTCTTGCACACCACCGCTCTTCAACCTGATGCTGCTAGAACAGGCCTTCGCCTGCCTGTTCCTGCTCCAGGTCGAGGCATCGTATCCGCATCAAGCACCAATCAACTTGCTCAGCTCTCCCGAGCTCTGAGCCTTGAAAAAGTCATCGCAACCTCCCACGTGTTTGCCGTTGACGAACACGTTGGGAACGGTCCTCTGACCCGTCTTTTCGGCCAGGTAGGACTGGTACTCCGATCCCGAAGATTCTTGGTCCAGCTCCAGCACTTTGAACTGAGCGCCCAGAGAGGGAAGAGCGGACTTGACGCGGGAGCAGTCTGTGAATGCGCGAGATGCCAATGCAGGGAGGTCAGTATGCTGCACGTGAAAGGTGATCTGGTGAAGCAGTGCCGAGGTCTTGCTTCTCCTACGGCTGTATGACGTGCGAGACTGTCCATAACTTTGCGCCCTTCTCCTCAGAAACATGCGTCTCCCGTTTTCCCTCTTTCCATCACACATTCTCTGAAGGGCGACTCACAAGGGCAGTAGCTCTTGCTGAACACGGCAACCGTAGTGCTCTTGATCAGGTCCTCTACAATCTTCTGAGCCGACATTTTGGCCTCTTCGTCCAAGGAGGACCAAGGGGTGATTTTAAAGTAGGAAATTAATTGACCCAGCTTGAATAGAATGTTCGGGTTGGTAAGGACGTCTGGAATGGACGACCTTGAGATTGCTTGGTAGGTATTGCGATTTGGATTGGATGGTGGAGAACGCAATGATGTGCGGATGCGATGCGTTCGAAGTGAGCATGACGCTGCGTCCGATGCGCGAGACTTTTCGCTCTGACAAAAGGCCCGCACGGACATAAGCTTAGCACACGGCACAATGGCATGATGATGATCAACGCGGCCCCCGCTTACGGGCCGCGGTGCGTTGCGCGCCGACAATCGTCCGCTCCCTCGCTGATGCTGACAGAAGAGGATGTGGAGGCCGCGTTGGCTGCCGCGTAAATGACGCAAAATCACGTGGGCTGTTGACGGTCACGTGTTCGTCTGCGTCCACACACTCCGATGTGCGTGAGTTGCCATGCATTCAAAAATTATTCTTGATTCAAGATTTTGATTTTCGAAGTCGTCTGTTCCGAGTGGAGCTGAAACGCGATTCAAGGCTGTGGTGCACCTCCATGGGAGATCGCACACCAGTCACCAATTCGTAGGAGCAATCCTGCGGGAGCGATTGCGCCAAAGGAAGGGAGAAAGCATCAGGTCTCCAACCTTCAAGCCTCACGACGATCTGGTCGTGAGGAGCGCTAGCCAGCTCTGTCTACCGAGCCATCCGAGACTGAAGACAAGGTCATCCCATCGAGGCGCGTTCCGGAACACCACTTGCAGCAGGACCACGCAAGAGACTGAGCGTTGTAGCCGGAACTCACACTCACAACAGCTCAGCATACACTCGTGCTTAGAAGGTTCACCATGCCTCTCAATACAAGCACGTATATGCAATCTCAAGGCTGGGCGGGCCAAGGCAACCCTTTGGGATTGAACGGATCAGGCTTGAAGAAGCCGCTCGCCATTCCTCAAAAGAGGGGTCTCAAAGGGATCGGCAAAGATAGAGACAGGGCGAACGAATGGTGGGATTGTCTGTTCGAGGTGCGCATTATGACAGTGCGCCAATGAAAGAGACGTGGCTTCCTTTGACTGACAACACGATGATGTCTTGCCCTGCTCTCTTTGCGACAAAGGCATCAGCAAAAGCTTTAGCGCTGCCCTCGGCTGCTTCATCGCCTCAAACTAATACTGCGCCATCCTCATCCTTCACTCCCACGTCTACTACGAGCGCAGCACGCCTCTCTCTGATCGCTTCAGCCAAGAGGGAATCGGCCAAGAAAGCCCTCATGGCCGGCTTCGTTAGGGGCAAAGTGCATCTGGAATGGAGCGAGAAGCAAAGAGAAAAGGAGAGCGCAATGTTGAACGCCGCGCCCTCAACTTCTCGAAAGGAAGCCGCTTCGAGTGGCAGCGAGGCACCGCCCAGGCTGACTGCGCGGAAAGAGAAGGAGGCAGCGGTGGTGCCGGTGCCGATGCAGATGAAGAGCGCACAGAAGGAGGATAAAGCGCAGAGGAGGATGGAGCGGCTACGGGTGAAAGAGGCTGAGAAGAGGGAGAAAGAGGAAAGAAGAGCTCGAAGAGAAGCCAAGAGGCGCAAGAAAGAGGAACAGAATGCTAAAGTGGGGAGTTTGACGGCTAATAGCGGTGAAGAAGAGAAGTTGCGCGATGCGAAACTAGAGCTTGGGTCAGGTGATACAACCAAACCGAGAGATGGAGATGCGAGGACGGAGGAGGGGGATAAGAAGAAAAAGAAGAAGAAGAAGAAAGAGAGGAAAGCAGAGAGGTCTCGGAAGAGTTTGGGCGGGGACGCATCAACGCGTACTCGCAATGACGAGGGAAAGACGAGGAAGCGCAAGAGGCAAGCGTAGAACTGTTCGCGCTGCCCGTGGGCAACCTACCGCAGCTCCGACGGCGTAGCGACTCTTCCAAAACGCTTCAGCATGGCCCAGCAGGGCCTCTCTGCGGTCTTTGTCTCGCCGTCCGTATCCTTTCGGTCTTCAAAGATCGATGATGGCGCCTCTTGTAAATGGCCACAAGTAGTCCGAGCTTCGCTCATCCAGCGCATCTGCACAGGGCCTCCGGACATCTCATCGGCACTGGAATCCTTCGTCGAGCACTGTGAAAAAGCGAGAACAACTGTTCTTCGCCGCAGCTTCATATGCTCGCAAGATTGGGCCGAATTCGCGAGCGTCATGGCAGTCAAGCCGAGGTCTCAATTCAGCACCTCGTCGCATCTTTTGGGCCTTGCAAGCTCCGGAAAGCCACGCAATACTGTACTTGTACTGTCATCGCAATTCGCACAATCGAGCAAAAGATCGTGCTACCTATTGAAACCAATGACTCGCATTTTGGCAATTGTGCGCTCGACAAAAGTCGGACGAATTTTGTGCCTGGCAAGACGTTATGGGTCGTTGAAAGACGGGTACAGCTCTTGTACCGTATTCAGAGGTCTCTTTGCGAGGGTCAATGTGAGTGGAGTACAATTCTATCTGCGCAGGCATCGCGAATACAAGAGTGGGTGACTTGCTTGAAAGACGCTTTGAGACATCCGAAAGGTCTGGACGTAGTGGGAGTGTCTGCACCAGGCTTGCAGTTCTGTCCTCTTCCTCCCTTTGGATGCTGCTGCCGTCGTCTCTGCTGAAGCAGGGCGATGCAGTCGAAATTTCGCCAGTAACAAGAGATCGAGACCGAGGCCGAGGCGCTCTCAAGTCGTTCGCGTTCAACAAAGCTCAAAAAGTCGGTCGCTCAATCCCTTCTAGCCTTCTTCCTTTCCCTTCCAGCGCTAGAGTTTCCAATAGCAGTAGCGACGAGTCCAGTCTTGTTCGCCCCGCTGCCGCTCGTCTCGGTCGGCAAGGGTGGATCGCTAAGGATAGAAGTGCTGCTGGAATGCTGCGTTTGTATCTGGCCAGGATGCTGCGATTGCGTTGCGCTTCCTGCAGCTCCGCCTGGGGCCACACCACCGATGCTCATGGGAAGAGCCCCCGTCGGTCCAGGAGCTGCTGCTGCTGCTACGCCAAGCCCGCTTCCTCCTCCTCCTCCAGCTGCTCCGACGATATTGGCCATACCACCAATGGTGGTGTTGGTGCTGGGAGCTGCGACTACCGGAACCATCTTTGTGTCCGTTTCGTCCTTGATCAGCCTACGTTTAGGATATGTATCTGTGCTCCTGTCCAGCGAGGCAAATGCGCTTGGAGACCGAGAAGCCAGTCAGACATCAACAAAACATCCTTGACATTTTTCATGAGAAGCCAGGCGCTCTGTGCAAGAAGCACATGTGCTTTGAAACGTCTCGACTTACTCGGCAGTGGGCAAAGGCATCTCCTTGAACCAGGGATGATCCAAAGCTTGAGCAGCCGAGAGTCTCTTGGCAGGATCGTATTGCAATAAGTTCTCCAGCAGGTCGAAGCCAGACGATGTCTTTGCGCGAACGGTGTACCAGTGATACAGGGCGCCCGGGTATCTGTCGATACAGATTTATACAGATTTTGGGAGAAGAATGCCCAGAGCGGTTGGGGACAAGTCATCTTGGAAGTCAGTGACACTCAAGAGTTGAAAGCCTGCTGATTAAGAAGAAATGACTCGCACGCACCCTTCAAGACGGAGGTGTGGCCACCAAGTCTTGTACTCTGGCATCAAATCAATGTCGTTCCACCTATCTTTCGTAGGTGTGCCCAACACTTCGACGATCCTCTTGAGCTGGTCACTGCGGACGAAGGCGACGTGGAGCACGTTCGAAGAGGGGTCGATTCAACACGACGCGGTCAAAGAACGCAACGCGCAGCTACTGACCCTTGAAAAGGTGTGCCCTTCTTGCCGTCCCCCTTAGCCTCATCACCCTTGAACATGGGTCTGAGTGCCAGCAACTCTCCCCAAATGCAGCCCACTGCCCAAACATCCACGGCGGTACCATAGTGTCTGGCTCCCAGCAGCAGCTCAGGACTCCTGTACCAGATGGTGACTACCACCTTGTCCCCCGTATACAAGCTCTGCAAAGGTTGCGAGGAGAGCCTAGCCAGACCCAGATCAGCTATTTTGAGGATGCCTGAAGAGGTCAGGAGAATGTTGGCGGGTTTGAGGTCTCGATGTAGCACGGCGTGGGAGTGCAGGTAGGACAGACCGTAGAGAAGCTGATGAAGGATGGACTTCAGAACGGCAGAGGAGATGGAGCTTCGTAGAGTGACGTGGTGATGATGAATCAATTGAAGCAGATCGTGCTCGGCGTAGGCAAAGACCATGTCTGCGGTGGATAACGAGATGAGGCGAGGCGGACTATCAGACGAGCTTTGGAAACAATGACGCGCAATGCAGGATCGCAGCACACCCACAGATTGCCTTGTCCTCCAAGATGACCTCCCGCAGCGTGACGAGGTTGATGTGGCTCAGTTCGCGATTGAGCTGGATTGAAGCGAAACGTGGCGCGTCAGTGAAGAAGTGTGGACAACATCAAAGGGCGAGGCATCTGATGGCTCTTCGAACATCCGAGAGCGCAGGCATCGGTCCCACACCGCACCTCTTGCGACCGACTCACAGCAATCTCTCTCATTGCGCTCTGACTGATGCCCGTGTAGCCGGTCTGCTCCTCCTTGTCAGGTTTGAACTTTTTGATAGCAAATACGTTCGATTCTTCTTCTGCCAGAATCTTCGCATCTCTCTCCGCAGCTGCCGTGCGGGAGAAAGCTCCAGAACCCGCCGCTCGCCTGTTCCTCTTCAAGGCCAGCGCATTGTCTTCTTTCAGCCTCGCCTTGTACACCCGTCCATACGTTCCACTGCTGAGGAATCCGAGTATATCATACGTTCGAAGAACGCCGTGCGGTTCTTTGCGCTCATCACGATAAGCTCTGTAGCTCTCCATGCTGTCTTTCAAAGAAGACGTGCGAGGAATGAAGGAGCGCGAGAGGGCCAAATCTGTTGGGCCCATGCTTGAAGAGGCCGAAGAAGAAAGAGGATGGGAAGAGACGATGTAGGAGGCTGAAGGCGCTGCGTTGATGGCGCTGGGCAGGAGAGATGCTGGAGTTGAATAGCTCGACGTCGCGCCTCCGCCTCTACCTGTGCTCGTCACCCCCGTTCCCGATCCAGAAGCCATGTGAGTGTCGTTGTCGGTGTCGATTTGGTTGCCGTTGCCGTTGCCGTTGCCGTTGCTATTGCTACTTGGAGTCGACTTCCTGCTTGGCAACGCGAGTGCTTCTGCCCTCCCGCCGATTCGCTCGCAGCCCCAAAGCTCTTACCGAAGACTTTCTCGCTGGCACTTTGCACTTGACGCGACGTCGACTGCTTCCGTGTGCACCTTGATCGCTTGCAGCCCAGGCTTGATCGAGCTCTGCACCTCTTTGGGGCCGCCTTCTCCCGCAGAGCAAAGCGAGGAGTTTGGCTGTTGCTCAGGGATTGATGTCCAAGTTCAGGTATTGCGCTGCACATGACTTTTTGGATCTGAAGCGCATGGCGTATCACACACCCAATATTGCGGGAGCTGTCGGGAGGTGACGAACGGATGTCGCTGAGCTGCAATTGAACGTAAATTCTGAATCACGAATGGTTAACAGCATGAGCTGCACAGCCATTCTATCATCCCCCGCGGGTCATCAGCCCCCCCCCCCCCCCCCCCCCCCCCCCCCCCCCCCGCTCTTCTCGCGAGCGCGCATATATTTGTGCCAACGCCGCGCACGCGCACGGACGCCATGATGAAGACGCGCGCGTGGGGGCAGGCACTCACACACGCAATGACATCCCTGCATCTCTCGAGCGCAACACTCGGCTCAGCTTCACCGTGACATTGCTCGGCTCTCGACTAGCGCGCGGCTCTGCAATCACATCTCTCCTTTCCTGGCATTCATCGCCCTTTTCAAGTCCACACTGTTGCTCAGCTAGGGTGGCTCGGGGCCATCACAGTGCAGGCCAGCACTAACGCCGACATCGCAAGCGAAGTATCTTGCGACGCCAGTCAGCCAAGCTAGAGCGATGAGGATTGCAGTCACTGGAGCTTCCGGCTTGTTGGGCCGGGCGGTCGTAGAGAGATGTACAACCGAGGGGCATCAAGGTGAGCTATGCTACTGTCCAATTACGTGCCGCGTTACCTGAGCAACCGAAGCGCCATCAGCTCACACGCGCATCACCTCGCTTGCGCTCATAGTCCTCGGTCTTGCCAAGTCACGGGCAGCTCCGCCTCTGATCTCCTTGGACCTGCTCGACACCTCCTCGCTCAGAGAGGTACTGCAGCGTTTCAAGCCGGACGTCATCATCCACACAGCCGCAGAAAGGAGACCTGATGTGGTTGAAGCTGATCCCCAGGGATCTATGGAGCTCAATGTGGACGTCCCAGGAAGGTTGGCAGAAATAGCCAGGGATATTGCTCTCGAGCTTGTGACGGATGATGCGCATTCGGCCACAGCGGGCACAGAGGCGGAGACACCAACGGAAGGAGGGGGAAAAGAATCACCGCTACTAATTTATATCTCGACAGACTACGTCTTTGATGGAATCTCACCGCCCTACAGCCCTTCTGACGAGCCCAATCCGCTCAACTCATATGGTCGCAGCAAGCGGGATGGGGAAAAGGCTGTGCTGAGCAAAGGAGAGAGCGGGAGGGTCTGCGTTTGGAGAGTTCCCGTCCTGTAAGTCCTTCGCTCGTTCGTCTGCGCTGCCTGTCGCCACTAATGCTTGATTTGTTTGAGCCGCAGGTACGGCAAAGCGGAGACGCACTCTGAGTCAGCAGTCAATTGTTTGCTGGACGTGATCTCACCTCGCGAGGAATCAAAAGGCAGGGTCAAGATGGACGCAGTCGCCGTCAGGTATCCAACGAGCGTTGAGGATGTATCTCGCGGACTTCTCTCCCTCTCTCAAATCTGGTACAAGTCTCTGTCTGAAGAGGACTCAAATGCGCAGAGCGAAAATGGCATCGTTCGAGGCAGGGTCCCGCCCGTCCTGCATTTCTCAGCGAGAGAAGCGATGACGAAACAAGACATGTGTTTCGTCCTCTCTCGCGTTCAGCGCGCACTGGAAGAGCCTACCAGCACGGATCATTTGGAGCCCGTTTACGAAGTGGATCCGAACGATACAAGCAGACCTAGACATGTCAAGCTAGATCTGGACCTCACGGAAAGGTGCGGAGTGGATACGAAGTGCATCGGATTTGAGGAAGTGAGTGGCGCGATCCGCGACCGAGAATGTCAAAGATCGTCGATGGACATGGTGCTGAACCGCATTCAATTCAATTCGCTCTCTCCTCGCCCCATTCCCTTGCACTTTCACCATGACAGTGGTGGACACCTTACTTGACCGAGTTGGCCGTGGTAGCACGCGCAAAGAGGGAAGAAGAAAGGCTTCAGAGGGAGAAAGAGGAGGCGGAAGAGAGAGCGAGAAAAGAGGAAGAGGAGAGCAGGAGAGCCAGACAGGAGGCTGAGGAGAGGCAAAAGGCCAAATTAGAGGCTGAGGAGCGCAAAGAAATAGCGGAAAGGCGAAAGCGAGAAGCTGCAGAGGAAGCCAGCCGACAGGCTGAGGATCTGGCACGAAAAGCAGCTGAGGAGACTGCCAAGCGTAGGGAAGAAGAGCTTGCACGAAGGCAGGCTGAGGAAGCGGCTCAACACGACGCTGTAACAGCCTCATCAGAGACACCACAATTCGTTGAGGGCGAAGGCGTGCACGCTAGTCCGCCAATGCAGCCTCAGCCGCAGCAGCCTGTCAGCGCAGAAATGCACGCAAACAACTCATCAGCAGCAGGAGTTGCTTCATCGTCTTCTTCAGTCAGAGCCAGGTCACCCATCTCCAGACTGGCAGAGGAGAACCACGCGCACGCGAGCGATTCCAAGCCCGCTTCCCTACGTCTACTTGGTTCACCGAATGCTCCATCTTTCAGCTCTCTCAGGGCCAGACCCACTCCGCCCCCGACTAACATCTCTGAGAGTGGCGGAAACTCGCCAGCAAGCGCAAATGCGAGCGTCACTCGGAGCCAAAGCACTGCGAGGAACGAGGATCTGGAGGAAGATCCCCTGAATTTGAGCGCGAATGCTGAGCATGGCGCGCTAGTGCAAGGTTCATCGCAAGCTCACACCCAAGACTCCAATTCCGCGTCTGCCTCTGGTTCGGCCTCCAGCGCGACGCACATGCAAGCCTCGAGGGACGAAAGCTATTTTCCCTCACTGGCTGTGCCAAGGAACGATCCAGGCCTGGACGTGAGAGGGCAACATGCGCCGAGCGCTGATGTGGATACCAAGGTTCCCAATGATGGAGATTCAGATGGATATGGGCAGCCAAGTCCGCGGGAAAGCTCTGTTCAATTTTCGCAGGAAGATCATCATGTGCCACCTGCGAAAGATGAGGAGGCTGACCAAAATCGACAAGCTGCTCAGGACGCGGGGTCTGGCGTCACTCCGGCGCACAAGCAGTCGTGGGAGGTGACAAATGGGAAATCCACTGAAGCGGAAAGCACACCGGTTGCTCCTAGACCCAGCTTTTCCATCAAGGTGGGAGATCCTCAAAGGAAAGGTGATCCCGTCACTGCTCACATTGTCTACACAGTCAGAACCAAGGTGAGAGGCGCTCCGTCGATGGTCAAACTACTCGATCACATGCTGATACTCTTGCGCGTTTGTCTGCCATCTGGGTCAGACCAATCATCCAGCTTTCCGATCAGAATTCAGTGCATTGCGACGTTATTCAGACTTCAGATGGCTACATGCCGCCTTAGTCCACAATAATCCGGGCGTATTCATTCCTCCAGTGCCGGAGAAGCACAAGCTGGGTCGTTTCAATCCCGAATTGGTGGAAGCCAGACGTTTTGGATTGGAGAATTGCATCAACAAGATTGCAAATCATAGACTCTTGCAAGAAGATGAGGATCTGAGATTATTCTTGGAAAGCGTGGACTTTGCTGCAGATGTCAGGCTGAGGGATATCAGGAAAGGGCCCGTACCTACTCCGGAGCAGAAGACGTACTTCGGATGGAGCAATCAAATGAGCGCCCCCAAATTTCACGAGACAGATGAGGTGAGCCTGACTATGAGCGATACAGAGCGAAATGTTTCGTCATGGCGCTGCTCATCACTCCGACGATGAATGCATATGCCTGGCAGTGGTTTGGCAACCAGAAGAATTACTTGGATCATCTGGAGACGCAACTCAAGAACCTCGTCAGAGCCGTCTCTTCGGTCTCGCAGCAACGTCGAGGTGCGTTTCAGTGTGGGGGCGTCGGTAGAAGCAGTCTCACGGGCGCACCGGTGCTGATCCTTGATAACTACGCATATCTCCACAGATGCAGCGTCGGCCATCTCGGAGCTGTCGCACGCGCTGATGATGCTGTCCGGAAGCTCCCTCTCGAGGAGCTTGTCCACATGCTTTGCTGGCCTGGGAGAAGTTCAAAGAAGATCTTGCGAGCTGAATGACGCGCAAGCTGAAGCTGACATGCGTGAGATGGGCGCCGTCCTCTATGAGTATGAGCGCATCGTCGGCAGTGTTCGTGTGAGTCAAGAGCTGGCGTGTCCTAGCTCATCCGACCAACTGAGGAAGTACTGGGCTGAGACGCGATCCTTCTGCATAAACATTTCTCTAGAAAGCATTCGCTACTCGTATAGACGTCTGGCAAGCTTGGCAGAAGTCGGAAGAGGAATACCGCAAAGTGCGCTCGAAGCATGAAAAGCTGACTCGGGAAGGCAGGTCGGGAGGAGAGAGGATGCACATGAGCTTGCAGGACGTTGCGGACGCCGAGAGCAGGAGCTTAGGCCTGAAGAGAGACTTCGATCTGGTCGGCCTGAGGTGCAAAGATGAAATGGATCGCTTCGATAGCGAGAAGGTTCAAGAGGTTAGGGCTGCTGTGGAAAGTTGGATCCAGGGCCAAATTGAGAGACAGATCGAGGTGAGTACATCTCTGCACACCCGTGTGCCCAAGTTGCCATGCTCATCCTCCATCGTTGACTTGCGCTGTTCAACGTTTTACAGCTCATTGGCGAATGGGAACAGTACTGTGCGTTGCTGAGTCGACAGTCGGGTACACCGCGGCCAAATCCTCCACCTGCGCCGGTACAAGCCCAGCAGCCTTCGCCAAATGGCAATGTCCCCTTCGCTCCGGCCCCTGTGGAAGGTCAAAGCAGACCCGATCCACAGCCAACGCTCGACGGCAACGCGCAGACAGGAAGTGCTACCCAAATTTCGACTCTGGTCAACGGCCACAGCCAGCCGACTGTTGTGGTCGGCGCGGAAGGAAATATCGTCGAGCCACTGGATGGACATGACAATGGTCAGGCGCAGCCCTCCGCGGTCTCTGTTACTCCAGTTGGCGGGTCGAGTGGCGATGCTGGTGGTAATGCAGATGGAGCAATGCAGCAGGCCACCTCGTCAAACGAAGCGACGCAAGCCAAAGCTCCTGGCGACACCGAGATGGAGCCTGGTCGGGAAAGCGAGCCATCCATAGGTAGACCAGCTCCTGTCACTGCAGGCCAGACAGCTGCGGTGCCAGCGCCCTCTACGGCGGGAGCGGAGCCGGTTCAGGGCGAAGTGACGATCGCACCTAAAGCTGGCCAGGATGCGCTCGTTGAAAACATCTCAGTCGCTGGGACCGCAGCCGGCACCAGGGAGCCAAGCGAGAAAGAGGCCCGCCCAGATCAAGCGACAGAAGTGCAAGCTTCTGCAGCCACTCGTACATCAGAAGAAAACACAACAGCTTCGGCCGCGCCGAATGCTGATGCCTCTTCACAACCATCACGCGCTCCTGTCACTACTCTCGGCTCACCAACACAGGCACCACCCTCGACAACGCCCGAAGCCTTTGTAGCGCCAAGGCTGTATTCGCAGCAGAGCTCCGCGCCGCCGCCGCCCATGCTGCGTCCAGTACCTGGCCCAGCTCGAGCCGAAGACTTAGCCGCCGCTTCAGAGATTGCAGAGGCGCAAGGCAGGCAAGCTGCGGAGGAAGCGAGGCTGAAGAGGGAAGAGAGAGAGAAGAGAGAAAAGGTGGAGAGGGAGAGCAAAGCAAAGGAGGACAAGGAAAGGGCGAAGAAGATGAGAGAGATGAAGGCGAAGGAGAAGAAGAACAAGCAGAATTTGCTGGGCGATTTGCTTGGATAGTATCCTGCGTAGCTTCTGCTGCGAATTGTGTGTGCTTGCGTGTGCTTGCAATCTCCTCCTGTCACCCTACACGTCACTCTCATCAGACTGCAAATTCACGGCGGCATTTGACCTCCAAGGTACACGTGAAGGTCATCAGCTTTCCAGCTTCAGCAGCGTCTGCTATCGGCACGTCAGCCCATTGCCTGGATGCAAAGACCAGTATATAGTAGAAGTACTCTGATCAGGCCTGACCCGCAAGGGCGATTGATCAAGCGGGGATATCGGAGCTGCTCCGCAGGTGCATCACGTGCAGGGAAGCTCTGGAAGCTCGCGCTCGCTATCGCGATCATTCGCAGCAACCGAGCTCGCGTGACATTTCTAGACCATCATTCAACGGGTACTTGAGCCCTTTCGCTCGTGTCGCCCGGCCTTTGTCTTTGCATGCAACAGAAGAGAGCAATTAGGTGAAGCAAGACGGAAATATCGAGAGGTTTCGTTCGTTGACTGCATGGAATCGCTGAAATCGATCGTGAATGGCGGGCCCTGCGGAGAGAGGATGAAGCTGCATGGCCCAGATAGATCAGCGAAGAGAAAGTCGAGCTTGAAAGCCTCGCATCGAGATGCATGAGCATGCATATGAAGGCTTTTTTGTCGGACACTGCTGAGACGCTCTTATCTCTTATCTTTGAGATTCGTATGCACAAATCCTGGCTTGGCTTGCGACCTGCATATAACCTGCATTGAAGCTTTTGAGCAGGATACCATGCATCACCGCTGTTGTGCGAGCTCTTCGAACCCTCTCTCGTGGGTCGTGCGTGCCCTTGTCGCTGCGACCGATCACGAGGCGGAGCGCGAGGAAGGTGAGGGAAAGAATCAAAATCGATCGAAGTGGGGTTCCGCAAGACAGCCACTCGCAAGCTGTGGCGGCTAGAGCCCCGACGCTGCCGACCAATTCTCGAGTCGGGCGAGGATTGTGAATTACAAGCGCAAATGTTTGTGCAGGTTGAACGAATACCTAAAGACGGCATGGCGTGGTGTGGTGCGGGAGTCGTGTGCCTGCCAAGCAAATGGATCAGCAGGCTTGATCCGATCGAACAACATCCTTCAAGATCGAGAGAGAGGGGAGGGGGGAAGGAGAATTAGGAATATCCATATCTAGAGCATATATGTCTCGAGCAGAGATAAACCTCTTCATCGCGTGTATCATACCAGATCGAGAGTCTCGTATTCGAAACTTCTTGCCAAGACTCGATCGTGCATGAGGACGCGAGGATCAGTCAGCAGGCAGCAGCCGCCTCCGAGCGAATGCTTGATCGCCTGCAGATTTCCACCTCCCCCACTTCGACTCGACTCTGACTCGAGACTGATGATCATCAGAAAGCGCCGCTAGCGCGTCCTCGATGAGGTCACCTCGGACATGAGCACGAGGGTCTTAGATATCAAGCCGATCCCGTGGGCTGGTGCAGGGTTTTCATGGAAGCCACCGGCGGGGAAAGGCGGAGCGGGGCGGGGCCGGGGGCCGGGGGGAGAGACCATCGGTGCGGATGGAACCCTGCCTGCGGTGCACACGACTTTGTTCCACGCTCTGCGCTGTTCACACTCACGACTTAATTTGACTCGATTCACACTCGAGACTCCAAGAGCGTAATCTACGGCACTAGTGATTGTTTCGATGGTGCCTGATGTCATTGCTCCGCCTTGTGCGACTGATAGCACGTCCATCGATTTGGGAAGATGGAAGCTCTTGTTGTGATGCCTGTCACTTTGCTCCTCGACCTGCTATGGAGGTGCTTCAGCTGCGAGCGGCTTCCAAGCGCTGGGGACTGAGACTGCTGCTGCAGCATGTGTTCATTGCTGAGTCTGCGCGATTTTGGAACGATGACACTGATGGGATGGCACTACTGCACCCATCACACGCGCTATACATATTATACATCCATGCAGCAGTCATCCAATGAAACGCGAATCGTTCCGGAGGCCGCGGTCGCAGCAACTCCTGATGTGCGCGTGCATCGACAATCTAGCCTTCATCAGCTAGCTGGCCGCATGCCGCTCAACTGAATAGCTGCGACGAGTGCATGCAGCATGCACGCATGCACTGTATGCTCTTTTGGTCGCGGCGGTCGTTTGGAAGGATTTCGCTCTCGGTCGTTCAGGGCAAGCGAGGCGCAAGTCGTGAGTGAGTGAGTGAGTGAGTGAGTGAGGGAGTGAGTGCAATCATTCATTGGCTGGCCGAGCCGAAGAACCGTATCAATGCACACCCGTTCACACCCCAGCCAGGCTTCTCCTTCTACGGACGACGCTTAGCTTGCGTTTCACATAAGAAGACCTGCCCCGCCGCTGCAGTCCGTACCCTCTTCCCCTTTTCTCTTCTCCGCAGAGGTATCTCTCCTTCAGCCCCCTCATTCCTGTCCACCCCCCGCCCCCCCGCGCGCCCGCAACTTTCCTAGTCCCCCGATCAACAGCCTGACAAGATGGTCAACATCACTGTGAGTCGACAGTCTCGAAAAAGCTCTGCCTGTCATCCGGACATATACTGACGCCTGCACCTTGCTGCTGCTGCTTTCCCGCCCATCAGTACGGAGTATGTGAGTCTTTCGAGTGACCATCATTGGCCGTGATTCAATGCACAAGCACACGCATGCCATGGTGCAGAGGCGGCAGCGCGCTCGCTTGTATGCGCGGCAAACATGAGTCATGACAGATCTGAATCAGAGCAAAGTTACTGACTTGCTCCTGCCCCCTCGTTCTTGCAGTGCTTGCTCCTGATGGCGCCACCGAAAATTCTACCCTTCTCACCAGCCAGGGAACTGACTTGATCGTCACCTACGGCTCCAACAACGAGAGCATTGTGGCGTACAACCCAGGAGATCTGGCCTGGATCTTGACCTGCACAGCTCTCGTGTGGCTCATGATTCCAGGTCTTGGTTACCTGTACTCTGGCTTGACGAGAAGGAAGAATGCGCTTCACATGCTCCTCATGACCATCATGGCTCTTGCCGTAGTAAGCATTCAATGGGTCTTCTGGGGCTACTCTCTCGCCTTCTCACCTACGGGAGGCAAATTCCTGGGTAACCTCAACCATTTCGGTTTTATCGATGTGCTGCAAGCTCCCAATGCCAACGCCAACAACAAGATTCCCGACATTGTCTACGCCATGTACCAGTGCATGTTCGCCAGTCTGGTTCCCGCCATTGCTATCGGAGCCGCATGCGAGCGTGCGCGCGTCTGGCCTTTCATCGTCTTTGTCTTTGTCTGGACTACGCTGGTGTACGACCCCATCGCTTCTTGGGTGTGGAACAGCGCCGGTTGGGCCTACAACTGGGGTGTGCTGGACTATGCCGGTGGAGGACCTGTAGAGATTTGCTCCGGTATTACCGGCCTCGTCATCAGCTACTACCTCGGCAAGCGTCGCGGCTACGGAACTGAGCGTCTGCTCTTCAAGCCCCACAACGTGTCCCACGTTGTGCTCGGCACCGCATTCCTCTGGTTCGGATGGCTCGGCTTCAATGGAGGATCGACGTTCGCTGCAAACCTCCGCGCCGGCATGTCCATCGCTACCACCAACACTGCTGCGAGCATGGCAGGACTCACCTGGATGTTTATGGACTGGAGATTGGAGCGCAAGTGGTCCGTTGTTGGCTTCTGCACCGGTGCCATTGCTGGACTGGTGGCCATCACCCCGGCAGCAGGATTCATTGGTGTGCCAGCTTCCTTGGCTGTCGGTTTCCTCTCCGCTTTCTTCTCCAACTTGGCAACACAATTGAAGGCTCCCATGCGATGCGACGATGCTATGGATGTATTCGCCGTACACGCTCTCGCGGGATGGGTCGGGCTTCTCTGCACTGGTCTGTTCGCGCAAGCTTCTGTCGCCAACAATGATGGTATCCTCGAGATCCCTGGTGGATGGATCGACCAACACTACGTACAGCTTGCCATCCAATTGGCATGGTGCGCTGCCACCACCGCGTGGACCGGTGGCGTGACCTTCGCCATCATGCTCGTCATCGACCACATCCCCTACGTGGGACCTTTCCGCGCATCTGAGACCGCAGAGATTATCGGTGTGGACGAGGATCAGTGTGGAGAATGGGCGCAGGACAGCTTCTTCATCAACAGAGATCTCGAGGGCAACTGCTCTCCTGCTGACTTGGGACACCACGCCCAGCCTCTCAACATTCACGAGAAGGCGACAGATTTGAGCGCTCCCAGCGCATCTTCCGAAGAGGGAAACGGCACTGCCGCGCCCTCTCCTGCACCTGCAGAGGCCACCAAAGCATGAGGCATTTGCCATGCAGTGCCTAGCTCCGCTCGTCGTCTTGCCTTTCATCTGTTCATTCTTTCCAATCGCTTTTGCCTCGGTGGACTGCATTCCACCGGCCAGTCTACTGCTATCTTTGAGACCGTACCTACTTATTCCCTCGCATCTGAATTGAGGATCCTACCAGACCTCACTGGGCGTCGTCCTTTCTTCGCTTTTGGGATGGCGTGCCACCATTAGATCATGCTCTCATCTGGCCGATTGTACCATCAAATGACACGGCTGTTCGCCCACGCGCTCGCCAAAAGTATACAAGCAACCAATGGAGATTGAGTTGCGAGTTGAACTTGGAATTGGTCTACATTGTCCTTTTGTGTAAGGCGAGCGGGGTGGGGCAAGTGGTCGTTGTCCCGTGTGCTTCTGTGTGCTTCTGTTGTATCTGAGGGCCGCATGGAAATGAGACATGTGTCGCAGCTGCCACTGCTGACTGTTGCCGCAGGCTTGGTTGCAAGTCGCGACCAAGGACATGGCAGTCGGCTGTAGGCGAGTGGGTTGTCATGTCGGTGCAGACCAGAGAAACCTGTATCCGCCCTCGGTTGGGGGCCTGCTTGGCGACGCAGCTTGCGACTTTGATCCTGACGTGGACGAGTCATTAGAACGACGACACATTCGTGATTGTTACAGACCCTTCGAGTCTGCAGTGTCGAAGGACCTTTTCGCCTTGCAGGTCCGATCGATTCGAGCTGGGATTTGGATCGCCCTCCAGCAACTCATCGTATGGCTCGAAAGCTACGCGTCCCGTCGACGCCCAAGATTCGGCTCGATGCGTGCCTCGCTCGCTATTTTAAGGAGAACAAATCGTTTACTTTTTTTTTTTTTGGCGCGAAGAGGATGTCGCTGCGTGTACGGCATGTCTTGCCGTACAAACGCTGGAGCGAGGTGAGGCGGCGTCGTAGGCGCAGACGTCTTACCCTGGCGCGCAACGTCTCCAACACATGGCAACACTGCTCGTGAACTGCTCTTTTCGTGCCAAAATTCTGAAGAAGAGTGTGAGCGAAAGTGCATCTCACAATCTGAGGCCCCTTGGCTTCGTACATCAAATGTGTGGGCCCCAACGGAGGCTCGATATCGAGCAAGGCTGCCCTTCATTGAGATGGGGATTCGCCATTTGCAAATGGGACACGAGCAGGCAAGTGAAGAGTGTCCTGTGTTGGCCGAACGTGCACCGTTGGCGTTGCGGGCGCGCCACCGCGTATACGTGGTAGCGATACCATCATTGCTGAGTATTGTAGCCAATTTGTACGCCCGTCGGACTTGCGACTGCTGCTGGATCAATGCGGCACGAGCAAAGGTAGGGCTGCTCGATCGTGAGACGAGTCTGCGCCTTTCTGGCTACAAAAGGGGGGGGAGGAGGGCCATTCATGTCTTGTATAAGGCGAGGCTTTGTGAAAAGCTACCTTCCTTGCCCCGTCTTCTCCACGACACGACGATCTATAGCCACGAGACAGCCACTTTTCAGCACCTACCAAAATGACCAGGCAAAGTCGAATCCGCTCGAGCTTTAGACAGCCGACGCTGGTCGTCGTGCTGCTCTGTCTCGCTGCATTGCTCGCGATGACATCGAGCACCACAGCGATACCTGTGCCAAGCTTCGGCTGTGAGTGCAATTGGGTATGGGGAGAGACCTGGACGATGCGAGCGGGCTTTTCTTTGATGTATCCCTCCAGCTCGTTTCTGACATTCGCTCCCTTCCTGCTCATACGCAGATCTTCGAGAGCAAGCGATGGACAAGGTCGATGCGCTCTTCAACAGACAACCAGCCAGCCTCTGCGAGCACCACAAGCACAAGGTCAAAAACGGCTTCTCCGAATCTCGACATTGTGAGACATCCACAAAGACTGCTCATGGGAAATCTTGGTCCACTACAACCAGCACCCGCTTCGAGTCGTCTACTACCAGCGGCAGCGGCAACGGCAGCGGCGTCAAAGGCAAGAGCCACTTGGCCAGCTACTCCGGTCCTCTCAAGTTCAGCCATTCACCGGACGGACTGCACCACTCCTCTTGGCTGAACTTCGACATTTGAGCATTTTGTGAGAGGCAGGACGCAAGACAGAACCCGAAGCAGAGGGGATCGGCGAAAAATTGTCGGTCGTAGAAGATATTCGCTTGAAGGAGGCGAGGGAGCTTTGCCTCGACTCATTGGCGTCATCCGCCCGGTTGGCTGCTGCTCCGACGTTGAAATGTACTCGAAGCACCCGCGACAGGGAATTACTTTCTGACAAATGACCACCGTCAATACCCTGATCTCACCTGTCCACATTTCGTCGCCCATCGTGTCGAGAGAAGCGTGGCGCCAAATGTAGAACCAGAGCTGGCAATGAAAGGTGCGCATCGATACTGCAATGAGGCTGCAATACTCGAAACTTGTGGTCCATGGATGCAGATCATGGTTGCGAGCTAGACTGAGCGAAGCGCACGGGAGCTTGGCAGTGTGATAAGCCTGTGCGCCTCCACCTCGCGATCGCTATCCTCGCCGAGATGTCACCATCCATCCAGAGGTGACGGCGCAAGCTTTCGACCTTTGACGCTTGCTAAAGATCACGCAAGACCGTATCGCTACGCACGAATCAGCGATCAAGGCTTCGACCAAGCGATGAATCTGTGCGCACGCATCGGGCAGCCACACGCCAGACTGTGAGCAGCGAGCCTTCGTGTTCCTGTCGTCAGATCTAGAGCTTAGGCTTCTGTTGTCTGTGCGCAATGGAGCGATGAGGCCCAGCGATTTATCCAGGTAATTGAATATTTTTCCTTGGCTCGACCACCCACGCAAGGTCGCGCTTGCACCCGAGTTGATGTGCCGTGCTTCGGGTATTCCTGCTTCCTTCCTCGCCAACCTTATCGGCATGATTGGGCGTGACGAGTGAAGATGGCATGCCGGGGTAGCATGCTGATGAATCTGCGTAAATTTCAGTGCGAGTCCAGCCAGCGAGGTTCACAAGCCGACTTCCCGAAACGCATAAACTTGCAGCGCGGGGGCCCGCCAATCGTAACGCCTCATGCTCCCCGTACACAACTGGACATCACGTTAGCGCAGCTGGCAGCGGTGTGAAACCGACAACGCCTTGCTGCGCATTCGCGGACGATGGAGGCCAAGGCTGGTGATTACAGTGTTCTAACCGTTGTGTAGAATGAATGGGAAGCAATCAAGAGTGTCGCAGCATTCCACAATGCAACGTGCGTGCTCCGATCACGAATGCTTGCGCGATTCCCGTTTGATTGCTTGGCTCGGAAGAGCGCTGCTATATAAGACTGGCAATCAGAATCAAAAGATAACCTGATTGCAGATCGAGCGGTGGCGGAGACACGTGACCTGACAATCCTCCACCCGGTTTTGAGCAGCGCTTTCACGTATCGATCGATCCTAGCAGAGGATCGACTGTGCGCTTGCTGAGCACATTATTTGAAAGCTGCGCTCGATCTTCGATTGGTTGGCGGGCCAACTGCCGCTTGCTCGATTGTTCGGGCGAAGCGTCTGTTGCGCCTTTCTATGTGCTGGAAAATCACCACAGCAAAGCTGCTGCTGCAGCACCACCACAGCTACAATCGGCCGAGGCTAGGAGCCTGCACCTCGGCCTTCGGGCGAGCGCTTCATGCGGCCGTGCGTCGCGGGGTAGCAAAGCTTGTGGCAAGGTCTGCCTCTGGAGCAGTCTGCATGGTCGAATCTGGAAGCTTCGCTTGCTGTCGCTCGCATTTCCGGCATGAGGCCTGCATGAGAACTGCAAGCCCAAGCTCAGGTGGCGAGACGGATGCAAAGCCGGGCTAGCTTTTGCTCTAGACGATCGGGGCAGAATGACCATCCAGAGGCCTACGACGGCAGTGGCTCTGTGCTCAAGCCACCGCGGTCGCTCCTCTTATGACGCACGAAACTCTGCATGGCCAGCCTCCGCAATGAGATTCGGAATTCGAATCGACCTCAACTCAAGCCCACCCCACAGCGCGATGTCAACGGCCTGCGATCGATGCTGCGGCTCTCGTAAGCATGTCAAACTTCGCTTGGCTCTAGTGTACTTGTGAAGTGCGAATGTTGCTGAGTCAGGGCAGCGTCGTCCGTCGAGCGATCAAGGTGGGTTAGGGTTGCAGTCATTGAGTGCGTGGACCACGGCTCTGAAACCTAGCTGTGACTTCTGCTCAGCCAGCTCAGCAGTCTGCAGTGCCCAGGCCGTGAAATCACGAATGACGGTGTCCTAGCTGTGGTCGCGCATGCAGCATGCAGCTTGAGTCCAGCAGCATCGCGCGGTGTTCGCCCTTGAGTTCTGTTTCCCCGCGCCGCCGCGCGCTGGCTCTTGCCACGAGCTGGTGCGCATGACGTCTGAGCGTCTGCCTTTGGGCATTATTCCCGTCTTGGTGTCTGATCGATTCGCACACTCCAGATTTCCCTTTCGACCTTAGCGTCTCACTCTTCAAGGTAAGCAGCAAAGAGGGCGGGCGACTACATAACGGCTGCAGACGCCCATCCCTTGCCTTGAATCCACCCCCACCATCCACCCTCTCACAAGTAAGGTCAACGTGAGGCATTCGATACACTTTTCACGAACACAATAGACTCTACGATGGCGGATCCTTCGCAATTCCCCAAGGCGATGGGCGAAGCGCCCAGCCGTCGACCCAACATGGGCGAACAGAAGCTTACCGACAGCAACGTGCCCTCCTTGGCGCCAGACAACGCTTGCGATGAGCCTGCTCCCACCGCTCCCGGCGGCGCAGGCCACGCAGCCATTGCCAAGGACTCAGAGGGCAAGAACTTCGACAAGGTGTACGGTGTCAGGCCAAAGACGTGAGTGTTCACTCGGCACCGGTACCACTCAACGCCTCCGCTGACATTTATTTGCCGTCGCTTGTCCCTGCGCTCGCAGTACATGGCAGCTGAAGCCTCCCGCCACCTGGACTCTGTGGGAGTTCATCGCTTCGCTCGATCTTTGCCCCGAAGTCTCTTACCAAAGGAGAGCGGCAACCGAAAAGCTGCGCGGCCCCCCTCCTTACCAACCCATGTGGCGTGAGAATGCCTTCATCATCCCCACTGCTTCCATTCCTCTGGCGATTCACTGGGCGTGGAACAAGCTTGTGCCCGGTGAGTAACGCCTGAATGGCCAACCATGCATTAGCATCTCGCTCACCCCTCATATTGCCCGTGACACCACAGAGCACAAGTTGCACTTTGCGCCGGGATGGGTCTTGTACCACTTGTCTTTCATCCTGTTCGCGTTCCTGATGATCGGAAGATTGCACAAGTACATGGCCACGTACGGTACCTTTGACGAACTCAACCGTGGACGAGACATGGTCGACGACAGGCACGTCAACCACCTGGGTCGCTCCATCTTCATCTACACCGTCTTTCGCACCCTCGGCCCCTTCATCTTGTCATGGCGCGGAGAGATGTCGAACCCATTCGAGGGCTTGAGCATCTATTCCATCCCCAAGATTATGGCATTCGAGGTTGCTCTCGACTACTGGTTCTACCTCTACCACAGATCCTGCCACGAGTTTGACAGCCTGTGGTTCATCCACCGTCAGCACCACGCCACCAAGCACCCGACACCCATTCTCTCCATCTTGGCCGACGACATCCAGGAGTGCATCGAGATCTTCATTGTTCCCTTCCTCGCCTCTCTCGTCACGCCCAAGATGTCCTTCGTCGAGATTCACTACGCCATCTGCTACTTGCTCTACGTTGAAGCTCTCGGACACTCGGGTATCCGCGCTTACTGGCCCCACCCACTTCTCGGTCTGATGCTCCGTCCCCTCGGCATGGAGCTTGCCGTTGAAGACCACGATCTTCACCACCGATTCGGCAAGTCCGGCAAGAACTACGGAAAGCAGACGCGCATTTGGGACCGCATCTTCGGAACCGTTGGAGAGCGTATTGAGTGCGCTGCTCAGTACTAAGCCGTACGCTCGAAGACCGCCAATAATTTCTTCAATTCCTGGCTTGGAACTCGGATCGTCTTTGCGCTATTCACACCCTGACTTTCGTGCTCCTGCATTATATATTTCAATGCCGTCCTATTGCCGGAAACTCATTTGCTCAATTGCTCAGTTTTAAGACTCTGTAAATCAAACGAAATCGATGAATTACGCATTCTATTCCCGTGAATGGTTCTCCAAGACGAAATCGATGAATTACGCATTCTGCTCCGTGAATGGTTCTCCACGTTCGGCCTGCTGTGACAGCCTCGAGGTACTCATGTGGAGAACAACGGTTTTGCGGGCGCTCTTGCGGACACGCGCATTGACCTTCAGTGTAAGACAGATCAACTTTTCGCAGCATGCGTACAACGACAAACGCACCACCTGAAACAGCCTCGGTGTATAAGCTATGGCTATCCTTAT